GTTAATATAAGTTTGCTAAACCTAAGTGTTTTAAGCCTAAGCCACCTAAGCCTAAGCTTACAAAACCTAAGCCTACTAAGCCTAAGCTTTCTAGGCCTGAGCCTACTAAGCTTAAGTTCACTAAGCCTAAGCCTAAGCCTACCGAATCTAAGCCTACGAAGCCTAAGCCTAACCTTACTGATACAAACCCCACTCAGCCTAACATTACTAAGCCTATGCCTAAAAAGCCTACCAAACTAACGCCTGCGAACAATAAGCCTTTTTAATCCACGCATACCAAGCCTAAAGCCGCTAAGCCTAAGCCAACTAAGCTCAAGCCTACTAAGCCTAGGCCTAATAAATCAAAGCTTACTATGTTTAACCTTAATCAGACTAACCCTCGTAAGCGTACACCGACTAAACTCAGACCTACGAAGTTTAACGGTGTAGGCCTAAGCCTACTAAACCAACGTAAAATTTCAAACAACTACCATTATTTATACTCAATGTTTTAGCTAAAATTACCACTATACATTTTAGTCAAAATCACCCCTTTAATCAACCCCACGATCCACTAAAATCATCCCCCATGTCAAATGTAAACTTCGCTTTTCGAAAAACGTCAACTTGGAATTCGAATATAAACAAACACATTTAAAATCCCTGAATTCCCTCCCAAAGATCAACCCAAAACAATTGAAAACATTTGGAACGCCCGGAAAAACATCGCAAAAACGATTTTGGCGCCAGATGTGAGAGGAACGAGGAGAGATTGTTAAAGCTGTCACTTTCGAATAATCTCTTCACCAAGCACAGGGACATTCATTTCCAAGGATAAAAAATTACTGGGCAGGGGTTTGTGAATTTGTGAGAAAAAGATGTATCTGAATCTAGGAAGTTCTGCCCTACCTTGCCCTAACCTTTTTGAATTGGCAATGGAAAACTTCGAAATTTCGAAATAAAAAAAATTTTATTTTGTCCTATCATATCTACCCCTAGCCTAATTTTTTGCCTTAGTCATTTCTCCTCCGTGCTGACATCTAGCCCTAGCCTAGAATGCCCTAGTCTGTACTGTCTTCGCCTTCACTGCCCTTAACCCTGGCTTGGACTGTCCTATCCAGCATCGTCTTTAACCCTAACTTAAGCCTAGACTGCCTTACATTGAACATTCTTAAAGCCTAGTCCTTGGCCTAAACTTTTTTAGCTTGCGCTGACGTTAACCCTAACCTTAAGCTAGGTTGTCTTATACGGCTGTGCCTTTAACCCTAGGGCTAGCCTAGACTGTGTTACCCTGCACTGTCTTCAATCCTAGCCCAAGCTTAGATTGTCTTAGCTCTGCACTTTGCTTAACGTTACATTAGCCCAGACTGTCTAAGCCTGTACTGTTCATAACCCCAGCCCTAGACTACACTGCCCTACCCACATTATCTTTACCTCTAGCCCCTTAGCCTAGACTGTCTTAGCCTAAACTGTCCTTAACTCAAGCCCTAGCTTAGACTTTCCTAGCCTACACTGTCTTTAACCGTAGTCCTAGCCTAGACTCTCCTAACTTGCATTGTACTTAACCTTAGTCTAGACTGTTTTGGCCATTTCAGTCTTTAACCCTAGCCTTAGTATCGACTTTCTTAGCCTGCATTTTTCTTATTCCTAACCCTAGCTTTAATCGTCCTAGCTTTCCAACCCTATGTGCTACCCTATTAGAAAATACCTTCCCATACCCAGCCATACTCTACTTGGCCCTACTCCAAGTGGAGTATGGTTGTGTCATTACTATAGTACTGTTAGTACATATAAAAAGTAATGCTATTCTACGCCCAAAAATAAAATTTTCTAAAATCCGTGAAAAAAACGATAATATAGCCTGAAAACAAATTGAAATGTTTCGAAATGGAAAATCAAAGGAAGGAAATGGCTGATTAAAACATTCGATAAACAGTAAATTGAATAAAAAAGGGTCTTTTGTGAGATTCCGACGGAAAAATTGGGAATAAATAAATATATGCACGGGAAAGGCATAATGCATCTTACAGGTGTCATGTGACCGCAATTGTGATTTTTAAAAAAATACCCTACCCTACCACACCCTACCCTACCCTAGCGTACCTTATACTTCCCTACCCTACCTCGCCTTACTCTTCCCTACCTTACTCTACCCCTAAATTTATAACATTATTTAAAAAAAAATAAAATTTAAAAAAATTTTTTATCCGCCCCCAATAAAATTTTTTTACCACACCCTCAAAAATTTTTTTAATAAAATTGGAGTTTTTCTGAATAAAAAATTTTTAAAATCCCATTCATTTTTTGCAAAAAATACCCCGCCCAAACCCCCCCCACCACAAAAAATTTTTTAAAACAAAAACCCACCCAAATAAAACAAGCCATAAAAAAACGCGCCCCAACCACAATTCCCATCAAAAATTTTAAAAGGTTAACGTTCTCTCTCCCCCAACGTTCCTTATCGTTCCTTTTTATAAAAAAAACAACGTCAAAAGAGTTCAAAACAAACCAAGAGCCACGATGAGTCATCGTGTCTCTATTAAGAAACAAAAAAAACATAAAGAAAGTGTAAATAAAGTGTTATCAACGTACGTGAAAGAGAAACGACCGGATGTGAAACATGACAAGAGGCGTAATAGTACAACAAAGTGGTTTTTGATACTTTAAAATACCCTACCTTACCCTACCCTACCCTACCCTACCCTATTATACTCTAACCTACTCTACACTGCTTTGCCCGACTCTACCGTACTCTGCCCTTTGCTATTTTACCCAATCTTACCCTATAATTGCCCTTAACCCCCATATACCGACGTTATAACATAGCCTATCAAGCCTTTATCGTAACCAACTTCATCTTGTATCCTGCTTTATATAATACTTTGTCCTAAACCTTACTCTACGTCCTGCCTTCTCAATGTATATCAAATTCCTCTACCGTTTGTCATGACTTTACTTAAAATTAAAAAAATAAACTGACATTTCTATGTTTGGGTGCGATACGACTAGCTCACGTGATTATTACAACATAACGATTAGAGTTTCTCATAATAGGGTAATCAGAAACACGTTTCATAGAGCGCGACCCGTAAACAAGATCTTAAAAATCTTGCCCTAGACTCAGTCAAGTCCTAGCCTTAGTCCTAGCATTACACTAGCCCTGCCTTAGCTTTAGCCCTTGCCCTAGACATTGTGTTGAAACAGTACGTTCTTTTGTAATCAATTTTTAATAAAATTTAATAATTTCGCAACTTCTAAATTGAAAAAAAAATAAATGTTCAGTACGCCAGAGTGTTGAAATACTGAGAAAATAGTGTCCATTGGGCACTAAGAGTTTTTTTTGCGAGTGGTTCCTTTCGAAATAAAAAGGAAATTAACGTTAGAATAAAAGAAGAATAAACGTTTTTACCACTGTTTATAATAAAAAATTTTTATTCTGGTAAAAAAGTTTGTAAAAAAACGGTTTTGTGGGGTACAAATGCAATAAAACTCCTTTATAACAAGCCAAAAACTAGTCTATAACAAAAATCTCGAAAAAATGGAGTTTTTGACCACTTTCATTATGAAACTAATGTTTTTTTGGTCAAAAAGTTGATGAAAAAGAGATTTTTTGTGATAAAATTACTGTATAATTCCTGTGAAACAAGTTCCCCTATAACAAACTCCTCCATCGCAAACTCCTTTATAACGAACTCATCTGTACTGAAACTTCTTTGTAACAAACAAATTTAAAATCCTAGGGCAATTCGTTATACAGAAGTTCTTATTTTTTCATTTTTTTCAAAATTAAAAAAAAACAATTTAAAATTTTTCAAAATAAACCCACTTTTCATTCAAAAAACTGTATTCCCCCCCCAGGTAATCCCCCCCCTAAAAAACCTTTGAAACGCACGTTGAAAACAGTCAAAACACTCCGGAACGTTGGGCTTTTATTTGAGGGAAAATAAAATAACGATGTGTCGTTCTTTTTGATCTTTTTTCAGCTCGAAAAAAAAGATTTTCCACTCGCAGTTCGTTTCGAAATAGGCGTTTTGTCGGCGCTTTCGAAACAACCAGCCGCCTCTCGAAAAAACATTAATTTATGCATTGGGCAGGGCAGGGAATGAAAAAATTAGGACTCGATGAAGATTTAGATACGTAATGTGTATCTAAATCTTTATAAAGTCTTATATATATAGGACATAAACATATAGTTAACTGATGTTAACTTGACTGTCGTGACAGACGACTTTGTAAGTTAACATTGTATTCTTGGTGCTAGATCAAGCAAAAAAAATTTTTTACAAGCAAATCTTTAAGCTAGCCTTGTAAAAGAACCGGACCAAATCCAATTGTTTAGTCCGGTTTTTGGGCTTGCTCGACCCAATAAATTCAATAAAGGTCGGGCCCAGGCCAGGTTGAGACTACAAGAAAAGTACCCGACCTGACTTGCTCTGATTGACTTCAAACTTTTTATATAGAAAGATCATGTAAATGTAAGATCTTAATCAAAATACTAAATCGCCCTTTCTAGGAAATCACGAGAAAGTCGAGATCAAAAAATCACTTTTCGAACTTCTCGCCAATTTGGCATTGTGTTTCAAGCTTATAAATTTGCCATTTTTTGAAGGCTAATCATTTTCTTTGATATACTAGTGGAAAACCTTTGAATAGACATACACTTTTAAATTTGTAGGCGTAGCCTGGAAGTCCAAAAAAGTGCTTGAAACAGAATGCCAAATTGGCGGGAAACCAAAATATTTCTAGAAGTTTAGGCTTAAAAGCAGAATGTAAGGCTTACAAGTAGAATTTCAGGCCTAAAAGCAGAACGTAAGGCTTACAAGTAGAACTTTAAGCTTAAAAGCAGAATGTAAGACTTACAAGTAGAATTTTAGGCTTAAAAATTATATATTTAAGCTTTGAATTAGGACTCTAAGCTTCCAAATGCAATTGTAGGCTTGATAGTTAACAAAAGCAAGTTTATTTTGAAAAAAATAAAAATTTTAAATTTTTAAATTTTTAAAATTTATAAAATTAACAATTTAGTTAGCGTTTACCAAGTAAAACATCAAAAACATAACAAAACTGCCATAGCCAATAATACTTGCAGAATTCTTTCTTAATCCAAGTCCAATTTGGAAGACAATATTATGACTAGCATCCTCAAATTTGGTTAGCTTCACACAATAATCCTTTAGAACTGGATTGCCTAACTCAACATCAAACTCGCCGTTGGTCGGTAAAAACAATTTTTTGTAGTACTGACCGTCTTTTTTGTAAAGCTGGTCTTTGGGTACTGTAACATTGAGATTTTGAAGTGTTATAGTTATGTCCTTCATCTCATGATATTGTTCTTGATTAACATTGTCATTTTTAAAGTATTTTTCGATTAAAGAGGTGGAGAACTTGTGGGTTGATGTAAAGGAGAAGAACAGTTTGATATCTTCTGTTTTATCGTCAAAGGTGGCTCTGAATTTTAAATATAAGCCTTACATTTTAAAAATTTTTAAAATAAAAAAAAATTTTTTTATTTTTTTAGATAACCTACTTTGAATCAGTAGCCCAAGCGCTAAATCCATTGCTGTCTTTCACTACGCTTTCTAAGGTTATCTTTCCACAAGCTTCTTCATCGTTCTTACCTATTTCCATCTTCCCAACTGACTTCGAACGCTAAAAAACGAACAAGTTATAACTACATACTCCTCAGTTCTAGCCTCAGCCTTAGCTTTAGCTTTAGCCTTAGCTTCAGCCCTAGCCCAGCGCCCAGCCCAGCCCAGCCCAGCCCAGCCCAGCCCAGCCCAGCCCAGCCCAGCCCAGCCCAGTTCAGCCCAACCCAGCCCAGCCCAACCCAGATCAACCCAGTCCCGCCCAGCCCAGCCCAGCCCAGCCCAGCCCAGCCCAGCCCAGCCCAGCCCAGCCCGGCCGGCCCAGCCCCAGCCCCAGCCCCAGCCCCAGCCCCAGCCCCAGCCTTAGATCAAGGTATAGCTCTGCGGGACAGCTAAAGCTAAGTTTCAGAAATAAAAAAAATGTTTAAAAAATGTGCGCAATTACTTAATATACATGATATAACAAGATAGCCTTAGAGAAATTGCAAGAAATGATATTACGCAACTTTTTCTTATGTAACATTGTAATTTTATATAATAGTTGCCTCGGTGTAAAACGACCCAACAAATGACTGCGAGCGCTAGGATTTGGTTTTATTTTACTGCGAGGAACCCTACCCTACCCTACTCTACTATACCCTGTCCTATCCTACCCTACCCTACCCTACCCTACCCTACCCTACCCTACCCTACCCTACCCTACCCTACCCTACCTTACCCTACTCTACCCTACCCTACCCTACCCTATTCTACCCTACCCTACCCTACCCTACCCTACCCTACCCTACCCTACCCTACCCTACCCTACCCTACTCTACCCGATTCTACCCTACCCTACCCTACCCTACCCTGCCCTGCTTTACCCTACCCTACCCTACCCTACCCTACCCTACCCTACCCTACCCTACCCTACCCTACCCTACCCTACCCTACCCTACCCTACCCTACCCTACCCTACCCTACCTTACCCTACTCTACCCTACCCTACCCTACCCTACCCTACCCTATTCTACCCTACCCTACCCTACCCTACCCTACCCTACCCTACCCTACTCTACCCGATTCTACCCTACCCTACCCTGCCCTGCTTTACCTTACCCTACCCTACCCTACCCTACCCTATTCTACCCTACCCTACCCTACCCTACCCTACCCTACCCTACCTTACCCTACTCTACCCTACCCTACCCTATTCTACCCTACCCTACCTAACCCTACAGAATATTTTTTCTTGCTTCTACAATAATCTTCACTTACCGTCGGATGTTTAGGAACGAACACTAGAAACTGTGACGAAGCATTCTGGGTATTGACAAGTTTCACAAAATTGAGTTCATTTAAAATTTTTGAATCCAAGCCAATGCCAAATTTACCATCGGAATAGTGAGGCAGTATTTGAGCATCATCGGTTATCCCATCATAAACTCCGACTGTCAGTTTGGTTTCAGCTTTACCAAATTTTACTGTAACATCATCGTATACAGTGCATTTCAAGCCATTTTCTGTCAGTTCTTTTCCTTTTTTAGCCGTGTTTTTTCTAAAATACGTCAGTTTTAAGCAAAAAAAACTAAATGTCAAGGCTAGGGTTAGAACCTAACTTTAGGGCTAAAGCTAGAGCTAAGGCTCTTGGTTAAGGCTTCGTGCTAAGGCTTTGAACTAGAAAGCTTAACTAAGGCTCTGGGCTAGGGCTCTGGGCTAGGGCTCTGGGATAGGGCTCTGGGCTAGAGCTCTGGCTAGGGCTCTGGGCTAGGGCTCTGGGCTAGGGCTCTGTGCTAGGACCAAAGCTAGGGCTTCGTACTGTAATATAAAGTTACCATACTCAACATCAAAAGTAGGGTGCCATTGTTGTGTACATGAATCAGCTTTTTCACATTCTTGGCCAAACACCCGTACTTCATTGGAGAGTGGCTGTATTTCTAATATAATGTCATCACTGGCTACTTTGTCACCGAATTTAGCTGTTATTGTACCTTTTTCTATAAGTCATCATGGTTAATATAAAAATTGTAAAAAAATGTTTGGAAAGTTCAAAATTTGTAAAAAACGTTTTAAAATGTCTTAAAATCATTCAAAATAGCACTATTTTTTAATTGAGCAGATAAGCTTTATGTTACAGTTGTGTACTCACCAGCATCGTATATTACACTACCCACAATGTGTAAATTAGTAAAAATAAAAAAAGTAAAAAGTAAAAGCTGATTCATTTTCAACAATACACAAAGACAAACAAAATAAGAACAAAAATTTGGCGGAAATTGTTATCAATATGACTATCCTCAAAGGGTTTTATTACTCTTTACTTTATTTATATAACAACATAACATTAAAAAGTAAAAAAAAAGCATAAAATTTAACTTTTTTTTTGTTTTTTTCTTACTTTGTCTGACGTATTTTACAAAACATTGTCATTTTTAAGCTTAAAATTCAATTTTAACTTTAAAAATTTACACTTCGTTAAAACCCGATAAACTACGTGACACTTCGCCCAACTTCTTTTTCCAGCTTTTTCGCAACGAAAAAACCACATTTTTTGCACAATCTCGTTTTTCTTACTTGACAGTCAGCTGAGGGCACACTCACGCGGCCGAATCACGTGTAAATTTTCTCCACGAGCGCAAAAAACATTTGGAAATGAGTGGATTTGCTGGAATTCACTTTTGTCCGGAATGGTAAGTTGTTTTCCTTTCGGTTTTTGGTTTTTAGGCATGAAGATGAACGGCTCGATGGTTTAAGCTATTGTTAATTAATTTAGATTGCTTTTAATAGCTGGTAATTACAGTTTTTGATAGCAAGTGTTTAGAAATAGTTTATATTTGGTTTGAGAAAATGTAGATGTCAAAATTATAGTTTTTGAGAGCTAAATTATAGTTTTCTAGCTTTGAATAGGATCGCTATACGTTTTGTTTTGATTATAAAGTTAGATACAGCTTGTGGGCACGTGACAAAAGTATTTTGGTTTAGCTGAAGTTATTATTGACTAAATTTGGAGTTTTTAAGTTTTACATGATTAGCTGTGGATAATTTTCTGGATCTAGCTAACGAGTTGGTTTTGTTTTTTAGTGAATTAATATTCTAAAGCAAGTTAATAGTTTTGGGGTACTTTCAAAAGTATTTGTGAGCTTTGGCTTTTCATTGAGTTGGGAATAGTTTTGTTATACATCAAGGAGGTGGATATAATGTTTTTGATACGTTTTTTGCTAAATTATGGCTGAATTGTTCTTTTATGTTACGTTAAAACTATTTAAAATAAATTTATTGTTTTTTAGTAACAACATGTTGTACCCTCGTGAGGATAAGGAAGAAAGGAAGTTGATCTACGCCTGCCGTAACTGTGATCATCGTGAAGATGCCGATCATCCTTGTATCTACCGAAATCGGCTTACACACGAAATTGAGTACGTTTTCCGTGTTTTCTATGTTATTTACTTTTGTTACAATGGTTTATATACTTATTTCTATCAAATATTGATCCAACTTATATTGATGTATTTAGCTATTAACTGATATTTCTCTTTTCAGTGAATTGACACAAATTGTGGCTGATGTAGCTCAAGACCCGACTTTACCAAAGACAGAGGACCATCCTTGTCCTCGTTGTAGTCACAAAGTGGCAGTATTTTTCCAAGCTCAAAGCCGACGTGCTGAAGAAGAAATGAGATTGTACTACGTGTGTGGGGCTCCAGGCTGCGGTCATAGATGGACGGACTAGAACTTTTTACATTATTTTTTATAACCTTCAAATTTTTTATTTTTTCTTTGTTACTAACCTTTGTTTTAGCTCGATTTGAACTTTTTTTGGAGAGATTTTTCAAATAATTAGCTGTTTTTACTTCAAAACAACTAAAACAAGGTCTAAAACCATGATATCTCATTGTATACTTTCTCAATTCATTAACAATTTTTTATAACAATTTAACGTTTTTTCACGTCTTTTGAGCTGTTATTAACTTATTTTATATCAAGATATTGCTCATGTTGTTATTGTTCAAGTTTCAAAATTTTCACTTTTTCTAACAACTTTTTTTGAATAAAAATTAACTTATTGATGTTATGAATGAACTCAGTTTGTATCTGGTTGATCTCCAGAGATATTTTACGCGTTTACATGCCAAGTTTTGGTGTTTTAACAATTTATATTAACATAGATGTTTCTATGTTCATTTTGAGCAAAATTCGTCGTGTTTTGAGGAAATATGTTACATATCCTCTATAAATTGGTGTATTGTTCTTTATTAACGGGTGTATTGTTACCTTATTTATAATTTTAATTTGTTTCAGATCAGAAAATGTTAAAGACGAAGGCGGTAGAGAGGTATCTAGGCCAAGCAACCCAGTCCGGCGTTAAAGCGGTCCTTCTTTTCGACTCCAATGGTATGTCTTTGATATTGCTTTTTTGTGGTTTCAGGTACGAAATTGAGGTGAAAGACGACTTTTTGTCGCCATGTACAGGGATATAGCTCCTAGAGTTCATATGACAAAATCAATGATAGTATTAGGTTGTTCAACAAGTTCTGAGCCATCTCTTAACGCAATTTTCTGGAATTAGGTGGTTCAGGATTATTTTAACAACCTAATATAACAAAATTTTTGAAAAAACCCCTAATTTTCCCATTTTCAAGGCAAAATCGTAGCCCGTTCCGGTCACCAACCCACGGACAGTATTAACGCCATCTTCACGGCCAAACTCTGGGACTCATTCGACCGACAAGGAGCCAGAGACCGACTGAAAGAGATGGTCCTGCATTACAAAGAGTTCACCATCCTCGCGGCTAAAGCAGCCAATATGATGATCGCCTTGATCGCGGCACCCGACCATCCGATGGCAATCTGTCGGGCCAAGCTACTACAACTGGTGGAGGACCTGAGAGAACCGCTGGCTGTCTTGGGATGAGAATACTGTAATTTTTGGGCGTTTTTTGAAGATTTTTGAGTTTTTTTATATTTTTTATTTTTGATGATTTTTTGATCTTCTTTATTGATTTTGGGACTTTTTTCTAAATTCCCAGCCTATTTTTTGACATTTTGTATCGTATGTATTATATTTATCATCAAATCTATCATATTGAACACATATAGTATGTATATTTCATTGTTATGACAGTTTAAACCCTATTTGTTACCCAAACTACTCGATATCCTCGAAATGGCTAGCTTTCTCGGTTATTTTGCCAAATGACTCTAGTCATTTTATACTGTAAGTTACTGTGTGAGCTACTCTGTAATCTTCAGTTTGTTTTACTCTGTAGAATACTGTATTTTACTCTGTAAGACACATCATGTTTTACTCAGTAACTCGTTGCACTTTACTCAGCAACCCACTCAGTAACTTACGCTGTAAAAACTGATGTGCCTTATTACCCAAAGCTCCTTACTATTCTCTCTATCGTTTGTTTCTTGTTATACCTCGGCCGTGAACCTCGCAGAGAAAAAAAAATTTTCATCCCCATCCAGAAATGTTCTTCCTTTTTTGTTCTTCCCGTTCTTACAATATCATTTTACCTCGTGCGGTAAAAGCATCGTATGTTTGAAGCTGTTCTACATGGTTTTTCCCTCGCTAATCACAATATTTGTTGTAATTTTTGGTGAATGTCAGGCCACGTCGAAAAGAATTAGACGATTTTCATGTATTAGGTTGTTCAAATAAGCTTGAGCCCCTAACATCGAAAAAAGTTGCTCAAATAATTTTGAGCCCTTAGCTTTGCAAAAAGTTGTTCATATAATTCTGAGCTACTTAACCCCAAAAATTTTCTTTGAAAGGTGGCTCATACTTTTTTGAACAATTTAAAAATTGCAAGAAAATGGTCAACTAGGTTGTTCAGCTAATTCTTAACCCTCCTAATTCCAAAAATTTGCTTTGAAATGGGGCTCATAATTATTTGAACAATCCAATAGGTCGCATAGGAAATTGGTCCAATTCTTTTTGACCCGACTCGATGACAATTTGTAAGTCAGTCATTTTTGTTGATTTAGTATTGTATATGTTATTGTGTATTACACGAAATGTCTTTCACAAAAATTTATTCGAAATTTAATAAATTTTATTAAAATTTCTTGAAATCTTTAGGTTTTTAGCCGTTTTGAACCAAAAAGCATTAATTTAGGTAGCATTTTTTGGAAATTTTTAAGAATTTTATAAAAGGATTGTTTTCGTTAAATTTTACGACCAAAAAGCCGTTTTCATTTCAAAAATTTGAATAAAAAACGAACAAAAAAGAGTTGCCACCTATCGGAATCGAAGACCTTTGGTTTACAAGACCAACGCTCTGCCACTAAGCTAAGGAGGCACGAAATCAATGTTTCCTCAGGTTTTTATAGGCAGACTGGGCTGGAGAACAATGTTTGCGTTTTGTTTTTGGTATTTTCATTGTTTGCTTTGTTAAGAAATGACATTAACTTTGACATTTCTGGTTGGAAAAAGAGGAAAAACAACCGAAATTGAGCGTTTTAGACCAAGAAATGTTGCGAAAAAGTTGAAAACGGTTTTTTTTGGTTATAAAATAAATTTCACTTTTAAGTTTTGAGTAATAAAATTAATTCCATTCTTTTTTAAATTCATTTACCAATTTATTTTCAAAAAAACGGCAAAATAAACTCAAAAACAGCGCAAAAAGGGAGTTGCCACCTATCGGAATCGAACCGACGACCTTTGGTTTACAAGACCAACGCTCTGCCACTAAGCTAAGGAGGCACGAGCTTCGTTTGGCTTTCGTTTCGTCAAGAGCGAAACGGAGTGAGTGCGCCCTTTTCAGAACATCATGGAGTTTCGAAATGTTCGCGTGTTTGGCCAGTTTTAAACATGTTTCTATTTAAAAACGGCAAAAATTACTGAAAAATGGAACAAAACTACACAGAACATAAGAAAATATAAAAATGGGCCGCGCTCATGAAAAAAAAATTCAAAATTAAAAATAAAAAAAACTTTAAAAAATTTTAAATTATACAAAAATGACATTCTTTACATAGGGTAAGCTGTATCATAAATTTCAAGTCAGTTCATCTTTATTTCCTCTCAACCTACTACAACAAGTTAAACCAAATATAGTTCAGGAAAAAAATCGTCAGTGAGATCGACCAGTCGGTGGGGAACAAGGCTGGAGCTGTTGAAACAGGATTTACAGTAGAGAATTCAGAAGTTGATTCAGAAACAGTGGAAAACGTTCCAGTTTGATCAGTCGTTACTTCAGTAAACGATGTTGTATCTCCACCAGTTGTAGTGGAGATCGAGCAGTCGGTAGTGGATTGAATTGGCAAGGTCGTGTTTGTGTCTACTGTAGTATTGTCAAAGCCAGTAACAGTTGAATCTTGGCCTGAAGTTGTGGATACTACAACAATGGAAGTGGTGGTTGGCAATAGACGTGTTGTAGTTGTAGGATCAGTCGATGTTGTAGTGGCTTCTGTGGTTGTGGACAATATTGTGGTAGGTAGTTTGGTTGTTGGGAGTAGTGTTGTGCTAGCCACATAAGGTTGATTATTGCACAGTGCTCCTTCACAAGGACAAAAGTAGCCGGACATCTTGCCAAATTTATATTCAAAGGTTAGGTTTTGGCATTTTGTCTGAAAATAATACTGAAACAAAAAAATTTTTATTAAAAAAATTGTTTTAACTTATAAAATAAAAAAAATTTAAATAAAAAGGCCTTACAATATTATGTACATTGCAAGACCGATGAACGAGGGGGAAATCCACAACTAAAAAAAATTTTAAAGTTAGTAAAAGTAGACTAAGCCTGAACCTAAGACTAAAACATGACTAGGACAAGACAGAGTTAAAGCTTGGAATACGGCATGGCTATAACAAGACAAAGTTATAACATAGACAAAGACAGGTTAGGCCTTGAACTAGAGCTAAGACTAAGGCATGGCTTAAGCAGTCCAGGGTTAGGTCTTAGACTAGGGATTATAATAGAGCTGACGTTATGATAAGAACTTGCGCTAAAGCATGAGTAGGGCAAAACAGGGTTCGAGCTTGGATGAGGGCTAGCACCGGGACAGGACAGAGTTAATACTCGGACTAGAGCTAGAGCGGAACAGAGTTAAGACTTAGGGCTAGGGCTTGTAGTAGGGCTGACGCTAAAACCGGATTATGACTTGGACTAAGGCATAGCTAAAGCAGAACATAGTTAGCGCTTGGACTAATATAGAGTTAGGTCTTGGACTAGGGCTAGGACTAAGACCTGACTAAACAAGAACAAGATTAAGGCTTGGACTAAGGCTAGAGCAGGATAAAGTTAGGGCTTGGACTATAACTAGCACTAAGGCAGAACAGAGATGGGCTTGGACCGGGGCTAGCGTTAAGACAGGACAGAATTAAGGTTTGGATTAGACATGGCTGGAACAGAACAAGGTTAAGGCTAAAATTAGGGCTAACATTAAAGCAAAGGCTAGAGCTTAAGACAAGGCTAAGACTAAGGCCAGGGCACATCAAGATTATAATTTAAATTAGAGCCATAGCTAAAGCTAGTGCAAAAAGTTAGGACTATAGCTTGAAGTAACACTAAGACTAGTCAACACTTACGACTTCTATCTTCAGTATAAACACCAACGCCCGTTGCACATGTATGACAAATTTTCTTCAACGGAGTTTTCGGGCCGACAACCAAACAATGCTTACTTCCAAAGCCTGGATTGTCATAGAAAAAGCCGTTACAATCGTAGCAGTCTTTTCCATTTACACTGCCTAGAAAACGCATTTCAAAAATTTTTTTAATTTTTTTAAAAAATTTAAATTTTAAAAAATAGATTAATCTGCATATTTTTAAAATCTTTAAACCGTACTTATCAATAACAACGTCACAACGACCCAAAGCCACATGATCAACCAGAAATTGTACTCCAACGCCACCGATCACTGCCAATTCAATAAATTTAAAATTTTTTTTAAAAATTTTATAAAATTTCAACATAAAATTTTAAAAAATGCCTAGCTTTTTAAGCCTCTAAAACCCAAGTCTGCTAAGCCTAAGCCTAATTGTACATAGACTAAACCTAGCAAGCCAAAGCTTGCTAAGCCTATACTTAAGATTAATAAGGAAAAAATGTAAGCATACTAAGCCTAAGCCTACGAAACCTAAGCCTACTAAACCTACGTCTTCTAAGTCTTATTCTACTAAGCCTAAAACTATTAAGCCTAATTCTACTCAGCCTAAGATTACTAAGCCTAAGTCTACTAAGCCTAAGCTTACTAAGCCTCAGTCTACAAGTCTAAGCCTAATAAGCCTACTTCTATAGGTCTTAAGACGAAAACAACCAAAGTTAAAAATTAATCAACAAATCCAAGTCAGTTCTTCTTTATTTGCCTTCAATCTACTACAACAACCAAAACCAAATATAGTTCCAGATCAAAGTCGTCAGTAAGATCGACCAGTCGGTTGGGAACAAAGCTGGAGCTGTCGAAACAGGATTTATTGTAGAGGATTCAGAAGTCCATCCAGGAACAGTAGAAAACGTTCCAGTTTGATCAGTCGTTACTTTAGTAAACGATGTTGTATCGCCATCAGTTGTAGTGGCAATCGACCAGTCGGTGGTGGATTGAATTGGCAGGGTCGTGTTTGAGTCTACTGTAGTATTGTCAAAGGCAGTAACAGTTGAATCTTGACCTGAAGTTGTGGATACTACAACATCAGAAGTAGTGGTCGGTAGAGGTGTTGTAGTTGTGAGATCAGTCGATGTTGTAGTAAATTCTGTGGTCGTGGACAATTTTGTAGTAGGTGTCGCTGTAGGTGTGGTAGTGTTTGGAAAGTCCAAAATGATAGAATTACACATGGATCCATCACATGTGCAACCATAAGCTTTTAGTTTACGGTACTTTATTATTGTGTCCTTACATCCTTTCTAAAATTTTAAAAATTTTGAAGTGACATAGTAGCTAGACCTAGTCCTAACTCAGAGTCCTAGCCCAGAGCTTTAGCCCAGTGCCCCAGCCCAGAGCCCTAGCCCAGAGCCCTAGCCCAGAGCCCTAGCCCAGAGCCCTAGCCCAGAGTCCTAGCCAACAACCCAAGCTAAGAGCGCTAGCCTAGAGCTCTAGCCAACAACCCAAGCTAAGAGCGCTAGTCGTAGCTTTAGATTTAACTCTAGCTCAATTCCTAGTTCTAGCCCAGCCCATAGCTATAGCTCTATTCTTATAAGCAGCTCTAGCCCAAGTCCTGTTTTTTAGCCAGCTTATAGTCTTAGCCTAAGCCCTAACCTTATCTAGTAGTTCTAGTCTTAGCATTGCCCAAGCCTACCCTAACTTATCCTATAAAAAGAGTAAAATGAGTAACATACCAGAATTTTTTCGCAGCCTCGGAAAAAAATTTTGAAATCTAAAAAAAAATAAAAATTTAAAAAAAAATTGTGTTGCAATAATTGTAAAAAGAAAGAAGAAACATGTACTTACCATGCTCCATATACCTAAACATGCCAATCTTAGAAACACAGTCTCCATTGCAGGTTTTGGTAACACGAGTATCGGCATCAACCACTGCGCAGTTTGTGTCAAATGTTATTTTTCCGTCCTGAAAAGTAAAATATTATATGGTATACCATTTATATAACACAACCTTTTATAACATTAGTGAAGAGCAGGGCAAAGGCAGGGCAAAAACAGGGAAAAGGCAGGGCAAAGGCAGGGCAAAAGCAAAGGCAAAGGCAAAGCAAGGCAAGGCAAGGCAAGGCAAGGCAAGGCAAGGCAAGGCAAGGCAAGGCAAGGCAAGGCAAGGCAAGGCAAGGCAAAGGCAGGACAAAGGTAGGGCAAAGGCAGGGCAAAGGCAAAGGCAAAGCAAAGTATGGCAAGGCAAGGCAAAGGCAGGGCGAAGGCAGGGCAAAGGCAGGGCAAAGGCAGGGCAAAGGCAGGGCAAAGGCAGGGCAAAGGCAGGGCAAAGGCAGGGCAAAGGCAGGGCAAAGGCAGGGCAAAGGCAGGGCACAGGCAAAAGCAAGGCAAAGGCAAGAGTAATTAAAAATCTCACCCCATGCGGTGCATTCGGATCTTGAAAGCCGAGGCAATTATAACAAGACTTTTGAGCTTGGCCTGAAAAAACTTGAAGAATCAACAATATCACTACAAAACGAATCCACATAATCAGAAACCCAGTTTCAACGCCACCAACCGCTGCCGGTTCAGACGAATAAACAACGTTTTTTTTATTTTTTTTTTGGTAGGAATGTGAAATTTTTAAAGATAAAAAAAGATAATTTGTATAATACTGTTGATACCACAAAGTTTAATCTTCCTAAACTCCCGAGTCCCAGGGGGCCTAAGCCTGAGCCTACTAACCCTAAGCCTACTAAGCCTAAGCCTACTAAGCCTAAGCCTACTAAGCCTAAGCCTACTAAGCCTAAGCCTACTAAGCTTAAGCCTACTATGCCTAAGCCTACTAAGCCTAAGCATACTAACCTTAAAGCTACTAAGCCTAAGCATACTAAGCCTAAGCCTACTAAGTCTAAGCCTACTAAGCCTAAGCCTACTAAGCCTAAGCCTACTAACCTTAAAGCTACTAAGCCTAAGCATACTAAGCCTAAGCCTACTAAGTCTAAGCCTACTAAGCCTAAGCCTACTAAGCCTAAGCCTACTAAGTCTAAGCCTACTAAGCCTAAGCCTACTAAGCCTAAGCCTACTAAGCATAAGTCTAAAAACCCTAAAATCTACTAGGCGTTCAAATAATTCTGTGCCCATCTCACAGGAAATTTTTTGGGTTAAAGGGCTCCAAATTATTCGAACAACTTAAGATGTTAAGGTAGCTAAGCTTGATCCTAAAAAATCTGTTATAAACATAGTAAAAGGCCACAAAAGGCTAGCAAAAACGTAGTGAAAAGCTACCAAAGGCCTGTACAAACATAGCAAAAGGCTAACATAAACATGTTAAACAAGGTAAAACATCCTGGTCTTCAAAACCGAACGCTTTGATCGATGGAAATAAAAGCGTGCATAAATTTGGGTATTAAAAGTTTATTTGAAACTTGAAAAAAAAGAAAATTGATCTTTTTGGAACGGTCAAACGATCAATGTAAACAAAGCTTACTATGGATTTACAACTGTAATAAACCACAATAACGTGGTATATAAGCAAGGAAGTTTTACTGTACTATCATCATTGACAATCTGAGTTCAATATTAGTGCTGTAATACTATATAGACTTTGATACTATATAGTACTACTATAATACTAAATAGTATTGTGTTAGTTCTAAAAATTAGCGATACTGTACTGAGTGATATAGTAGTACTATTTGTTTAAAATTACTGTACTGTAATTATTTTTTGTACTGTACTATTTTTTCGTCGTACTGTAACTTGTACTGACAGTTTTCATACTGTAACTCTGACCGTACTGTAACAATAATAAGCCGTATCAAGATGACTTCAATGGCTTTGATAACAACAATTGTGATGACAGTTACTATGGCGTATGTCAATGCCGACTACAATGAAACTTTGGCCAAAGTTATGTTGACATTGTCAGCTGCTGCATATAGTGATACACCAAATGATTGTCTTCAGAACCGGTTTACCAACGCTGAGGTAGGTGTATTGATAAGAGTAAAGTAGCGTTGAGTAGTTAGAGCGGGGTAGGATAGGATAGGGTAGATTTTTTTCTACTTTTTAAATTAAAAGTGCTGATTACAGTTGATTGAACGCTTTGAAGTTGATTGTGATATTACCCACAACGACACCTGTGCCGCCTACATTGCAGTAGTTCATGAAGAACAGTCTATCGCTTTAGTGTTTAGGTATGATGCTTTCTTTACGACAAATGGCAAAAACTTTCTTTACAATACAAAAATGACATAATCTTTCAGAGGAACAAAAGCCAGTGCCCAGATGGACCTAGAAATACTAGCAGCCTTCACCTTCCTACAGCAATACCTAGACACGGATACCCAAGTCAACAGTTACTTCAATACAGCCTTTGAAGACCTTTTTGCCGCAGGCATTTTGGAAAAATTGTCTGACTTGAGCAGCCAATACCCAGAATATAAACTGTGGGTCACTGGACATTCTCTTGGAGCAGCACTGGCTAGTCTGAGCAGCTTGAAGTTGTGTTTGAATGGCACTTGGAATGAGAACAACAGTGAACATTACACTTTTGGGTAGGGTTTTTTTAAATAATATTTCTTTATTTTTGTGACTGCGCAATTTGAAAATAACGTTCTATGTTGATTTTAAAGGAACATTTTCAGGCTTATGTTAATCGGTTTTTTTATTTTTGCAATTTTGACGAAATGTGACAGAGTTTATTGGAAAATTAAAAATTTTTAAAAACGTGGAAAATATAATGTTTGTACTTGTGTTAACTTTAAACTGCTATATTTATCAATTTTTTGCAATTTTTTAGTTTTTGACGAAATGTCACAAAACTTATTGGAAAAATTGAAAAAGTGTGACGAAGTGTCACAATTAAATTTTAACAAAACTTTTTCGAATTTTTGTGTAATTTAAAGTAATTTTTTAGCAAATTTCTGGTTTTCTGTTTCAGTTATGTGAAGAAGTGTCACAATTTTAAAATTTAAAAAAAATTTAATTTTCAGAAAACCACGTGTAGGCTACAGTGATTACGCCGACCTTCACACCAAGTACGTACCACACCACTATCGTGTTGTGCATGCTCATGATACCATCACTGACACTTACCCATTGATTTTCGGCTATCTACATGAGCAAAATTGGATTTGGTATAATAACAACATGACAGAAGGTAGTCCATACATTGCATGTACAGGCGAGTTTGACCTTAATTGTGCTGGTTATAAACTGTTGGACAGTGATTTAATGTTGGCACACCGACACTACTTCAATGTTCTTGTCACTGGCTATGGAGAAGATGGCTGCCCTACTGCAATTTTCTAATTACAGTAATATATATTAGCTTGTCATATTGTGTATGATGAGTTAAAATGAAAGTTGTAATTGTAGTTTAGAAGCTTCAGTATGAATAAATAGATTGATGGCATATTTTCAAACTTATTTATCTGCTCTTACTCTTAAGAGCCCTAGTCCAAAACCTAGCTTAGAACCCGAACCCCAAAATCTTATGACAGAGCCTTAGTCCAGAGCCCTAGCATCAGAACCCTAACCTCTGAATCCTAGCCCCAGAGCCTTAGCCCAGAGCCCTAGCGTTAGAGCCCTAACCCAGAGCCTTGGCCCTAGCCCAGAGACCCAGAAGCCCAATGGCCCAGATCTAGACTATTAGCCCAGAGCCTAACCTTTGAGTCTTAGCCTCAAAGTCTTAGCCTCAGATATTTAGCCTAGAGCCCCAATCCCAGAACACTAGCGCCAGAGCCTTACCCCAGAGCCTTAGCCCTAGCCCAGAGATTCAGAAGCCCAGGCGCCCAGAGCCCTTGTCCCAGAGCTCTAGCCTCAGAGTCTTAGCCTCAGAGCTCTAACCCCAATTCCTTGGCTTAGAGCCTTAGCCCCAGAGCCCTAGCGCCAAAGCCTTACCCCAGAGCCTTAGCCCTAACCCAGAGATCCAGAAGCACAGATGCCCAGAGGCGCAGCTCTAGACTCTTAAATTCAGAGTCTTAGCTCTAGCCTTAGCTCTACCTCCCCCCCCTTCCTACTAAATTGTATGTGTTATAGAATTAAAAAGTTTTAATATTATCTTGATGAGATAAAGTTAATTTAGATATATGGAAGGAGGGGGACCGTTTAACTTTTATTATATCTGATTTCGATTTAAAAAGCAGCTTTTGGTATAATTAAAACACTTTTTGGCGCAGACCAGATAAACTAATTGATTGTAATCAGATAATTTAATATCCCGATGAAAGTTATCACACCTGTTTCTACTACAGCAATAACTATCATCAATAATAAACTTTTAAAAATATTTTGTTTGGTTGTTATCGGCAGTTTATTGTGCACTTATCTTTGTAAGTTAACCTTGGTTTTTTTAAAAATTTATTGTTTTTTGTGTATTTGAGCTCATTTAAAACTTTTTTTGTCTTTTTGCTTTTTCCAATATTCCAGTGACACTTTGCAACTTTTTAAAACGTTTTTTTTTACACTTTGTCACAAAACCGTAATTTACTCCAAAAGTGTTTTTTTGTTTTAGACAATTAAGGCAAATTTTCATTTTTTCATCAATACAATAAAAATTTATGAGACTTTACAAATTTTTCAATATTTTATTGACATTTCGTTACAAGTTTTTTTTGGCTTTTAATCAGTTAGCTGTATTTCTACTATAAAAATGATTTTTTTTTGTAATTTGATCACTTTTACTTTTTCAATAAAATTGTGACGTTACGCACCTTTTTCCAATATTTTATTGACATTTTGTTACATTATAAAAAACGTCAAAAAAGGCGTGAATTTGCTTTTTAAAATAATGGAAAAGCTAGGAAACGTAAAAGTTAAGAAAAATCAGCCAAAATTTTGTATTTTCCAGATGCTGACTACACGGTACCACATGTACTACAGATGCGCATGTTATCAAAAAATGACGAATTTGTAGCTGAATTTAAAGACAAGATATTTGAATACACCATGAACCCTCCAGTATGGTTGTGTACAAAAATAGACATGTTAGTCATAGTCCTAAGTGCTCCAAAGAATTTTGAAAAACGGCAAAAAGTTAGGGATACTTGGATGTATGATGTAAGCTTCAATTTTTATTTTAAGTTTAAGAAAATTAAAAAGAAATTTTATAATATTGGACAGTTTAGAAACATCCAGCTAACATCCTAGTCAGATTTATCATTGGAGAAACTACAGACAAAGAGATCAGTGAAAAACTGTTGAAAGAACAATGTCAATATAATGACATAATCAGATATAAATTCACTGATTCGTAAGTAACCTGCCTTGCCTGTGCCTTGCCTGTGCCTTGCCTGTGCCTTGCCTGTGCCTTGCCTGTGCCTTGCCTGTGCCTTGCCTGTGCCTTGCCTGTGCCTTGCCTGTGCCTTGCCTGTGCCTTGCCTGTGCCTTGCCTGTGCCTTGCCTGTGCCTTGCCTGTGCCTTGCCTGTGCCTTGCCTGTGCCTTGCCTGTGCCTTGCCTGTGCCTTGCCTGTGCCTTGCCTGTGCCTTGCCTGTGCCTTGCCTGTGCCTTGCTTTTCTATGCCTGTGGTGCCCAAAACTTCTTATTTTGTTCTACACTGCCCTACCTTACTTGCCCTAGCCTCCTTGACCTCACCGTGCTTTGTTTCATCCTACTCAACTCTATACTGCTCTTTCTTAATTCACCTGACTCTATTCTCACTGTACCTATGCCTTCTAATTTAATTTTTTTTATTTTAAGGTACGGCTTACTACCAATAAAAGTCCACGCTTCCTTCAGTTATTACAACAAATATTGTTCAAAAGCTAAGTATTTATTAAAGACAGACGATGACACTATAATCGAATTAACTCGACTCAACTTTTTTATTGAAAACATGTACAATAAGATGTATGAGCAAAACAACCGACTCTTCTTTTGTAACCCTTTTCGCAATCATCAGCCGAACAAGGACATAAAAAGTAAATTGTAAGGCTTTTACAATTGAAAAACATTAACTTGAATTCGTATGGTATTTTTAATTGTTTGAAACACAATGCCAATAGTTTTAAAGTTTGGCGCGAAAAGCGAGATTCAAATTCTTCCGTCAATTTGTTACTGTAATTTACAAAAATTTCTTCAACTTTTGATTTTTTTTAAAACCGATATAGGTTTTTTGTTACTTTTTGTAACTTGCAACACAATGCCAAGGATTTTTTAGTTTGGCGCGAAAATATAAATTTAAATTTCTGGCCGGTTTTTATTGTAGTTTGCAGAAAAGTTCTTCAACGTTTGACTTTTTTTAAATAGATATAGCTTGTGTGTTACTTCTTGCAACACTATGCCAAAAATTTTTTAGTTTGGCGTGAAAATATAAATTTAAATTTTCGGACGGTTTTTATTGTAATTTACAAAAATTTCAGATTGTTCGGTATATACAACATTCGTGCCATTATTATACTTTTTCAATTGCCCTAAAACATAATGCCAATAATGTTTATTTTTTGCCGCAAAAAACCAAAATTTAATTTTTTTATTTTAAAAATTTAAAATTTTAGTTTTATGGACCCCAAAACCTACAACGAGTCAATGTATCCAGATTTCTGTCAAGGATGTTCGTATGTTGTCACGAGAGAAGCAGTACCAGAGTTGATGGCAGTAACTCCTTTGGTTAAATACATCAAGTTGGAGGATGTACAGTATGGTGGTGTGTTACGAAGCAAAACTAACATAAGCATAATTGACAGTAAAAACTTTGGCTATCACGATACCGAGGTATGTAGGCATAGTTTTTATTATTTTATGTTTTGTAAAGAAAGTTCTTGCTATTTTTTGTTTAGTAAAAAAAGTTTTTGCCATTTTTGGATTTGTAAAGAAAGTTCTTGCAAGTTTTGGATTTGTAATGAAAGTTTTTGCCATTTCAGGGCGCTAAAAAAGCCAAATGCTATGATAATATAGTACCATACGCCGTGGGCATACTCGGAGTACCAGTGGACAAAATGAAGCCATTGTACAAGGAACTAAAAGAATATAATTTTTGTAGTAAAAACGGTACTAATAGCACTGGATTAAGGTAGCAGTAATGAAAGATTGTCTTTACTTGATTTATTGTAAATAAATTGAACTAGGCCAATATAAAGGTTGAAAAGAAAGTTTTTGCCATTTTTTGTTTTGTAAAGAAAGTTCTTGCCACTTTTTTGATCTGTAAAGAAAGTTCTTACCGTTTCTTGATTTCTAAAAAAAGTCCTTGCCATTTTATGTTTTGTAAAGTAAGTTTTTGTCATTTTTTGTTTTGTAAAGAAAGTTCTTGCCATTTTTTGCTTTGTAAAAAAAGTAAATCTTAATTAATCTTTTTAAATATTTTTTGATTTACTAATATCTAAAAGAAACACGTTGAACAATGTTTCCATCATACATATTAATGTAAAGCGTATAAATTACATTGTAATCAAAGAAAAGTGATGTGGACAAAGGAAAAAAAGTCTCCCAAAAGGGTTCAAACCCAAAATCATTTATGTTTTTTTGCTAATTTATTAATTTAATAAACATTTTTTAAATTTTTTTAAACGCAAATTGCTTTAAAGACGTTTTAATAGGCTAATTATGACACATACTTCTACTACAGTAATAAATTCAACTCGCAATAAACTTATTCAACTCTTTTACTTGGTGGTTATTGTCAGTTTATTGTGCCTTTATTTTTGTAAGTTTAGCTTTGTTTTTAAAAGAGTTTAGGTTTTTTGGTATTTAACCGGCCTTTCTTCGTTTTCCAATATTTTTGTGAGACTTCGCAACATTTTCTAATATTTTTTATATACCGTTAAAAAACCGTATTTTACTCTAAAAAAGCATATTTATTACTTATAAATAGCTTTAGTGATTTCTACTTTGCTATTTGTGACACTTCGCAACATTTTCTAATAATCTTTTTGACATTTTGTCACAAAGCTGTGTTTTACTCTAAAATGCTTTTATAGGTTGATTTGATGCATATTTTATGTTTTTTTTAATTTATTTGGTCATTTCCGCCTTTTCCAATAATATTTCTGACACTTCGCAACATTTTTCAATAATTTTTTGACATTTTTTCACAAAGCTGTATTTCACTTTAAAAACGCATTTTTTGTTTAAAATTGGAACAAAGTTGTTATTTCTATTTTTCCAATAATATTTGTGACGCTTCGCAACATTTTCCAATATTTTAGTTAAGTTTCGTTACAAAATAAAAACGTCAAAAATGACGTAAAATTGCTTTAAAAAACAAAAAAAAAACGAAAAAATTAAGAAGAATTGACTAAGCTTTTGTATTTTCAGATGTGGACTACACAGTACCACATGTACAAATTCGTATGTCACCAGAAGATAACAAATTTGTAGCTGAATTCAAAGACAAAGTTTTCGAATACACTATGAGCTCTTCAGAGGGCTTGTGTAGACGTATTGACATGTTAGTCATAGTGATAAGTGCTCCAAAGTATTTTGAAAAACGGCAGAAAGTTAGGGATACTTGGATGTATGATGTAAGCTTCAATTTTAAATTTAAAATAAAAAAATAATTTAAATTTAAAATTTTTTTAAATTTTGGGTTGGTTTTAGAAAAATCCAGCTAACATTCTAGTTAGATTTATCATTGGAGATACTACAGACAAAGAGATCAGTGAGAAATTGTTGAAAGAACAACGACAATATAAGGACATAATCAGATACAAGTTCGCTGATTCGTAAGTACTTCGCCCAGCCTATTCCCTGCCTTTGCCCTGCCTATGCCCTGCCTATTCCCTGCCTATGCCCTGCCTATGCCCTGCCTATGCCCTGCCTATGCCCTGCCTTTGCCCTGCCTATGCCCTGCACTTGCTCTCCCCGTATTGCTCTAAACTACTTTAGTCTATCCTGATCTACCCTACACTGCCTTAGACCTGTATTGTACTCTTCACTGCCTTATCTTACTAGCCTACCCTGTCTTACCCTACTTTTTTTTCTATTTCATTTTGCTTTGTTTTACTCTGGTCTGTTTCAATTTACTTACTTGTATCGTACAGTAACTATGCTTTACTTTCGTTTGCTCTACAGTAACCGATGCTTTACTTTCGTTTGCTCTACAGTAACCTTAAGTTCAATAACTTTCTTATTTTCAGATACAACTTACTGCCAATAAAAGTCCACGCCTCTTTTAGTTATTACAACAAATATTGTCCAGAGGCCAAGTACTTACTAAAAACAGACGATGACACTATAATCGAACTGACTCGACTCAACTTTTTTATTGAAAGCATATACAATGAGATGTATAAACGACATAACCAACTCTTTGTTTGCAATCGTTTCCGCAAAGCCAAGCCGTTTAGGAACAAGCAGAGCAAATAGTAAGGTTTTACAACTTAAAATCTCTTTTTCTTTCTTCTTACCTGATGTTATGTCTTATCTTTAGCTTCATCGAGCCCAAACTCTACAACGAGTCAGTGTATCTAGATTTTTGTCAAGGATGTTCGTATGTCGTGACTAGAGAAGCAGTACCAGCCCTATTGTCATTAACTCCTTTGGTTAACTACATCAAGTTGGAGGATGTACAGTATGGTGGTGTGATACGAAATAAGACTGACATAAGCATAGTTCATAGTCGAAACTTTGGCTATGGGGATATCAAGGTAGGCATGAGTGGTTGTGGAGGAAGCGAAAGTTCTTACCATTTTTCAATCTGTAAAGAAAGTTCTTGTCATTTTTTGTTTTGTAAACAAAGTTCTTGCCATTTGTTGTTTTGTAAACAAAGTTCTTGCCATTTTTTGTTTTGTAAACAAAGTTCTTGCCATTTTTTGATTTGTGAAGAAAGTTCTTGCCGTTTTTTCTTTGTAACGAAAGTTCTTGCCATTTTTTGTTTTATAAAGAAAGTTCTTGCCATTTTTTAGTTTGTAAAGAAAGTTCTTGTCATTTTTTGTTTTGTAAACAAAGTTCTTGCCATTTGTTGTTTTTTAAAGAAAGTTCTTGCCATTTTTTGTTTTGTAAACAAAGTTCTTGCCATTTTTTGTTTTATAAAGAAAGTTCTTGCCATTTTTTGCTTTGTAAAGAAAGTTTTTGTTATTTCAGAGTGCTAAAAAAGCTAAATGCTATGATAATATAGTACCATATGCTGTGGGAATACTCGGAGTACCAATGGACAAAATGGAACCATGGTACAAGGAACTAAAAGAACATAATTTTTGTGGTACAAATGGTACTAAATTAAGGTAGTTGGAATGAAAAAGATTGTCTTTACTTGACCTATTGTAAATAAACTGAACTAACTCAATATAGAAGTTGGAAAGAAAGTACTTGCCATTTTATGATCTGTAAAGAAAGTTCTTGCCATTTTTTAGTTTGTAAAGAAAGTTCTTGCCACTTTTTTCTTTGTAAAGAAAGTTCTTGCCATTTTTTGTTTTGTAAAGAAATTTCTTGCCATTTTCTGCCCTGTAAACAAAGTTTCTTCATAAAAAACCAAAAATATGTATAAATAGTGTTTATTATGTAAAAACCCGGAAAACTAACCAAAATAATAAAAATTGAGTCGAAGAATTATAATAATAATAATATTATGTTAGGACAGACCTATACATATATAGTCTAATATGTAGTGTTACCATAAATAGACATTGTAAATGTGATTTGATGAAAGCAATAATAATATCAAAGTAATTATGGCAAGTCAACAAAATGTAAATGTACTTGTGAAGGGGTGTAAAGCTATTTCGGGAGTTAGTCTGCTGTATATATAAATAATAATGTCATTTTAAAATTTTTAAAAAAATTTTTAAAATTAAAAAAAATTAAATTTTAAAAAAGATCGAAAAAAAACCTCAACATCTACTACAATATCCCTCAATTCTTGTCGTTCTGAGGCAAAACCGGATACATATGCTGTTGATCATAGGCCGGTGGTGCATCATAGTTTGCTGGTGCTTGTGAATACGGTTGGGCATGATAGTCCACATCATTCACAGGCAATCGTGCCGTCACATCAGGTGAGAACGTTGGCGCCGAAGCACGGCCTTCGAAGTTCACGTTCATCGGTGCTTGAGCCGGCACGTCCACCACAGTATCAACGTGATGGTCTCTGATACTCAGTACTCGAGTTAAGTACTTGTAAGACTTGATGGCGATGTGAAGGAAGTAGATGTTCATCAAAAAGTACAGTAGCCCGCAAGAAGCGAGGACGGTAAAGTAGACACCAAGGCCTTTTTTGAACTTGTGAGTCTCGTCAAAGTACTCTTCGAGACGGTCGTGAATGATAGCATCACCCCAGACGAAGAGGAAGAAGCACCAGATTCCACCGCCAATTATGTACAGTACCTGAAAATAATAATTGTAAAGAAAACTTTGGCAGGAAGAAAAAAATTCTTTGATTTTCCAGTTTTTACCCTTATTTATACCTAAAAGACTATATAAACACCAAAAATGTTACTTTATATTACAATACTTGATTCATCGTATAACTTGTCACCCGCAGGTTGCAGACCAAAGGTTTTTATAAAAAAAATGCAAAAATTGAAAATAAATCGACTAAAAATGCCACTAACAAGGTCTTTTTAACATTTTCAAAAATTGCAAAAACTTTCTTTCCACAAAAAAAACAAAAGTAATCTTTCACCGTATAACTTGTCACCCGCAGGCTGCAGAGCCCATCCAAACCCAAACAACCTAACCAAAAGCAGCTAAACATAGTAAAAACCACAAACTTACTTGTGTGATAAAGTAGACCCAATACAAACAAGCGGTTCGAGTGCATCGGCCCAATAACAGTGATAAGTTGCCGAAAGCGGCCAAGATTGGGAGGGGTAAAAACATCCATAACAGGCTGATAATAATGAAAAACAATGCGAATCCACCCCCAAATAAACTGATAATAGCTGTGGATATCACTGCGTTCTGAAAAATATTCATTAAGTTTCGAAAAAATAACAAAAACTTTGTTTACAAAGCAAAAAATGGTTGAAAACAGCCAAAATTTGGCGTTTCTTGGCCGTAAAAACGCAATAACTTTATTTACAAACTCTAAATAGAAAAATAAACTTACATGAACGTGTGAATTACAACAAAATTTGTATTCCGAAGCCATTGTGACCTGAAATCATCGATAACTTAGATAAAACATCAAGATATTGATCTAGTGTATTATACCTACTGCAACATAAAATCATAAGCGATTTCTCAAATTTTCAACATTTTTAAACACGACACGCTAAAATAACAACAATTCCAATTCCCCAATTAGAAACACAGAATCCTGTTTAATCACGCGACGCTCGAGCATATTATCGTACACATCAGATGTCCAAACAAACAAAATTAGTCTTTAATTACTAAATTGGTGCCGCAAAATTGTTCTGATAGTTATTTTTACTTCCCCTAATATCATGGAATTGCAATATAAACCAAATGAGGTTGTTTTTGCAGAAATTTAAAATCTGCAGCCTGCGGAATTAACTTATACGCTGAAACATGTCCAACAAAAAAAAACCATTTTCATTATAATAAACATCTTATTGTACGCTATTAAAACTAATTTTTTCAATTATCAAAAAAAATATTTTTTAATTTAAGCCGAGCGGACATCTTATACGACGAAACATTCCTCACAAACAAGTAACATGCCAGATGTTTGACAGCCTTAAAACATTAATGTATGCTAGTTTAATGCATTAAATGGCTCATTAGTGACACAAGTATGTCAATCTTGTCAATAACTTTCGAAAAAAATTTAATTTAATTTTAGATAACAAAAGTTAGAATCCAAAAACCATACGAAGGCAAAATACGATTACCTAAAGCATTTTCGTAGTAGAAAAAGGTTATAAACTAACTAAACATAGCTTATAAATCCAAAAACAACAATTTTAACATTTTCCCTCGCCATTACTCACTACTATAATATAACGTTCAGTGGCCATAGACCACGTAAACAACATTACGAAAGCCTTTTTCGAAGAGCGTGGAGTTAGAAAAACAAAAAACTTCACGAGATTGTAAGTGTCTTTCGTAGAACGTACTTTAAAGCAACGTAGACCAATGTTTTAGGCTTAAAAAGTGAGATATTTGGCTTAAAATTCGAGTTTTAGGCTTAAAATCGGACTTTGGAAGATGGCCGAACGGAAATGAATCAAACCAAAGGTCAATCTTGACAAAACTTAATGACCTATACCTTAAAATGTTGGGAAAACAATCGATTTTGTTTATGGCACAGCATGTTTTGTTAAAATTTAAGTTAGGTTGATGAAAATAAGCAAAAACTTCGTTTACACCCAAAAAAATTTTGATGTCATGGTGTATATTGAATCATAACTTGATAGTAACTCAACCTAATGCCAACATAAACTATGCAAAAGCTTGCTAAATACTTAAGCTTACTTTTAAATACAAGAAAACTAGGTATTAAAGTCGATTGTTACCTAAAAATCAACAAAAATCATGAAGAATGAAACAAAATCAAGAAAAATCTGTATAATCCAAGCAAATTCTGCCAAAATCATAAACAAAAACCTGAATATTAGCTTCAAAAGGATAACAACAACAATATAAAAACACAAAAAGCATAGTAAATTATGTGAACAACAACAACGAGCCCAAAATTATATTACAATACCCTATCCTCCGCTCATAACACCCGCCAAGGTGTCTATAACAAGGAATGTCCGTTCCAAAATGGGGCCAGTTTAATCTTCTTCGTCCAATGAATTTTAGAACACCCAAAAGTCGTTGGGCCATGTGGGCCAAGGAAAGAGGCGCGAAATGTCAATGAAACTGAAGAAGAAAATTGAAACAGTAAAGAGGAAGGGGAGAGCGGCCAGAGAAAGGGCAGAAGTTAGAGGAAATTAAAGAGAAGTGGGCGAGAGATCGCAGAAGAAGAAGACAGCGGCCAGAGACTGGGAGAAAATTTTAAAAAAGCAAGAAGAAAGGAGAGAGAGCGCGCAAAAATGAGAATGCGGCCAGAGGTAGGAAGAAAATTATAAAAAACAAGAAGAGAAGAAAGAGAGTGCGTAGGAATGAAAGAGCGGTCAAATAAAGGGCCAGTGGTTAGAGAAAAAGGTATTGCTGGCCATATTAGGTCGTCTTGCATGTTAAACTGAAGTTATAATAATGAAAAAATAGCTAAAAAGATGGCAAAAACCATTAGCAAGCTTACTGTGACTTCAAAAAGTATTTTTAAACCCGTTTTTTGGCCGAAAATTAAGCTTAAAGTTAAAAAATTTTTTTTTATAAAAAACATAAAAATATTTTTAAAAAAACTTACTTTAAAAAATTGAGATAGTAAAAACCCCAAACCATTACCTTGCTATACCTAAAACGCCTTTGTTTGCTCTAAATGACTCATTCTTGGCCTTAAACTCGTTGGCCTTAAACTCGAGGCCAAGTGTTTTCTGACCAAAGTAATTCTCTCTTAATATTAATGAGAGTCAATCGGAGTGATGAATAGCAGAAAAGTTGACTCTAATATAAGTTAGAGTTAGGAAATTGGAAAATCGTAAAAATTCCAAATTTATGGCTAAAAATATAGGTAATGACACTTGTGGGAAAGATTGAATTTACTAAGTAAAAATATTGTAATTAAGGGGGAATGGGTACTGAATGTGGTGCTAAAAAGAATAAAAGACATTTTTTTGAGCTATTATGTAATATCGACACAAAATTTTTAAGGATTTCGAAAAAAAAATCTTTAAAAAACATAAAATAAAAATTTCAAAAATTATAACTAAAATACGAGTTAACAAAAAAATTTAAAACTTGGCTTACAAACACATCTCATCACAATTTATAATCAATTAAAATTTTTAAAAACTTTTACTAGAAAATGAAAAAAAAATTAATTTCTAAAAAAATAGGACAAAAATTTCAAAAATTTAGGACTAAAATACGAATTAACAAAAAAATTTAAAACTTGGCTTACTTACACATTTTATCAATAGTCATAAACAGTTAAAATGTCATTTTTAAGTATTTACTGGAAAATGAAAAAAAAATAATTTTAAGTTTTCGACTTTGATTTTTATTGCATTTTAAAATTCGTTTTGTCATAAATTTTTTTAAAATGAAAGTATAAAACTAAAACTTTTCTCATGGTATCACTATAGTACTATTATGCTTTAAAATTATTTTTAGCCAAAATAGACCTCTTATTTTTTTCAATTTTTTGAAAATTTTAAAATTTCAAAAATTTTTGCCACTTTTTATGAAATATAAACAAAGAATTTAAAATCAAATGCCATTTCCTCTATTACCCTACCAGTTCCTATCCATAAACCTATGTAACCTATGGTTAATCCCATGTGAACCCATGTTTGACATCACGTCTACCTATGTTTGCTATCATAAAACGCAAATGAAAAGCTAAAAGTCATGAATTTAACACTGTTTCCGCTCCAAAAATCGTCAATCCAGCTGAGGATTTCTTTTCGTTCGTTTTGAAAAAGTTGAGAAACCTCTCTTGTGTTTTTTTTCAAGGTTAAATCACGTTGAGTTAGTTACTCGAACAAAATGAAGACATTTTTCGTTTTTTATTTTTGAAAAAAATAAAAACGTGTGAGTCATGAGTTTGCGAGACTAGATATTATAAACAGTAGGGTATAGGTAATAAGAAACCTCCCATAATCTAAGTTAAATTTTTAAGGTCTAAGCCTAATTTAGCTAACAAACCAAACCAAACAAAAGACTAGCGCGACCTTATTTAAGTTAAATCCTTTTAAGCCTAAGCCTTAGCCTACTAATCCTAAGCCTACTAAGCCTAAGCATACTAAGCCTAAGCCTACTAAACCTAAGCCTACTAAGCCCAAGCATACTAAGCCCAAGCCTACTAAGACTAGGCCTACTAATCCTAAGCTTACTAAGCCTAAACCTACTGAGCCTAAGCCTACTAAGTCTAAGCCTACTAAGCCTAAGCCTACTAAATCTAAGCCTACTAAGCCCAAGCATACTAAGCCCAAGCCTACTAAGACTAGGCCTACTAATCCTAAGCCCAAGCCTACTGAGCCTAAGCCTACTGAACCTGAGCCTACTAAGCCTAAGACTATTAAGCCTAAGCCTACTAAGCCTAAGCCTACTAAGCCTAAGCCTACTAAGCCTAAGCCTACTAAACCTAAGCCTATAAGCCTAAGCCTACTAAGCCTGAGCCTACAAAAAGTCTAGAATGAAATGATTTCGATAGAAAAAGCGTCAAAATTTGTGCAGCATTACCTAATCTTTATGCATAACAGATAGCCTTAGAGAAATTGCAAGGAATGATATTGCGCAACGTTTTCTTATGTAATATTGTAGGTTTATATAATATTTGCCTCGATGTAAAACGACCCAACAAATGACTGCGAGTGCTGGGATTCGGCTTGAAATTTCTTCGAGTACTGTTACATCAATAAAAACAATGATAAACATTTGGCAATCTAATATATGCATTTATTACAACCATTTCAATATCAATATAATTACACATTAGGATATACCTGTTGACCACCCACCGGTGGTTTAAACTCATGTCGACTATCACTATGTACAGGTGGGTAGCCAGTGAAGCCTCCAGGTGGTACCTGAAAGCCTTGGCCAGGATAAGCACCACCTTGTTGCACTTGTGGATAGCTTGGACTAAAGCTTGACTGATTCTGCTGGATCATGACAGCATCTCGAGTATGATGGTGCTCACTGAGCACTTGGGTCAAGTACTTGTAGGCTTTTACTGCGATGTAAAAGAAGTATATGTTCAGGAACAAAAAGAGGATTCCAACACCCCCCAGAATGTAGAAATAAGTACCCCAGCCTTCGGAAAATTTTCTTTCTATTCCATGACTATCTTCGTATGTCCATTCACCACGGTAGATTTGTGTACCCCATATGAAGAGGAAGACGCACCATAGTAAGTTGCCTATTATCATCAAGGCTTGAGTCACGAAGTAGCACCAGTAAAGACAAGCCGTCTTGGTACACCGGCCCAGTAGAAGGAGGAGGTTGCCCAAACCGGCCAACATTGGAAGGGGTAGGAATGGCCATAAAAAGCTGATTATAATGAAGACAAGGGCTCCGCCACCTGAGAGCCAGCCGACAATGGCTATGGCTATAATGGCGTTCTAAAGTAGAGATTATTGTAGATAGAGTTCATTACAATAGACATAAGTTAAGCTAGAATATAGTCAGGGCAAGGCAATAGTAAGGCTGGTATTAGGATAGGGTACAGCTGGGATAGGATAGGGTTAAGTCAATCCCAGGGCCAGGCTTGGGTAGAAGAATGCTAAAGCCAAGGAGCGCCAGGTAGAGCCAAGACTAATGTTTGGACTAAAGTTTGCACAGCTAGGGCTCTGGGCTAGGGCTCTGGGCTAGGGCTCTGGGCTAGGGCTCTGGGCTAGGGCTCTGGGCTAGGGCTCTGGGCTAGGGCTCTGGGCTAGGGCTCTGGGCTAGGGCTCTGGGCTAGGGCTCTGGGCTAGGGCTCTGGGCTAGGGCTCTGGGCTAACTTACATGTACATGAGTGTTGCAACAACATTTGTATTGGCTGTCTGAGGCGGTCATTTCAGACCTGAAAATATGAAAAAATAAAAATCAAAAAAATTTTAAAATTAAATTTTCAAAATTTTAAAATTAAAAAAAAATTTTTTGATAAACATATAAAACTTCAAATTCCACAGAAATTAATAATCAACTGAACTTACAAGAACAAACTTTGTCATTTTTATAAACGCTAACCGGCTTACAGCCTATCCCTTTGCCATAACAAAAAAGGAGCGGCGAAGAATCGTGGTGATAACATTAAAACCGGTCAACATTGAAAAATAGTTATCAGTTTAAGTCGCAAATATAAAAATAATAAACCTTTGTTGACTCATTGTCTTTAGCTAAAGTTCCTCAATTTACGTAGAATCGTATATAAACTGATAGTGATTGGCATCAAGAACAAATTTTTTAACAAAAATTACGTTTTGTTAATTAAAATAGCAGTTGTTAGGTTGAACCAAAAGTAGCGAGACACTTTTCACTAACTTTCCCTAACTAAAAAGTGTCCCGCTACTTTTGCTTCAACCTAATATTTAAAAAAATAAGGTAAAAATAAGTGCTTAACCTGCCCCGCTCAGATCCAGCTCAAAATGTTTATATGAATTCCTTGTACTACCAATAGTACCTATAAAAACGTACACGCTTTTAAGTTTTAACTATGAATTATTCTTGTCTCTCGACATTTTGGCAAATTTGGCATTGTGTTTCAAGCACTGTTTTCGACTTTGCAGACAAGCTACGCTTACAAATTTGAAAATGTAGGTTCATTTTAAGGTATTCTAGGAGTATATCAAAGAAAAACAGTTAAAAGTAAAAAATGACAAAGTTATAAGCTTCAAACACAATGCCAATTCGGCGAGAACTTCACAACGTAACTCTTAATCCCAAATTTCTCAAGATTTCCTGTAAAGAGCAATTTACTACTTTGCTGAAAATTTTATATTTAACATGATTTTTCAATATAAAAAGTTTAAAGTCTATCAGAGCAAGACAAGGTATAATTTGAATACAAAATTAAAATCAAAAAAATTCAAAGTCAGAGTTTATTCGAAATCAGCCGTTTATGATCAGCCGTTTATCCGAAATCAGTTCTTTCCTTTGTCCAAGGCGGCCAAGCTCTGATAGTTGTTCACAACTGGAGTGGGAGCAGGGATTGGGACCATGAGCTTGTTGTTGTGCTCAGCCACGATCGCTTGTGCACTGGCCTTCTCCTCGAACGAAACGTGACCGCGGGGCTCTTCACTGAAATTAAAAACTTTAAAAATTTGAAACATAGTGGTTTGTAAATTCTTACTTCAAAAGTTTGGAAACTAAATTTAAATTTAACTACCAGCCATGTTAACTCTAGTCAAGAACCTTTTTTAACCTACTCTTCCTTCAAAATGCTTTTCTGGGGTTTTGGATCGCGCTTCTTCAGCCTCTCAGATTGGACTTTGCATATGTCAATCACATCCGGTGCCAACGGAGGATCGACTTCGGTCTCGCTGCCTTTGTAGGCCATCAGAGCCTGCCGCACTTGAGCCTTCTGGATAGGACCTTCCGCCTGCTCGATGAGCAAGGTCACGTACGGCTTTTCTTGTGTAAGGTCCGCGATCTTCTGAGCATCATCCGAGCTGGAAATTTTTTCACCGTCCGCGTCGAGAATGGCGTCGCCCTCTTCCACGCAACGAGCGGCGCACGTAAACTCGTGGACGTTCAACACGTAGAGCCTATTGTTCCCAGGTACAAGCTGGAGACCCAATGGCCGTTTCCCGATCCTGTACAGAACGGCCAACTTGTACGAAAAGCCTTCTTGCCGCTGGTCCATGGGAAGACGCTTGGTGCCCAGAGGAAGGACGTTGACCGGACGGAGCAACGTGATCTTGCACTAAAATCACATTTTTTAGTTTTTTTAAAAAAATTTTAAAGAAACTTTACAAAAAAAACTTACGGTGAACCCTTTGGCCGCCAGCTTCTTGTACAAGCTCTGGAACTTGTTCAAGTTGGCCTTGGAGCCCTTCCACAAGCTTTCTCCGTTCAATGTCAAGAGAACGTCGCCGAACTCGATCTTGGTAACGCCAGCACCTTCCATTTCGAGTTTGATGACGGCCATGTTTTTGCGGTTCAAAGTGACGCCACACTAAAACAGAAATGAATTTAATTTTAGTCCCACCCATTCAAGCTCCAGCTCTGTAACAGCCCGAAATTAAAAAAATCAAATTTTAAACTTACACTTTGTCCCGGAGTCACTTGAAACTCGACATTGACCTCCTCGATCATGTCCTTCGGCAGTTCTTTGCCATAGGGCGCACACTTGACGTTCTTGTCGTTGTCGACAGACTTGCTTGAGTGCGATGAGCGTGTTGAACGATGGCGAGCCATAGTTGCGGAAGTTCAAAAGGAAAGACTGCCTCCGACCACAGAAAACGCTGAAATTAGGGATTTCTCAAATCTCCACGCCTTTTATAGGGCTGGCTTATTCAAATTTTAAAGTTCAAAGCAAATGCAAAATTTGATTCAAATTTCTGAGAATTCAAGCGAAAATTTGAAAAATTTATTAAATTTTACCAAATTTTATTGCAAATTTTTCGGTTTTTGTGAATTGGTTGGATGCCAGAGCTATCGAAAATAAAATGCGGTTTGGACATTTGCAAATTTTTAAAAATTCTTTTTTAAATTTTTAGTCAATTTAGCTGTAGTATAGTACTAAAGTTTAAATTGGTACGCTTTTCATATTTTTTGGTACCAGATGGTACTAAAGCTTAAATTGGTACGGTTTTCATATGTTTTGGCACCAGATGGTACTAAAGCTTAAATTGGTACGGTTTTCATATTTTTTGGTACCAGAAGGCATTAAAGTTTAAATTGGTACCGCACGTCAAATCGAAGTAAAACGCTATTCTGAGACACTTCGCAAACTTTGAAAAGGTAAACGAATCGCAACAACTAATATCAAAAAGTCAAACCAAACACATAGTACCATTACGCTAATTTCAGTACCAAAACCATTTTAAACCGCCCATAATCCATCCCGCCCATAAAACAGGGTAACCCGCCACGCTCTCCATTTAAAAAGGCGGATCGAAACAAACTGGGCAGAAACAACAGATGCACGAGTATGGCAAACCTAGATGAAAGTCTACACCATCACCAGTGCCTACAACATTTTACAATTGTAATATCAATGTATCAAACACAATTGTAATATCAATATAGAAAACACAATCGTAATATTAATATAGAAAACAACTGTAATATCAATATAGAATATTTAAAACCGTACAAAACACTGCCAAAAGATAAACAAGCAAAAATCAGTTCAAATACTTATTGACCAGTCGATATTGATCATTAAATAGCAAATCAGTCGGTTCTGCGGTCGTTTAGACACGTGCGGATCTTTCGGACGGGGTTTTAGGCGGAGATTCAGCAAACTCTATCCGAACTGCATCATCATAATGAGGAGGGATAACCTGCCCATTTGCGCCAACTTGTTCTGCAACAGGCATTTTGCCTATGACAAATACTCTGCCCTTCTTCGGTTCTTCCTTCGGCGTTGGGCTCGGTCCTGGTATGTTCGATTTGTTGTCCGCTGGTGTGTTCGATTTGGTGTCCGCTGGTGTGTTCGATGTTATGTTCGATATGTTGGACTTGATGTTTGACGATGTGTCCGACGATGTGTTCGACGTTTTCTTCTTTCTTTTCTTGCTCTTTTTGTGAGTTCTCTTGCCCTTCATCTTGTAATACACTACAAGTGCAACCAGGATTCCGATGGAGATTCCAACAACAACGCAAATGAGACCAATCATCCAAGGATCTACAGATGCGGTGGAGGTGCTGAAACACAAATGTCAGAGTGAAACTAAACTTAAATGTTTAGTTCCTTACAAAAAGTTTATATTGGCTAGTTTCGTTTTCAAAAATCATAAAAATTAAAAAAAAAGTTAATTACTCCGTCTTAGCGTGAATTCGAAACACAGACCAAAGAATGCCATAAACACTTACACTGATCCTTCAGTGGTTGAATTAGAAACGGCCGTTTCGGAGACCTCAGTGGTAGGCTCGGTCGTGGTGGTGGTGGTAACTGGCTTAGGCCTAAAAGAAAATGTTTTAAATCGGTTCCAGTCTTAACAATTTGACACTAAAATATAAAACTGATTCCAAATGCAAAAACTTAAATTACATTGTAGAAAACTTACTTCAAGTAAAGCACTGCCAAGGTGGTGTCGACTTCAGCGTCAGGCAGTTCACCTTTCGCCGATGGAGCACGGTTCTTCAGAGCGGCCTAAAATTCAAAATTATATAAACCATCAAACCCTAAGCCTGAAGAGGATTTTAATTTACCCAGCTAAAATTTTAATTTATCATTTAAAAAAAAATTGCAAAAAAAACAATTAAAAAGCTCCTTTATGATTGTCACGCTTTCATTGTAAGTATATTATATTCTATAGTATACTGCTACAGTATCTTCTTAATCACATCTTACGCTACCCTAGTTTTTAGGCTAGCATAAGATGTGATAGGGCAGGATACAGTAAAGTGAACTAGAGAATAATAGGATAGATTAGGTCATGGTAGGATATGATAGGGCAGAGTACGGCAAAGTAGAATAGAATATGATAGAATAAGTTAGAGTATTCTAGGATAGAATAGGACAATGTACGGCATATTACGATAGGATACGGTAGAATATGGTAGAGTACGACAGAATACGGCAAAGTAAGGTAAGGTAGGGTACGGTAAACTAGAATAGTATACGGTTGAATAAGTTAAAGTACGATAGAGTTGCGTAGAATAGGATACGGCAGAGTACGATGGGATACGGTAGGATACGGTACGAAACGGTAAAGTAAGATAGGGCAGAGTAGGTAGGATAGGATAGGGTAGAATAGGGTAGGGTAGGGTAGGGTAGAGTAGGGTAGGGTAGGGTAGGGTAGGGTAGGGAAGGTTAGGGTAGGATAGGGTAGGGTAGGGTAGGGTAGGGTAGGGTAGGGTGGGGTAGGGTAGGGTAGGGTAGGGTAGGGTAGGGTAGGGTAGGGTAGGGTAGGGTAGGGTAAAAGGCGGCGCGGTAGGTCTGTAATGTAATATACAGTAAGGCACGGCTCTGTAAAAATTTTTTTACGACGTAGGTATTTTTATTATGCTATGTGATTATCTTGACCACCCAGTAAGTGAAACTTACTTACTGTTTTAATTTACAACTAAGTTAATGTATGTAAATACGAAAAATCACGTTGTAAACAGTATAAAAGGGTAACATGCAACTTAAATATACGTTTACAAAGCGTGAAACAACGACTTTGATATTTTATGGCTAAACCCGGCATTAAATATACTTTTAATTGTACGTTATATGTACGTATTATAAAAGACATGTTTGTTACAGTTGTGAAACAAACTTTATAAATAGAACACGGTAGAATACGTTATAGTACAATAGGATTGTGTTGCAAAGATCACGGCAGAGTACGATAAAATACGGTAGGAGTAGGGAGGTAGGGTACGATAGAATACGGTAAAGTAAGATAGATACACTAGGGTACGGTAGGGTAGGGTAGGGTAAGATACAGTAAGATACGGTAGAGTACGATAGGGTAGGGTGGAGTACGGCAGGGTAGGGTATGTTAAACAAAATTTTTTTAAATTTTTGTTTACAGACCTTCTACGTATACGATGGAGTACTATACTACTACTCAGACAACCCCTACTATTCAAAAAGTGTCACTACAGCTTACTTTGGTGGAGCTCTCTTCAGCTTCTTCGTACTATTTAGTATCATAGTTACCGTAATACAGTTCATGTACCGCTATGGCTTACTATGTAGACCACGCCCATATACTAAATTTCAATTACTATTAGCATTTACAGCCCTATTCAGCTATATTATAGTACACCATCTGCTTTTCAAAGTCACTTTCAAACCGCCAAGTGTAGAGTACAACAAGATCCTCAGCAATCATGATCAAAATCTAGACTGGTATATCGTGGCTGATCTACGAAGTGTCAATGCGGTCTGGGCTCATTTCCTGAGCTTTCAAACAGTCGTATCTTTCTCGTATACTGTAAATATTTGGTTTGGATATAAGATTGTCAAGTTTTTGAAGGAACAGTCTGGTGGAATGTCAGCAAAGACATTGAAGGCTCAGAAGACTATCACTTATGTGCTGTTTGTTCAGGTATAGTATCACAAAAACGTTTGTTCAATCTGCTCCGCCACTCTATGCTATCCAGCTTAGCCCAGCTCAAGCCAACCCATTCCGATCCCTCTCAGTCCAATCTACTCCAGTCTAGCCCAGTCAAATTTATTTCAGTTTAGTATAGTCTATCTTAGTCTGGTCTACTGCAGTTTAGTTTAGTCTGCTCTAGTCCAGTCTAGTCCAGCCCAGCCCAGCCCAGCTTAGCCCAGCCCAGTTCAGCCCAGCCCAGCCCAGCCCAGTCCAGTCCAGCCCAGCCCAGTCCAGTCTAGTCCACTCCAATGCAGTCCAGCCCATCCCAGCCCAGCCCAGTCCAGTCTTGTCCAGTTCAATTTTCAGTTTACTTCAGACCAGTCTACTCTAGTATAGCCCAGTCAAATTTATATCATTTTCGCTAGTCTACTCAAGTCTAGTTTAGTCTACTCTAGTTCAGTTCAGTCTCCTCAGTCCCATCTACACCAGTCTAGCCTAGTAAAATCTATGTTAGTTTAGTCTAGGCTACCTTAGCCTAGTCTTCTCAAGTCTAGTTTAGTCTACTCTAGTTCAGTTCAGTCCAGTCTACTCTAGTCCGGGCCAGTCCAGTTTATTCCATTCTACTGCAGTCTTCTTTCATTTTACCTTAATGTACCTTATCTTGCTCTAACTGACCTTAATCTACTCTAATAATAAATATTTTAGGCCCTCTGTCCCTTACTAGACACAGTAATCCCAGCTTCATTCGTATGTATAAGTGTTATGGTAGATCAACGTGCTGGTTTAGCTGAGACTGCATTGATTGCTAGCATGATGATGAATCTGATTCCGTTTTGCAATTCATTGGTAGTCATTTTAATTATACCCAAATACCGACGGCTAGTATGGAACATGATTTGTCATCCCATTTCGAAGACTCTGGTGGAAGACAGTTCAAGCGTTGCGAATAGTACTAATGTTACCAAAACTGTATTATAATTTGTCTTTCTTTTAAAAATAGCACAATAGTCTTTAAGCTGCTCAGGCTTAGGCTTAGAATTAGTCTTAACCTTAGGCTTAAGCTTAGGCTTAGGCTTGGGCTTAGGCTTAGGCTTGGGCTTAGGCTTAGGTTTGCGCTTAGGCTTAGACTTAGGTCTAAGCTTAGACTTAACCTTAAGTTTAGGCTTATGCTTAGGCCTATGTTCAGGAAGATTGGCTTTAAGTTTAAATTTGGGCTGAAGCTTAGGCTTACGCTAAAGCTGAGGCTGCGCTTAAGGGATAACCTTACACACAAAACTAGCTCTAGGCTTAAGCAACCTTTTAGTTTTTACGTCCTTGTACGCAAGTTCAGGCATGTTATTGAGTTTGAAGAAGCTGAAAAGGACTTACAGTAACATTTAAAACTTTTTTAACTTACCTTATCTTACCCTACTCTGTGCTACTTTAATCAAATGTTTTAAAATTTAGTTTTTATAATGTGTTTATTAATGTATACTATAATTATAATTAAAAATTTAAATTTTTAAAAAATTTATTGTTGTAAATAAAAAATTCTCTACATTTGACTTTTTTTTTGTTAATCTTCTGATACAGATTCATTACTATCTTCCTCTGAGCTGTCATCACTGTCATTACTGTCATCGTTCTCTTTCGATGTGCCTGGGTTATCACTTTCTACTTCAGCTTCTGGCAGCGTACCACCAGCTCCATTTGCTCCATTCACTGCATTCTGAACCTGACTCTCAGTACCACTATTTTCACTTTGAGTACCAGTCCCCGCACTATTTAGTGCTGAATTAGTACTATTTAGAAAGCTAGTACTATTTGCAGCAGCGTCTGCACTATTTAGTCCTTCAATGTTACCATTGTCAGTTAATGGTCGTAATGTTGATTCGCCTACTGTAGATGTAGAATTCTCAACATAGTAACCTTCTGTAGTTGTTGGTTCAAATCCACCCGACATTACCATCATTAATATGAATATTAACACTGGAATCGATAGGAACATCAGGATCACGGCACATTTTAAGGCAATTTTGGCTGGGGCGGTGGGTTTTGCAGGTGGGGTTACTAAGCCTGGAATGAAAATTAGAATTGATAGATCTAAAATAGGCCTAAGTTTGCTTCGTAGGCGTAGGAAGGTTAGGCTAGTAAGCTTAGACTTAGTAGGCTTAGGCTTAGTAGGCTTAGGCTTAGTAAACTTAGGCTTAGGCTTAAGCTTAGGCTTAGGATTAGGATTAGGCTTAGGCTTAGGCTTAGGCTTAGGCTTAGGCTTAGGCTTAGGCTTAGGCTTAGGCTTAGAATTAGGCTTAGGCTTAGGCTTAGGCTTAGGCTTAGGCTTGTCCTTAGGCTTAGGCTTAGGCTCAGACTTAGGCTTGAGCTTAAGCTTAATCTTTGTCTTTGGCTTATGTTTAAGCTTAAAATTGGGTTTAGGCCTAGGCTAAAGCTTAGGCTTAGGCTTGAGCTTAAACTTAATCGTTGGCTTAAGTTTAAGCTTAAAATTGGGCTTAGGCCTAGGCTAAAGCTTAGGCTTAAGTTCAGGCTCAAGCTTAAAATCGAACTCAAGCAAACTCACGTCTAGGCTCTCCGATAGCAGGCAAAGGCTTAGCATTGCTCGAACTGTGTCCTAATGTTGATGTGGCACTAATCATAGTGCCACTCGGTTTTCCTGTAGTCGGTCGTATTTTAGGAATTTGTGGCATACTGATAACTGGTGCTGATGTTGACGTGTGTAACGTTGGATGTTCGTCTGAAAGTGAATCATGTCTTGGACTGGTTGGAGCACCTAGAGGATGTCGTAGAGGAGGTAGACGTGCTGCATATAATGGCCTGGCTGGTGTTTTTGGCCGTCCACCGGCTGCTGTCGGTAGACGGATGTTGTCCATGAGAAGAGGCGTTTATTCTAACGTTTATTATGGTTTGGTAATGGTTCTAAATTGAGAAATATTTTATGTAAAATGTAACAAAATATATATTTATAAAAATAAAAAAAAACCCTACCCTACCCTACCCTACCCTACCTTACCCTACCCTACCCTACCGTTACCCCCCCATATTTCATCATTTTCTACACAGTCTTACTCTGTGCTATTTAACCTCAACTTGTAGTTGCCGACCCGAACGTGCCCTACCTTGCATTACATTGCTTTGGCTTGCTGTTCTACTTTGCCTTACCCTGTCTTAACTTGTTTTACTCTGCCTTATCTAGACCTGCTTTGCCTTATTTTGCTTTTACTCTGTCTTACATTAGAGAGTAATGTTTGTTTCACTATGTCTTACCTTGTTTTATCTCGCCTTACAGTGTTCTATCCTGCTTTACCCTGTCATTCACTTTCCTATTCTACCTATACCAAAACCCAGAGTAACAAAACATACCAACCTAAACCTATTATATAATAGTAGACCTCAGTTTTCTCACTATTCTTTCTTACAATGCTCATTTTCTTTAACTAACTACAATGTCAATACCTTATTATAATCATAGTATACACCCTTCCCTAACCCCCCCCCCCCCCCTTAACCTAGACCAACATACGTCTTTGCACTTTTAAGACAAAAACAAATTTACATTATCATGTAAATACAGAAAAACTTTCGATGCTTAACTTAAAAACCAAAATCATACAATTAAAAGAGATAAACGTATGACACAACCCATAATTACATTGCTCTCATATTATGTATGCGCCTTTCCCTATTCTTAAGACCGTCTTCATGGCAACCGCGTCTTGGCCGCTATCTGAGAGTTTGACATAAAGTTAAAGAAACACCTGCAAAGTAAATGTAATTGGTTTAACGTATTGTTTTTTGAAAATGCTCGTTGAAAGGCCAATAAGTCAAGAGACTAGTTTAGGTGTGAAATTTTGGTTTAGGTATAAAATTGATTGGGTTTTGACTTTTGAGTTCGTTAGCCATAAAATATAGGCAAAGAAAATTACAGAAATAAAACATTAGCTAAACAATTTAGACCTAAGATTTAACTTAAGCCTAAGCTTGAGCCAAACCTTCAGCTTAAAACCAAGCTGAAGTTTATGCCTAAGTTTAAAAATGAGTTTGAATTTGAATGTGAGTTTATGCTTGCGCTTGAGATTGAATTTAACATCGATTTTGACTTGAGTTTGAGCTTGAGTTTGAACGTGAGCTGGAGCAGGAGCTAGAGCTAGAGTTGGAGTTGGAGTTGGAGTTGGAGTTAGAGCTAGAGTTGGGGTTGGAGTTGGAGTTGGAGTTACAGCTAGGCTAGAGTTTGAGCTTAACCGTGAGGTAAAGCTTAAACTTAAGCCTGAGCTTGCGCCTGAGCCTGAGTCTGAGTCTGAGTCTGAGTCTGTGCCTGAGCCTGAGCTTGAGCCTGAGCCTGAGCCTGAGCCTGAGCCTGAGCTTGAGCCTGAACTTAAACCTGTGCCTAATGAGCCTGAGCCTGAGCCTGAGCTGAGCTTGAGCCTGAGCCTGAGCCTGAGCCTGAGCCTGAGCCTGAGCCTGAGCTTGAGCCTGAGCCTGAGCTTGAGCCTGAACTTAAACCTGTGCCTAATGAGCCTGAGCCTGAGCCTGAGCTGAGCTTGAGCCTGAACCTGAGCCTGAGCCTGAGCCTGAGCCTGAGCCTGAGCCTGAGCTGAGCCTGAACCTGAGCCTGCCCTGAGCCTGAACCTGAGATTGCGCTTTAGCTTGAGCTCAAACCTAAAATTGAGCTTACATGCTTGAACCTAAACTAAAGAATAAGCCAAGACCTAAGATTAAGTCTAAGATTAAGCAAACAAGACTTATGACTATAGCTAAGGCTATACCTTAACATCAAACTCAGGCTCATATTCATTCTCAGCCTAAGGCTAAACATAAGCTAACTCTAACTTTACGCCGAAAACTAAACTTGAAATAAATTAAAGCCAAATCAGGTGACAAGCTTAAGCCTAAAAATAGTAAGTTTGAGTCTAAGTTTGAACCTAATAACTCTGAGACTAGCCTTTTAAGACTAATTTTTACTTCATTCTTTATTTTTTTCTCCCCAAAATAACTTTACAGAAACAATATTATTGCTTTACTATACAACATTTACTCTTTTATTGTATATTTTAATGTTTTACATAATGCAATTCAATTGAAAACCGAATAAACAAAGCGTTTCATCAATTCGAACCGATGGCTTTTTGTTTTAACGATTGAGTACACACGAACCCCCAAATCGATTTGAAGTGTAATGTGAGACAAATGAAAACTGAAATGATAAGAATTTACAACATATCGTCACTACGCTTCTACAAACTGACCTTAATTGAAAGCAATTTGGCTGGATACATGAGACTGTTTATGTTTTGTCTGGTTTACATGCCATGTTAACATCGGTTTTATATAGCTATTTTTACGAGTTAACATTGAAAAAACATGTTGTGATAGACAGTCTATGATTGTTAAAAACCTATCACTACAAGCTGTAAACACAAAACAATCTATGTTAGGCTTAAGATAACGTCCGTACGACACTAATAAGCCTAACTATAGGCTAAAACATCATTTCAAAAATCTAAAAATTATCATACCTCAAACCTAAGCATAAGCCCAAGACGGATCTAATTTTAATCTTAAGGTTAAAAGCCCTTAAGACTAAGCCCAAACTTGTGTTTAAGTCTAATCCTAAACCAAAGCCAACGCCTAAGTTTAAAAGTAAGCCTAAGACAAACTTAAGCCTACGTTCAAGGTTAAGCCAAAGTCTTGGTCTAAATTTATGCCTAAGTCTTTAAGATTGAGCTTAAGCCTAAGCGTAACCCAAGCCTAAGCATAAAAACAAGACAAATCTAAGCCTAATCTTAAAATTAAACCTAATCTTCGAATATTAAGCCTAAAGTTTTGCTTATGCCTAAGCCAAAGCTAACGCCAAAGCTTAAACGTAAGCCTAAGTAAGACAAAACTATGCCTAAACCTAAGTTTAAGGTTAGGCCAAAGCTTTGCTCTAAATCTAATTCAAAGACTTTGTGGCTAAGCTTAAGCATACCTTAAGCCTAAACTTAAGCTTAAGGCAAACCAAAGCCTTAGCTTATACTTAAACATAAGCTCTTAAGACTAAGCCTAATTCTAAGCTAAAGCCTAAGCTAAAACCAACGCCAAAGCTTAAACGCAAGCGTAAGACAAACCTAAGCCTAAGCTTAACGTTAAGCCTAAATTTGTGATCGCGCTTAAAGTTATACCTAAGCGTTAGCATAAGCTTTCGACTTAATATAAGTTTAGGTAGGCTAAGCCAAATCACTATAAAAAAGCTAAAAATAGAAATTGTTTAAACAAATATTATTATTTTTGTAAAATCGCTTCAATGTGACAATATTTCAACAGTGTTTTTAAGCCACCATAACTATACTTAACCATGCTGTAAAGTCAATGATCACATAAACAAATTTCTCAATATTTTTTGGCTTTTGCAAATGATCGACCACATTTCTTGACCGTTTTGTTATTGAACGACTAATTGACAACTTTGTTATTCCAAAGCGAGATCACCATGCTTTGCTTTTGTCATTGTAAACCAAGTGTTGGACATTCTTTCAATGACCAACGTGATCAAGATATTGTAATTGTTTACCTAGGATAGAATAGTCGACTATAGAGTAAGGTGCTTGATTATAGGGTAGAGTAGGGTAGGGTAGGGTAGGGTAGGGTAGGGTAGGGTAGGGTAGGGTAGGGTAGGGTAGGGTAGGGTAGGGCAGGGTAGGGTAGGGTAGGGTAGGGTAGGGCAGGGTAGGGTAGGGTAGGGTAGGGTAGGGTAGGGTAGGGTAGGGTAGGGTAGGGTAGGGTAGGGTAGGGTAGGGTAGGGTAGGGTAGGGTAGGGTAGGGTAGGGTAGGGTAGGGTAGGGGTAGGGTAGGGTAGGGTAGGGTAGGGTAGGGTAGGGTAGGGTAGGGTAGGGTAGGGTAGGGTAGGGTAGGGTAGGGTAGGGTAGGGTAGGGTAGGGTAGGGTAGGGTAGGGTAGGGTACGGTAGGGTAAAGTAGTCGACTAGAGAACACAATAGTCGACTATTTTGATAACAATCCTGCAATCATCGACCAACTCTGCCAGTCGTAAACATGAAAAGAAATAATCGCCTCAGGTATTTCAGCAATTTTTACAGCGGATGACAAATTGCTGACCCGGCTAAAAATAAATGCACCGACTTCGAACGCGTTTCTACTATGTAATTTATGATTCCTAAAACGTTGGGATAGGCTTGGCGAAAGTGTAAGTGATGTAAAGGGGTTATGAAAGTGCAATAAAGTTTCGGAAAGAACGTTCCGGGTTCTGGAAGGTTTCTGGAAGCTAACAGTGTTATTGTGAAAGAAATGATCGATAAGTAATAGGCCTGTAGGGTAAGATGCCAAAGCTGTAAGAATACATACGTTTGATAAGCTCGAACCTACTATGCCTTACAAGGAAGGTAACTTAAATCGCCCCTCGACTTTGGGTTGTTAGCCCAAACTCTAGACCTAGATTTTCACAGTTAAAGTCTCGCAAGCCCCAGCTACCCTTACCACATATATAATAACAAGAAAAGTGCCCGACCTGCCCAGCTCTGATAGACTTCAAACGTTTTATAAAGGAAGATCATGTAGCTATAAGATCTTCAGCAAAGTACTAAACTGCGCATTCCACGAAATCTTGAAAAAATTAGAACAAAAAATTACGTTTTGAATTTCCCGCCAAATTGGCATTGTGTTTCAAGCTTATAACTTTGCCATTTTTTGATTTTTAATAATTTTTCTTTAATATACTGGTGGAAAACCATTAAATGAACCTACATTTTTAAAGTTGTAGGCGTAGTTTGGCTGGAAAGTCGAAAAAGTGCTTGAAACACAATGCCAAGTTTGCCACATTGGCGAAAAACCAAAATAATTCAAATTTAAAACTCAAGAGCGCGAGCTAAAATTTTTTATGGGTACTATTGGTAGTACAAGGAATTCTTATAAAAAGTTTTGAGCTTATTCTAAGCAGAGCAGGTCGAGTACTTTTCATGCAAGCTTCTCAAACCTAATCCCGCAACGTTCTAAGCTTAACTTACTAATTCTAAACTTAATAAACGTTCTAAGCTCTACTGAACCTTAGCACACAGTTTTATTCTTAGTTTTACTTTTAAGCGTAATTCCAAGTTTCTAAGCCCTACTAAACTTAAAAACACATTTTTATTTGCAATTTGTACTTCTAATCTCAAGCCTGTTTGTTATACATTTATTGACTATTTATTAACTTTACATGTCAGTCTACAATTACAATTAGAGAGAAATATATATATATTTTTAGATGATTTTTGATGCCGTAGATTGTAACGAACAGTGCTGATGTGCAAGGATGTTCAAGGTTCAGATGAAGACCAACGGAGCGAGCTATCCTTGAGTCTGACGTTTCTCATGATTGGGCCTCTCTTCAGGTGTTTCACTGTTCCTCGCGTCACTGTGTCGTTGGTGAGGTGCTCCATAAGACTTTTGGTTACTAAGCCCACTGAACTTAAAAACACTTTTTTATTCGCAATTTCACTTCTATACTCAAGCCTGTTTGTTATCCATTTATCATTCTTTTTCGTTCATTCCAGCAAATTGAGCCACAACAAGCAAAACCCTATTGTAACAAAATAGTTTGCACGTTTGTATTTCACTTTACATCAAATTTACAACTAGAGGAAGTAGCTTAGCGCTTCCTGTTTTCACGATTGATTTAATCGTTGTAGACGAAATAAAAAATTGTTTGTAACAACATGTTTTTTGTTGGTTTTACTTTAGAACCATTGATCTCGGGGTGTTAGTCATGGCTTGTTGATGGTTTTTGTTTTTTTATATTATACTAGACTTATATTTTTAAAAGTGCTTTTACAATTTTTAAAACTTAGGCTTAAGTGCTTATTATAAAACATATAATAAACTAGAAATATTGTTTTTGAAAACATTTTTTAAAGTTTTAACTAAGGGCATGTTATGATATATGGCATACCGTTGTTGAAATCAATAAGTCTGTGGTTACTGTAAAATTGAACTTTTGTTTGTAGTGAGCTTATTATAATAGGTTTTTCTAATAATTCTGTGCTCCTCTCAAAGCAAATTTTTAGGTATAGGGGCACAGAATTAATTATGAGCTTACTAAAGCCTTTATAAGTCTGTGGTTACTGTAATATTGAACTTTTGTTTGTAGTGGGTTCATTATTTATAATAGATTGTTCAAATAATTCTGTGCTTTTCTCAAACTAAATTTTTAAAGATAGGGAGCACAGAATTATTCGAACAGCTTAATAATGCTTCTATAAAGCTGTGTTATCTAACTTCTGTGTATGTATTAGATGCCGACATAAAGAACCCGCCATACTTTTCCTGTAATTTCCTGTAAAAAATGGTGGGTTTTTTATGTCGGCACCTGATATCTGATATAAATTGCCTGTTATCGTCTGATTCCAAGCTTCTTTAGCCATGATAACTGATTGTTTTCCTGAGGCTGGCATTACTTCAGTAGCTCCACTAAGATGTGCTTCAATTACACATCTTAGTGGAGCTACTGAAGTACTTTTGACAATCAATTTTCAATTACAATAACAACTTCTTTTATCGATTGTAAACATAAAACGAATAATCATTTGTCACTGACCCGCCGCCGGTAATTACTTTACAATCACTACTGAAACATAATGTAAACATGTTTATTAGGCTTAGCTTGAGCTTCAGCTATGGTTTTATCTTTAGATTCGCTTAAGCTTAAGCTTGAGCTTGAGCTTGAGCTTGAGCCTGAGCCTGAGCCTGAGCTTGATACTGAGCTTGAGCTTGAGCCTAAGCCTGTTCCTGAGCCTGAGCCTGAGCCTGAGCCTGAGCCTGAGCTTGGGCCTGAGCCTGATCTTGATCTTGATCTTGATCCTAATCCTAAGCCTGAGTCTGAGTTTGAGTCTGAGTCTGAGTCTGAGTCTGAGCCTGAGCCTGAGCCTGAGCCTGAAATTGATCTTGATCATGATCCCGATCCTGATCCTGATCCTAATCGTGATCCTGAGCCTGAGTCAGAGTCTGAGTCTGTTTTAGTCTGAGCCTGAGCCTGAACTTGAGCCTGAGCCTGAGCCTGAGCCTGAACTCGAGCCTGAGCCTGAGTTATATCTATAGCCATAGCTACAAGATTGATGAGTCTTCTCACAACACTATTATTTCGGATGACCAACAATAATGTTAAGCCTTCTTGCTACGAGATGATTAATCCCCGAATGCAAGCTTTTAGTTTTTAGAAATTCGTTTCAACTTTTCGTTAATTTGAAGCGATTTAACGATACCTCGACGCTGTTTTTTTCGTTTTTAGCTAATTAAATTTTATTGCAAACGACTACTTTAAACTAGGTAAACTGTCTATGTTTTTATTGACTTCAACTGATTTTGCAAGAGCTTGTGTATTAAGTAATCTCAAAAATACTAGTTTAAAATGTTTTTGATTGTTTCTACAGCTCTCCTTATACCTAGTTAGCTATGATAAGCTAAGGTACGGCTTATGTAAGGTTTTATTTAGAGTAGGCTGAAGCTCAGACTCAGGCGCAGGCTAGGGCTTGTCCTCAAGCTAAATTTAAGTATATATGTATTCAGTAACTGACCTTACCTATACGTACGTTGTGTGCCATACGCTGAAAAATAGCACAACATATACTGTAATATAACATTGAAACACGTCAAAGAAGTCGAGTTTAATATGTTGTAATCACTACATATTAAACTCTACTTTTGGTTAAAACTGTAAACAAGTTGTGTTACAATTTTACACTATCAAAGGTGATTATAACTAATTAGACAGTAATTGCATTAGTCATGGTCAGATGTCGGGTGCTTGAGATAGTGTAATCTTGGGTTTGTTATACCGTATGTAACATAGCTCAAGTCTTTACGTAAGAGCCTGAGACTGAGAGTGGACCTGAGGATAAAACTAAGCTTGAGTTTGAGTCTGCGCCTGAGCCTGAGCTTGAGCTTGAGCTTGAGTCAAGGCTTGAACCAGAACCTGGACTTCAGCTTGAGCATTAGCATGAGCTTGAGCCTGAGCCTGAACCGAAGCTTTAGCCTTAGGTTTAGCTTTTAGCCTTAGCCCTATCTATAGCCTCACCTACTGTAAAGCCCATATCTCTACTGTAATATAAAACTATTTATATACGTACATAACTATCTTTTTTGTAATTTTACACCGCGCGCAACATAAAACTTTAACGATTACTATACTATTATAGTAATTACTGAGTCAAATGTTGTTACAGTCCCGGTTTTGCGACCAAATTTATGTTTTTCGAAACGTTGCGTAATATTTTCCGCAAACAGTAGCTCATCGTCTCTGAGGCTTTTTACACGCAAAACGTCGAAATTACGTGGACGTGGAGCGGTGGTTAGATTATTTTTTAACTTTTTTTTATACTTTTCTTTATGTTATTTTTTAAAAGTGGCGTTTATGTTTTTTTTAAAAATGGCATTATTTTGAAATTTCAAAGCTGTTAGCAAAGGCAGGGCAGGGTAAGGTAAGGTAGGTCACCTACTATAAAGCTCAAATTATTTTTTTTAAAACTGTTTTAAAAGTGAAAGGGTATGAAACAGTACGGTAGGATAAAGTAGAATAGAGCAGGCTAATTACAATTTTTAAAAATCAAGAAATTTGTTTTGAAAAATGACATTTTAAGCCTCTTAAAATAGCCTTTCTTTATCTATTTTTTGCATTTTTGAAACTTTTAAAGATAAAAAACGTTTTTTTATTGTTTTTGAAAGCTTTATTTAAGATATCCTAGAGCCGATATCGTTTTTACACTTTTTCTTCATTTTTATGGCCATATATTGATAATATTAGCGTATGCAGGCTGCGGGTGACAGGTTATACGACAAAAAATTCTTTTTTTATTTATTAAAAAATCTGACATTTTTAAATACTTGTTGATCACAACTGGCAAAAACTTCCTTTACAAAACCCAAAATTGCAATAACTTTCTTTACAAAACAAAAAATGGCAAGAACTTTCTTTACAAAACAAAAAATTGCAAGAACTTTCTTTACAAATCAAAAACCGGCAAGAACTTCCTTTACAAACTAAAAAATGGCAAGGATTTGGTTTACAAAGCAAAAAATCAAAATTTACGGTTTGCACTGTTATATAACGTAAGACACTATTGCCAGTCACGTTTATCTCTAAAAGTGATCGATTTCGTGTTAAAAAAAGAATGAATCGCTGGAATTGTAATAGTAATTCCGACTAAAAAATCATTGACCTTGCTAAAAATATATTTTCCGTTGCTATTGACGTCTTTGCTTATTGACACTAAAATAAATAGTGTAAACGTAAGTTTTGGGGTTTGTAAACAAAGTTTTTGCCATTTCATGTTTTGTAAAGAAAGTCCTTGCATTTTTTTGTCTTGTGAAGAAAGTCCTTGCAATTTTTTGTTTTGTAAAGAAATTTTATGCTATTTCTTGTTTTGTAATTTCAAAATGTATACCCGAAGATACCGAGTATAAAGTGTAAAGTACCATCATAGCTACTACAATTTATTTTTAAAAACAAAAGCCGGTTTTAAAGTTTTTCTTTTGAAATTTTGGTTTAAAAAGCCATTTTTCATTTTATTTTTAGCTGTATATCACTTTCACATGAAACTGATCGTCAATTTGATGTGAAGCGTCTGTCTACTGTCTATGTTATAACATGAAAACATGTGATATAGTTAGATAAAACTGTATGTTAATGATGAAACGGCAAGAACTTTGTTTACAAAACATGAAATGGTAGGAACTTTTTTTACAAAGCAAAAAATGGCAAAAACTTTCTTTACAAGACATGAAATGGCAAGAACTTTCTTTACAGATTATGTTATTAACTTGTAAGACATCATCGTATAAATTGTCCACCGCAGCCTGTACATCCAAACCATAAGTAAGGCTAGTGTTTTGCTCGGTCCGAAGCTTTTTTTACGGTCCGGGTCCGTAGGTTTATGGGTCCGGTTCGGTCTGCAAAAACTTTTTGTTGGGTCCGTCCGGTCCGGACCGGTCGAGCAAAACACTGAGTAGGGTAGAGAAAAGCAGGACAAAGCAGGTGAAACAGGATAAGAGAGGATAAGACAGATTTTTGGTAAGACAATATAGGGTAGGGTAGTGTAGGGTAGGGCAGGGTAGGGTACAATCTTTAAAGATCACAGTTTTATTGTAATACAGCCACGTTAATTACTGCTCAATAACAATTGTTTCGACTATTTTTGGGTTAATTGGTCTTGAATTGGAATTACCATCGCTTTTCTTATTACTATAATGATAAGAAGGGTTAATTCAACAAGTATTGTAAAGAATGTCAGAGAATGGAAAATTTGAGAAATTTGAAGAATTTATTAGTTTACTGAGAGTAGCTGGTAGTAGTAAATAATACAAGTATAGTAGTATTGTAGGTTGTATTGTAAAGTCATAGGGCGCAGCTTGAAGACGACTATATTGCGGTGCTTGAGGTTGACTTAAAAAAACTAAAGTAGGCAAAAACTTTCTTTACAAAACAAAAAATGGCAAGAACTTTTTTTACCAAACAAAAAACGGCAAGAACTTTCTTTACAAAACAAAAAATGGCAAGAACTTAGTTTACAAATCAAAAATGGCAAGAACTTTCTTTACAAAACAAAAATTGATAAAAAACGTTTTTTACATAGCTATAGGGTTCGACGACTATAGAACACAATTGGGCAGGAAATATAGGCCGCAGTTTGCAGATCGTTCGCAATTAGCAAATGACTATTAAAATTTTTTTTTTATTTTGAAATTTTCAAAAAAATAAATTTTGGAAAAAAAATTTGTTCAGCCAACAGTAACAATATTACCGTTACATCTGGGCGTTACCTAAATTTAAAAAAAAGCGTTTTATAAGATTAATGATGCAAGGTAATAAATAAGTATAGACTGTGATTGATTGTTACAGTGTAAAAATGTGTAGAATGGAATTTCAAAAATGTTTAAAAAAATTTTGGGAGGGGCAAAAGTGGAACTGAAATGTTGTCGTTTTTTCGTTTGTAAAGAAAGTTCTTGCCATTTTTTGTTTTGTAAAGAAAGTTCTTGCTATTTCACAAAAAACTCTTATTTTTGACTTTGGCAGCCTGCGAGGGCCAAGTTATACGATGATTTTAATTTTTTTGATCTGTAAACAAAGTTCTTGCCATTTCTTACTTTGTAAAGAAAGTTCTAGCACTTTTTCCCCTATTTTGACCAAAGTGCTGCATCGATGTAAAAATAATATTGATCAGATGTTTGATTTATATTACTCATCGTGGTCAATATCATAACCTGATAATTTATTGCACATGATTTCGCAGTAACCGCGAGTGAATGGCGCCATTAATAATATTATGGTAGAGTGTTTCATTAAATCAGCGTTTCGAGAGTCACGCGGTTTGTCACTTCTTGGAAAGACAGTGGAATTCCAGAAATTTCACGAAAAAAGTGCAAGAACTTTCTTTACAATAAGAAAGCTATTTAAATCTCGCGTATAACTTGACTTTGGCAGGCTGCGAAGTTAAAAAATAAGATTTTACCTACAATGGCAAGAACTTTCTTTACAAAATATAAAATGGCAAAAACTTTTTTTACAAAACAATGAATGGCAAGAACTTTCTTTACATAAAACAAAATACTTGAATCCGTCGTATAACTTGGTCCTCGCAGGCTGCCAAAGTCAAAAATAAGATTTTTCCTTAAAATGGCAAGAACTTTCTTTACAAAACAAAATATTGCAAGAACTTTCTTTACAAATCAAAAAATGGTCAGAACCTTTTTTACAAAACAAAAATTGGCAAAGACTTTATTTCCAAGGACAAAAGTTGCTAGAACTTTCTTTCCAAATCACATTACAGTAATTTCGTATTGAAGTCATGAGTACCATACCTTGCTTTTCGTATATTTCAAAATTTCATGAAAATCACGTTGTCAAAAAGTGGGCGGAGTCTAACCAGTGTCTAGTACCGTTTTGTAATTAAATTGATATAAAAGGGAGGTTTTAAAGTTCTTTTCAGATTTTATTTGGGGGTGGTCTTTCCTTTTTTGACAGGCTTTAACCAGGCTTATTGTTGTAGGTTGGTGGATGGTTTGTTGTGGAAAGAAAGTTCTTATCGTTTTTTGATTTTTTTAATTTAGACGTTTTGTAAAGAAAGTTCTTTCCATTTCTTGATTTGTAAAGAAAGTTTTTGCCATTTTTTTGTAAAGAAAGTTCTTGCCATTTCAAGAAAAACTCTTATTTTTGACTTTGGCAGCCTGCGAGGGCCAAGTTATACGATAGTTTTATATTTTTTGCTTTGTAAAGAAAGTTCTTGCCATTCTTTGTTTTGTAAAGAAAGTTCTTGCCATTTTTTGATTTGTAAAGAAAGTTCTTGCCATTTTTTGATTTGTAAAGAAAGTTCTTGCCATTTTTTGTTTTGTAAAGGAAGTTCTTGCCATTTTTTGTTTTGTAAAGAAAGTTCTTGCAATTCCAATCAAAAATTTTCATTTTCTAACTCGGCAGGCTGCAGGTGACAACTTATACGTCACATTTCTACTCCCACACACTTATTTTTTTCAAAAAACTACAAGTATAAAAGCTGTCAATTGCCTTTCGAATACAACCCACGTTCCCATGATCATCACTTTTATTTGGGGCGTGTCTTAATTGGTTGACTTTTATAACCGTTTTTCATCCCATTTGCGGGCGTTCAATCGGTTTTACTTTGTTGTTTTGACCAGTTTTGTATTGTCTTCAATTTTTCCGCTTTGTAAAGAAAGTTCTTGCCATTTTCTGTTTTGTAAAGAAAGTGCTTGTCATTTTTTGTTTTGTAAACAAAGTTCTTGCCATTTTTTGTTTTGTAAACAAAGTTCTTGCCATTTTAGGCCTTGTACTTCTGATTTTTGCTTGATTTTAAAAAATATTTACACTAGAAACAAAATTTTTGCAAATTTAACAAATTTTAGTTGGAAACAAAGTTTTTGCGGTTTAAAAAAAATATAATTTTAAATTTTGTGTTAAAAATGTATTTTAAATACAGGTAAAGCATATTTTTATAAGTTTAGCGTGTTTTAATGGCTTTTTTAAGGCTGCGCGAGCTGCGCCGACAATTTTATACGATGAAACATGTCCAAATTGATAATTTTTAAATTTGGCTTTTATAATTGATTAGTATGCTGAAAACGTTTTTAAAAATGCATTTTGGCTTTTAATTTATTTTTAAATTTTTTAAATTGTATTTTTGTTCGCAAGTTTTTGAAAAAACGCGAAATTTTGCCATTTTTCATCTATATCAACATTAATATTGACGCTTCAGAACCGTTTTTGGTTTTATCTACTACTTCTACATCTTCTACAACAATTTTTACATTAGTACCCGTTTTTACATTCTTAAAAATGACAAAAGGCACCCTAAGCGACACCTTGGTCAACATGTTGGGCGAGTTTGTTGGTCTCAACAAATCCCCAGACTTTAAACTGAGTCGACAATCGAGTGAACTGATTGAAGAAGCTAAAAAAGATGAGGTTCATAAGAAGAAGTTGGCACAGGCTCACGAATTCGACCTTCTTGATGTAAGTTTTTGCATAAAATACGAGGTTTTTTGGGGGAAAAATGTAAAAATCACGATATTTAGTCGCCTAGTGGAAAGAAAGTTCTTGCGGTTTTTAAAAAAACGTTTTTTTTGTTTGGTTTGATTGTTTTTTACGTTATTCAGGTTTTTTTGGTATTTAAAGGCAGTTTGAAGTCGTGCAGGCTGCGGGTGACATATTATACGATAAAACAGGCCCGATTAACAAAATTTTAAAATTCAATTTGATGATTATTTTTTATTACATTGACTTTGACTTTATGCATTTTTACATTTTTTTCGTTTACAAATAGCCTTTTTATGCTATGCAGGCTGCGGGCGACATGTTATACGATGAAACATGTCCTGACCAAAATAAATTTAAAATTTAGTTTTTTGTGGACAAAGAACTTACTATCAAGCCTAAAAACGACTTTTTTATTTCAATTTTATATATCAACTTTTTAAAATTTAAAAAAATTGATATTACGTTAGCTTACATTACCCCTACCATTTCCAGACTCTCGAAGCCGAGCAACCAGTGCATATTCGCTCAATTTTGGCCGAATTTGACACAGCCACGCCAACACCACGCAACCGTCAACACGAACGCTTCTATTCGCTGCCAATCCAGTCCAAACAGAAACGGTCGGTTTTGGATCGACTGAAGAGAAGTAGCCGAAAGTCAAAAGATTCATATGAAGTCGCTAAACATCAACGTGGAATCTCGGAAAGCTCATGTGACAGTGGTTTTGAAAGGTGTGAATCGGCGGATTCGAGCTTTGAAACCGTACGATGCTACCAGGTGGAGGGGGTTTGTCCTGTGGAGGTTAGATCAACATAAGTGGCCTGCTTCATGGATGGTGGATATCATAAGATAAAAATGCTATACTATATGGCTATATCCATGTCATATGAACCTAAATGACATTCTTTCTTACTTTTGTGTCATCTCCTTGTATATTAAGGTCTTAAAAAAGTCTTGTCATTTTTTCGCACGCATTCAGTGCAAATGAACGACAAGACTTTTTATGGTTTAAATTTTGATAAGAATGACATTTTATGATCATAACATTGCATTGTAAACCTGTATATTTCTTCTATACCTTGTACATCACTTTTATAACCTGTATATTACTTGCTATACTTATATTTCCTATCTTATTTACTATAATATCAATTTTTAGATTTTAAATTAAAAAACTTTTTTTTCTAAATTTTTTTTGTGAAAACGTTGCTGTATATACCTGGATGAACCGTCTTTTTTCTCAATTCGTACTGAATGTATCATATTGTACTGAGCGATTGTGCTATATTCGAATTAGATTTTGATTATTTTGTGTGTGAGATCTCATTACATTGCCAATAATTGTAGAAAATGTGAATAAATATTACTTGAAATATTGATTGAAATTTCTTTTTTAGAAAGATTTTTACAAAAAATGGCAAGAACTTTCTTTACAAACCAAAAAATGACAAGAACTTTGTTTACAGAACAAAAAATGGCAAGAACTTTCTTTACAAAACGTAATATGGCTATATCTGCAAGAAAGCGTACTAGGTCTGCTCAGCCATGGGCCAAATCAAAAACAGTTAAAAAAGGCCAACCTTGGCCTACAAGTGTAGCCCCGAGGGCCGAGGCTAAATGAAGACTTCATAAGACCAGCGGGAAAACCCATGTGGTTGAGTTCGAGCCGACCTTTTTACAGGTTTAAATGTGATAACAAATTCCTTAACAAAACAACAAATGGCAAGAACTTACTTAACAAAAAAATGGCAAGAACTTTCTTTACAAAACATAAAATAGCAAGAACTTTCTTTACAAAACAAAAACGGCAAGAACTTTCTTTACAATACGAAAAATGGCAAGAACTTTCTTTACAGAACGAAAAATGGCAAGAACTTTCTTTACAAAACAAGAAATGACAAGAACTTTCTTTACAAAACATAAAAAAATAAAATTTTTATATTGAAATAGAGCAATAAGACAATAAAACAGAGTTTTCAACGATCTTTTGTTATTATTTATGTTATCCCGTTACCATGGCACGCCGTTGGCAAGGAAATTCAACCGAGTGGAAAAGAAAATAAATTGCGAGGAAAAGTCAAGAAACTACTTTACCGGCCTTATTTTACCTTTTAATACCCAAATATACCTAAACTATTATAATTTTCACTTACATTTGTGTATTATCATATTATAGTAATGTCATCATGAACAATATCCTTCAATCTCGAGAAAACATTCAAAACGGGACTGGTACAAATAATAATGTAAGTCGTGTCTTTTCAAAATGAAAAAATGTCATTTTAGTCAAGACCAAATGTAATATTAATCGACCAGTCGAGAAATGAACAATTCACGCTTCGTAACGGATTTAGAAACCTTCAACGACATTTCAGAAATCAGTGGACATTTGAAGTGTAAGTCACCCCACCCTACCCTTGCCTTGCCTGTGCCTTGCCTGTGCCTTGCCTGTGCTTTGCCTTACTGTATCCTACCTTATATAATCGCCCTACTTTATTCTATTCTACTGTACCCTATCTTACTTTGTCTTATCCTACTTTAACATAATTTGTCCTACTGTGCTGTTTCCTACTCTACCCTATCTTATCTTACTTACTGTTTCGCACAGTGATGTGCCTTCTTCTTTCTCTACCCAATCTATCCTATACTCACTTGCCCTACCCTATGGTGCCGTACCTTCATCTTACCTTACCCTACCCTTTAGTAGCTTAAGTTAAGCCAATATTTTTTCAGAAACGAAGATGAAATCATTGGTTCAACATTGGAAAACTGTAAAATACTGGTGATTCCTGGTCCAAATGGCAAATTTTATACATCTGAAGTAAGGGATTTTTATTAATTTTTTGCAATTTTAGGTAAAATACGTTTCTACTACCCGATTATTTTACTGCACGGTTATGTACAACCCTAGTCAAGAACATTTTACAAAGTTTAACAAGTTTTAATGCTTAAAAATGCAATTTCTCTAAACTTTCTTTAACAAAAGGCTTAGAGTTATAAATAAAAACCGTTTTCAGTTTGATGAAATTCGAAACTTTATCAATTCCGGCGGTAGTTTGTTGGTAACTTTGGGCGAAGGAGGAGAGAAGGCTTCAGACACTAACATCAACTACTTGTTGGAAGAGTTTGGAATCGTTTTTAATAACGGTAGGCTTATCTATGACTTTTTTTGAAATTAGTTTTAAAGTCAGATATCTTACCCTACCCTGTCCTACCCTACCCTACATTACCCTACCCCACTGTACCTTGGCCTACTTTACCGTACCTTACCTTACCGTATCCTACATTGCCTTATCCTATCGTATGTTACCATAACTTTAGTACCGTATAGAACCGTGCCGTGCCCTTCTATTTTTTCTACCTTACCGTAGATTACAGTACACCGTTATCTGCCCTATCCTACCCTACACGATCATAACCTACTTTTTGTAACAGTAAACTATCTTTCAGACTCAGTAGTCCGTACAGTGTATTACCGTGGCTACTTCGACCCGAAAGAAGCGTTCATCACAAATGGCGTTTTGAATCGAGGTTTGGCCGTGGCGGCGGGTAAAAACCCAACAAATTTGGTGGATGATGGGAATAATAATCAGTAAGGTCTTACAATTTAAAAAAAAATTTTTTAAGTTAACAAATTTCAAAAAATGTCATTTTTAGGTAACAAAATTAAAAAAAAGTCATTTTTTGGCAAAAAATTTCAAAAAATTTATTTTTAGGTAACAAAATTTTAAAAAAGTCATTTTTTGGCAAAAAATTTCATTTTTAGGTAACAAAATTTAAAAAAAGCCATTTTTAGATAAAAAATTTCAAAAAAAGTCATTTTTAGGTAACAAATTTTAAAAAAAATATTTTTTGACAGAAAATTTAAAAAAATTTTATTTTAGGTAACAAAATTTTAAAAAAATTAGTTTTAGGTAACAAAATTTAAAAAATTTTTTTTATAAAAAAAATTTAAAAAAAGTGATTTTTTAGGTAACAAAACCTATTTTTTTTTAATTTTAATTTTTTTTAATTCCAGAGCCCTGTCGTTTGTTTATCCATTTGGCTCAACATTGACAGTAACAAAAGAAACAATTCCACTATTATCGACCGGCTCTGTTTGCTTTCCAATGAATCGACCAATTTGTGCTGGGAGGGTTACTGAGGTACGTTTTAAAACAAAGGGTAGGACAGGGTATAGATCTGAAAGAAGGATCACTCGGCCAGGCCGGCCCTGGTCCATACTAAGGTTAAAGGGCTAGGCCGATCGGAAGCTAAGACTCGGGGCTACTATAGGTCTAGTAGAGTAGGATAAGATAAGATGTGTTAAGATACGATAACGTACGATATGGTAGAGTTGTATGGTAGAGTTCGAATTGTACTTTCATATTTCGTATTTTACGCATTTTTTTTCAGAATGGTGGAAAAATTGTGGCACTCGGCTCAACTCATATGTTAACTGACAGCTACTTTGAGGAAAAGGAAAATGACAAAGTTATTGTGAGTTTAGCTATCAAATAACAAAAAAAGTATTTTAATCGTAAAAAATGGCATAAACTTTCTTTACAAACTAATTTTTTAGACAAAATTATAGCACTTGCAAAGCCGACGTATAACTTGTCAGCTGCAGCCTGCGCTGCCTGAAATTTACGTTTTTAGTCTTAAAAATTGTAAAATGGCAAGAACTTTCTTTACAAAACAAAAAATGGCAAGAACTTTCTTTACAAAACAAAAAATGGCAGTAATTTTCATTACAAGACACAAAGTAGCAAGAACTTTCTTTACAAAACAAAAAGTTGCAAAAACTTTCTTTACAAAACAAAAAATGGCAAGAACTTTCTTTACACTCTATCTAATTTCAGAATGTCTTATTCAAATTTCTATCAGAAAACATGGAAATGAACCGCCTTGACATAGAAGCTCCAGACCTAGCCGATCCTCATACCATCCCGGATAACTTGGTCTTATCAAGAGGATTCAAAATGTGTGTTCAAGAAAGCGACGTTCAGCAGAATTTACCGGTCGGAGATGTCACCAAAATCTTTGAAAGTACTGTAAAGTCATTGGATTTGCATATGTGGCCGGAGTGCATCAAGTAGGTTAAGAATTTTGAAATTTTCGCTGTTGGAAAGAAAGTTCTTGCCATTTCTTGTTTTGTAAATAAAGTCTTTGCTATTTTTTGGTTTGTAAAGAAAGTTATTGCCATTTTTTAGTTTGTAAAGAAAGTTCTTGCCATTTTTTAGTTTGTAAAGAAAGTTATTGCCATTTGTTCATGTTGTTTGATAACAAAAAAACAAATTTGTAAATTTTGACGATATTCCACAAAAGTTATTGATTTTTCGACGAAGTGTCACAAATTTTATCGGATTTTGAAAAATATGATTTCAGAGCCTACTCTAAGCTGGACCTAAAACAAGAGCCCTTAACTTTGGTACCACCCGTTTTTGAATGTCCGCAGCCTCCATTAACTCCAGCTGTATTTCCACCCTGCTACAGAAATCTACCCCCACCAACGCTCGAATTATTCGATTTGGACGACGCATTCTCTTCTCAAGAAGCCAGAATGGCCCAAATTACAAACAGATGTAACCCTACCCTACCCTACCCTATCATACCCTACCCTGCCCTACCCTACCCTACCCTACCCTACCCTACCCTACCCTACCTTCCCCTCCCCTCTTACTCTGCTGCACCATACTGTACCTATCCGTACCTTGCTTTACAGTACCCTACTCAACCTTATTGTATAATACCTTATTCTACTCTACCGTATCATGTCCTATAGAGCCTCACCGTATTCTGAAGCACCTTATCCTATCTTACCATACTTAGCTCTATTTTACCCCGCCCAAATCTGACTTTCTAAAATATATTTACGGCATTTCAGGTTCTCCAAAAGACATTTCAACTTATATAAAGGAAGTTGGGCAGATGTTGGGTATTACTGACTCATTATCACCTTCAAACCGAGGTCCAAAGGAGATATTGGAGCATGCCATGCTTCAAATGATCGAATTCAAACAGCTGAATTACGTATGTTTTTTTTTAATTTTGTTACCTAAAAATGGATTTTCTATTCAGAACTGTCATTTTTGTAGTTTGGCGTAAGTCAAAAAAGTATTGTCGTCAATTTACATTACTTTCAACAGTAAAAAACGACAAGACTTTTTTTGCTTAATTTTTTAAAAAGCTTTGATTTCAAAACTTAAAGACTACGTATTTTATAATCTAAAACTTCATTTCAGGACGAAAATGATGCTCATTTGTATGCTCCAGACGACCAGACCAACATCTTCGACCAGCCGGCTGACGGGGATTACTTTTCGGATATTGATGACTATGATGACATTATTGAATGATTTTATAAAAAATGACATTTTTTATGTGATACACAGTATTTTTTACATTTAATGTTCAATTTTCCGTCATTTTCATACAGTATTACATTTAAAAATGACTTTTTCCCAGCCGCGTCAAAAAGAATTGTTCGGTTTTCCTAATACATTGGAAAAAGACCAATTCTTTTGACGCGGTTGGTCAACCTTTGTTTTTACTTCAAAAATTGACATTTTTGACCAAATACACTATATCAAAAATTTAAAAAATTCATTTTAACGTTTTAAAAGTCCATTTATTCTTTAAAATCGACCAAAAATCAGTTTTTCACGAAAAAATGGGCTTTATATTCACCATCTGATTCTATCTTGTTCTGGTTTTGCGAAGCTCGGCCTTTTTGTTTGACACTTTCTTGACACTCTCCATCGATACTACTGGCTTGGCTGGCTTTCTCAGTTTCTGAAAAAAAGAAAAATTTGTTACTTAAAAATGACATTTTTTAATTTTGTTACTTAAAAATGAAATTTTTTTAAATTTTGTTACCTAAAAAAGACTTTTTTTTATACTTTGTTACCTAAAAATGAATTTTTTTTTGAAATTTTGTTGCGAACAAATGACATTTTTTTAAATTTGTTACCCAAAAATAACTTTTTTTAAAATTTTATCACCTAAAAATGACCTTTTTTGAATTTTTTAACCTAAAAATTACTTTTTTAAAAATTTTTTTACCTAAAAAATGAACTTTTATTGAATTTTGTTACCTAAAAATAACATTTTTTGAATTCCGTTATCTGAAAATAAATTTTTTCAAACTTTGTTTTTTAAAAATGATTTTTTTTTGCATTTTGTTACCCAAAAAATGACATTTTTTAAATTTTGTTACCTAAAAAAGTATATTTTAGCTCTCGGACTGAACAATGTGTTCCGGCAGGTCGCGCCCAACAAAAATAAAAAAAAATCCAAATTGTGGCAACTCACAGCTTAGAAAAGTCATCTTTAATTCAAATTTTTAAAAAACCATACCACATTGTCTCGACAAACGGCTAGTTTCGTTTCCTTCTCCAAGAGTTTGCACACTTCGGTCATGTTCTTCCGCTCCTTGTGAGGTACAAACACATTCTCCATAAAGATCTCAGCGATTTGGGGAGGGGTTTCTGATGGAAATCTGGCTTTTAGGTCCTTCTGAAAAAAATTTTTTTTTCAATTTTAAAAATTTTTAAAAAATTTAAAAAAAAATTTTTTTGCCCCCCCCCTCCAAAAAAAAACTCAAAAATTACCCTACCCTCCACCCCATTATAAAATTATGTCCGAAAAATCCAGTACATTGTCCACCCCTTCCTCTTCCTTACCCCTCCCCCCCCTCCCTCAACCTCCCCCCCCTTCCACCCCCAAATCAAATTACCCCCAAACTCACACAAAACTCCCCCTTGAAGACCTCCATCATCTCGGCCCTAGTGTAAGGTCCGTATGGCAGACTGTAGGCAAACGTGTACACCTCCCATGCCAACCATCCAAAGGCCCAAACGTCTGACAGAGCATCGTATGTGTCGGTTTTGTAGCATTCTGGAGCCACCCAACGCCACGGAATCGAGGTTTGATCGTCCATGTTCTTGTAGGACACGCCTTGACGTGATAAGCCAAAGTCACAAATCTTGGCCTGAAAAAGGATGGCATTAGTAATACATGTACAGAACATCATAAAGGTTACGGTAAGTGATGGTCCAGGAGTTGCGCTAGAGCTAGAGCTACGAAGGTTACGGTTGAGGTAGCTCAATAAAGAATACGGTAGGGATCATGAAAGTTACAGTAAGGGGTACGTCGCAAAGGTTACTGTAAGGGTATGTCATAAAGCTTACAGTAGAGGCAGATCATGGAAGTTACTGTAGAAGTAAGCCATAAAAGATTAAAATAGAAGTACGTTACGAAAAATTACGGTAGTGGTACGGGTAGGCAGTGAAGATTACGGTAGGACGTAGGATAGGGTAGGGTAGGGTAGGGTAGGATAGGGTAGGGTAGGGTAGGGTAGGGTAGGGTAGGGTAGGGTAGGGTAGGGTAGGGTAGGGTAGGGTAGGGTAGGGTAGGGTAGGGGTAGGGTAGGGTAGGGTAGGGTAGGGTAGGGTAGGGTAGGGTAGAATAGGGTATGGTAGGGTAGGGTAGGGTAGGGTAGGGTAGGGTAGGGTAGGGTAGAGTAAGGTAGGGTAGGGTAGGGTACTTACCACGCCACTTTTTGAGTACAACACATTCCTAGCAGCAATGTCACGATGGATACACTTCTTGAAATGTAGGTATTCCAGTCCCCAAGCTGATGGTAAGATCATTTTCTCAAGTTTTTCCTCTTCTGTCGGCGGTTTGTCTGAATCTTTGGCTTCTTCCAGGAACTTATTCAAGGCTTGGCCATCGATGAACTCCATAATGATCATCAGTGGGTCTTTCTGAAGGGCTACACCGTACATTTTTATGACGTGGGGGTGTTGGTAGTCTAAAAATCAATTTTTTCTGATTTGTAAAGAAAGTTCTTGCAATTTTTTGTTTTGTAAAGGAAGTTCTTGCCATTTCTCGCTTTGTAAAGAAAGTTTTTGCCGTTTCATCTTTCGTAGACAAAGTTCTTTCCATTTCAATCCCCTAACCATAAAAATCAGTCTTTTTCCCCTAAAAAACCACTTCCGCTTTACGACAAATAACCCAAACCTACTTCTCATCATTTTTGCCTCCTTCAGCACATTTTCAATTTCCTGCTTTTCAGTCGTGGCTTTAGCCGTTTTCACGGCGACATCGATCGTTCTAGCTTCTATTTTGATGGTACCTTTGAAGACGGTACCAAACTGACCTTCGCCTAGCTTGTCCTTACTCAATGTGACATTTTCGTGTGCAATTTCCCATGGAAAACGATGAATTGGCGTGATTGGAATGGAGTTGTCATTCTGAAAATAAAAAATAGAATTTTGAGATTTCGATAAAATTTGTGACATTTCGTCAAAAAATCAATAATTTTTGTGACATTTCGTCAAATTTTGAAATCCGGCTCTTTTGTTGGCCAAATAGCAAGTTCAATCAAAATTTTGAACAAAAAGTGCAAAAACTTTCTTTACAAAACAGAAAATGGCAAGAACTTTCTTTACAACACAAAAAATTGCATGAAGTTTTTTCACAAAGCACAAAACGGCAAAAACTTTCTTTACAAAACAAAAAATGGCAAGAACTTTCTTTACAAAGCAAAACTTATTGCTAATTTAGACTGACCCATCGTGTAATTTGTCACCCGCAGTCTGCAGCTCACCCTCTTACCTTCGGATCCAGTTTTTTCTTCTTCTGCACGTACTTTTCGACCAATTCCGGCACCGATCCATACTTCTCATTGTTTATCGTGCATTTCTTGCCATTTCTTACGATATGTGCAGAGTAAATGACGTTTTTGCCCTTTGAATCTAGTCCAGTACAAACACTGATGCCCGGTACTTTCTTGACTTTTTTGGTGTTACCTCCTTCTCGTTCTCGTCGTTGGTCTGGTTTGTGATTGAGACGTCCTTCAGGCCTTCGCCGTCCATCATCCACACTATGAAGTCGCCTTTTTTCAGGAGCATCTCTTCTACGTCTTCCTTGCACAACATTCCATGGAAATAGTCCTGGAAATTTATGTACAAACTAATTTTTTTTTTAATTTTAAATATAAAAAAAATTTAAAATTTAAAAAAAATTTAAAAAATTCAAAAATTCAAGAAACTTCATAAATTAAAAAAAATTTCTTAAATTTAAAAAAAATTTTTTAAAAAATTTTTTTAATTTTTCGTTTTACCTTACCCTTATAAATGACATTTTATGTCTCCCTATTACTTTTTGAACTTAAAATCCCAAACTGAAAACATTTAAAAATTTGACTTTGCGTATAACATGACACCGCAGCCTGCGGAAGCCATATAATGTTCCAAGTGCCATTTTTAAACAAACCATAAAACAAAAACTATGATAAATAACATTTTATAACATAATATTACCATAAAAATCAACTTCACTCAATTAAAGCCTCAAATTTTTAAAAAAATTATTTTGCGTATAAAATGCCTCCGCAGCCTGCAGAATCCAAAAATCGTTAAGAATGTCTTTTTTGCGTCAAATTTTTAAAAAGAAAAAAAAACTAACAAAAATTATTAAAAACTTCATTTACAACACGATTTTAGCATAAAATTTCACATAACTCTTTTGGCTTTGCCTACAACAACATTAACCTTCATGCCAAAGACAATATAACGTTACCTGTTCTTCCAGAAGTACCTTCTCCTTCTTCTTTCCACTCGGACTAGCGGGCTTGATTTTCGGAGTTGAAGTCATTGATTCGACCGTCCGATGCGTTTAGAAATGTAACGAATGATAAAAAAATGAAAGTTTTGATTATTTTCAGTTTTTAAGTAACAAATAATTTTTCTTTAAATGTTACTTTAAAAATTTTTTTTGCAAAAACGTTCTATTGTTATCTGGGATAGTCGTGTCAACCTTTTTTAATTTAATTTTTAACTCAAGTTTGCTTGTGAATGTTTTTGTGTCGGGACCCAAATCGAGTAAAAACGCCAAAAAAATAAATTGTTACTTTACTCTGCCCTATTCTACATTTCCCCCATCCTACTTTACCCTAAACTTTCAGCTTGGTCTTGTTTGTGAATGTTTTCGTGTCGAGACTCAAGTCAAGCAGTGCCAAAAAATAAGAATATTTGCTCCAATTATACTATTACCAAGTCAAATAATATTAAAAAAATATCATTCTTGTTCTGACTGGATCGAAAGTGGTCGGTTATTTTTTCAAAATATTTTCTGTTCAACTGAATTAGCAGTGGTCGATAATGTTGGAGTCCAAGTTCCGGTTGATCATGTTGTTTCAGTTCGTTGTGACATTGGTATTGATGGGTAAGTAACTTACCGTTAGCTACATACTCTTTTGCCTTTTTTTAATGCTATATATTTGTTCTTGATTACAAATTTACCTTTTACACCGTACACCTTGTTTAAGACAAGCTCTCTGATACGTCTGTTTCAAGTCAAAATGGTGGTTTTACTTGTTATGAATGCTATGGCTTTAACGATCCGACTGCTCCGGATCAGGTACAGTTGACAATTTTTTATCGTTTGTTCAACTTTTTTTTAAATTAAAATTTTTTTAATTAAAAAAATTTTTTTTTAATTTGAAAATTTTCAGGATATGAATCTCAACTTTTCCAGACATTGTGCTATTGTGGACGAACAGACAAATATTTCTACCATGTTTTGTCAAATACAATTGGGTTGTAGATACGACTTTTTCCCTTACAAGACTATGTCTGGCAAAGGTAATTAAATTATAAAAACTGGAAGGCAGTTAGCCTTTATCATGCAGTTGTTTTGCTGCTGGAGCTCCTTGGTCATGTCTATAAAATTTTGCATTAAGCTTAGTAGGCGTTATAAACTGAGGTTTGGAGTCGGTATTTAGTAGGCTGTAAACTTAGAAAGCTTGGGCTTAGGCTTAGTAGTCTTAGGCTTAGTAGTCTTAGGCTTAGTAAGCTTGGGCTTAGTAGGCTTAGACTTAGTAGGCTTAGGCTTAGTAGTCTTAGGCTTAGTAAGCTTGGGCTTAGTAGGCTTAGACTTAGTAGGCTTAGGCTTAGTAGGCTTAGGCTTAGTAGGCTTAGGCTTAGTAGGCTTAGGCTTAGCAAGCTTAGGCTTAGTAGGCTTAGGCTTAGTAGTCTTAAGCTTAATAGGCTTTGGATTAGTTAGGTTAGGCTTAGTAGGCTTAGGCTTAGTAGGCTTAGGCTTAGTAGGCTTAGGCTTAGTAAGCTTAGGCTTAGTAGGCTTAGGCTTAGTAGGCTTAGGCTTAGTAGGCTTAGGCTTAGTAGGCTTAGGCTTAGTAGGCTCAGGCTTAGTAGGCTTAGGCTTAGTAGGCTTATGTTTATTAGGTTTAGTAGGCTTGGGCTTAGTAGGCTTGGGCTTAGTAGGCTTGGGCTTAGTAGATTTAGGGTCGGTAGGCTTAGGCCTAGTAGACTGAAGCTTACGCATTGTGTACCGATGCTTATATGTAATAGACTGATGTGTACGACATCTGTGTGGATTTATATACATAACTCGATACGTTTTTTGTACTTTAATAAGCATGTTTTAGTGTACGACATGACACTGCGAAGGTGCAATGTGCACGCAGATCAGGTAAGGCTGAATGTTTTACATGCACACATTATTGTTTAATCTTATTTATATTTCATTCTTACTTTACCTTTATATTGTAGATGGAAGACGGTTGCGAATATAGAGACGGTACCGGTCCTTTTCATGGCCTAACTGTGTATGGTTGCATTTGTCACGGAGATCAGTGCAATTCTCCCACTTTCACCACAACCTCAATGCCAAGCACAACCGAGTCTGTAACCACAACCGGTCCCGAATCGACAACCGATCCCGAATCGACAACCGATCCCGAATCGACAACCGATCCTGAATTCACAACCGCTTTTGACTTCACAGCCGCTTCTGACGTCACAACCGATCCTGAATTCACGACTGAAGACCCGGGAAACTCGACTGCCAATTCGACCGCTCTAGCCTTGTTACCAACTGACTGGTCGATTTCACTAACGACTCTGATCTCCAACTACATTTGGCTTTACTTGTTGTAGCAGATTGAAGGCAAATAAACATGAACTGACACTGATTTTTGTTGCTATTTTTGATTGTTTTCGCGGCGGGACATAGTGTTTTGTCGGACCGGTTTGAGATAGGTAGGCTTGGGTGGAGTACAGTAGAACAAGGCAAAGCAGGGCAAGACATCACAGGGCAGGGCAAGACAGTGCAAGACAGAACAGAGTAGAACAAGACAAGACAAGGCAAGACAAGACAAGACAAGACAACACAAGACAAGACAAGGTAAGATAAGTCAAGACAAGAAAAGACAAGACAGGGAAAGACAAGACAAGACAATACGCAGTGAAGGGCAAGATCTACTCGTTCTCTACTCTACCCTTCACTACACAGCGAGTTGAATGTTAGGCCTGGTCCGATTTAAATTTTGCTCGAGGCCAGCTCGGTCTGGGTCGATTTTTTGACGTTCAAACCGGCCTGGCCAAGAGTTGATTTTCAGGCCCGGCCCGTTTCCTCATGTCTAGCCTTGTGTAAACGAAGTGTCGCATCTTTATTTTGTTATTTTACTTTGGTTTTGGGTGCTATGCTCTGTGGTACTCTAATTTATCTGATTAGCATAGTACTTTTCAAGGTAATACAATATGAAAACAAAAGATCATTCTTAATCTGATTTAATTGAAAGTGGTCGGTTAATTTTTATATTTTTCGTTTCACTGAATTGGCAGCGGTGATGTTGGAGTCAAAGTCCCGGTCGATCATGTTGTTTCAGATCGTTGTGACGTTGTTGTTTATTGGTAAGTATCTTACCGTCAGCTACATACTCTTTTGCTTTTTTAACGCTATATATGCACCCTTGTTTACGAATTTACCTTTTAAACCGTATACCTTGTTTAAAATAAGCTCTTTTATACTTATGTTTCAGGACAAGTTGTTGCATCTGAGAAATCTACTTGTTATGAATGCTTTGGCTTTAACGATCCGACTGCTCCGGAGCAGGTACAATTGACAATTTGTTATTGTTTGTTCAACTTTTTTTTTTAATTTAAATTTTTTTTTTAAATTTTTTTTTAAATTTTGTATTTTTTAGGATGGAAATCTCAACTTTTCCAGACATTGTGCTGTTGTGGACGAACAGACAAAAATTTCCAGGCCATGTACAAAAGAACTAGGTTGTAGATACGACATTTTCTCTTACAAGGCTACGACCGGCAAGGGTAATTAAATTATAAGAACTGGAAGGCAGTTAGCCTTTATCATACCGTTGTTTTGCTTCTGGAGCTTGTTGGTCATGTCCAGGGCCGGGAGCGATACCTGTGCTGATTTTTTTTTGACCCTCGCTTCTAGACCAAAATTCCTCGCCCGGCCGTTGTTATATCTATGAAATTTTGCGTTAAGCTTGGTAGGTTTTAGTTTGCAGGTTGAGGCTTAAGCTTAGTAGGTTCAAGCACTAAAAGATGAGGTTTGGACTTACCAGGTTTAGGCTTAGTAAGCTTAGGCTTAGCAGTCTGAGGCTTAAGATTTAAAATTTTAGGCATAGTAAGCTTAAGCTTAACAGGCTTACTCCTACTAGATTAAAGCTTAGGCATTTTAGGTTAAGGCTTAATAGGCTTGGGTTTGACTTGCTTTGTAGGCTTGGGCTTAGTAGGCTTGGGCTTAGTAAACTTAGGCATTGTAGGCTTAAGCTTAGTTGATTTAGGCTTAGTAGGAAAAGGCTTAGTAGGCTTCGACTTAGTAGGCTTAAGCTCATAAACGTAGTACAATGAGATTTAGGCTTAGGTTTGATAGACTGAGGTTTAGGCTTTGTAAACAGGTGCTTAGGTCTGGTAGACCGATGTTTACGACATCTGTTTTGATTTATAGACATCTTTTAATACGTTATATTTCATCTTACTTTAACAAGTGTTTTTTAGTGTACGACGTGACAATGCGCAAGTGCAATAGATTTGGAGATGAGGTAAGGCTGTATGTTGTACATGCACACGTTGTGCTCTAATCAAATTCATATTTTATTTTTACTTTACCTTTATATTGCAGATAGAAGAAATTTGCAAAAACAAGTCGGGTGAACATCCGTTTGAGAAATATTCCGTGTATGGTTGCATTTGTCAGGGAGAGCTGTGCAATACTTTCACCTTCACCACAACTCTAATGCCAATCACAACCGAACCTGAACCTACAACCGATCCCGAATCCACAACCGATCCTGACTTTACGACTGAAGACCCGGGAAACTCGACTGCCAATTCGACCGCTCTAGCCTTGTTACCAACCGACTGGTCGATTTCACTGACGACATTGATTTCCAACTACATTTGGCTTTACTTGTGGTAGTAGGTTGGGGACAAATGAAAATGAACTGACTTTGATTTTTGTTGTGGTTTTTTGATTGTTTTCGCGGTGGGACCTGTGTTTTGTCGGGATGGGTTGAGATATGTAGGGTAGGCTCGGGTAGGATAAAACAGGACAGAACGGAAAAGTACAAGACGGCACTGGGCAAGACAAGGAAAAGCAAGGAAATGTAGAGTAAGGTAGAATAAGGTAAAGTAAATGGCTTTAAAGTTTAATTTCTTGTGTTTATTGTGCCTAAACTTACACTATATTGATATATTAACATACAGTATCAAAAATCAACAACTCTAACAAACTCTGTACAAATTATGAGAAATTTTTTCCCTTCAACCGCATTTCAAAAAAAATTGAAATTTTTAAACTGTTTTTTGAAAATTATCGACCGGTCGATAATTGTACTTATGATGGCTTGTCATATAGATGAATATAGATGGATCATATTATTCATTCTCATCAATAGACCCTTCCGGTTTTTCCGTAGTCGGTTCGTCTTTGTCATTGAATTCGTTCCAAACACTTAGCCATTGGGCTTCGGAAAACACTTCGCCCATCTCAGTATTCGACGAAGACTCAGCGTAGTTGTAGGAGTTGGTTGGGACGTCTTTGTACCATTGTTTGCCGTATGTAGACTGAAGAATATTATAATAACATGAAAAATTAAATTTTCAAATTTTGCATTATTTTTTGTTTTGTAAAAAAAGTTCTTGCCGTTTTCTGTTTTGTAAAGAAAATTCTTGTAATTTGTTGTTTTGTAAAGAAAGTTCTTGCCACTTTTTGTTTTGTAAAGAAAGATCTTGCTATTTTTAATTTTGTAAAGAAAGTTCTTGCCATTTTTTATAAATAATGTTCGTACCTCCAAAATGGCTTCAGTATTGCACGGTACATACACCAGTTGACCATGTAGATCACCACTACACATTTTTGTTATCCTAGGCGAATAGTATCGTATCACTTGTCGCTTCCACGGCATCATACCCGCAATGTACTCGGTGGTCTTATTCTTCTGGTACATGATGAAGAAGTCGGCTCTTACATTGCCCCAAACATGGTAACTTGTCTCCAGACCCTCCTCGATCCGGCCAGCTCTGAATCTGCGACGATACACAGAATCCAGATGCTTAAAGAACTCGGTGCGATACTCTTTGTACTGTATTGCAAAGTCGAGATCATGGGTATGTTCAATTATGTCACATTCACGGTACCAGCCCAGTAATGAGCCGCCTATCAAGAATACTGTAACATTTTGTTTGTCTCCTCGACGTCGAATCTCGTCGAAAACTCCCACTTTTGTCAACGGTATGATTCTGGTGACGTCACGAACGATGGAGAAGTTCATACATTCCATAAACTGGGACTTGGGCCAATGAAAATTTAGCCATTTTAAAGATTTTGGCCGTTTTACTATGAGGTACGTTGAGTCATCAACTGGCACGGTGATAAATGGAACGCTGGTTTTGAAGCTGAAAATTGAAAATGTGAAGTTTGTCTTCACCCTACCGTATTCTATGTGACAACGTCTTAAACTATCGTACCCAATCGTAGCGTACCGTACCCTTTCATATATTATCTTATTTTACTTTTCGGTATCTCTACCATAAAACATGTTATACAATGATATCTTACCGTGGCAAAACCCGCTTTGCCATAGTGCCATTCTTTGAGATCTGTGCTCCATGAAGGGTAATGTAAGTTTTGGAAGGATCATCTTCCATTATATATTCTGTTTTTATATGTTTAGAAGTGGCAGGGCCACTCATAGCACATTTGATTGGTCCTTTACAAGGTTTTTGCTGTGCTAGGTTCTCCAGACAGTCCACGTCTACTAGTAGACTGAAAAAACTTTGTTTACAAAATAAAAAATAGCAAAAACTTTCTTTACAAAACAAAAAATGACAAGTACTTTCTTTTAAAACAAAAATAAAAAGCTTTGCGAAATTTCTAAAAAATCTATAAAGATGGTGACACTTCGTTTAAAAAATTAATAATTTTTGTGACATTTCGTCAAATTGTAAGAAATTGGCGTTTTTTGATAGTACAATTGCAATTTAAATCAAAATCTTTATTTTTGCAGAAAAAAATGCAATAACTTTCTTGACAAAACAAAAAATTGCAAGAACTTTCTTTAAAAAACAAAAAAATTGCAAAAACTTTTTTTTTCACTTACCAATTTTCAACTTTTTCAATGTGTCGTTTCTCTGCTTTCTGATGTAGATGTGATTGAGTGACAGCATAAACACATAGTAAGGCAAAGCCAAGTGGGCCGATTTTAAGTACAGTAGCCAAGTAAGACCTCGTATTCCTGGGTGCCATAAGGGCTAGGCGTTGTTGGTAGCGCATGGGAAGTTTAAGCGATATTTTTCAAAAATCAAGTGCTTATTTAAAACAATTATATGGTAGTTACACTGTAGGTTGTAGTAGACAATCTGGTAGATTCTAGGAGTACTGTAGAAAAAAGTATATACTAATGAGTACGGTAGAACAATACAAAAGTAGTTTTTAAATACAGTAATAAGTGTTTTGGCAGTGCAGATAAAAGGAACAGAAATATAAAGTTGAAAGATTACTGTAGCATGTACAGTACAACGTTTGTTTCTCGACGGTTCATAGAAGCGAGTACAGTTCTTTTTAAGCTTTTTTTGTAATTTTTACAGTACCTTCTTACGCCTTATACAGTAAATTTTAGTACTTTGTTGAAAGCCAGTGGTTATCGTAGTCTACAGTAATTTAAAAGTAGAAAGACTACTGTAATCTTATAATACCTAGTTAGTGAAATTTTTAAAATACAGTAGCTTTTACGTAGAAACTGTAAAATTTTTATAGAAAATTTAGTATACAGTAATTTTCGTATACGACTTTGTAGGATACAGTAACTTTAAAAGTTTAAAATCAAATTTATATCAATTTAACAAAATATAATGAACTGAAAAATATTATTTAAACAAACACTATACTTTATATACACGCTTGTTTACACAAATGTGATGCCCTGTTTGTTGTATCGTTCCACTGTCAAAACATAAGCATACATGGAGGAGAAACAAACGAAATTTAACATAGATCATGCTTTTTCAAATAAGAATGTATAGTACGTGAGAATAAAAAAATGGCTGTAGCTGGGTTAATTAAGGCTAGACTAAAGCTATATCCAAAAGACTAAATTTATAACTAAAAAACTTTAAAATTCGAAAGGTTTTGCAGTTTTGAGTTAATTTTAGTGCGCTTAAGTATAGGTTTAATAAAACGCTTAGCTGTTAATAAAAATTGGTTTAGCTTAAGTTTAGTAGGTTTAGTGCTTAGTAAGCGCAGGCTTAGTATGCTTAGGGTTAGAAAGCTTAGTATTTTTCAGTTTAGACATAGTAAGCTTAGGCTTAATAAGCATAAGCCTACGCCTACGCGTAAGTTCTAAGCCTAAGCATAAGCTTAACCTTAAGCCTATGCTTAAATCTGAGCCCTTGCTCTATTCTAAGCCTAAGCTTAAAATAATTTTTTATTAAATTTTTATAAATATGCCAACTTCAAAATAAATAAATCTTTATTGCATTTTTTCTGTATTATATTATTCTTCTACCCAGTAATATTGCTCCAAAACTGTTTTTTAGGATAAATAATATACACATTCTGTAAGTGTTGCCCCCTCTTCACTCCACTCCTACCCCATAGTCCAGTCTGCTTCAATTGTTGACGAAAAGCCCGTCGATACTCGTTATTAGTGGCATAGTAAATAAAGTAATTGGCGGCTATGCCAAGGTTGGCAGGCCAGCCAAAGTCCGTGTGTATGAGAAACATGGTCCGTTCCGATGCGTTTGTTTGTGCAGCTGTCATACCGACAAAAGTTGTAATGAACCAGCCGAAAACCAGCGTGCCCATGATGTACGTCAGGGTTTTGGTCAACTTTCTGGCGTACACAGCTTAAACGAAAGACGTAAGGGTTGAAAAGTGGAGTGAGGGTGGGATGGAAGATCAATTTAGCATGAGCATGAACATGAGCATGAGCATAAGCATGAGCATGAGCATGAGCATGAGCATGAGCATGAGCATGAGCATGAGCATGAGCATGAGCATGAGCCCTAGCCCAGAGCCCTCGCTCAGAGCCCTAGCCCAGAGCCTTAGCCCAGAACCCTAGCCCTAGCCCAGAACCCTAGCCCTAGCCCTACCCTAGCCTAGAGCCCTAGCCTAGAGCCCTAGCCCTAGCCCTAGCTTCAACTCTAACCTGCGTCCCCAGCCTACTCTCCACCATTTTACCCTACCCTGCCCTTTTACTTACCATTTTTAATCCTAATAAAAGCCCAAAGCACACAGTAACATGTCACGGTAACTGCGAATGTTATCCATTGTACCACGTTCCAGGTATGTTGCATCTCTTCGTAGAACACATCAGTTATAAAACATACTACCATGTCAGTACTGGACTGCATTACCCGTTGATAAGCCAGCACTAACAATGAGATCGAGTAAGCGGTCGGAAGAGCTATCATTAATAGAAGGTAAGGTAGTTGATATGAACGGTTTAGTTGGTCGTAGTATCTGAAAATGATTGTATAATAAAGAGGTATAAGATACATATAATAGCAAAAATTTTAAATTTGTATTTTTGCTTTTTTAACGCTTTTTTGAAAAATTTTTAATATTTGACGAAGTGTCACCAGTGTTTTGCCGGACCGGTCCGGTCCGCGGACGGGTCCGGTCCGGTCCGGTCCGGAAGAAAAATTTTTTTTTATTTTAAGAAAACTGTTTTAAAAATTGCAAATAAAACATATTTTTAGGAGTTTTTAAGCAAGAAGAAAGCAGTTTTAGCGAACCTTGCTTTTTTTAAAAATTAAAAAAATTTTTTTGCGGCCGGACCGGACCCAAAAATTTTGGGTTTGGACCGGTCCGAACCGGACCCAAAAATTTGAAGTTTGGACCGGACCGGACCCAAAAAATCTGAAAATCTCAAAAAATCTGAAAAGTGAAAAACGCTCCGGACCGGTCCGGGCAAAACACTGAGTGTCACAAAAACTATTGGAAAACTTTTTAATCAAAAAATGTCTCTTTAGTTAATTATTTTGCTATAAAACGTCAAAATTTATTATTTTATATTGTTTTAGGTGTGGGACGAAGTGTCACAAAAATTATTGGAAACATTTTTATTCAAATATTTTTGTTCTAGTTACTTTCTTTGCCAAAAAACGTCAAAATGTAGCATTTTTACATTATTTTTGTTTTCTAACAAAATGTCACAAAAGTATTGGAAAAGCTCTTTTTGATATTTCGTTAATTTTTTGCCATTTTTAATTTGTCATTTTTAGATGAAGCACAAAAACAGCAAAGTTTTTGCTATTTTAATTATGAACATATAGAAATTTTCATTTTCTAAAACCTCAATTTAGAAAAAAGTAAAAACTCACCGTAAAGGAAATATGACACAACATAGCCGATCCAAACCCACTGATAAATAGGCAAACGAGCCAAAATTCATAGCAAACACAAATGGCAGTTGTAGGTAGTAACAATTTTCCAAATTTATGAAGTAATTCACTGTGAAGAAACGAAATGCAAAGATGACATGAGCTAGCTGATGGATAATATCAAAAAATGCCGTTATGGCTATTAGGATACAACAATTTGTGTGGAGCTTCCTGAAAATGTCATTTTTATTTGATATTTGATCAAAAAATTATGTAAATTTTTTAAATTTCAAAGTTAAAAGAACGCAAAAACAAACTTTTTTCCATAGGTTTTAAATGTAAAAACTTTCTTTACAAAGACTTCATGTGAAAAAAACTTTCTTTACAAAAGTTAAAAAATAAAAAAATTTAAATTTTTTGGGCTTACTTTGTTCGATATGTGGCAATAATAATGTTGGAATTACCAAAAAGTCCAACAAATACAGTGATCAGTATGACTATGATACCAGGAACAGCTGACCAGATTAACTTGTCTTGATAGTACGGATATAGCTAAAAATCAAAAATTTTATTAAAAAATACATTTTTCATAAGAAAATATTTTTTAAAGCCCAAACAGAGACTTAAGCCTAAGAAAAATTTTACGTTCAAACCTAAACCTATGACCAATTCTCAGCCTAAGCATGGCCTGAGCCTAAGTCTGAGTCTCTGTCAAAGCCTGAAGCTAAGCGTAAATCTAAACCCGAGCTTAAGTATAAGCCTAAGTTTAAGGTTGAACCTGAACTTAAATCTGAAACTAAGCTTACGTTTATGCCTATTCGCCTAATCTTGAGCATAAACTTTAAATTAAGCCTATGTCTGTGCTAATACTTATGCTTAAGCCAAGTGTTAAGCGTAAAGCTGAGCTTGTGCTTAAACTTAAGTTTAAGCTTTATCCTAAACCGTAAGCCTAAATCATTTAAACTAAGCTTAAGCCTAAGTTCAAGCCTAAGCGTCAGCCTAAGAATCAGCCTAAGCTGAAACCTAAGCCAAACGCTAAGTTTAAACTCTATTCCAAGCCGTCCAGAAGCTAAGAACAAGCACAAGCCAAATCTAAAAAGTCTAGCCCTAAGCCTAATTTTATAAACTTAATATTTACTTAAATACGCCTAAGTTTATCTCCCTTACTCCGCTTCTAATGCTTAAAAAATAAAAAAAATTAAAAAAGTAATTTTGCACAAAAGTGTAATACCAAAAAATCTTACCTTAGTTGCCATGTTGTAAGTCATTCCAACCGACTCCGGTTCATTTAAATATTAAGTAAACCAATTACATTCGGAACAACGACACAATCCAAACAGCCTGTAACACAATCGTATGACGTTAACAATATTAGGACAACTAAAAAATAACGACTTTAGGCGACCAATAACAACAAAAAAATAAAGTTACACGTGCTCCTTAAAAGGTCACTAAATTTATGCCAATTTTTTTATAATCTTACTATCATATTAGGGTTCAACACAAAGGAAGTGACTTATTTTAGTTCAAGAATAGACCAACTATGCAGAATAACTAATTATGAACTTTGTATCTGTACAAACTTGTTAGAAATAAGAATGTATCATAGTAAGGTAAACAAAACCTGAAAATTTTAATTAAAAATCTGACACAATGACTAAGAAATGAAAAAAATAAAATGACTCCACCCTGCTCTTCTCCCAAAAAAAATTATTTTTAAATGTAAACTTTACCGCTACAACTACAAAAAAATTTTAAAAAAACTATTAGACGCTAGAAAACATTTTATCTACCCCACCCTCATTACCCCAACCGCCTAATAAAATTTACCCCCGCCCTCCCTACCCCAACCCTCCAAAAAAATATTTTTTTTTAATAAGATTTTACTTCTTGGTTTATTCTTAAAGAAATCTTATATTAACAACTACACAAAAAAAATTTTTTTGATTTACCTCGCCTTTCCCATATCTAAAAAGCTGCTCAATTTTGCTTTTCAATTCATCTTACTAAAATACAATAGAAACAATTTTTTAATTTAAACCTTTCTACCATACCCAATCCCCACTGGTATCTCAAACCCTCATATTTACCCCCCCCTTCCCAACAAACAAAAAAATTTTAAATGTTAAAAAAGAACCCGCCGACATTAATCATACCGAATAAGTTTCAAAAATCATTTTAAAAAATATAATTCATTAAACAATTGCCACTTCAATTTGGCATCTAATTGTAAAACTCTTTATACCAGACGTAGTTCACAATAAGCCAATAAAAACTCTGACACAACTTAGGCTATAGCAATAACAATAAAAACAAATGTAAAATAACAGGTCTACAGTTGGCTACGGTGTTTGCTCGTCTAGAACAGAACGGTGTTCAAACGCATTACTCTTTGTCTGCCGTGCCAGTGCAAGAACAAGACGTCATGGAAGTGTGGAGGGACAAATGCTAAATACCTACTTACTCATTGTCAATTATATATGCACAGTTCATAGAAAAAACAAAAGTTTTTTTTATGAAATCGTTTCAAAAACAGTAGGTTTGTATAGGCGATAAGTTTTTTCAGGAAGTTACGGTGTAGTTAAGCCTGTTTGACATAATATTATCGAACTTAAATCGTGATGTAATTATAGGCTTAAGTCTTACTTAGGTAAAGCTTAAAGTAAAACGTAAAACTAAGACGCATCTAGACGCTTAAGCCTAAGCCTAAGCCTGAGCCTCTGGCTAAGTCGAAGCCTAAGCCTGAGCCTCTGGCTAAGCCTAAGCATAAGCCTCAGCCTAAGCCTATGCCTAAGCCTAAGCCTAAGCCTAAGCCTAAGCCTAAGACTAAGACTAAGACTAAGCCTAAGCCTAAACCAGAGCTTAAGCCTAAGTATCAGCCTAAGCATAAGCCTAAGAATAAACCTAAGCCTAAACCTAAGCCTAATAACAAGCCCAAGCCTAAGAATAAACCTAAGCTTAAGAATAAGTCTAAAGTTAAAAATTTATTTTAGTCTTACACCCTCATGGCGAAATTATAAAGAAACAACATTATTCTATATTAAATTTCAAAAAAATTCAAAACAACTCAGTACCTAGTAGTATACCAAAATACATATAACCTTCTTTTCTGCTCTTTCTATGCCCACACGGAAGGTGCCATAACCAAACAAAATGTAATATTAAGACAAACAAATCACATCAACGTCTCAACTTAATACCACCTAATATAATATGTTGGTGTGAACGTTCTTTAAAGTTTAAACTTAGTATGTTGGCATTGAAATACGATAACTTATACTTTAAAAACGGTTTTTAAACTTTTATGCAAATTATAAAAAGAGTACGTTTTTTGACCCCACCCTACCATACCCTACCCTACTCTACTCTAACCTACCCTACCCTACCCTACCCTACCCTACCCTACCCTACCCTACCCTACCCTTCCCTACCCTTCCCTACCCTTCCCTACCCTACCCTACCCTGCCTTACCCTACTCTACCCTATCGCGTTTTACCATGTCCTACCTTGTATAATATTATCATAGCCTACCTGTCTTACTGTGGGTCACTCTGCCTTCCCTGCCTTACTCTGCCTTACCCTACTCTACGCTATCTTTCCCTGCCTTACCTTGTCCTACTCAGCCTCACATTATCTTACCTTGCCTTCTCCGTCCGAATCTTTCACTACTTCACATTTCTCTACCTTTTGCAGTAGCTGTATTACTACTGTAACCAAACCCTACTTGTATTACTAATAACTGTAAGGAATCGAACTATAATACTAATTAATAAAGCTTCACACATTAAAAACTGAGCGACATTTATAAATTTGTAAGTGCAATACACACCAAAAATTACACAATGAAATGTAGTTTCAAACCATCTAACCTAGACAAATGATTAAAAAGCAAAAAAGTCTACAGACAATACAAACTGACAGTTTAAATGACCGTGTAATTAAAGTACAATGCTCTTTGGCAGATTTTTCAAATTTTAGTAGCACTTTGTTATTAAATGTAGTGCAGCAAACGCAGTAATGATCGTACAAAACTTGTAGTGTTCGCTGCGATAAGAAATTATGATAAGAAAAGCATATTTAGGCTTACAAGTAAACAAAACATTGCTTCTTAGTAGGGTTCTTAATTCGAGTATTCTTTCATTATTCAAGTATAACTACGTTTTGTCTATGCAGGTTAAGGCAGAATAGGGTATAATAAGGCACAGCAAAAAACGGCAAAAAAAAGCAAAAGGTAGAGGTAAGGTTAAGACTAGTACTAGGGTTAAGGGTAAGAATAAGGTAAAATCCAGGGCACCACGGCAACCATTAAAATTAGATCTAGAAACATAACTAGAATTAAACGTAAGGTTAAGGCTAATGCTAGAGGTAAAGCGAAAGCTTTAGGCTAGGGTTGTCGGCTAGGCCCCTGAGCGCTGAGCTAGGACTCTAGGATAGGGCTATAGGCTAAGACCGTGAGTTAGGGCTCTAGGCTAGGGCTCTAGGTTAAGGCTCTCGGCTAGGGCTCTGAGCTAGGTTCTATGCTCAAGCTCAACTTCAAGCTAAATCCTAAGCCTAAATCTTTGCTTAATAATAAATCTAAGCCTAGTCTGGAGCCAGCCCAAGTTTAAGACTAAAAACTTCATTTATGACCTTGTTAAAACTTTTTTTGTGCTTTGCCTGATGTTTCGTAGTTTAAAAATGTTCTTTTTTCAACATTGTTACCAAAGGTTTTCTTTTCGCGTTTTTTAAAGTTTCTTATCTATAGCAAAAAGCAATACCTCTTTAAACGAATACTTTAAACCAAAAGCAATAAGCGAGTATAAAGGCTTGTTTTCAAAATTAAACTATGGCAGTAGGGAGAGCTATTGCAAGGTATCGTATAAAAGTTTTGTATAATATAAACGATATTCTTGTATGTACCTTTTCGTACTCGTGCTTATTTGATACTCGTCTACACTCAACTTTTCCTTCGTTGGAAGAAAGAGTACATATCATAACAAGCATTACGTTTTCAGACCAAAAATGGGTGCTAAACTTATTCTAACATCGGTTTTAATAGCCATTACTTCCCTCTACGTCTATAACCGTATTACTGCCGAACCCGAGAAGGTAAGTGAATTTATTATAAAAAAGTGAATTAAAAGGTTTCTTTTAATTAATTTAAATAATTCTTGATAATTTAATTTCCCCATTTTTGCAAAAAAAAATAAAAAATTTGGCCATCTTGTTCCACCTAACAAGGAAAGTGCTCGACCTGCCCCGCTCTGATTGACTTCAAACTTTTTTTATAAAAAGAGCATGTAAATATAAGATCTTCAGCAAAATAATAAATCGCGCTTTCCAATCGATCTCGAGAAAATCGTGATCAAAAAATTAAGTTTTGAATTTCCCGCCAAATTGGCATTGTGTTTCAAGCTTATAACTTTGTCATTTTTTGACTTTTAATTATTTTTCTTTGATATAGCAGTACAATACCTTTAAATGAACCTATATTTTTAAATTTGTCAGTGTATTTTGCCTGGAAAGTGAAAAAAAGTGCTTGAAACACAATGCCAAATTTGCCAAATTAGCAGGAAACTTAAATATTTAAAATTTAAAACTCAAAAGCGCAAGCAAAAATTTTTTATGGATACTATTGGTGGTACAAAGAATTCGTATAAAAATTTTGAGCTAGTTCCTAGCAAGGCAAGTAGGGTACTTTCGTTGTTAATACGTTTAAAAGCCTAATACAAAGCCCCACAATACCCTCTAAACCTAAAGCAAAACCAAGCCTCTATTCTCAAAGAACAAAGCCTAAATTTACGGCCAAACCTAAGCCTAGTAACCTGAAGCTTAATCCTTTAACAATTTGTAGGTAAACTGGCCAAAGGCAGGCTATTTTGGGCCAGGAAAGCCAAAGCCAGACGATGAGAAAGTCTACCCCTTCAAGATACAAGTACCAGAAGCCGCGATAAAAGACTTGAGCTCACGTTTGAAGAACGTTAAGATCAGTCACGATGACCTAGAAGACGCAGTAGGCATGACATATGGCTTCACCAAAAAATTGCTACACGTCTTCAAAGACTACTGGCTAAACAACTACAATTGGAGGGCTGAAGAAGAGAAGTTGAACAAGCTTAGCCATTTCAAAACTGAAATTGAAGGCATTAATTTGCACTTTATTCATCAGAAAAGTGACAAATATAAGAAAGTGCTGCCACTTTTATTGTCACATGGCTGGCCTGGCTCGGTTCATGAGTTTAGCAAGATCATTCCAATCTTGATCGATCCCAAAAGTCATGGGATTCAAAGTGAATATGCTTTTAATGTTGTTGTACCTTCGATTCCTGGCTATGGATGGAGCAGCGCCTCGGCTAAGACTGGTAAGTATGACATTTGTTTAGTACTGTATAGGACGCTTAGTGGTACTAATACTTTGTATTTGATTTTTTTACTATCCTAGACATAGTAACCCGAAAAGATAATCCTAAACTAAATTTAAGCCTACTAAGCCTAAGCCTACTTAGCCTAAGCCTACTAAGCCTAAACCTACTAACAGGGAAAGTACCCAACCTGCAACTCTCAGAATCAGCTCAAAATTTTTATACGGATCCTTTGTAGTACCAATAGTACCTATAAAAAATTTTAGCTTGCGCTTTTGAGTTTTAAATTTTAAATATTTAAATTTCCCGCCAATTTGGCAAATTTGGCATTGTGTTTCAAGTACTTTTTTCGACTTTCCAGCCAAGATAAACTTACAAATTAAAAATGTAGGTTCATTTAAAGGTTTTTTACTAGAATATTAAAGAAAAATAATTAAAAGTCAAAAAATGGCAAAGTTATAAGCTTGAAACACAATGCCAATTTGGCGGGAAATTCAAAACGCGATTTTTCGATCTCGATTTTCTCAAGACTGGCCGCAAACCGCAACTTAGAATTTTGCATAACATCTTACATTTACGTAACCTTTCAATGAAAAAAGTTTGAACGAAATCTGAGCGTTGCAGGTCGGGTACCTTCCTTGTAAGCCTAAGCCTAAGTCTACTAAGCCTAAGCCTACTAAGCCTAAGCCTACTAAGCCTAAGCCTACTAAGCCTAAGCCCACTGAGCCAAAGCCTACTAAGCCTAAGCCTAATTTTAAGGCAAAACCTAAGCCTACTAACTATGTAAACTAAGCCTATGCCTAAATTTTCAAAAAATCATTAAAACCCTTTTTAGGTATGAACGCCGGAGCAGTAGCTCGCATCTTCCACAAGCTCATGATCCGTCTCGGTTACAACAAATACCTAGTCCAAGGTGGAGACTGGGGCTCAGTAATCGTAGCCAACATGGCTCGACTCTACCCGGAACATGTAACCGGCTGTCACTTAAACATGTTCTCAAGTTTTCGTCCTGACAGTTTGTTACAGTCTCTGTTGATTACCGTAGCCCCTGGATACTTTTTACACGAAGAGTCATTGAAAGACTACAATATCTTCAAAACTTTGAAGTTTATGATCATCAATGGAGGGTATTTTCATATTCAAGCTACTACTCCTGATACTTTGGGTAAGTACCGTACTATATAGTATCCACGTGAGCATATTGTCAAGTTTACGCTAGCATACTGTATCTTACATGACCTTGCCACACCTTATCCTACCCTACCCTACCTTGCCCTAACCTACCATGCCCTATCCTACATTGCCTCACCCTACCCTACCCTGACACCCAATATTCTTATAGGTATTGGCCTAAACGACTCCCCAATTGGTCTCCTAGCCTGGACGGTGGAGAAATACATCTTAGCAACCAACCTAAAATACGCCCAAAACCCAGATTTAAAAGAAATTACCAAAAGAATCAGCATGGACCACTTATTGACAGCCGTTTCGCTCTACTGGTTCAATGGTAATATGCTACAAGCCACACGTCTCTACAAGGAAAATACTCATAGTGCCGAGTTGATGCAATTGCACAAGTAAGTCATAACACATACTGGAATACTAAAATACTTTTGAATTGAATACTGTAGCGTATTTTAGCCAAAATTTTAAAATTCGGGCGAAACCTAAAAAAACATTTTTAAATCGAAATATTTAGAAAAGTAGACATGAAAATAAAATAAGATTTGGCATGAACATACCCTATGGCATTATAAACATTTCGCCAATTGACAACATTTAAATTGGATTACTGTAACACATCTTATTTAGCAGAAAAGAAAGACATCCACAATATTCACCAAGGATAATATAAAAATCGAAAGAAAATCACGAAGACAGGTTAAAATTTCAAATTTCAGACAATACATATCAGTACCAACAGGATACGCAGCTGTGGAAAACGATGCGGTACCAGCAGTACCAAAAAGAGTCATAGAAACCGCCGTCAACCTCACCCACTACTCTTTCATCCCCGACCTCGGCCATTTCTTTGCATTAGAAGGGCCAAAACAACTCGCCATGGATGTTTTCAAGTTTGTTGATGATCTACAATAAATTATAACTAAAAGACATATACTTGATAACTAATAAATATAAAATTAATACCTAAACTACATTATTTTTCAATAAAAAAGCCGGAAAACTATCGGACTTTGCAATGTTTTGCCAAAAAATGGGAAGTACTTACCGAAATCTGAAATTATAGTACCGCAAACCGTTGTAATTAAAGCTCAAGATGTCTGTTATTACTATAATTCCAAGGAACGTTACGTTTTGTAACAATAAACATCAGTTATCTTGTTATTTTGTTTTTGTGTCTGAACTTACTTATAATTATATTGAACGTAACCTAGATGTAATTATAATAAAAATTAGCAACTGGACCCAAAAAAAGTAAAATAATAATTAAATTTCCCTTTACATTACACATAACTATGAATTCAATTTAACATTGTGTTATACACGCTTAATATTTTACTACGTCCCATCACGAAAACGAACATTTGCAAAAGCTCGTTGACGTCCCGTTTCAAGCCTATTTTTCTTTTTATTTTGTTGATCTGTTTCTATTTCCCTGTTGTAAACTTGGATAAATCAATATGCCTCGCTCTGTAAAATCGGTAAAAAGGTCGAGAGTCAAGAAGACATTCAGGAATAAAAAGAATGCTTCAAAACGAGCAAACCTGAAGGCCAAGAAGAAGGTCGGCAAGCCAGGAGTTGGGTATGTTTTTTTTCTTTTGATTTTTCATTGATTTAGGTAAGAAATAAGCTTGTTTATATGGAGAAAAAGATCATAAACAAGTATTGGGCAAAATTAAGCTAATTATTAGCTATTTCAGCCAAGTTTTGTATATTATCGTACCTAAATAAAGGTTAAATGAAAATAAAGCATGTATCCTTTTCAGACATGTTTTACACGAAGTGTGGGACGACAAAAAGACTTTGAGACAAAATTTGGGCGCTGCTGGACTTGTTTTCAATCCAAATGAGGTTGTACCAGTCGAAAAAAGGAACAAAAATGTTGTTGTAGATATGGTTGATATTGATGCCGTCGCCAGCTTAGCTTCGCTTCAGGAACAAAAGGTATACTTAGTTTTTCAGTTACCTTGATGTTTGTGTGTTCTCTTGAACGTAATTTCTGTTGGTTTGCTGTTTATTTTCACCGAAACACGGTTAATATTCTACATGGATTTATTTTTAGATAAAGAAGAAGAAAGCCAAGGGTGTGGCTAAGAAATTAGAAGCCGAAGCTCGTGAAGCAACTCAAAAACAAGCCAATCGTCCTCCACCGAAGCTACGACAACCTGAACTCGACTTTTGCTCCAAAATGATCAAAAAACACGGTTTGGACTATGCAGTAAGTAATAAAATATTATTTTTTGGAACTTTAGGTGGTTTGGATAGTGAAAATAGGCTTACATTGCAACCATTGAAGCGCTCTTTTACACTTAAGATGAGGATTTTTTAAAACAAGTTTGGGAAAGAAGTTTGCAACACTAATTTTGCTATATTATTATAGGCAATGGCCAGAGATCATGAAAACATCTACCAGAGCACACCAAAGCAGATCGAAAGGAAGATAGAGCTGTTCAAAAAGTCAAAAGCTTACCAGCAAGTTGAAGCCATGGAAGAATAATTTGTTTTTAAACTTATGAATATTGTATTGTTGATTTTTTGTTATTGTTATAGATAAATCTTGTAAAAACGTATTTATTTTGATGGAATTGATTGTTTGAGTATTATTCTTGTATGATATTGATAAAAAATGGTTTTTATGCTAATTTGAAGCTAAATAAAGGTGGTTTTAATAGATTTAAGTTTGAATTACGCTATTTTGAAGGATTTTTGGCTTGATTTAGGTATGAAAAATCGATTTTTCTTTAATTTAAGATTTTCATGGCTTAAAATTATTTCTGAGGCTTTAAAAAATGTAGTTTCAGAATGGAGAACGTAGCACCAAAAGGTCTGCTGCTCGTAAACGAGACTTCAGACGAGGTATCAGCTGTTCCGTTGATGTTATCCACGATGAAGCGCTTATCACAACAAAGCTTTGATATTGTGGCAATTTTGAACTTCTCAAGCAAAAAGAGGATTCAGGAGAGGTTTACCAAGGTTGGGTAAGTTATTTTGGCTCAAATTTAAAAAATATCATAGCTTTTAGTTATGTTAATCCAAATTTAAAAAAAAGTCATTTTTTCAGATTATCGTCGGTAACAACATTAAAACTACCAAACATCGACCAAATTTCTGCATTTTTCTCCGAAATCCCGTCAAAACTGGCTCATTTACAAAAACCAGTGTTATACCTCGAAAACCTCAATGTATACTTATCGATACTTGGAGTAGATCCAACAATACGACTGTTGAATTTGTTGGCAGCTCAATTTCCAATCTACACTGTGATAAAAGGCGAGAATCTAAAGGAATTGACCGAAAATCGTTTGAATTTCGTGGCTAACGCCGTTCTAAAGTTGAGAACGGAGAAGAAATCGACCAAGAATCTGTGTGAAACGACTCTCAGTAAAAAGGATGGAGCAGTTAAGAGCTATGTAGGTTTTAAAGTATTTTGGCTAAAATGGTATATTATACTTGGCAAAAATTTGATATTATACTTAAAATCGTTGCTAAAACTTCTACTTTTAGCTAGAAGAATACACGATAGACCCGCAAACCTTCACCATCGATTCCAAGAAGTACTCGCCGGAAAAGATCGACTACACGGAACCATCAGTACCAGAAACCTCTTCTCAATTGCCCAAAACAACCTTCGATATGGGTCTGAATCTGCGTGAAGACGAAGCCGAAGCCAAGAAGTCAACAAAACTGCCATTTTTGAATGCACAAAACGAGAAAGGTCTTGTGAATTTGAACATAAATACGGGGAAAAAGGTCCGCGCCGGCGGACAGATCATCTACACGCCGGATCGGGACGACGACTTGGATGACAGTGATCCGGATGATGACTTGATGATATAATATTGTTGTTTGTGGTTATATATTGTTGTTGAGGGTATAAATTTTGATTACAGTGATACTTGTAAGGTGGAATGACACTTTTTTACTTTTTACGGGAGAGGGGTAAACAAATTTTTAGGGGGAGTAAAAATATTTTTTGGATAGGGAGGAGTTTTTTTAGGTGGGGTAACCTTTTTTCAAAAATCTAGGGAGAAAAACACATTTTTTGTGAAATAGACCCACATTGCCCATCAATATATATATATATGTATGTATATCAACCTTCGGCCAAACTTACTGTTCATTCTCTAGAAGAATAGAAGGACAAAACACCTTTTTATACTATTTATTAAATGGCAATACTAAAATTTAAATATCTAATAAATTTATTCAAATACTATCTTTATAGAAGAAGATCAGTTATTTTATTGAAGAATCATTGCGATATAGTCGTTCGGATTCCGTTTAATCCTCCAAAGTGACATGAGATCTAAACGTTCTGAATGACATTGGGGAAAAGTTTCCTTCGTATGCGATGAAGCCCAAGGCTAAATATATCCCGTACGCAGTGAGTCTGTCTTCCTCTGGATTGTGTCTTAGCAAGTTTTTGAGAGATTGTTTTCTCCTTGCGCACTTTGGGGTGTTTTCATCCAATAGAAAATTTTGGTAAATTTCCTGGCATCTTCTTCGAAATGCTAATTTGAATCGTTTTTCGCGAAAGCTTCTGACGGTAGGCTTGGGTTTTATCTGAAAATTTTTTAGCATTAAAATTTACAGTGGCAAAATTTTATCATATCGGATAAAATCAAAACAATTCATTGGTTTACATTAATATTTACCTCTTGGTCTTGATAATTGATGTTATGATCTTTCAATTTCTGTTTCAGGTCATTTGACATTCTGACGTTTTTTTCCAACGAATTACCTTCGGAGCTTCTTACTGGAGATGGCATATAAATGTTGAAAATGAAGTTTTTGTTCCTTACAGACTAAAAACAATACTAATTAATTACGAGAAAAATTTTTTCAGTCAATTTCAACAGATGAACTATATAAATATATTATGTTTCTTACTATCCTACCTTTTGGTTTACGGTCGGGGCCGAGCGGACGGCGGCTGAACCCTGAATGGGCGCTATGATGATCGCGGTTTGTCTACCACCTTTCTTCTCTTCTGTGTGCGCATCAGTACCACTTGAGTAAGCTAAAAGTGACAATTCTAGTAAATTTTGAGAAAAATTAGGTCCTAAAAATCAATTTTAATATCAAAAACCACTTTAGTACCTAAAACAGACCTAAAATCAATGTTTTGTAGCCAAAACAGACCTCAAAAAGAACTCTTATTACCTAAAATAACAAAAAAGTAAACTTTGTTACCTAAAATAATAAAAAAAGTAAATTTTATTACCCAGTGTTTTGCCCGGACCGGTCCGGAGCGTTTTTCACCGGCCCGGTCCGCAAAAAATTTTGTTTCGGTCCGTCCGGACCGGACCCGTCCGCGGACCGTTCCGGCAAAACACTGTTATTACCTAAAATAACCTCAAAATGCTATTCCAAACCCCTATCAATAACAAACTCTTACATTCATTGTTACTGTTCAGGGTGTCCTCAGGTTCTGACAGCTCCAAAGCCCGACACCTGTCCAAACATAACTCGAAGTTCTTCTGAAGTTCAGCGTATTCAGCATCTTTAGCTCTGAAACATAAACATATTAATTTTATTACCTAAATTTCAAAAGGCAACTAAAACAAGAAGAAACCTAATAAATTGTATACTTTGTTACCTAAAACAACATCAAACCAACTTATAAACTTTATTACCTAAAAAACAAAAAAAAACAACTTAAAACGCCTTACCGACAAGTTGCCTCCAACTCCGTTTCTCGATTTTCAGCGGTCCGAACTCGTGTTTGAAGTTTGTTGACCTCGTTCTCGAGCTGATGAATTTGATACTAATTAATTACGAGAAAAATTTTTTCAGTCAATTTCAACAGATGAACTATATAAATATATTATGTTTCTTACTATCCTACCTTTTGGTTTACGGTCGGGACCGAGCGGACGGCGGCTGAACCCTGAATGGGCGCTATGTTGATCGCGGTTTGTTTACCAACTTTCTTCTCTTCTGTGTGCGCATCAGTACCACTTGAGTAAGCTAAAAGTGACAATTCTAGTAAATTTTGAGAAAAATTAGGTCCTAAAAATCAATTTTAATATCAAAAACCCAACTTTAGTACCTAAAACAGTCCTAAAATCAATGTTTTGTAGCCAAAACAGACCTCAAAAAGAACTCTTATTACCTAAAATAACAAAAAAGTAAACTTTGTTACCTAAAACAATAAAAAAAGTAAATTTTATTACCTAAAATAACCTCAAAATGCTATTCCAAACCCCTATCAATAACAAACTCTTACATTCATTGTTACTGTTCAGGGTGTCCTCAGGTTCTGACAGCTCCAAAGCCCGACACCTGTCCAAACATAACTCGAAGTTCTTCTGAAGTTCAGCGTATTCAGCATCTTTAGCTCTGAAACATAAACATATTAATTTTATTACCTAAATTTCAAAAGGCAACTAAAACAAGAAGAAATCTAATAAATTGTATACTTTGTTACCTAAAACAACATCAAATCAACTTATTATTACCTAAAAAACAAAAAAAAAACAACTTAAAACGCCTTACCGACAAGTTTCCTCCAACTCCGTTTCGGCGGTTCGAACTCGATTTTCGGCGGTCCGAACTCGTGTTTGAAGTTTGTTGACCTCCTTCTCGAGCTGATGAATCCGTTGACAATACAAAGTCGACGCAGAATCGTCCTCTCTCCTGCGCTAAAAAACAGAATTAACAAAAACTAAAACAAAAAGAGGTATCATCAGAATATAATAGATAATATACCAAAAAGCCAATCATAAAAAATTAAAATTACCTTTTCGATCTTATATTTCTTAGCCAATTCTTCAACAGTACCACCAAGTACTGTAATATTCTTCTTTTTCAACATCAGAAATCCAGCTTCCATCTTAACCTTTCCGTCTATCATAACCTTAGTACCTCTAGGCGTGTTACCATCCAGCTTTGATATAGGTTCAACTAAACGAGCTTTGACAGTTTGATGTCCATCTGTAAGGCGAAGTACACAACTTCCATTATTTCCATCGTGCTTCGAGGCTTCAGGATATGAAACGTTCCTGCATGATACTAATTGTAGTACTATTGGTCCTTTAAGCTCTTTTTTGGCAGTGAAAGCATTGACTATGCCTGGGAAGGAGATTTGACGAAGATCAGTCTAAAATGGTAAATTTTAAGTTAAAAATATCTATATTTTTAAGTTTATAATTAAATCTAAAATAATATACAGTTAGAGCTAATACCAAGCTATTTAACACAACTCACGTCAAGTAAAAACGTGTGCAAAAAAATTCCACCCTTCACTATAACATCTTCTGCTTCTGAATCCGCTGCCACTTTAGTCAATGCAGATTCATCAATGTTCCAACCTTGATTCTTCAAACTCATACCTAAAATATCATTAGTAAAGATACTGACAAACTCATACCTAAAATATGATTAGTATAGATACGATTAGGTTACAGCATACTGACCTTTAATTTTTTTATAAATTGCCCTTTTCAGAATCAACAAGATCAAAAATCCTACAAAAAATATGAAAACGAATCCAATTCTTACCAACAAAGATTTGACAAGGATTACCGAAAAAATGACAAAAAACCGACGGAAATGCACAATAATCACAGTATGACCAGGGACGTCGTTTGGGGGAGGGAGAAGGGGGGGGGGAGGGGGGTACCCCCAGAGCCAATCCGAAAAAAAATTCCTCAGGTAAGGTGCCTGTACGTAAAAAAAACAAAAAAAAATTTTTTGAAAAACCGGTCCACAGGTAAAGCTATCTGTGAACGAAAAAATTTTTTTCTACCTCCTCCTCCCCCAGAGAAAATCCGTGGCGACGTCCCTGAGTATGACCCTACCGCATCTAACTGAAGGCCAAAAAGTTACTCACATCAAGCCAAACTATAAGTAAGTCTTATAAAATTCCATTTTTAATCTTTGAAACATCTTTTTGACCATTTTTTTATTTGAAAAAATCCCAGATGAGTACAAAGAATAACATACCTAGAAGCGGGGCAGCATCCCAAACATCATCCTGAGGCAAAAGCTCGTGGTTGTCTATTCCAACAAGGCTTGAAGTTGCGCTGAGGAAGGCTGAAGCAAGTGTTATGCTAGTCTAGTCGAATCAGCCGAGAACCGCCAGCCGCAATTCTCAAAAGCAAAATTTTGAATGATTGCTTCGACATAATTGCCATTTGAAAGAGCTACAGAAGTACATCCTTTACCTGATTTATGCAAATCTGAAAATTTCGTAATTTTAGTCCATTTTATGCATTTTCAACCACGGTCTAGGTGAATATGGTCAATTTTCAAGTGTTTTAAAGCGAAAAACCTCAAATTCAAAGAAATTTTTAAGGAATTGTGATCCAGTACAATATAAAAACATAAAAACTAAACCAAAAAAACAATTTTTCAGCAACTAATCCATCAAAACATATCAAATTTGAACAAAAACCCGAGCATGTCAAGAAAAAGCTAACTTTCCGCTGGGTCTTGAACGGAATTTTGGCATTGTGAAATAAGAAGAAAAATAATATTTAGATAAAATATTTAATATAAAAATCGTTGATAAAACCTCTACTTTTAGCTGGAAGAATACACGATAGACCCGCAAACCTCCACCATCGATTCCAAGAAGTACTCGCCGGAAAAGATCGACTACACGGAACCGTCAGTACCAGAAACATCGTCTCAATTGCCCAAAACAACCTTCGATATGGGTCCGAATCTGCGTGAAGAGTTAAGTCCAAGAAGTCAAAACTGCCTGAGTGCACAAAACGAGAAAGGACTTGTGAACTTGAATATCCATACGGAGAAAAAGGTAAGCGCTGGTTTATATATATTGTTGTTGAGGGTATAAATTTGGATTACAGTAATACTTGTAAAGTGGAATGGCACTTTATTACTTTTTACGGGGGAGGGGTAAACAAATTTTTGGGAGGAGAGTAAAAATATTTTTTGGGTAACCTTTTTTCGAAAATCAAAAGAAAAAAAACACATTTTTGGGAAACAGACCCCCCCCTCAAAATACACTTATATAGACCACCAAAGTCAATTAAAAACATTTATACAATTTTTTACAAAATAAAGTATAAAATTATATACAATGTTAAAAAAATAAATTGCGTATCTTTATCAAATTTCAAGTTGTTCCGATTCTCAAACGTCTGATCTCATCAATATAATATAATCAACCAATGCAAGGCTTATTCATCATCGATAGTAATGATACGGCATTCTGAACCATCTTCAATAACACTTCTCCCTGGTGCATCTATAGTACTGCTTCTTCCTGGTGCATTAATAATGCTATTCCTTCCTAGTGCACACGCACCAGTCCTTACTGGTACTTCTTGTCCAGTATCAGCTTTAGTACCATTTCTCCGTAGTTCCCCCTGAACTATACCACCTGTAAGACCACTTCTTCCTAGAAGTTCATGGACAGTACCATCTATAGTAACATTCCTTGATGTTGCACCTTGAAGAGTACTACTTGATGAATAAAAATTTGGCCTTTCTGGTACCTCTTCGACACTACGTCTTTCTGGTGAATCTTTATTGCTATGATTTCCTGGTGTATCTCTGGTACTAGTTCTTTTTGGTACAACTTCAATGGCATAACATTCTCCTACTTCTTTAATATTGCTTCTCCCTAATGCACAAGTAGCACTACTTGTTACTGTCAATCCTTTAATAATATAACATTCCGGTACTTCTGGAGCAGTACTACATGACGGATAAAAATTTGGTCTTTCTGGTACAACATCAATATGACCTCTTTCTGAGACACCATCAACATGCCCCCTTTCTGGTACACCATCATCATGCCCTCTTTCTGGTACACCATCACTATGAGCCCTGTCTGATACAACATCACTTTGACCCAGTTCTAATACACCATCAATATCACTCCTTTCTGGTACACTTCGACACGAAGGACCTTCATAATGCACTTCATCGTCAGAGCTGCTGCTGTCAATTGTAATATAATCATCGTGATCAAAGTTATGACTGTTTGGTGTTCTTCTTGGTACGCTTTGGCCAGGTGAAGATTCTAGACCAAAATTTAGTCTTTCTGGCACATCATCCACAGTAGGAAATCCCGAATAAAAATTTGGTCTTTCTGGTACGTCTTGATTGTTTTGGGATGATATACTTAGCACCCCATTGGCTTTCTGCCTGCTTGGTACGCTGTGCTTATGATTGTTTGGTACACTTTTCTTATGACTGTTTGATACACTTTGTCCTGAAGATTCTGATCCAAAAGCCAGTCTGTCTGGTACAGTTCGATGTTTATCACAGCCTAATACAACTTTTTGAACATCACATTCGGGTTCATGGTTAATATCTGCATTGTTCAGACAGGTTGTCACATTGTTCGCGTCTGGATAAAAGTTTGGTCTTTCTGGTACATCTTCAATCTGTGACACATTCGCAAGATCATGAATCTCCGTCATTATGTGCAAAGGAGGTCTTTCTGGTACTGTTTCATCGATAACTTCTATAAGTTGAGACTTTTTCACGTCGGTACCAGACATCCTAGCGTTCATAGCAAATTTTGCATCAAGTAGTACATTAGGTGCTGACGAAGCTTCCACATCACTGTTTGGTACTGCTTGTCCACAAACTTTACTCTTTGGTACTCTTTTCCCATGACGATCAGCCTTTGATACTAATTTGGTATGTTGTACATGTTGATATTCCTCTTCACTTTCCATCAAAAACGTGCGTTTAAAAGTACCATCTTCTTCTTCATTCCCCATCATAAAGGTACCATCTTCCTCCACGTTTCCCATCAAAAATGTACCATATTCTTCGTCGTTCTCCTGGAAAACGGTACCATCGTCTTTATCGTAGATCTTAGGACAATAGGCGTTTTTATCTTCGTTTTTCAATAAAACAGTACTAGATTCATCTTCATCCTTCGACAACTGAATACCATTTTTAAAAGCACTTATCTTTATATTAGTACCATTTTCATATTCGTCTGCTTTCAAATGAGTACCATGCTCCTCTTCCTTTGTCATCAAAGAGGTACCAGTTTTATGTTCATTCTTCAGCAAATCAGTACCATTTTTAAGAACATTCATATGAGTACCAGTTTGCTCTTCTTTTTTCGTCAAAAGAGTACCAATTGTATGCTCATTCTTCATCAAAGGAGTACCATTATCATCTTCTTTTTCCATCAAGAAAGTACCATTATAACCTCCATTTTCCGCCATATGAGTACCACCTTCCTCTTCATTCCGCACAATATCAGTACCAACTTCCGCATCATTCCGCACAAAAGCAGTACCAATCCCAAGTTCATCTTCCATAAAATCAGTACCATCATCGTCTTCAAAGATCCTCATCAGATATTCATCTTCCTGTTCATTAGCTATCAAAACAGTGCTATATTCTGCTTCGTCGTCCATCAGGAAGTCCTCATCCGTTCCGGATGTGAAGGTGGCATTAACTTGATGTTCAATACCATTTTCATGTCCATCGTCATTCAAAAGAGTACCGTCTTCGTCTTCATAACAAAGGGTATCATCTTCTTCTTCATTGTCAGTCAAAAGAACATCATCTTCCCTTTCACTCTCTTCTGAAAGAGTACCATCTTGCTCTTCATCATTTATCGAAAGAGTACCATCCTCAACTCCATCTCCCTTCAAACCAATAACATCTTCAAAGATCCGCGAAGCTAGACTAGAAAAGTTTAGCGGCTCTGGGGCGTTAATGTCCAGCTGCTCGCAGGCTACCACAATATCGGATTCTAAAAATTTTAAAATTCAAAAAATTTTTTTTTAAATAATACGAAATTCACAAATTTCTGTGTTAAAGAAAGCTACAGTAATGATAACCCTCAAATTTGTTTTTTCAAAACAATAAAAGATTTATTAAAACATAATGTAAAACAATATATGTATATTAAGTTGTGAGATAATTATATTAATATGAAAACAGTTAGATTTGCGATTAGTCCCAGCTTGATCTAAAAGTCCTTGGAACAACGAGACAAGCTCAGGGCTTAAGGGTAAATAGATTATAAAAACATTATTCAAAAAAAAAATTTTAGGTAACAAAAATTCAAAAATGCTCTTGTCCCACTGTTTTTAAAAATTCATTTTTATAACTTAAAGTTCGGTTTTGTTACCTAAAGTTCAATTTTTTTATCTAAAATTAATTTTTGTTACTTAAAATTCAGTTATATTACCTAAAATTCAATTTTTTTACGTAAAATTCATTTTTATTACCTAAAACTTTTAAACCGCTTAATACCAAAAAACCCATTCCTACTTATGTTTAGACCAAACTAGAACTAAAAACACAAATTTTCAGATCAATACCTATATAATTTGATTACGAATGCCATTAATAAGCTGAGAGAACTCGCCTTCATTAATACCATCCTTTTTCGACTTCTTTCCCTCATCCTTCTTTCGACCAGTCGACTTCGTTGTTGTCGATTCCTTCTTGCTTATTCTGCCGGTCGACTTACTTCCATCTCCACAAGTCGATTTCCTCAGCGTTTTAGTTCCATCTCGACCAGTCGATTTACTTCTACCAGTCGATTTCGATGTAGTATCCTCTTTTTTTCCTCTTTTAGTAGCAGGTTTTACTGTCGAATCATCTTTTTTGCTGGTTTTAGTGGTCGAATGTGTAAGGTCGTCTTTTTTGGTCGTATTACCAGTCGATTTCTTAGCTGGCTCATCGTTTTCGACATCGTCATCAGATGTTAGGCCAACTTCGATGGTGGGAGACTGAAACAATTGATTTTAGATAACGAAAATGAATTTTAATAAACAAAAATAAATTTTAGATAACGAAAAATTTTAGTTAACAAAACTAAATTTTAGGTAATAAAAATGAACTTTAAGTAACAAAAATAAATTTTAGGTAACAAAAAGCCTTAAAAACACTTACAACTTCTTTAGACTTTCTCTTTCTCGGCTTCACAACACTCAGAAACTTGCTAGCCTCCTCCTTCAAACGCTTGGTCTTCTCAGAATTACCAGGAAACCAAGTGTAATCACAATATGTAGTGAACAACCTTCTAACGCCCCTCAACAACCTGATTGTTTTCTTACTGCCGTAATGATCAAAGTAAAAGTTGACATTCTCAAGGTAGACTGGACTTTGACGGCACTCGATAAACTTTTTTTCGAAACTTGTGAAATAGTCCTCGGCTTCGTCAATTTCTCTGATTTCGTCGAAAAATAGGTATTTGAAGCTGAAAAAGTTTAACTTTAGGCATGATAACGTAAAGATAAAGGTCTATAATAATATTATACAGCTTCTCCATGCTTCTACAAAGCTTTTGATGTAAAACTCTTACCCGGACTTCTCTAGCTTCTTTTCCATCTCCTCCTTCGATGTAGTGTTTAGAACAACAATAAGTGATGGGCGGACGGCCGATACGTACTCAAAAACCTTCATTAGTCGAGGAAAAGCTAGTCGATGTTCATCATCTTGCATTACCACCGACAATACATGATCGTACATCTTTACGCGAGGTTCATGTTCCTTCCGATTTCGCATGGTTAATATCCTGAAAGCAAAGGGAGTTAGTAAGTAAAACCAATGGAAACTTAAGCTTTATCATAATATAACATCCAAAATTAAAGCGCTACATAAATAAAAACTTTAAAAAATAGTTAAACAAGATTTTCTCAATAAAATATATTATTCATGGTTAATATACTGAAAAGCAAAGAAATCTAGCAGTTAAAACAATAAAAAATAAAACTTTATAACAATATAAATAAATAAAAATAGTTCAACAACATCTTCTCTATAAATTTTTCAACCAAAAACTGTTGAAAACAATAAGTTATTCAGCGTATATCGTCCAAGATTGAGATAAAACACATCAAATCGTTAACAAAATTCCAACAAAGACGTCACAAACTTATAAACTTAGCAAAAAAAATATCTATCCTCAATTTATTTTAACTTACCCACCTTCAAAAACCTCAACCATTAAGGTTTATACCCTCAAAACGTAAAACATTGTCAAAAATCCAAAACTCAAAAATCCTATTTGAATTCGCGCCATATCCCTGATTCACCGACCGTTCAGCGGAATTTTCCCACGGACCTAGGGCGGAGCCACCTCAACGGCCATTCAGCGACGATTTTCCCACGAAAATTGCGGGAAAACCTGAGGTCATGGAACTTCAAAAGTAAGTGAATTTTTAATAATTAAAATTGTTTTATAATGTAAAATTGAAGTTTCTAACTGATCCTTGGTAAAGAAATGTGAGATTTTATTATTTTTGATAGATCGTTTAGTTTTTATGTGCAATTTAGGTTTTTAAGGGTCAAAACTGTTGTTTTTCGACCTAAAAACGGCTAAAAGTGACGTTATTCCTTGTTTTCTTTTAACTTTTTGAGGCTTATACTAGGTATAAGTTTATAATATCGTTTTTGTTTATATGTTAAGTTAATTTTCTTTTATTTCAGCTTATTTGCATGTGATCTTTTGGACCATATTATCAAAAATGGAACTAAAAAGTAAGTTTTTTCATCTTTGTTAAATTTTTAGGTAAATGTTCAAAGTTACAAAACAAAAATGGCATTAACTTTCCCTAATTGTATTAAATATTTTAACGTTTTAGCGTATCGATGTTAAAAACTCGTCTGGACGTGCCAATCGCGGCCCCATTACCTCCGAAGGACTTGGTATATTCTCCGAAGGTCTTCCTTGGTGGACTGCCGGTTGACTGTTCCAGCTCTCACTTGTATCAAGCAGTTCGGGCTTATGGTGATGTCGATATTGTGTGGCCAAGCGGTGGTGGAGGTATGTTTTTACAGATTTTGTGTTGAGTTTTAGGTTGAATTTGTATAAGGAATGGGATTTTTGGCATGGAAAAGGCAAATGGCAGGAACTTTCTTTACAAATTAAAAAATTACAAAAACTTTCTTTACCAAACATGAAATGAAAATAAAATTCTCCACAACCCAAAAAATGACATATTATTCATAATAATTTACTGATTTCAGCCAGAAACGGCGGAGGTTACTGCTTCCTGATTTTTGCTGACGAACGATCGGTGAATGCCTTGGTCAAGGACTGTAAAAGCAATGATGATGGTTACTTCAAGTCCTTCCAACTTGGCCAAAACCGATTCGTCCAAGTTCAGGTTCGGCCATGGCTTTTGGCGGATGGGGATTACGTTCCAAATGGCAATATGAAGATCGACGCTAGACTTACAGTCTTTGTGGGCGGAGTTCCACGAACTGTCAGAGCTGGTAAGTTGGATGTTTTTTGGTTTTCTTTAGTTTTAGGTGATAAAAGACGTGTTTTTGAATTTTAGGTAATAAAGACCACATTTTCAAAATTTAAAACATGTTTTTAATGAAAAAAGTGCATTAAATTTTTTTACAAAGCAAAAACTGGCAAGAACTTTCTTTACAAAACAAAAATAACATGTTTTCTTTCAGTCGATATTGCCAAAGCCATGGCATCCTTCGGAGCAGTTGCCTATGCCGGAATCGACGTTGACGCCGGCCATTCCTATCCAAAAGGCGCAGCGCGCATCTCATTTGTCTCCGCCGCCAGTTACATTCATGCGATGGGATCGAAGATTGTTCAGATCGAAGTGAAAGGCGAGAACAAGACCTTACAACTGAAGCCTTACCTCACCGAAGACGCGGAATGTGAGGAATGCTCAGGAGAACATGTGATCCCAAAAGCTGGTCGATACTTTTGTGCCGAAGTGTCGTGCTTGAGCTACTATTGTCAACAGTGCTGGACAAACGTACACTTCGACAAGACGCTGGTGGACAGAAAGAGACATCTGGCTTATGTTCGTCATGGTGACATGGTCAAGGTAAGTTTTAATGAGGTTTTGATTTTTAGGTAACATTTTGGAGGAATCAATGTTATTTTATGTTGTGGAAAGAAAGTTCTTGTTATTTTTTGGTTTGTAAAGAAAGTTCTTGCCAGTTTCTGTTTGGTAAATTAAGTTTTTGCTTTTTAGACCGTTCGAGTCCAACCAGACGAAATGGACCGCTACTGAACCTACACTTTGATGTAAATCTCTTAATATGGGCCTATGGTTTAAAAAATTATCAAATTCTTTGTTTTGGAAAGAAAGTTTTTGACGTTTTATGAAATCAGTCATAGTTTATTAATTACCGTTTATTTGTCACTACTTATTTGTTATTATTATTGGCATTGCTATCAAGAATTGTAATATTTAATATGTTGTTATTGATACCAAGCATTGTAATAAACTTAACTATGTATTTTGACTGTTATTGAAGTTATTATGGTTTTTTTGCTATTGGCTATTTTGTGTCCTGAAAGGAAAGTTTTTGCAATTTTTGGGTTTTTAAAGAAAGTTCTTGCCATTTTATGCTCTGTAAACAAAGTTTTTGTCATACTTTATTGTGTAAAGAAAGTTCTTGCCATTTTTTGCTCTGTAAACAAAGTTTTTGTCATACTTTATTGTGTAAAGAAAGTTTTTGCCATTTCTCGTTTTGTAAAGAAAGTTATTGCCATTTTACATTAAAAAATCTAATTTTTGGTTCCGGCAGTCTGCGGGAAACAAGTTATATGCAGAGCTACGATTCAAATAAACTAAACTTTTAAACCAACAAAAAAATTTTATTCCATTCCAATATATACAAAACCAAATGTAAAATCAACAATTTTTTAATCCACAACCCATTTCAGTGTTACAGTAATCAACGCTGCGATTACTCCACTGACCGGTAGTGTTACTACCCATGAAAAGACCACATTCCTAAAGATCCGCCACTTAATTCCGGCTCCACTTTTTACCACACCCACCGCGACCACAGATCCAACAAGGCAATGGGTGGTCGAGATGGGTAAGCCCATTTTACTGGCCAATAAGGCAGTTACAGCGGCGCCAAACTCAATACAGAAGCCGCTAGCCGGATGGATTTCGGACATTTCTTGGCCCACGGTCCGAATCACTTTGTGGCCAAGAAGACAGAGGCCAATGACAATGCCGAGAACACCGTAGAGAAGAACGTAGACTGGAGTGGGCTCGCTTTGGAGCACGGACTGGTCTTTGTAAATGGCTATGGCCGCGGTGAGTGGGGCTATGGCGTTACTGAAAGGAGTTTGAAGTCAAGGTTGAAGAGAAGGTAGGGCTAGATAGGGAATGACATGGTGAAGTATTGTAAGCTATGGTAAGACAGGGCAGGGTGGGGCAGGCAGGGTAGAGTAGGATAGCGTAAGGTAGTGTAAGGTAGGGTAGGGTATGGAAGAATAGTATAATGTCCATACCTAACATCATTAGCTCCATGAGCAAATCCAGCGAAGCAAGCAGTAAAGATTTGAAGTGAACTGAACAATTTCAAGGTCTGGCGATCTTCTTTCCTTGTAGGTAATGGCAAAAGCCATTTTACAAATCCTCGTAGAGCTGAAAAAAATAAATTAAAATTTTTAGGTAATAAAAGTATGGATAACATTAACAAAGAGGACAATAAAGATATCAAGAAGCATTCAGTCAGGTTTTATATTGTAGTAGATCTTACTCCATTCTAGATGTTGATCTTCACCATAAGTGTCAGCTCTACTTCTTTTGAAAGAGTCACCAACTAACGTTATCCTTCTAGGTGACGATGGAGGGGTGGAATCTAAAAGTTCTTGCCACTTTATGTTTTGTAAAGAAAGTTCTTGCCATTTTTTGATTTGTAAAGTAAGTTCTTGCCATTTTTTGATTTATAATGAAAGTTACTGCCATTTTTTATTTTAAATTTAAGATTTTGATTTCAAGCAGCATTTTAATTCAAAAGGAACCGATTTCTAAAGTTTTACGAAATGCCACAAAATTTATTGGTTTTTCAACGGAATGTCACAAATTTTATCGATTTTTGAAAACTTCGATTTTTTTGTTATGCAATGAAAATTATTGCCGTTTTTTTCTCTGTAAAGAAAGTTTTTACCATATTTCGCTTTGTTCAGAAAGTTTTTGCCGTTTTTAGTTATGTAAAGAAAGTTCTTGCCGTTTAAAAAATAACTCTTACATCTGAGTCCGTCGACGCCTTCCACGCTGTTTTCCTGGTTGAATTTCTGTGTAGCTAAAGCGGCAGCGTCTAAAATGGCATTGTCGGTCTCGGAACGGTCACGGCTTGGAACGACCACACCGTCCAAATTCAGGGTTACGGTACGTTCACGCTTACTTGAAACTCGTCGTGCTATTTTGTTGCTATCACTGTGGGTACCATTTTTAGTACCTTGAGTACCATCGATTGTATTTTTGTTTTCAGTACCATTTGTACCACCATTTCCTGTAGCATCAGTACTATCGATGTTAGTACCATCAGTGACGTCTATATCAGTACCAGGAGTAACATCGATATTAGTACCAATTGTGCCATTGTGTACCGTACCATCATCCACCGTGCCATAATTTGAAAACCCGTCGTTCTTTAATGTGCTTTGTCGCTCACCGTTCTTGAGCGAACTTTGGCGTTTAATGCCATTTTCAATACGATCCACACTCGATTTGTGGTCACTAACGCTGCTGATACTACGGTAATGCCCAGGATTAGGACTTTTATTAGATATGGTACTGTAACGTCGCACCACATCTTCATATTCACCATCAAAACGGTTTTCGATACAGGGTATGGTGTTTCGTCCTAAAATACGAAATATAGCATGAACAGGCCTACGCATACTGTAGGTAAGGTTGTGTATGGTAGAGTACGATTGAATAGGATAGTGTAGAATTGGGTAGATTAAGGTAGGGTAGGGTAGATAGTGTAGGTTGGGTAGGGTAAGGTAGGGCAGGGTAGTAAATATTAAGCAAAAACCTACTTTCAATCCAATTGACTAGCCTTGGTTTAGCGAAGAAGTGCACCAACAGTGCCACAATCAGTCCCATGACTACACTGATAGTCAAAGCTAACCATAACGGAAGAGAGGCGAGGTGAAGAACTAAAAACAGGCAATAACTTTCTTTACAAAACCAAAAATGGCAGGAACTTTCTTTACAAAACAAGAAATGACAAGAACTTTCTTTACAAAACCAAAAATGGCAGGAACTTTCTTTACAAAACAAGAAATGACAAGAACTTTCTTTACAAAGCAAAAACAGGCAAAAACTTTCTTTACAAAACAAAAAATAGCAAGAACTTTCTTTACAAAACCAAAAATGGCAAGAACTTACTTTTAGAGCCTTGATAGCTAACGGCAAACGTGATGAACATGATACAGAAGAAGTAAAAGAAAGGTAGCGCTCTCAAGCCATAAATTAATGGTCGATGCTAAAAAATTTAAAAATAAAAAAAAAATTTCCAGTACCAGCTGGCCTCTTAAAATTATAAAAATGTTTTCAAAAATTACCTTCCGAAGTACCAAATGATCCAAAATGAGGTATAATATGACTGATACTAGTCCTGATGATAACGGTGATACAAACCATGACAATACTAAAAAGATAGTAGATTACTATTATATAATACGGGGCTTAGTATGCTAGGATAGAGATTTTGATAGCAGTTGGGAGGGGGTGAGTTGGGTAAAGTAGGGTATGGCAGATTAAGGTAGAGTGAAGTGTAAACTCGGATAGTCTAGGTAGGGCAAGGCAGTAATAAGGGGTAATGGTAGGTGTAAGGGAAGGAACAGGATCAAGAGCAAATAGGGGTACATTAAAGCTATATATGAACTCCGCAAGCTCCAAAAACCCACCGATATCAACAATTTTCATCCACCGTATCCCCTCGAATCCCTTCGAGGCAATCGAAAATCCTACTGTAGAACCAACGATACTTTGTGTGGTAGAAACCGGCAGCCGTGCAAACGTAGCAATCATTAACCAAGCAGCACATCCGCCCAAAATTCCAATCTGACCCACTAACAAGGCTTCCGGCTTTGACTCGTATACTGTAACATCAATAACACCCTTTCTCATGGTATCTGTCACATTATACCCGACCAATATCGACCCCAATGTTTCAAAGATAGTAGCTAAGAAGTAAGCCCATCTAAGAGTTAAGACTTTCGATCCAACTGATGTACCAAAAGCGTTTGACACATCGTTCGCTCCCATTCCAAAGCCAAGTATGAAAGCGAGTACGGCTGATACTATCACTACCCATAGCCATTTGGACTGAAAATTAATGGAATATAACAAAAATCATTAATATTCAATAAATAAGTGTTTTAAAAGCTTAAAAAAGCATTTTTCAACATTAGTCCAGTCCAAAAATTTAAATTTTGATTTTCCCGCCAAAGTTTGGCATTCTGTTTTAACTTTAAAAATGGTTCAAAAACGTTACAAAATGCCTTATTTTTTATGTAAAACACTATTCTAATTAAATATTTGTTTAAAATAAACCAGTTTTTCAACCAAAATTCAAAAAATATTTTTCCCGCCAAACTTTGGCATTCTGTTTCAAATGCTCAAAACCTCAGAAAAACTTACAAATACTGCAATAGATAATAAAAAACAAGAAAAACTAGAATTTTAATCTAAAACTATTTTTAGTATCAATCTTATACTCATCTTACGTTAGATATATCACTTACTTGAAAGCTTTCCAATGACTGTCCTTCTGCCAAAACTGCGCCAATTAACAGTAAAATACCAAAAAATAAAATTCTTCTCCTTTCCATAATGATATTTTATAAAACTAGCCAAAAATTTGGTTCAAAACATTTAATTTTGTCTAGTGTAATATAAGCAAGCTACTATAATATCACTCTTCAGGCCGTATCGTAGAAAACGCAAACTTTTGGTATAATTTACCCACTGAATCGTAAAATACAGTCCTTTTGCTTCAATAAAATGCCAAAAAATTGTCAATTAAAAGCTTGCAAATTACAAAAAACTTGTTAAAAATTGTGAAAAGTGCATTTAAACCGACAAAATTGTGCTTATGAGTAGCGATTTAGCGCCAAACATTTGATCATGTTATCATTGAAGATAAGGAAGACTGCCTTTGTTTCCAAAATTTATTGAAACCACAAGTTTCGGGAGGAGAATAGACAACAATTGGCTGGACTATATGAACCATGAGCTCTGATAGTCTAACATAAATTTGTATAAACTTATAAAAGCTGATCAAAAAGTACATAGAATAATAACACCGGTCGAACACTTCGTAGAATTTGATATGTCAGCCGAGACTTTCAAAAAAAAACAATTTTAAAATGGTAAAAAAGTCTTGTCGCTAGATTACATTGAATATAACGGTAAAAAACGACAAGACTTTTTAAAGCCCTAATAAAATGAAAAAACGTAGTCAAAACGTTGATGAATTAAATAAACCAGTCGAATGGCAAAAAGTTCATAGAAATATAAATCTCGGTCTAAAGGTCTCCAGAACCATAAAAAATTTAAACTACCAGTAAAAACGACAAAACTTAACTATCCAAGAATAAAAACGCAAAAAGAAAACTGAAAAATAGGTAACATTTCTTCTTGTTCTTGTCGATTACACTGGCAACTGCCTATTGTTGATGGCACTTTGAAGTGAGACCATGAGTTCGGGTTCGATGCTCGGAGCGAAGGCGAAGATCATGCTGGTATAGAGACGACGTTCCGGAACGTACAACAAGCCCTCCACGAAGTAATAGATAACTCGCTGCTTGGTGTAATTTTCGAAAACACGTGGATCACCTAAAACAATATGTTTTTAAAAAATTGGTAAAAATATTTGCTTCTTTCTCAAAATTAGACCTGAAATGGGGGAAGGAAAGAGCACTAGACACCGCAAGTTCCGACCAAGGGTAAACGAGACTTGAATGGGGCTACAAAATTGTAGGGTAGGCTAGGGTAAAGCTAGAAAGGGGTCCCGAAACGAAATATTTGACTAATTTTGACAGGCAGGTGTGGGCCCGAAGACAAGAGCCCAAACCAAGGCCCGGCCTATTTGTGGCCACAAAAATTAAGGCTGGCGTCTTTACCGTCTACTCCTACCCCTTTCTAACCCTACTAAAGCCTACCCAACCCTTTCTAACTCTACCCAAGTCTAGCTTACTTCGTTCTAACCCTACCCAAGCTTAGCCAACCCTTTCAAGCCCTACCGAAGCCTACCCTACCCCTTTCTAGCCCACCCTGAAGAGAAACAACTGAGAAAACCTACAATTTTGCTCTTCCTCCAAAAGCATGAATGCCGTATCAAGTGCTTCCATAGCATAACAATGTTTTTCGATATTATTTTTGAATGTCTGAACTGGGTGCACGTCTCCAAATGCCAATGCTTCCAAATTCACATTCTTCAATGTCTTCGGGGTCTTCGAGAAAATGCTTCCCAAGGGCTTCAAGATGCAAAACTTTTCGTCAAGATACGTGATGACGCGTCTCAAAGTAGATTTCTTCTCATTATTTGGATCACGGTTCCTGGCCATCTTCATTACCATGATTCCGGCGGTGTAAGTCAGTCCTACTCCTAGCCAAGCGATCGTTTCGTATTTCGATACGGCCAAGTTTACCATCGTATTTTAGTTCAAGAAGTTTGCATTCTACAAGTTGGGACAATAATACGTGGAAAGAACTTTCCTTACAAAACAAAAAATGGCAAGAACTTTCTTTAAAAAACAGAAAATGGCAAGAACTTTCTTAACGGATCAAAAAATAGCAAAAACTTTCTTTACAAAACAAAAAATGGCAAAAACTTTCGTTACAAAATGTAAAACAGCAAGAACTTTCTTTACAAAACAAAAAATAGCAAGAATTTCCTTTCCGAACTGAAACTTGGCAAAATATTTTTTAAAACTTAATTTTACTACCAAAGATAACACGTAAGCAAAATGAAAAGAAACAATCGAAAGATATACCAATGGCTTCACAAAACACTCCAAACCATTATTACAAATAAAACATAACTTTGAAGGCTTGTAAGTTAAACTTTATTAACAAAAAAATGAAAAAAGATAAATCACAACTGTTTACAGAGTAACTATATAAGGAAGCCTTGAGGAAGGCGTGGTAAGTGAGGTGAAATATAAGAGTAAAGAAGGAAGAGTAAAGTCATGTGATTAAAAATGTTTTCTTATGGTGAAAGCACAGTAAGTTATTGCAAATTCAAAAAGAAAAAATTTTTCGAAATTTCAAAACTTCAAAAAATAAAAAATTTTCAAAAAATTTAAAAATCCAAAAAATCGACCAAAAAACATTGTTAAAAGTAGAAAACGGTACCAAAAGTACCAAAAAAGTATTAGCTTGTTCAAAAAACTATGAGCCCCCTATCACAGAAAGTTGCTTTGAGAAGAGCACAGAATTATTTGAACAAACTAATCGTTAAAAATGACAATATAAATTCATTATCAAATTTTAAAAAAATTTTCAAATTCCCAAAAAAAAAATTAAATTCAATGCCATTCCTTATTGACACATCAAACAACCTTCATTTTCGTCGTTAATTTGTGGCACTAGCTTCTTTTGTGCATTGATGTTCACATTCTCGTCATTTTCAATGTTATTCTTCTGTTCTGTGACCGATTTGAGAACCGACCGGTCGAGTGTGAATTTGACCGGATCGACCGATGGCTTTGAGCGGAGGTAGTACATTCCGGTTTTTAGGCCCTAAAAATTAAGTTTGTATATTATTTTTATCCTAATAATCGGTCTTTAAATCAATTTTACTCAATATTTAAAATTTTTAAAAATTAAATTTTTTTTAAAAAAATTAAATAAAAAAACATTCAAATACACAAAAATTAACTAAAAATTCCATTTTAAAATGATTTTCAAATAAAAAATCCAGTTCGTAACCCTCTTGATCAAAAAACCAGTTCGTATAACTTGTCACCCGCAGCCTGCAGAGCAAAAAACTCGTTCGTTTTCTCTTTTTTTTTGCCATTTTTTCAGTCTATTTACTTTTTGACAATATAAAAATCAAAATTTAAGTGTTTAAATCAAAAAGCCATCAAAAACCTTACCAACTCCCAAGCCTTGAAGTGTAATGTAGTCAACTTGGCATAGTTTGGCGATTCCACATGAAGATTCAAGCTCTGACTCTGATCAATGAAGGCGGCTCTTTGAGCTGCCATTTCCACCAATGCTGTTTGTTTCAACTCCCAAACAGTTTTGTAAATTTCCTTCAGTTCTTCTGGCACATTGGCATTCTTCAGGCTTCCGGTAGCGGCCAAATGAGTACGATTTTCATGTGTCCATAAGCCTAATTCGGTGAGATGTTTGCACAAATGTGGGTTTACAACTTGGAAATCGCCTTTTGTGACTCGGCGAGTGTAGCAATTTGAGGTGAAGGGCTCAAATGACTCGTTGTTACCTAAAATCTGAGCCGTAGAAGCAGTAGGCATTGGAGCCACGAACAGTGAGTTCCTGAGGCCATGTTCAGCCACTTTTTGCTTCAAACTAGTCCAATCCCAAAGCTCAGTAGGCGTGACATTCCACAGATCATATGATAATTGACCTTTCGATGCTGGACATCCACCATTCTCCAGGTATGATGGATAAGATCCTTGTTGAGCTGCCAACTCCGTTGAGGCTTCCACTGCTCCGTAGTATATGGTTTCAAAAATTTGTGTGTTTAATAGTTTGGCTTTTTCCGATGTAAACGAGATTCTGAGCATTTGGAAGGCGTCCGCTAGGCCTAAAATGACACTTTTTAATTTTTCAATTTTTTTCAAAAAAAATTTTGTTACATCTGAAATGTTGCTATCTTCATTTGTTTTCACCATCAAAAATCAAAATTTTTAACACATTTGTTATCTAAATCATCCAAACCCAATATTAACCCACCTTGAACACCAATCCCAATAGGTCGATGTCTCAGATTCGAGTTCCTCGCCTCTTGGACCGGATAAAAGTTTCCGTCAATGATTTTATTCAAATTTCTCGTCAGAATCTTGGCCACTTCCTTCAATCCCTCAAAATCGTAGTCATTTCCATTGACAAACTTGTTCAATGCAATTGATCCCAAGTTGCATACCGCGACCTCGTCCTTATTCGAGTACTCGACAATTTCTGTGCACAGATTCGAACTCTTGATTGTTCCAAGGTTTTTCTGGTTTGACTTTTCATTACACGCGTCTTTGAAGACCAAATATGGCACACCGGATTCGGATTGGGCTTTGGTAATGGCGCGCCAAAGGTCTCGAGCTTTGACCTGCTTTCTGAAGCGTTTTTGGGCTTCGTAGCTTAAAAAGTTAAATTTAATTTTAACTTTTTATACATAATAATATCTACATTACTTTATATATACATATCAACTATAAAAAAGATCAAAAAACAACCAAAAACGTAAAAAATGTCCAAAGTTTCCAGCCGGATTCGAACTTTTTTAGGTTTTCAACTTTTTCAAATTAACATAACTTTTTTAAAACACAATACATAAAAGTGAAAATATAAAACTAGATACATCTTTTTATGCTTTACAATATATTTTATTTCAAATTTTCAAAACATCTTCAAAAATCCAATTTTTCTAAAAAAAATTATATTACACCAGCCCAAATACCCCTAAATTTCACTCGCACACCGTCGATACCTACTACCTTCTCTCCAAACTTAAAAATCATAATTCCGTACCTTTCATACAGCTTTTCAAACTCCTCTCCGTAAACATCATCTAGTCCAGGACAGTCCAGAGGACACATTAGGGACCATAGTCCATCACTTTTCACTCTCTTCATGAACAGGTCCGGAGTCCACAAAGCGTAAAACAGATCACGAATCCTCATGGATTCATCACCAGTGTTAACTTTGAGTTGAATAAAGTCAAAAATGTCCGGATGCCAAGGTTCTAGGTAGATGGCAATCGAGCTTGGCCGTTTTCCACCAACATTGGCGTAGGAAGCAGTGTCGTTGAAGAGTCTAAACGTATATTTTTAGCTTATTCTTCATGTTTTTTATGCTTTACCACAATCCTATGGACATATAAAACCCTTAAAACACTGATAAAAGTACCTAAACATTAAATTGTCACCAAAAAGCTATAAAAACCTACCTTAACATGGGCAAAAGCCCCTTGGAATAACCATTAGCTCCCGCAATCAACGAGTTTTTAGCTCGAATCCCATGGATGTGAACTCCAATCCCTCCTGAATACTTGATAATGTTGCCACATCGTTGTAATGCCAAGAAAATTCCTTCCATCGAGTCTTCTGGGATCGCCATCAAGAAGCACGAAGACATTTGTGGATGAGGTGTTCCAGCATTGAACAAAGTCGGTGTCGCATGAGTAAATTTGCCTTGTGACATGTAGTCATAAGTCTGAAAAGTATTTTATAAAGTTTAAAGCTGTGGCAATACCAAATAACCCAGTATTCCATCAAAAAATCTAAAACAAGGTCAAGTAATGTAATAGTGGGTTCACCTGAAGAGCAGCATCAATGTCATTCTTATGAATACCCAGAGCAACCCTCATAATCATGTGTTGAGGTCTCTCAACTACTTTTCCATTCAGTTGAAGCAGATAGCCAGATTCCAGAGTACGATAACCGAAATAAGTGTAATTGTAGTCTCTTTCGTGTTTGATAGCATTGTTCAGACGCTAAAACAACATATTATACTCAAAATAAACTATTCTTTTTTGTAATTTAAATATAGAATTAAAGCTCTATTCTCATAAAGATCAAGCGTATTTTAAGCCATCTTTCGTTATTGAACGTCAAATTATATTGCACTTGCCACCAATTGTCCTCGTTTAGTCAAAAATTCTCATTAAGTTACCTAAAAACCAAAAAAAAACATCAAAACACTTACTTCTTTGTTATTCTGAATAATTTCAAGAACATCATCAGCAATCAGAGGACGATCATGACCTGTAGTAGGATGTTTAGCTTCATGCAACAACTTGGCCACATCAGAAAACCTGTCCAATGTATTTTTGTGCATTCTCACTACCGCAATCCTCGCTGCCAGCAAGTTGTGATCGGAATGCTCGATACACATTGTCGAGACAGTATTGGCAACATGATTGGCCAGATCTCCTGTTTCCATGTGTTCTGGAATTGATTCTTCGATGCATCGCGCGATTTTGGCCTGAAATATGGGTTGGAATTAGGTTTGAAGGCTAATACAATATAAATAAGTAATAAATCTAAACTTTTTAATTAATATATAAAGCATTAGATAACATCCACTATAATATTTCCAATAAACACCGTTTCAGATCAAAAAACCCTTTGAAAAATCAAAGAAATTTATATTATTCTTGAGAGTCAAGTCTTCTCATAAGTTTCTAGCAGTTTAACGTCAAAAAAAAATTGTTATCACTTACCACATCAACAAACTTTAAGTCTAGACCAAAAGCCAGCTTCTTCAAACACTTTTCCAACTTATGTACATCAAATGCTTCTTGCCGACCATCTAAACATCAAAATCAACATAGATATTATAAAATGATCTCATTTACCAACAAAAACAATGTGTTTTTAAAAAATACCTCTTTTTATGATAACCGAGTGCATCTTGTCGCCAAAACGAGCCCGTTTAACTTGTAAACCATCCATATTGTTAGTTTATATTATTATTAGGTCAATCCGGTCAGTGGTGATGGATTAAACAAAGTTTGCGATGGATCTGGTTAATCCTAAAATAATGTTATCGTATATTGTTTACTTTATAAAATTAATTTAGTAAACACCGGTAATAAACATTTTGAACCTCAATTTTAAAGCATTCTTGAGCTAACTCAAGCTTGATACCTATTACAAGTTGATCTCAACAAATCTTTAATAAAAACAACTAAAGCTTTTGCGAAACATTAACAAGATTCTAATACCGCTTTTAAATAAGTATGACACTCATTCATTAAACATAACATGCAATAAATGGCATAAAATATAGACCATCACATCAAATGACCTCATTTTTTGACCTTATGCCAAACCGGGCACTTTAATACCTAATCTTAGCCAACCCTCATCCTTCCTGTGACTCCAGGTCATCGTTAAGCCGACAAAAAAGTTTCCAACCGACAGCTCTTATAATAGAAATCTGGCGAGCAGTTTTGACCTGAACCATGGGTAATATAGGTTGGTCAATCTAAAACCAATAAAAAATTTTTTTTTTGGCAAAGTTCAGTTAACAGACCAATTTTAAAAAGTACTCTGGTACTTTCTACGTATTTTAAAAATAAAATTTAATCAAAAAAGCTATTTTAACATCCAAAAAACAAATAAACCAAAACATGTATCAAAAATCAAGTGTAATATACCGAATAAACTCGAAAATTCGTACAACTAGACCTTTAATTTTGTACAAATAGTAAAGAACAAGATGATAACAGTTTTTTGGAACCGATCAAATAAACTTTTCCGCAAAATTTTTACGAAAAAAGATTCAATTTGCGAAAAACCGCGAATTTCAAAAAGAAATTTGGCGCCAAAAATTTTCCCTCGAGAGGTTCTTGAGGCGGAATTTCGAAAAAATTGAACGAAATTCGGGCAAATTCAAATGAAGACGGTTATAATTATTGATTTTAAAGGTTTACATTAATGAAGAATGTTAAAATACGGCGAAGAAAATGCTGTTTCAAGGGTTGAAAGATGCCAGAGGCAAGTTTACATTGGTTGTTCAAAACTTTATAAAAATTTTCGTAGAAGAGCAATTTAGCTGAAATTTAAAATAAAGCGTACTAGGATCATGCTTCTAATTTGCTCAAAATTTCAGAATTTTTCTTGCACTTTTAAAAATTCAAATTTAAATTTCCCGCCAAATGTAATACTGTTCTAATTTTAAACGTACAGGAAATAAAAAGCAAGATCTTATTAGTCTTTGACCTCAAATCCCATTTTTTATTCAAGTTTTGTAGTGTCAAGGTAAACAAACAGGTTTTTTAATTTATGCAAATCAGCCTGGTTTATCTTGTTGTAGATATAATAACAAGACCAAACACGTGCAGCGAAAACCTGTTTGAATTCGACCAAAACATTCTGAATTCCTACAAATTTTTTTATTTTTGGACTACGAATCTTTGACTTTTCAACAAGATTTCTTATTTTTATTCATTTCCTTTGGCTTTTAATAGGTATACTCGTTCTACTGTCTACTTTTACTATTTTGACTTGTTTTACGGCGGTAAAACTACTGTATCTTACTGAAATTGTAAATAACAGACAAAGTTCAATATTTTTTCAAAGTATATTTTTAAATTATATATTTACATTGACAGTTAGTACATATTTACATTAAAAAATGATCTATATATTGAGGTTTTGTAACTTAATGACTATTGGCATTTTTATTACTATAGTAATTTATTTTTACTACATATCGGAACAAGATTTTCATAGTAAGTTAAAAATGGCAAGAACTTTCTTTACAAAACCGAAAATGGCAAGAACTTCCTTTACAAAACAAAAACTGGCAATAACTTTCTTTACAAAACAAACAATTGCAAGAACTTTCTTTACAAAACCGAAAATGGCAAGAACTTCCTTTACAAAACAAAAACTGGCAAGAAATTTCTTTACAAATCTTAAAAATCTATTTTTTAGTATGTACACCATCCAATACAAGCAAATACAAGTCTTATGAAAGTTGTGATTTTATGCGACCAAATCCATTCGAGCCGGCTGTTTTAAAACACGTAAACGAGAGTTATGTACCTGAATGCAGTTCAGAATGGAAAATAGTCACTGAATTAATTGATGGACAATTAATTATAGAGTCTGAAGTGTTTTTAGCTTATGGAACTTGGAGTTATAGGTGAGGTAGTAGGGTAGGGTAGGGTAGGGTAGGGTAGGTTACGGTAGGGTAGGGTAGGGTAGGGTAGGGTAAGGTAGGGTAGGGTAGGGTAGGGTAGGGTAGGGTAGGGTAGGGTAGGGTAGGGTAGGGTAGGGTAGGGTAGGGTAGGGTAGGCTAGGGTAGGGTAGGGTAGGGCACTGTAAACCGGGTAACCAATATACGTTCTTTCAGATGCATTCTGAACTACAATGAAACCAACTACAGCACGACGAAGTGGAAAAAGATTATTTCTTCTAGTCATACTATAATAAATTGTGAAGCTGTAGAAGTTAGAGCGATAAAAAATTATCAGCCTACGTATGGATACGTTCATTATCAAGTAATTCGAAAGTAAGGGTTAATTTTAGAAAAATTGGCAAGAACTTTCTTTACAAACCAAAACGTTGCAAGAACTTTGTTTACATCACATATTATAGCAAGAACTTTCTTTACAAAACAAAAAATGGCAAGAACTTTCTATACAATAAATAAAATGGCAAGAACTTATTTTATAAAACAAAAAATGGCAAGAACTTTCTTTGCAAACCAATTTTTAAGGACTGAACCACGACTATTGTCTATGGAAGCCCCAAGCGTTCACGTTATTGTAATTGACTCTGTTTCTCATCCTAATTTGGTCCGATCATTCAAAAAGACAAACAATATATTGAGGGATAAGTACAATGCTGTATATTTTCCGTACTTGAACAAGATTGGTGCTAACAGCATTCCAAATTCTTGGCCTATGTTCTTTGGTATGTTTCTTTTAGCTTTATGAGGCTAGCGTAGGATACTAAGGCTAGGGCTAAAGCTAGAGCTAAGGCTCTCTTGGGCTAGCGCTAGGGCAAGGACTAGGTCTTTAACTAGCGTTTTGGCTAAAGATTGGGCTTGACCTTAGGCTTATATTTACTAAGGCTAAAGATGTGGGCTAGTGTTCTGGGCTAGAGCTTAGCCTTAGGCTAGGGCTCTGGGCTAGGGCTGAACTTGGGCTGATATTTCAAAATATCTTTAAAGTTTTTCAAACTTAAGGTCACGAACATGAACATCAAGTAGAAACCTTATGGGGGCCTGCAAGAGCACCAGAATGGATGAATTTCAGCAAGCCGATGAATGACTTTTTTATAATGAAACAATTTACTGAAAAAAGTTATGTGACAATGCTAAATGAAGATCATGAAATATCAATTACTTGTTATTTCGGCTGTGTTGGACTAGTCAATCCAGCCGATCATGGGCTAGCGTAAGTTGGATGGCAAGCATTTTGATGCGAAGCGTCTGTCTACTGTCTATGTTAAAACATTATCACATGTGATATAGATAAATAAAACTGTATGTTCAATATGGAAGCGCAAGAACTTTCTTTACAAAACAAAAAATGGCAAGAACTTTCTTTACAAATCAAAAAATCGCAAGAACTTTCTTAACAAACCAAAAAAATGGCAAGAACTTTCTTTACAAAACAAAAAATGGCAAGAACTTTCTTTACAACTTAACTTTTTTAAAAATTTTAGTGGCTTCCGCCTTCGCCAACGCGTATACGATCATGACAGTCCAGACTACTACTACAATAAACAACTTAACATAACATATATCGATCATATCAAAAAATGTTGTAGAGAAAGCCACCTACAGCTGCTTGATCACTTACAACGATTTATCGATGTTTATCTTGCTGAAGCTCAATTTTCGATTACTTGGATGAGTAATCTTGTTCATGAGAATATGAATTCTCTCTTTCATGCTGATAACGATTTTGCTGGGTTTTTTGATCAAAATTCGGAAAAGGTACTGTAATTATGTACGAAGAGAAAATGAAGGGAAACTTAAACCGTAGCCTAGGTTTTGGTTTAATTAGACATGATGAACGGGCCGGTCCTGAAAATCAAAGCTCAACCCGTTTGCACGTAACAGAATTGGGCTTGGCCGCGCCGGTTCCTCACGTCTTATCTTGATTCTTAGCTTAAGCCCTAGTTTAAGTCCTAGCCAAATACCTAGTTTAATTTAAGCCCATAGCCGAAGCCTTAGATTAAACCTTATGCTAAGCCTTAGCCTACGCCCTAGCCTAAGCCCTATCTGAAGCCCTAGCCTAAGCTCTAGCTTAAGCCCTAGCCTAAGTCCAAGCTTAAGCTTTAGTCTAAACCTTAGCCCAAGCCCTAGCCTAAGCCCTAGCCTAAGCCCTAGCCTAAGCCCTAGCCTAAGCCCTAGCCTAAGCCCTAGCCTAATCCCTCGCTTAAGTCCTAGCCAAAACCCTAGTTTAATAAGCTCTAGCCTAAGCCCTAGCCTAAGCCTTAGCCTAAGCCCTAGTCTATGCCCTAGTTTATGCCCTAGCCTAAGCCCCAGCTCTAGCCTAAACTTTAACCTAAGCCCACTCCTAAAATTAAAATGCATTTTCAGTTAAAAAACTCGTTTGTCATTCTAATGGCAGACCATGGTACTCGTTTTGGTGAAGTTCAAACCGAGCCTATAGCTCAATATGAGGATTATAATCCAGCTTTTGTTATGATTGTGCCTGAAACTTACCGACAGAATAGTGAGTTCATGAAGGTATTGAACTCAAATTCGGAAAAACTGTTCTCTCATCACGATGTGTTTGCCACGCTTTATGATATTGTTACGGTAAGCTGTGTGTGTGTGTGTGTGATTTAAGATTTATGTATCTAGTCTACAAGGCCTAAGCCTGCTAATATTAAGGCTAGTAAGCTTGTCTATTAAATTTACGTTGACCAAACCTAACCCTACTAAACCTAAGCTTCTAAGCCTTAAGCGCCTAAGCCTGCTATGCCTAAGACTACTAAGCTTAAGCCTACTAATCCTATGCTTATTAAGCATTACCCTACAAAACCTATGCTTCCTAAGCCTACAAGAAAACAATTTTAATAGAAAAAGCCACAACAATAGCGCGGCATTACCTAATCTTTTGACATAACAAGATAGCTTTAGAGAAATTGCAAGAAATGATATTACGCAACGTTTTCTTATGTAATATTGTAGTTTTATATAATATTTGCCTCGATGTAAAACGACCCAACAAATGACTGCGAGTGCTGGGATTTGGCTCTATTTTTCTTTGAGGGTTGACCTTTTACCGGTCGTATTTATGAGTAAAATGAAAACCTACTAGTTTTATTAAGCTTAAGCCTAACTCATGATTTTGCCTAAATAAGCCTACGCTTAATCTCTGTCCTAAAATACTAAGCTTTCATTATATCATTAAGAATATGGCTACTAAATCTACTAAGCTTAGGGCTACGCATACTAAACCTACGTCTACTGAGCCTTAAAACTAAGCATACTAATTATAAGCCTAAACATTCTAAACTTAAGCGTACTTACCCAAAGTGCTAAAAACTATGTTTTCTAATCCTAAGCTTACTAAGCCTAACTCTACTAAGCCTAACCTTACCAAGCGGAAAAAATAAGCTTACTAATTTTAAGCCTACTACGCCTACTAAACCTAAAGCGACGAAAACTACGAAGCCAACTAAGCCTAAAACTAATAAGCCTATGTCTACTAAAACTAATTATTTTCAGAATCATAACAAAGTCAAAAAAGATGTGACAAAACCAAAGCACCTATTCAGATCTTCTCTACTCCAACCTCTACTAGAACCACGCAACTGTTTCTCGTTAGGAGTACCGTTAAAGTTTTGTATGTGTAAGAAAGTCATCAAAGTGACAGAAAACTCGGATATTGCCATAGACATTGCTCATACAGCTGTTGACAGAATGAATCAGGCTTTGAAAGAAAATGGCCACGACAAGAAATGTTTGAAGTTAAGTTTACATAAAGAAAGCAAAGTGAATGTAGCTGAATATAACACTAAATGGTTTGACGGCGAAACAATGATATATGTCACTTTTCGGACTTGGCCTAACATGGGGCTGTATTCGGCGGAAGCTTTGGTAAGTTATTGTTTTTTTTGATTGTAGGGCTAGGTACAGGGTTAGAGCTTAGGCTTAGGCATAAGCTTAGACTTAGGCTTAAGCTCAGGCTTAGGCTTAGAGTTAGGATTAAGTTTAGGCTTGGGCTTATGCTTAAACTCAGGCTTAGGCTCAGGCTTAAGCCTTTTATGGTTATATATTCAATTCATCATTTTTAGGTCTATCCAAACAGAACATATACAATAACAACGGCCCTTTTCCCTCGAATAAACTCCTTCTTATGGCAGACGAGATGTCTTGACCGAATCATGCATCGAGACTACTGTTACTGCAAACAAGCGGCCGTTGAAGATGGATTTCTAAAATTGAATGGTGCAACGTTAGAACCGATTGTAGATCATGTTTAACTTTATTATTGTAGAGTTACCTAAAATTTTTTTATTAAATTTAGTTTTAGTAAACTAAGCCTTTATCTTGATGTCAAACACCTGTTATATAAAACAGAAGGTGAATATTAATGTAAAAATAAAATATCAATGTTATAATGAAACATCATGGTAGCTTCCGCATAGGCATTGTTTAGAAATGTTTATGATAACATGCTTTAACTACTTCAAATTGCAAAAAACATCGTTCGATACAAACAAAATCATTTTTTCGACGAGAACTTTGCAATTGACCTACTTATCGAAAACACCTTTTCTCATATCTTTTTGATTACTTATTAATTTTATTTTCTTTTTAGTATTTATGACATATGTATTTAGTAGTGGCATAGAAAGTGATTAATTTTTGGGCTGTAGAAAAGAAAGAATTAGAAAGTGTAAACTGGGTTAGATAGAGTAAGGTACGGAAGAAAAAAGCAAGACAGAAAAATGAAGTTTTGAACAAAGTGCTGTAGAGTTAAGTACTATAATGTGCATGAGGACAAGGTACAATAGTAAGAGCTAGATTTAGGTAGGATAGGGCAAAGCGGTGTAGAATAGTCTAGAAAAGAGTTGGGTAGAATAAGGCAGAGTAAACCAGAGTTGAATAAGGTATAATAGGATAGGGTAAGTAAATCTAGTTTAGAATAATGTAAGGCAAAGTTGGATAAGGCAGGATAGAGTAGAGCAAAGTACGTAAAAGTGATGCAAAGTAGGATAGGGCACAGCAGAGAAAGGGCTTTACATAGTAATATGGCAGATTAGGGTGGAGCACGGCAGAGTAGAATAAATCATGATGAAGTAGAGAAAGGCAATTGGATGTATAGTAGTAAGTAAGGTATGATAGAGTAGAGTAGGGTAAAGAAAGCAAGGCAGGGTAAAATAGTGTAGGGTGGGTAGGGTAGGGTAGGGTAGGATAGGGTAGGGTAGGGTAGGGTAGGGTAGGGTAGGGTAGGGTAGAGTATGGTAGGGTAGGGTAGGGTAGGGGTAGGGTAGGGTAGGGTAGGGTAGGGTAGGGTAGGGTAGGGTAGGGTAGAGTAGGGTAGGGTAGGATAGGGTAGGATAGGAGATAGGGTACACATTTTTCGCTATTCCCTTAATGTTTTTTCTTATACTATGTGACTATATATCCGGATATATTTGTTTGTAGTTTAAGGTTTCAGGCAATTTATCTTATTTTTCTCGAGTAATTGTTTTATCAGCTGTCTCGATCTCGGGAAGAAATATTTTTCTCATTTTGCGACAAAAACTAGCTATTATACAAAAACTTTTGACACTTATTAGTTAAGAAGGCTTTTTGTTTTTTCGTTACTACCTTAATTTATTTTGACACAAACTTTTCAACATAACATAAAGGAGGTGTTTGATGGGTAAGGTAGAAGATGTTTGATGGGTAAGGTAGAAAAAAGGTGCAAAATTGGTTTTTGCATGTTTTTGAGTTGAGTGTTTCGGAGGTTGTCATTAGTGATTTGATTAAAATTTCCCAAAGATGTTTTAATTTTGAAACTTTTTTTGATGCGTTAAACTGTTTTAAAGTTAGAGGAGCGGGTTATTGTAGTTTATTTTCGGGAGGGGTAAAAAATTTTTTGATGTGGGGGTGGGGGCGAGGTGCTAACAAAATTTTTTTTGTGTTTTTAGTTCAGTTTTAAAGCTGACGGGCCGGGTCATTACATTTTTTGGCAGGGGTAAAAAAATTTTTATAGGGCGGGGGGGGTGAAGGGACGGGCGGAGTGTTAATAAATATTTTTTTTGTATTAAAATTAGTTTTAAGGTTAAAAGTTCGGGTTACGACTTTCTTTGGCAAGGGTAAAAATTTTTTTGGGGGTAGATAAAAAATTTTTTTTGAAAGGTTTGTTTTGGCATACATAAATCGTGCTTTAAAATGTTAGATTTTATTTTAAAAATATTTTACTTTTACCTATTTATTAGGTTATGGCCGATGAAACAAAAAACAATGAGGTAACGTCAAAACTGTTGGAAAATGAACTTGTGGCAAGCTTTCAAAAACCGCCTGAAGAGGAATGTGGAAAGGAAGAAAAGTTAACATCAGATTCTGTTTTGAATTCATACGGTATGTGTAAAAATTTTTTAAAAAGGGCAGGGTGATTATCTCTGGCTTTTAAAAATAATTTTTATTTCATCCTTACCCTTAGTTCAGGCTTAGTGTTACCCTGAGTTTGAACTTGAAATTAAGCCACAGCTTCAGTCTAAGCTGCAGCTTGAGCATGAACTTAAGCTTAAGCATGGGTTTAAATCTAAGCTTGAGCTTAAACCACTGCATGAGCTTGACTTGATTTTAAGCGTAAGCCTGAGCTTTAGCCTAAGCTTGATCTTGAACCCGCGCTTATGTTTGGTTTTGAGAGTAAGTTTGAGCTTAAGCTTTAGTTTCAGCTTTAAAATTAGTTTCACGCTTATCTCTATCCCTATTCCTAAACTTTAAATTATATTGTAATTGTTATGTTCAAAATAATTGTTTAGGTAACACAAACCCATATCAGCTATGGGTATTCGTAGCTATGGGTTTCTGTTGGTTTTGGACCGCTTTTCCAGCAATGATTATAACCTTCTCTGTTGGAGACATATGTCTTGATGCTAACAATTGTACTATAACCAAGGGGAGTATTATTGAAGAAGTGAGTTTTTAAAAATTTTTTTAAAAACTGAAATTTTTTTATATTACGAAAGTTTTTTAAATATTTTTGGACACTATATTATATATAGTATATAATATTTTTCAATTTACAGTAGTCCTTTTTCGAAGTTAATAATTTTTAAATTCAGCTTTCAGTTTAATTTAGTTGGTGCTGACTCCTACAAAGCTGAAATGTCATTGACAATATCGACCATTGGGAATTTGTTTGGATCTACTATACTATCTAACGTATCTGACAGGTAATGATTTTTCAAGCTTAAGATAATTAAGTTTAAGTGTACTAAGCCTAAGCCTAATCCTACTAAGTCTAAGGCTACTAAGCTTGAGCCTACTAAGTCTAAGCCTACTAAGCCTAAAGCTACTAAGCTTAAGTCGACTAAGACTAAGCTTACTAAGCCTAAGCGTACTAAGCCTAAGCCTACTACGCCAAAGCCTACTAAGCCTAAGCCTACTAAGCCTAAGGCTACTAAGCTTAAGTTTACTAAGATTAAGCTTACTAAGCCTAAGCGTACTAAGCCTAAGTCTACTACGCCAAAGCCTACTAACCATAAGCCTACTAAGTTTTAGCTTACTGAGCCTAATTCTACTAAGCTTCAGCCTACTAAGCCTAAGGCTACTAAGCCTAAGCTTACTAAGCGTAAGCCTACTAAGCCTAAGCTTACTAAGCTTAAGCCTACTAAGCCTAAGCCTACTAAGTCTAAGCCTACTAAGCCTAAGCCTACTAAGCCTAAGCTTACTAAGCCTAAGCCTATTAAGGTAAGCCTACTAAGCCTAATTGTAAGTTTGATTCTACTGAGTTTTAACTAACAGAGTCTAAGCCTTCTAGGCCTAAAACTAAAAACTTAAGCTTACTATGTTTTAGCTCACTGGCCTTTTTATGCCTTAGCCTAAGACTGCTAAACATGACAAACTTATAATTAATAAAATTTTTGATTTAAATTATTTTTTTTAGGAAAGGCAGACGACCAGTCCTAATAACTAGCTTATTTTTACTCGGATTTCTCGGTGTTTTGTCAGCGTTTTCACCCAATATTTATGTGTTTGCCATCTTTAGAATTTTCCAAGGCGTTTTTTCATCGGTAAGACTACTGTAAAATCTCTATATATTCGAAGTTTAAAAATATTTTTTAAAATTTCACTTCAAGATACTGTAGAATCAAGTTTCTATTTAGGGCGTAGGCACTACTAATTGGGTACTATCATATGAATCAGCTTCAATGGGTCTTCGCTCCTATGCAGCTCTAATCTTTGGCTTAATCTGGGTAGCCGGCTACGTCCTAGTAGCACCACTATGCTATTTCCTACCGTACTGGAGGCATCAAGTTCTATTCGGTTCACTACCATGTGCATTGGCAGCTATATTGTACTACTTTACTGTACCTGAAAGCTTTCATTTTGCTGTTTCGAATAATCGAAAGAAGGCTGTACTGAACTGGTACTGCAAAATGAATAGTACTAGTAAGGTGAAAAGAGATGTTGATGAAGTGGATGAGCTAATTGCTTCTCATGTTGGTAGTAAAAGTAGTACAAAAGAGGATGACAGCAGTACGGGACTGTTTGGGGCTCTGATACAGAAAAAGAGCTTATTGTTGTACTTGATAGTGTTGTCGTATGTATGGTAAGTCGAGTTTATAAAGTGCATAAAATGTGATTTTTCCAGTTTTGAAATGGCAAAAATTGCAATTTCTTTAAGAAAAATTTCACTTTTTTCCGTTCTTTGCGCGGATTCGAACTTTTTTTTATTTTGGACATTTTTAAACCAACATAACTTTGCCATTAGGTTAGACATAAGTATGAAATTGATAGGATTGATAAAGTTTTGCATGCTGTATTTATTTTAACATTTAGTTTTTTGAAAATTAACGGGAAAGTTATTTAAAAATGCCACAAAACTAGCTGTTCTCTGGGCGGATTCAAACTTTTTTTTGATTTTTGACATTTTTAAACCAACATAACTCTGTCGCTAGCTAAGATTTTGGTATAAAATTGATAGAACTGGTAGAGTTTTGTTTTATTTACTTATTTGAATACTTAGTTTTTTATAATTTATGGCTCAGATACTTAAAAAATGGCATAAAACGTCTTGTTCTCTAGGCGGATTCGAACTTTTATTGATTTTTTAATCTTTCGAATGAGCTTAACTATGTTATATTATGTGGCATTTGTATGAAAATTTAAGTATAGGCACAACTTTTTATTCCTGACAGTCTTTTTTTTTATTTTACTAAATTTTAAAATTTTTGGGTTATTGTAGGATTACTGTAACTTTTTTTTTCTATGTTTTTTTGTCATTTTGCGCTTTTTTTTGAATTGAAATTGCCATAATATACAAATTTTTGAAATTTAAATTTAACTAAAAGCTTGTACTTTCAGGAGCAGTGACTCATTTGTCTACTCCGGCCTCTACCTTATATCAACAACGTTAGGCGGAAACAAGTACTGGAACTTTGTTCTAACCGGCCTTGCTGAAATACCCTCTTACCTGGTATCTCCATATCTTCTGCAAAAGATGGGAAGACGTTACTTTGTGTCATTTACCCATCTCTTAACCACTTTGTGTTTCATTGGGGTAATTTTCATTGATCATGAGAGATCATCCTTTATCTGCTGGTTAATTGGCAAATTTGCTATTTCTTGTGCATACACAGCCATATTCGTGTATGCATCTGAAGTGTTTCCTACTGTGTATCGAAGTGGTTGTATTGGGATTTGTATGTTTATCAGCTGCTTTGGTGGAGCCGCTTCTGGAAGTGTTAGGAGCATGGTGAGTTTAAACTAAATTTAACTTGAGGTTAACTTTAAATTAGGGTAGGATAGGGTAGGGTAGGGTAAAATAAGGTACTTCTCGATTTAAAAAAAAGTAGGGTAGGATAAGTACACTTGGATTTAAAAAATTCTTTTTAGAATGTGATATCACCCAACCTACCGAACTTTTTCTTCGCTGGAGCGGCTTTATTAGCTTCTGGTCTAACCTTACTATTACCCGAAACTCGAGGAAAACAACTACCAGATAATACTGAAGAAGTGCTACAACTTAAAGAAGACGAAGAAAATTAACTTCTTAAATTTAAATTTTAATAAAATTTTAAAAATTAAAAATTTTTTTAAATTTTTTTAAAAAAAAACTTGTTTTGAAAAAAATATTTTATTTATAACACAATCTTAAAAATGCTAATAATAATCTACGTCAGACAATAATATTGTTACAAACAGCACCGTAAATATTATACGTTATAATAAGAAGAGCACTTATGTGCTTTGTTTTTCAAGTTTTTTTGTTTTTTCATAATTATCCAAAGCTTGGATAACAATATTACGTTTTCTTGGAATCGAAAGTATTAGAATGAAGCTTGTGCTGATTTGAATTAAGTACTGTAAGAATAGACTGAGTTAAACCTACAGTAAGCGTAAATCAGAACTATAAAGAGATTGTAGAGGAGCTAAAATAAACTTTAGAGAGGCCTTGCGTAAGACTAAATTGGCTCTGGGCTAGGGCTTTTGCAAGGACTATGGACTAAGACTCTAGGCTAGGGTTTTGTGCTAGGGCTTTTGCTGGGGCTTTAGGCTAAGACTCTGGGCTAGAGCTCTGGACTAGGGCTTGGTCTAAGAAGTAGAATATTTTACTAATATGCCCTTTGCTATTTACGTAACTCTATTGACAGGTTTGGGCTGTCTTGAATTGTGTTTTTGTTCTTGAGTGGGTTTTCATAGTTCATGCTGCAAGTTTAATAACCTCAATCACTGTGTATGCGCATATTTGTTAGACAATACGTGTTTTTGAATACTTATGAATAGAAAGTGGTCCTTGTGCTATGGTGAATAGATTTACGTACTTAACTGTGAAAATTATACTGTTTAAGACTAGATTTCATTAGCCTTGCCTTGCCTTGCCTTGCCTTGCCTTGCCTTGCCTTGCTTTGCCTTGCTTTGCCTTGCCTTGCCTTGCCTTGCCTTGCCTTGCCTTGCCTTGCCTTGCCTTGCCTTGCCTTGTCTTGCCTTGCCTTGCCTTGCCTTGCTTTGCCTTGCCTTGCTTTGCCTTGCCTTGCCTTGCCTTGCCTTGCCTTGCCTTGCCTTGCCTTGCCTTGCCTTGCCTTGCCTTGCCTTGCCTTGCCTTGCATTGCCTTGCATTGCCTTGCTTTGCCTTGCCTTGCCTTGCCTTGTCTTGCCTTGCCTTGTGTAACTTAATTTTTTTAGGCTTATAATAGCTCCGCCTGTACGATACCCTTACCCGAATAAAAAAAGCTGTTTTTAGTTGTACTTAAGACCAAAGTCACCACTGATGACGTTCCAAATCCTATTTACTGTAGGCAGTCTAAAATTAGGTAATGAATAACGCAACGTCTTCGAAGGACCTCTTGACTAAAGCCTCTTAGGTTTTGCACGTTCAGACCGTTCCAAATAGGACCTGCAATTTGAAAAGCAAATGGCGTAGACGGAAATATTACTTGCGGTATGATGGGTAACTTCTATAGACTATAAAATTTACCTTTGGTTTGAATAATAAGAGGTAAAAGAGTCTAGAAAAGGTAGACTTTGTAGTTTGTCCTTAAAGTTCCTGGATTAAAAAAATGGTCGAATTTGGAATTTATAAAAAAGGCCTGGGCATGGGCAGATGTATAGGTTGGAATTGTAGAGGTAGAGTTAAAACAGGCAAAAATAGGGTTAGATATGTCCAGAGTAAAGACAATGATAAGATTCCAGTAAGAGTTTGAGAAAAGATGAATGTAGTGGCAAAAGTGTGTGTTCTTGTAGGTATACAACAAGATTAGGGTAGGGTTTTTAGTATGGTTAGAATAAGCTAAGATACGCTAGGGTAGGGTAGGGTAGGGTAGGGTAGAGTAGAGTAGGGTAGGGTAGAGTAGAGTAGGGTAGGGTGGGGTAGGGTAGGGTAGGGTAGGGTAAAGTGGGGTAGGGTAAGATAGGGTAGGGTAGGGTAGAGTAGGGTAGGGTAGGGTAGGGTAGGGTAGGGTAGGGTAGGGTAGGGTAGGGTAGGGTAGGGTAAAGCAGTGTGGGGTTGAGTTGTAAATTACCATTGACCACTTTTTTTACCTTGTTGTTCTCAAAACTGTCATCATAACAAGTGTGGTTGGTTAACTCGATTTGCAACTAATCGAGTTGAATTACGTAGTGTTTCACGCTTTTTAGTTCCGTGTAATAAAATTTTGTCATAAAAAGAGCTACTAATTAGTTTTTTTTGGAACAACGTTAACATCACTTTTCAAAGTTTCTTAAGCGCTAGACTATGTTTTTTATTATGGTAATGAGTAGTGGCAAAAATTAAGAATTTTTAGAAAATTATTAATATTTATCAGTTTACGAAGGGCAGGGTGAGGGAGGCATGCAGTAATAAGATTGTTAAAGTGTAAAGTATTTAAGTGCCCTTTGTGTTATAGCTATACACTGATTGTTTTAGGGTAGTCATGGTTATGATTAAAAGAAAGTTATAGCAATATTACTAAAGATTACGGTACGTTTAGCATAGATATATTAAACGACTACGGTCAAAAAAGTGAGGTTAGGCTAGCGTGAGGCAGGGTAGATTGAGGGCAGCGATATGGCACATTTAGAGTAGATTATAGTAAAGCAGAGCTAATCCAGGGTCAAAGCAGGGCCTAAAAGTAAGACGTTAAGTAGAACAATATAAAACCGTAGTTTTTACTGCGATATGGTTAAAGTAAATGCTACTGTAAAGCTAATATAACAAGCTTTCAGCCAGAATATGGCCAGGGCTATGGTTAGTAGGTGACAGAGATAGTGTTCTGCTATGTTCAGTGTCTAGAGCGTAGCTAGATTGAGGCTAGAGTATTTTTATAGTATTTTCAGAGTAAAGTTAAGGTAGTGATAAGTCATAGATACAGTAAAACGTCTATAGAATGAATTTAAAAATGATTTAATAGTTGTTCTTTATGAAGAGGTTTTTGTTATACAGAGGTTTAAATGCACTGTGTAGTCTTTGCCGGGATTCAAAATTTGCTTGTAGTACTGGGGTTTTGTTATATATAAGCTCTTTATATGGAGCTTTCACTGTATTTTTTTTCATACTTTTTATAGTTTAGTTCCTTGTAAACGAGTCTTAAATCGCCTACTCATTTCCATGTTTCATACCCATGAATTATCATTATTCATGCATGAAGACGTTAGGTATAATTAATTACTTTACTAATAGTCAATGTTTCCAAAGTTGCATTTTAAAGCCATAAAACGTTATTTTAGAAACTTATACTTCTAGAATAGCTTAGAGTAAGTCAAGTTAAGGTAAAGTAAAGTAGAGTAAGCTAGCACAGAGTGGGGTAGGGTAAAGTAATGTAGAGTAGAGAAAGCTAATCTATGATAGAGAAAGGTAACGTATGGTTGGATGGTGTATAAGTATAAGCTATAGCAAGCTTTTCCAGACTCCATATTTATGTCATAATCACTTCTTGTACTCTACAAGAACATCTGTGAATTGTTTATGTTATACTAGAGAATTGGTTTGGTTTGTCCATAATTCATTAGTTGTTTTGTCAGTTTTAGTTGTACTTACTAGATGTGGAACTGACAGTACGTACGTGTTTTTATAAGCTGTAAATAATTATAGCAGCAATTTTTAGTTTTTTTACTGTAGTAGGCAAAATACGTGTCATTCTTTACAGTTGGCTAGTTTAAAAGGCAGTATTTTGCGCAAAAGGTATCATATTGTCTTATTTCGACAAAGAATAGTAATTAGGTTAGTTTACGCTTGTTTAATTTTTTCATATTACTGTAAAATAACAGAAGGTTGACCTTTGAATTATGTACGTGCAATTAAATTTTTTAAATTTACAAATAACTTTTCAGCACAGTGCCTAACATGAGATACCAGGCTAGTGTGTTGGCGTGGCTCTGCTTGGCTTTCGGTTTGGTAGCGGCCGGTTTTGGGCCTCGAGCGAGTTTCGGCGATATGGGCGAAGCTGTAGTTTTAGATGGACTGAGTGGGTACGGTGACACTGGTCGTGAAGGTCGAATGTTTGTCATGCAGGATACTCGGGCTGATCCACGGTATGTTAATGTACTATTAGTCCCTAACCCTAGTCCTAACCCAGAGCCCTAGCCCAGAGCCCTAGTCCAGAGCCCTAGCCAAGAGCCCTAGCCCAAAGCCCTAGCCCAGAGCCCCAGCTCAGAGCCGTATCTTCTTTATATTTCACAAAAAATGCCATTTTTAAAGACATCATTTAACAAAATTTGTTTTTCAGGTGTGTGTTCTGTCGTGGCGGTTCGTTCCGCAAACGTTTCGGCGTTTGAATTTGGCATTAATTCCATTATGACATTCTTTCTTTATGTGGACCTAATATTGCTAATTTTAAATTTTTTAAAATTGACTAAATAAACTTTAACTTAATATGATAGTGTATGTTAAAATTTCTTTATTGTACAAACTTTAATACAAAACATATAATAGTATCAAATTTAAACTTACAAGTTCAAAAAATTAAAAAAGAAAATCCAGAAAAAGATACGTGACTTGACCCGTATGAAATCAATATAAATATAAGACAATTACAGTGGACACAGTAGAAATTAGTTACAAACTTACTTAGTAAATAAAGTTTTATCTTTATATTGGTATGTACATAGACTACTTTAACCAAAAATCTTAATTAAGAAATGGCGACGCCTACTACAATATAACATTATTTTTACACAGGTAGCTAGCTACCTGTGCCGATTTTTTGCAAAATTTTTTTTCCGAAAATCCACAGGGTGGACCACGTTCAACTTTTTTCAAAAAATTTTTTTTCTGGAGGGGGGGGGGTTACCCCCGTCCCTCCCCCCCTCGCGCCCGGCCCTGATTGTAAGGTAAGCTACGTAAATAAGCAACGACAGAAAATCTTAGTTTTAAAGAAAAAATGGTCGTATTTTACTTTATGTAGGTTAATAAAAGCTGTATCCTCTACTAGTTAGTTTAATAACTATTGTATTTGTTATCTCTACCCTTAGCACTAGCACTAGCATCAACCTTAGCGTTAGTTCTAGCCGATCCTACTCTTCACTCCTTTTAATAAAAACTCAAGGCTAAACAAAAAAAATCGTATTTTACTCTATCTAGCTAAAAACAGTTTTTTTAGTAATTCTTTAAACCTCACCAGCGTATTTTGCCCAAAGTAACCCAAAATCAATCATATTTGAGTCACACTAAATCCCAAAAATCTTGCCTTCATTTGTCTAACCCCCTCCCCGTCTCCTCTACCGCCTCACTAAAACTTTTCAATCCTCCCATCAAGAGTATTATCCTCAAATAACAACTTGTATACATCAACATCCATTTGCAACATTATCAGCCCTTCGGCCAGTAATTGAATGTTTAGGTCATTTAAACCATAATTTTCTAGTTTTCCTTGAAGGTACTTCAAGTCTAGGCCAGATTTTAGGTATTTATTGGCCAAACGTTCTAACGCTCCTTTGACCGAAGTTTTAAAACCTCGAAGTTGAGCTGGTGAGAGCTCGAAGAAATCAACGTCTTCTAGGATTTCTAGCTCGGAGATTGATATTTGAACTGAAAAATAGGTTTGTTAGTACTGTAGGGTAGGGTGTAGTAGAGTACGGTATATTAAAGTAATGAAAGATAGGGTAAGGTACATAATGGTACAGTAGGGTATTGTAGGGTAAATAATAATACAGTAGGGTACGGTAAAGTACAGCAAAATAGAGTAAAGCAAGGTAAGGTAGAGTACGATAGGGTACGGTAGGCAAGGGTATCTTATGGTAAGCAACGATAAGGTATAGTAAGACGGAGTGAAGCAAACATACTGTATCCTACCTTATCCTACCCTGTTCTCGCACTTACATCCTTAACCTTTCCAGTCTTACCCTATCATGCTCCATCTTGCCCAACATTCCTTACTTTATCCTACCTTACTATACCTTACCCTACCGCACATTACTCAGCCTTACAATACTCTACCCTAAAGTAACCTAACGCTACCCTATTCCTCAAAGCTCTCCGTTGTACATCTGCCCAAGCCTACCTTACCTTTCCGTATTATATCTTACCTTTCACTATCATAAAATACCCTACCCAAACCAACTGCGCCCCACCGTACTCTACTTGAGCTTTTTTCTCAAATAGTGATATGAATTCTAAAGGACGTATTTTACCAACTCACCAAAAATCTTATTGTCATTTTGTTTGATGTGAATCTTCGTCGTAGCCGAAAATGGTATTTTCCCAATTGGCTGTTGGCCAACATCAGCTATGAAGAAAGTAGCCAAACCGATAAAATGCACCTTCATTGAATCTAAAAATGATTGTAAATTTAGACCACATCAAGAAAATAGCAAGAAATTTCTTTACAAAACAAAAAATGTCAAAACTTTTTTTTACAAACCAAAAAATGTCAAAAACTATCTTTACAAAACTCACCTTCACTTATGACAACTTTGGGTGGCCTGACGGACTCAATTAATATATTCATTTGCTTCTGAGGGTATTTCTCACCAATTTCTGGTAAGGAGTCAGATAAACAAACTTCATCAATTGTGCACGTTGTCTTCAACATTGGGCCGAACAGTGGCGTACGTGGGTTTACGTGGAATCGAAGGATCTTTGCTCTATAACAATATAGGTATTTTAATACCTTATTTAAGCCCTATGGTAGACTTACCCTACCCTACCCTACCCTACCCTACCCTACCCTACCCTACCCTACCCTACCCTACCCTACCCTACCCTACCCTACCCTACCCTACCCTACCCTACCCTACCCTACCCTACGTAGGGTATTACCCTAGCCAATCGTTTTTACCGTGCCTTCCCGTACCTTATCGTACCGTGACAAGCCGTGCCTTTACTTATCCTTTTTTACCATACGCTACCTTGCGTTTATGTACCTAAAGCCACTTTTCTCTACCTTAACCTGCCCCACTCTATACCGCCTTGTGAAAACCTGCCTTTTTCTACTATACCCTACTTTATTTTTTTAACTACCTCATCCCAAAATTAATAAAAAGCCCTCACCGATGTGCCTGATTGAACAGAGCATTAGGAGTAAACTCTCCTACAATCATTTCGACTCCTTTTTTTGTTAGATTTAGTGGAAATTCTAATAAAGTTTCATTTGTCAATGGCCGTGGATCATTGTACAAGCCATTGTAAGGTAATGCATTCACCCGGACAGCTCCGCTGATTCCAATATTAAAGGTTTCGGCATCGGCTGCTGAATCCACGAAGTCCATGTTTAAGAAGAGGCGGCCAAAGTTTGTCTAAAACAAAAAAGATTTTAAAATTAAGTTTTTGATAGGTTGGGGCAAAATATAATACGACAATGGGGCTACCATGAAATTAAGTTTAGGCAAGAAAAACTGAAGCAAAAGCAAGACAAGTGGCAGTTACGGTAGATTAAAAATGAGTAAGTTAAGGGACTGTGAGATAGGGTAGAGTAGAGTAGTAAGGGAAAGGGAAAAGCAAAGCAAATTTAGAAACGGCAAATTATATAAGACAATGATGTGTAGTGTATAGTAAGACAAGATAGAGTAGTAAAAGCCAAGCCTAGTAGGACGAGATATAGTAAATTAAGGCAGAATAGGTAAGCAGGATGCGGTAAGATAGAGTAGGGTAGGGTAGAGTAGTGTAGGGTAGGGTAAGGTAGGGTAGGGTAGGGTAGGGTAGGGTAGGGTAGGGTAGGGTAGAGTAGGGTAGGGTAGGGTAGGGTATGATAGAGTAGGGTAGGGTAGGGTAGGGTAGGGTAGGGTAGGGTAGGGTGGGGTAGTGTAGTGTAGTGTAGGGTAGGGTAGGGTAGGGTAGGGTAGGGTAGAATGGGGTAGTGTAGGGTAGGGTAGGGTAGAGTAGGGTAGGGTAATGTAGGTTAAAGCAAATAATCATAAAGTATAGTAGGCATACTGTAAGACTTACAAAATCAAACCCATCCAAAAGTTCTCTCAAATTGAATTGGGTACCATCTATACTAACTTCATCAATCTTTTTACTTTTTTCAGTACCATTCGTCTTATTAACACTACTCTTTCCACTACTCAAGCTTTTGTCCTCCACTTTCTTGGTACTTTTGGTACTCTTTTTGGCATCAGGACCAACTGAGACAGAAACAGTACCACTAGTGTTCTCATTATCAAACTTCTCCATAAAATTCTTAGAAGTATCAGCTTCGTTGGCATAGTCAACATAATCAACCTCATTTCCTTTAGGCTTATCTTCGGTAGGCTTGGCTATCTTCTTACGGACTCGTTTCTTCTCTTCGTACTGAACGACGTTGTCGGTTGGTTCAATTACTGTAAAAGCTTTAGTTAATGAGAGGGGGTGCAATTATAAAAGTTTTGTAAAAAACGTTCTTGCCGTTTTTTTGTTTTGTAAAGAAAGTTTTTGCCATTTTATGTTTTGTAAAGAAAGTTCTTGCCATTTCATGTTTTGTAAAGAAAGTTCTTGCTATTTCTGGTTTTGTAAAGAAAGTTCTTGTCATTTTTTGTCTTGTAAAGAAAGTTCTTGCCAATTTGTGTTTTGTAAAGAAAGTTCTTGCCATTTTATTTTTTGTAAAGAAAGTTCTTGCCATTTCATGTTTTGTAAAGAAAGTTCTTGCCATAAATAAAAAAATTTTTGAACTTTTAGGTAACAAAAACCTACTTTCCACAACAGCAGCAACTCCACGGCTTTCAGACCGTTTTACTCTAGGGCTTCTGTATCTGCTAGGTGAATGATGAGTTCTATACCTAGTGTATTGAAGCGCTGGATCCTTCGCCACAATTGGTCGAGGTTGAGGTTCTACTTTTGTTGCCTGAAAATAAATTTTTAAAAATGGTTTTTTATTATAAAAAGTGTTAAATTGTAAGAAAAGTTTAAAAAAATGAAAAACTACATGACCTTTGCCGCGACTGTCGTATTTTACATTTTCTTGCCTTAAAAAAAGGCTTTTTTTGTCTGCGAAGGCTATTGTACACAATGAAACATTTGACTTTTTCCAAAACAAAGAAAATTGAATTCAAAAAGTCTACTTTGAAGCTCAAATGATAAATTTATCTGTAAAAAAAGCAACTTTAAAAAAAATTTTTAAATTACAAATTTTTAAAATTTTTAGTTTTTGAAATTTTTAAAACTTTAATTTTTTTAAATTAAAAATGTAATATAAAACTTCTCTTACAGATATAAATTATTTATAATTAAGGTTTCTAATATTTTTGAGCGATAAAACAAGATAATGGTTTGTGAAAACTGCGCGCTCTTTGTTATACGATAAAACGTGTCTTAAAGAGAATTTAAACCCGTTCAAAGTGAAATCAAAATACTTTTGTTCCTAGCTCTAAATTTAACCCTACTTATAGCCCAATCCCTAGCCCTAACGCAGAGCCCTAGCCCAGAGCCCTAGCCCAGAGCCCTAGCCCAGAGCCCTAGCCCAGAGCCCTAGCCCAGAGCCCTCGCCAGGAGCCCTAGCCCAGAGCCCTAGCCCAGAGCCCTAGCCAGGAGCCCTAGCCCAGAGTAATAGCCCCAGTCTAGCCTTAACTCACACTTAGCTGCAACTTTTATAAGTTTATAACAATTACTAAAAACGCTTTTCCCAAAATTTCAAACTTACCGACGAATCAAAGTACTGTATCAGCTCATAAATACTCAGATGTTTAGGCATGTCCCTTAACCTTGTATTGACTTGATCTTGAATGGCTCTCTCCAGATTCCAACAAACTGTACTTGAGATGATTTCCCTTGCCTTTTCAACCATTTCTTTCTTGTATTTTATATTTACTGAGTCAGTAATCAGCCCCATGCCAGTTACTTGAGCATTCACTAGACCCATATCTAATGAACAGCCAGCTTGATGTAGGTATGGAGTACGTTGGAGATCTTTTTGAATGTCAAAAAGAGCTGTCACTGTGATTTGACGAGCATTTACAATGATCTGGCCCAGGATCGGCACGTTGAGGAGGATTTGAATGTTTCCTGTTACTGCGCCGAGAATACTGTAATTCAATAGTTTAAGTATTAAAAAACCCTACCCTACCCTACCCTACCATACCCTACCCTATCAAACTGTAGTCTTCCATACCCTACCGTATCAAGATCTACCGTACCAACTTAAGCAATAGCCTACAGTAATGTGTCCTACTGCACTCCAACATAGCTTATCGTATTGTATTACACCGTACCTTTACCTAACCAAACCCTTCTGTATCAAACTCTGCCGTATTCTACCTTACCCAACCCTATCCTACCCTACCCACAAACTAATAAGAAGCTCACTAAACCCGACTTCTTCCCAAATCCTAGCCCGTGTTGCTCCTTGTTTACTAAGCCCTACTCTACCTCATCCTATTGTAATTTCATATTAAAGTAAGTAGCTAAACCTACTCAATATCAAAAGCAAATATCTTCAACACCAGTTTGTTGGGCTCGGCGGACGTGATTGTGACATCTTTGGGACGTTCGAAACCAGAAACACGAAAGGAATGCAAATAAAAGCAGCCTTCCGGAAAACATTGCTGGTACGACGCGATCCGAGCGTTCTTCGCTTGATACGCAAATACACTTTCTGAAAAGTGGCAGAAATTTCAATAAATTCCAAAAAAATTTTAAAAAAATGTAAAAAATTTTAAAAGCGTCACCAGTTTAAAAAATATCATTTTTTAGCCTAAAAGTCGTTTTTAAGCCTAAACTTCAGTTTTAAGCCTAAGATTCATTTTTTAAGCCTAAAAACTCATTTCAAGCCAAAAATTTATTTTTAAGCCTAAAATTCATTTTCAAGCCTAAAATTCATTTTTAAGCTGAGAATACCATTTATAAGCCCAAAATTCATTTCTTAAGCTTAAAGTTGACTTTTAAGCCTAAAATATATTTTGAAGCCTAAAATATATATTGAAGCCTAAAATTTCATTTTCAAGACTAAAATTTCATTTTTTAAGCCAAAAACTCCTTTTAAGCCTAAGATTTAGTTTTTAAGCCTAAAATCCATTTTTAAAGCAAAAGTTCATTTTTAAACTTAAAACTCATTTTTTACTTCAAAAGCTAAAATTTTAGTAAAAATTCAAAATTAAACCTACTCATAACATTGGCAGTGTCCTTAAAGACCGGTTCATTGAATCGAACCCTTATCCCGACTGGTTCGGTCGTCTGTGCCAATAAACTGCTGTTATTGTAGTAGGTTTGTTGTGATAGAGCATCAGTTCGATTGCCACTCGGAGGTTTTAATGTTGTTGTAGCTGAGACATGAAAAGGATGTCGAGTTGCTGCTGAGATCAAGGTAGTACAAATGGTACATGTTAGCTAAAAATTAGATTGTAAAGAAAGTTTGTGTCATTTTTTAATTTGTGAAGAAAATTCTTGTCATTTTATGTCTTTTAATAAAAGTTATTGCCATTTTTTAGTTTGTAAAGAACGTTTTTGACATTTTTCGGTTTGTAAAGAAAGTTCTAGCCATATTTTTTTGTAAAAAAAGTTCTTGCCATTTTTTGTATTGTAAACAAAGTTTTTGCCATTTTTTATTTAGGTTTAAAAATTACGTTATTTATATTAAATCAGCGTATAAAATGTCTACCGCAGTCTGCATGCTTGCTTTTTTAGCTAGAAGCAACCATTTTTGGCTGTTTTATACAAAGTTCTTGACATTTTTTGTTTTGTAAAGAAAGTTCTTGCCATTTTTTGTTTTGTAAAGAAAATTTTTGCTATTTTACGGTTTAGAAAGAAAGTTTTTACCACTTTTTGTTTTGTAAAGAAAGTTCTTGCCATTTTTTGTTTTGTAAAGAAAGTTCTTGTCATTGTTTGCCAAACCAAGATTCAAAATCAAATTGGGCCCGGCCCGAGTCTTTTACAATTTTAGTTTGTAAAGAAAGTCCTTGCCATTTATTGCTTTGTAAAGAAAATTCTTGCCATTTTTTTTGTGATGAAAGATCTAATTATTTTAAACATAAAACTTTTAAAATTTTAAAAGAGTGAAAAAACTTTAAAGTTCAAACCGAAAAAAATGGAAAACCTACCAAAGCCGCGAAGAAACCACGCCGCATGGCATTCAAATGCGCTTCTCCCTTCGTACTGAACGATGACAAAAGGAAGACGATGGAGGGAAACCTGTTCGAATCAATTTGTTTTTGGAGTTAATAGCCGCTGGCGTTGAATTCCCTCATCCAAATTGCGTAATCGGTGGCGGAAGTGGTCAACCTGAAGAGAAAATGAAAGTCATAAGCTGTCGGTTTACAGTCAAAGGTATTCGACAGGAGCAGTCGACTTAAAATTATTCTACAGAGTAGGCGACGCGTAATGACCATGTATAGTAAAGGGTTTTGGGTAAAAGTACAGTACATAAAGTAAGGGTTTTTAAAAGTATGAGTAAAGATTTTAAAGTAAAAATCATAAATAATATAGATAAAGCGATAAAAAAATCAATAATGTAACGAAATGTCACAAAAAATAAGCAGAAATCAACTTTTCGTAAACATGTAAATTTAAACTTTAAAAACGGCAGAAACTTTCTTTACAAAACAAAGAATGGCAAGAGCTTTCTTTACGAAAGAAAAAATAGCAAGAACTTTCTTTACAAACCATAAATGACCGTCTATTTATACGACGCTTTCCTCACTCAAATACGACAAAAGTTCTTCGTAAATAACTTCTACGAAAACATTTTGCAACATTCCACAAAAAACTTGTCTGACATTGTAAAAGTTACTGCTTTGGAAATAAACAAGATGCCGTTTGTGATGTCTGCTAAAGAAGAAGATGTGATCATAAAGATTCCACAGAGGTCAAGAGAAGGAATGATCAAAAAGCTAAACATCACGAGCTTCTTCAGCCCTTTTTCAGAAAAAAACTTGATTTTTTGGTGTTACTTAAAAGGCACTTACTCCAAATGGCATGAAGAGAGTTAAAAATAGTTTAGGTTAGACCTGTGAAAGGATTGGGCCCAGCTCAAGCTCAATTTTTTGGGTTGACGTTCAGTCTTGCACGACCCAACTCTGCCTTATTTAAACTTGTTTGGCCCGGTCTAATTAAACCGTTCTCAAACCTATTTTTGAGTCTTGGCCCGCGAACCCACACAGGCTGTCCCAGTCTGGCTTCTTTCAAATTTTATTTGACCTGGCCCACGTCTAGCAAGCCCCTTATCAAGTCTACTACAACCTGATCCAACTTTAATACCTGAACCCAACCCAAGGTCCGCACTATCTATGCCAGCTCCTTTAAAATTTGTTTTAGTCCGGCCTTGTAGAACCTCCTTCAAGACTACTTTAGGTTTGAAAAACAATAACTTTCGTCTTCAAAAGTAATAGCGAAAACTTTGTTTACATACCCAAAAATCGAAGTAACTTTCTTTACAAACTAAAAAGTGGCAGGAACTTCGTTTCCTAAACAAAAAATAGCATGAACTTTCTTTACAAAAAACAAAATAGCAAGAACTTTCTTTACAAAACATAAAATAACAAGCACTTTCTTTACAAAACAAAAAATAGCAAGAACTTTCTTTACAAACTAAAAAGTGGCAGGAACTTCGTTTCCTAAACAAAAAATAACATGAACTTTCTTTACAAAACATAAAATAGCAAGAACTTTCTTTACAAAACAAAATGGCAACAACTTTTTTTACAAAACAAAAAATGGCAAGAACTTTTTTTCAGACCATCAAATGACCAATAAAAATTTGTTCCACAGTTAAAAAATACTCATTTACAAACACAATATTTACCCAAAAACAATAAAACTGTGTTTTTTTTGGTTTGCCCTTTAGCCTTCCGCCCTACCTCGCCCAAATCCCGATCGAGAAAAACGGCAAATCCGTGAACGATTTTGACGAAAAAACGGCTCACATGACTTGGCGATGATCTACTTAAGCAAAAGGGTTCAATGGCGCGAGACATTCTGTTTTTGCATTCCGAAGTGAAAGCCACACAAGAGATTAAAGGGCAGCAATAATGATTGAGTTTTTCGAAATTTAAAAAAAGTGAAAGTTGATTGGTCATTTTTGAAACGTTTTTTACTGTTCATGCTAAAATTAAGTACAAGTCCGTTGGTAGCGCAGTGGCTGTAGCGTCGCTCGCTATTCGGAAGGACCTTTGTTCGATCCCGCGCACCACCCAACCCAGGCGCCTTGAGGATTGGGTAGCGCTGAGTGCACGGAGACTAGGCACATCTTTACTTGGCTTACACGAGTATATATATGATTGAACGCCAAAAGTCTTATGGAGCACCTCACCCACGACTCAGTGACACAAGGAACAGTAAAATACTTGGGGAGAGTCATGCTAAACGTTAGACTTAAGGATAGCTCGGTTGGTCTTCATCTGAACCTTGAACATCCTTGCACATTAGCACTGTGCGTTACAATCTACGGCATCAGAAATCATCTAATCTAATATCGTTTGACTTTAAGTTGAGCATGGCTTAGTTGGGTACATATAGAGATAAGATGAGGTAAGTATAGTGTTATGGTCACGATTGACCAAATTATCATTTACGTCTTGAATTGAAAGATTGTAAAAAGAACTCTTAAAACAGCCGGCTTTGAACGCCCGCAAAAGCCTTCGGCCTTCGAGAGAACGGCAGAAGGGTTTTGGGGGAACGGGAAGAACAGTCGGGGACTTTTGAGGGTTCTATCAAAAGGGTACTGTAGATTGTCCGTATATTAGTCTTCCTAATATGTCGTAATTAGAGATTGTAATTAAGGTATAAATAAATATCATATATCATCAGTAAGAAGGAACCTTATTATCGTAACTAACTGATAGACTAGGGAGATAGGTCAGCAAGTCCAAACTACCCGGACAGGGCGCAGGCTAGGTATACTATCTTTATAGTATTAGTAGGGACTGACAGTAATACCCTAAGGGGTGAATAGGTAACTCAACTCCCAAAGTATTTTACCCCAATAATAGTATGAGAAGATGAACATATTAGAAACATTTAAGTATAGCAAGATAAATAGTAGGGTGGATGAGGTATACTAGAGTGGGGTAAGTATAGTAGGATGCAATAAATATAATAGAGTCGGTTAAATATAGTGGAGTGGCTGAGGTTAAGACTAATGATAAGGTTAAACTAAGAGAAGAGCTATTGAGAGGGCTTGTATAAGGCTAAGACGGGCTCAGGTTGAGGCCACGCTAGAGTTAGGGCTCTGGGCTAGGGCTCTGGGCTAGAACTCTGGGCTAGGGCTCTGGGCTAGGGCTGTGGTTAGGGCAATTAAACTTTTTTTAAATAAATTTTGAGTTATTTTGAGTTTTATGTTTCAATCGCCTGATCTAACAACAAAGACGTATAAACCAAAGAATTCGGTATATCAAGGTCAGCGCTAACCGAATAGCATTCTTTTACATTACTTTTTAAACCAAAGCTGTTGGTGTAAAACGGTATTACACAATAACATCAAAATTACAAAACAAAGTTAAAAAATCAAAATTCAATACAAAAAGCAAAGACAAGGTTGTAGTTTCACTGACATTTGCAACTTGTTTTTTCCGAAGTCGAATTCACGCTGACTGAAGCAGAAACCTTTGATTCGAATGATCATGGTGAATATGCGCTTAATTTGCAGCAAATTCCATGGAGAATGATTTACTGTTTCTTTGGCAGTAATGTGCGGGTTTATTTACAGAAAATAACCTTATCATCAATAAAACGCCACACACAAACTTTGCTTATTTTTGTTGTGGTGTACTGTGAACTCTTCGTGTTTAAGGTTTATAGTTTTGAAATTTTTAAATGAACTGTTTTGGCTTAAAAACAATTGGAGGTGTCCCGACAAATCGCAGGCTGCTGAACCTAGTGTGCCAAATTACACCTATCAAGCTTAAGTCTGCTAAGTTTGAGCTTACTTACTAAGTTATTTCTATATAACCTAAGTCTAATCAACCTTACCTACTATTAACCCAGTATGCCTAAGCCTATTAAACTTAAGTAAAGTTAGCCTGTTCACAAAGCGTAAGCCAATGTTTAAACTAATTGAGCCTAAGCTTAATTACTAGACCTAAACCTATATAGTCTAAGGCAAAACCAACCTAAGCCTACTAAGGCTAAGTCTACTAAGCCTAAGCCTACTAAGCCTAAGCCTACTAAGCCTAAGCCTACTAAGCCTAACCTTCTAAGCCTAAACCTACTAAGCCTAAGCCTAGTAAGTGTAAGCCTACTAAGCCTAAGCCTACTGAGCCTAATCTACTAAACCTAAACCTGCTAAAGCTAAGCCTACTTAGCCTAACGCTTGTTTTCTTAAGCCTGCTAATACTAATTCTAAGTCAACTAATCAAAAGCTTGGTGAGGGTATACCTACTAAGCGTAAGTCTACAAAACTCAAGCTTGTTAAGCCTAAACCTAAATCTACTACATCTAAACTTACTAAGCTTGCTGCTTTTGAGTCTAGTCGACTTTAACTAACTAGATTTAAGCCTACTAAACATATTATTTTTAGCTTTTAATCAGAATCCAGTCAACCTTTCGAATAATTTATTTAATAGTAGGCGCAATACCACAGCTATTAATATACCATATATTGTTTCTTTCCACAAACAATAATTGGAATTGTAACCATTTCATGGTATTCGCATGACTTATCATTCTTTTTCTGTTACAAACAAAAGAAACTGTAATCCGGAGGGTCGCGAGACGTTGTCACACGGCCAAAAACTTTTTTTTACGAAATTCATTTCAGCCCGGAGGGGTGAAAAAAACGTTTCATCGAAGCGCATGAAAGCCGGTCAGTTCATAAAAAACGTTTTGGGTTCAGTTGAGTTTCAATTCGCCGGCCCAGCCGTTTTTTCGGCCGCTGTTATTGTTTTTTGCCGCGTAATTAACGGTTGTTTCGGATAGAATGGCGCGGAACGGTGGGAGGCGGCTAAAAACGAGGAGGTGGATAACTATGAATATTTAAAGTTTTACAGTGTTCTTTATTATTTAAAGTTTTTATTCGTTACTGCGTTGTAATCGTACAATATATCAGTTTATAAATTTTGTACCAAAGTTTTAAGAGAGAAAAAGCTCTCTTAAAAAATTTGCAAATTGCGTTCAAGTGTTTAACTATATATTGTTATATTGGTCATTATTTGACGTAGGCATAGCAGACATTGGATAAATGGGCTAGGCTTAGTAGGCTCTGATTTAATTAGCTTAGATTTAATAGACGCAGGTTAGTAAGTTCAGACTTAAAAGACATAGACTTGGTAGGTTTAGGCTTAGTAGACCAAGGCTTAGTCGGCTTGGTAAACTTAGGTTCGGTAGGCTTAATTACAGTAGACTTAGACATACATCTGACTTCAGCAAAATTAACCTTAACTATTAGGCTTGCTTTTAAAGAAATTGGCTAATTTTGCCTTGAGGCTAATAACGTAGAGGTAGTAGACTTAAGCGCTAGCTTTAGCTTTAGTAATTTTAGGCTTAGTAGGCTTAGGTTGAGTAGATTTAGGCTTAGTAGGCTTAGGCTTACTAGGATGAAGCCTAGACTTAAACTTAGTAGGCTTAGGCTTAGCAAGCTAAGGTTTAGTAAGCTTAAACTTAGTAGGCTTAGGCTTAAGAGGCCAAGGATTGGTACGTTTAGGCTTGGTAATGAGTAGACTTAAGCTTAGTATACTTAAACTTTTAATATATTTTACTGTAGTTGTTATGTGATGCTTAAGAAATCAACTTTATTTTTTTCTCAGAAAAAGTATTTTCATTGACGTTCTTACTCCCACTAACTTATATTACTCATGGCTTTTGATTGTTGCAAATTTCGTTATAAAAAAACTGTTTGTCTAACGCGGAAACGGTTTTAATAATTTAATAGTAGGCGGGGAAAAAACAAAAGTCGAGTTCGGAAGGCAGGATGTTGCCATTTTTGGCTTTATTTAATTACACAGTTATTTTTTATAATAGGAGAATGATGACGTTTGATGTTATAGTTTAATAATAATTGTTTTTGCGTAATTTTGGCAATGGTAATAACAGTAATTAACTGTTAGGTTGACTTTTGTATTTTGAGGTTCCAGAAAATTGATACGTTGAAGTTTAGTAAGCTTAGGTTTAGTAGGCTGAGCATTAGTAGTCATAGACTCAGTAGTCTTAGACTTAGTAGGCTTAGGCGTAGTCGGCTTAACTTTATTAGGATTAAGCTTGGTAGGTTGATGCTTATTAGGCTTAGGCTTAGTATGCTCAGCCTTTAGTAGGCTTAAGTTTAGTAAGCTTACGCTTAGCAGGCTTATGCTTAATTAATGTTAAGCCTAGATTCATTGAGTTTTAGATTATTGATTATTAGGCTTAGAAAGCCTTAGCGTAGCAACCCTGAGCTTACTAAACCTAACCCTTAACAAGGGTACTAATACAAAGTTCATTTTGACAAAGCATGCGAAGCTCAGTATTTCTAAGCTTAGTAAACCTAAACGTAGTAAACCTAAGTTTTTAAACTTGAGTTCAGTAACTCTAAGACTACTAAGCCTAAGCCTATCATTTAAAAATGTTACAAAAATTGTATTTTTTTACAATTCTTTAACCTTAAGCGTCATCAGCAAATAACGTTCAATTAGGTTAACATTTAGTTTCAAAAACATCAATTAAAGCCATATAATTGTATGTATTGTACCAGTTTATGTTCTTACTATGTTAAAAATAACATTTACGTATGTGGAAGAGATTGTTTTTGCAGTGTAACAAATGTGTTTTATAACCTTTAGTTTTACGGTCGAAACGCAAATAACATTCTGGTTTTTACTATACAATTACGAGTAGATTAATAACGTGAAAATGTTTATAAGGTTTTACTGTGTAATGATTACACGGTACATAGATACAGCATTGGAGTTTTTAATGTAAAAGTGATCAGGGCCGGGCGGGGACTTTTGGTTTGGGGGCGGAATAGGGTTGGACATTTACCGGTAATTTTACCGGTAATTTACCGAAAATTTCGGTTTTTACCGGTAAAAAAGTGTTTTGTGTCCTAGCACGAAAATTATTTTTGTTTCAAAATTTGTTTCTGTTTTGGAAAATTAGCAATATTTTGACGAAATATGTTGAAAAATATCACAGACCGTTACAAAAGAACAAATAATGACTACTTTTGCAATTATTGTGGTGCAAAATACGTCAGTAACCTTACAAGACTGTAGCAACATCTTCTGCCAACAACTCACAAGGACGGAAAATTCGATTTTTAGGATTTCTTGTTGATTTTTGGTACTTTACGTATAGGTGTGTGATTATTTAGCGAAACAATTGCACTAAGACATCTTCAAATGATCAAGAACAGGTCGTGCAATTGTATGAGCAAAAATGCGGAAAACAAAAGATTCCATCGAACCAAGCAGAGTCTACTGGACAATGGTCATCCAATCATCTATGACTAGCTACGTCAACATAACATATACCGGTAGGGAAAAAGAAGTGGACAGAGCTATTGGACTTATAAGTTGTTTTTTAAAGTAAAAGAGTGAAATACTTACTATTTTATTGTTTTTGTTGTTTTAAAACGTTTATTACACGTTTTAATGACATTTTAAAGTTTTTAAATACTAAATAATAATTCGGTAAATTTACCGGTAAAAACCGGTAAAATTTTTACCGAAAAATCAATTTACCGGTAAATGTCCAATCCTAGGGCGGAATTCAAAAAAATCCACAGGGGGACCAAGTTCAACTTTTTTCAAAAATTTTTTCTGTGGTCGAGTAAGGTAGGGTATATTTAAATAATATAAAAGAAAATAGAGTAGAGTAAGGTAAGGTAAATTTATGTTTTTATATTAGCTTAATTTAGCCCTACCGTAACTATACAAAATTAAATCGTGTCTTACTTAAACCTATTCTAATATGTTCTGCCTTACATATTAGAATAAGTCTAACAAATCTCTATTCTAACCATATCTATCCTAATCTTACTATATCTCACCCAAGACTTATTCTAGCTTTACCAAGGCTTACCCTATCTATATTCAATATTATTCTAGCATTATCCTAACCTTGTCTTAGTTCTACTCTAGCCTTCCTTATTATCACCTTAGTTCTGCTCTCTCTCACCCTAGCTATACTCTATCTCGACTCATCCTAACTCTACTCAGTCTTACGCAAGTTTTATCCTAATCTTGCCTTAGTTCTACTCCACCTTTACTCTATCCTTTATTTTAGCCCTGCCCTATCTAGCTTTTTTTTACTTTTGATTTTATTACCAGTCATGGCATAAGTATTTCCTACTTGTAAAAAGCGGAAACGTGCGAAATAGCATAAGGCAAAACGGTCTTTACCAAATCTTAATTGTAAGTCATTAAAAAATTAATTACAGTTGAAATAAATGTCGAATCGTAATACTAACTAATGATAAGGTTTCACCGTATTGTTTGTCATTTGTGGTTTGAACCTTTTTACAACTGGCATATGCTGTTTACAGTTTCTACTCGTACTGTCGTGTACTTCCTTATCTTTTCATTTAAGCTTTAATCTTTTTTTGAGAAATGCTTAAACTTTACGCGTACGGTACACGCGTTAAGTAAGTGGTATATCATATTTTTTTTCTTGCAAATCAGCACAGTACGTTACAATCTACGGCGTCAAACTACTAATCTAACCTAATCTATATCTCATGAATTGTAATTGTAGACGCTTGAATATGTAAAGTAAATTTGTAAAAAAAATTTGTTAGTTGTAAGATGTTAGCAAAAAAGTATATTTTTTATACTATATAGTATGTTGATTGATACTATATAGCATTTTGCGTAATACTATACAGTATTCTGACAGTATTATACTGTACGTTACTTGCACAGAAAGTTTAATTTCTTTGTTATAATTTGCTTTGCCTAATTCTGCCTTAGCCTAAACCTACACTATTCAGCCATACAATTTACTATCATACTTTATTATAACCTGCTCCGCCTTACTTTACCCTGCTCTACTATACGTTCCATATTGTTTTCTATATTATCGTAAGTTGTTCCAAATGACGCATAATTACTATTTATGAGTGTAATATCATAACACATGTTAGTTTTGCTTTTTAATTACTGTGCGTGAGATATATCATACGCATAGCTATTTTAAATGTCATTCTGACATAGCTATTAAATTTTTAAAAGCATAACAACAAACTTGATCAGTTAGTGAACATGTATCCCACGTACTGTACACCACATTCTCGTAGTATTATAATGAAATGTATGTATTGTAAAAAAGGATGTTTGTGTTTATCTTCTTATCGTATGTATACCGTGTTTCTCGTTGTAGTTGTTATGATACAAATATCTTTAATTGTATTTTCAGCCGCCGTTCATGTTATTGTTTAACAATACGTTTCTACTTGTGTGGGTGACGTATTTTACAGGTTAGTTTTTTTGTTAACGTAAATGTTTCCATTATCATTTAATCTATTAAGCTTATTCTAAACCGCGATTGGCCGAAATGACAAGCGGCTTTTTATATAAGCCTACTAATGGTTTATATCACTTTAATCAGCAAAAATTTATGGCATTTGAAAAGGAAATAAGCTGCTGAAAATTTAAAAATAGGTTACGGTATGCTAAAATGTGGTAGAGTGGGTCTGAAGTTCCAGTAAAATAAGCTGAAAGCTCTGATGAATAGGGTAGGGTAGAGTAGGGTAGGGTAGAGTAAGGCCCGATACGGTACGGTACGATAAGGCAGAGACCGGTACGGTAGGCACAGTACCGTAGAATACTTACTCCTCCATTATTAATTTCGTATTTTACATAAAAAATGTTTCAGTGAACAGCAAAGACGTGATTTGTCGGGACGGTGTTGACCGACCAGTCGATTCGTGTCCCGAAGGTGAGCAGTGCTTCTTTCCAGCCGGTTTGAACGCAACGACCGGTCGATTTTTCGGCATTTGTGTGGCTAATAGTGAGTTTCAAATTTTTATTTTTTGGGCTTAGTATGGGTCAATAAGTGCGTAGAACAAAGTTTTAAAACTTTAAAATAAAAAATTTTAAAAAATTTAAAAAAATAAAAAAAATTTTGAAATATCTCAAAAATTTTGAAAAACAAACTAAATTTAGATCAGACAAAGCCGGACGCTTCGAATCGATGAGAAAACGAAGAAGGCCTGGAGCAATCGAAGAAGAGCTGCATTCCTGTCCATAAATTCGCTTTCAAATGGCCGTCTTTATTTATTACGTTTTTGTTTTGATTATGATTGTTAACGGTAGGTATTCATCATCTTACAATAGGTTTTAGAGCGGATTTTGTTGTAAAATACGAATATAAGTCAAAAATCTTAAAAACGTTTAAAAAAATTAAAAAAGTTAGGCAGAGTACAGTAAGGTAAATTAAAAATTGTACTAGGATGAGTAATCGACCACGTGAAAAAAGTTGGGCCTGGTCGAATCAGTTTACAATTCTTTTAATAGTTTAAATAGTGGGTTTGGTTGCAATTATAGTTAAGATTAAACACAGCAAAGGCAAAGCAAAGAACTAAAATGCCGTGTATCGGGCAGGGCACAGCACGAATGGATGCTTTATTCTGAGTCAGCCTGTTTACAGTAGAGGCCAGTGTTTTGCCGGACTCGTCCGGTCCGGACCGAAAATTTTTTTTATTTTAATAAAACTGTTTTAAAAATTGCAAATAAAACATATTTTTAAGAGTTTTTAAACGTAAAGAAAGCAGTTTTAGCGCTCCTGTCTCTTTTTAAAAATAAAAAAAAAAATTTCCGGACCGGACCGGACTGGACCTGACCTTTTTTGGTCCGGACCGGACCGGACCGGACCTGAGCGAAAAAAAAATAGAGCCGGACCGGACCGGACCGAAAATTTTATAGACAACAGGGCTAGGCTCTGGGTTAGGGCTCTGAGCTAAGACTTTAAGCTAGGGTTGGGGCTTTGGGCTAGGGCTCTGGGCTAGGGCTCTGGGCTAGGGCTCTGGGCTAGGGCTCTGGGCTAGGGCTCTGGGCTAGGGCTCTGGGCTAGGGCTCTGGGCTAGGGCTCTGGGCTAGGGCTCTGGGCTAGGGCTCTGGGCTAGGGCTCTGGGCTAGGGCTCTGGGCTAGGGCTCTGGGCTAGGGCTCTGGGCTAGGGCTCTGAGCTAGGTCTATAGTTTTTTAAAGTAATATACGTCTTCAGGTTTCCGTGCTACAAAAAATAAAAATTTTTTAAATTTTTAAAAATGAATTAAAAAAAATAAAAATTTTTTAGTGTATCCTCGAACACTGGCTCCATTCATCGCTTGTAAGAACGGAACAGCCGGTCATACGCAGGAATGTCCTAAAAACTTTAAATGCACTTTTCCAGTTGGACTGGATCCACAAACTGGACTGTTTTATGGTCTTTGCGAACTCAATGGTAAGGATTTTTAAATTTTTTGAATTTTTTTGAAAATGTTAAAAACTTTCTTTACAAAATAAAAAGTGGCAAGAACTTTCTTTACAAAACAAAAAATGGCAAAAACTTTTTTTGCAAAGCGAAAACTGACAAGAACTTTCTTTACAAAACAAAAAATGGCAAGAACTTTCTTTACAAAGCACAAAATGGCAAAAAATTTCTTTACAGTAGAAAATGTCATTTTTTAATTTTTTTAAATTTCAGAAGTAATACCATGCAGTGTTGAAGAAGACTGCCCTTCGCCAACCCGGTGTTCTAGTACTAACCGATGTATAATCTAGTTTTCTTTCATGGTATTACCTAAATTCCTTTTAATTTTTTATGGTCGTCATATATTTTTTTAGTTTTAATTTTTTGTTTTTTAAACTTTTTTAAATTTTCAAAAAATTTAAAAATTTTTTTATGTTACAGTAAGTCTAAAGTTACTAAAAATTCATAATATTAGTCCCATTAGGTTCCCCATTCTAGTCATACCTATAGTTCTGTAAAACACTTTACATATCTAGCTAGCCGGCATATTTGTACCATCTTATTAACTCTTTCTTCTCTACAGTTTTACCAAAAGCAAATTTGATTTTGTACTTTTTATATTGTATATTGTGTTTGTTCTACCAATAAAGTAATATATTAGGTTGTCCGGAAAGTTCTGCAATATTTGAGTAGGTAAACTTTGAAAAATCAGGAAAAATTTATTTCTTGACGGAAAGAAAAAATTCTTTTTTTGTTTGTTTGTTTGTTACCTAAATTATTCAAAAAGGTAAGTTACATAACTTAATTTCATTTTTTTGTATTGTTTTAGGTATCAGAAAAAAACGGAGAAATCTTGCCTGCGCGTGATTATATGGAATGAATTCAAACGCGGAAATACTGCGGCAGAAATTTTCAGAATCATAAACGAAAATGAGGGTAAGAATGTTGTGAGTTATTCTACGGTGACCAGATGGTTCGCAAAGTTTCGTGTGGACGATGAGAAGCTTGAAGACAAACCACGTGCAGGAAGACCCAGCAAACTTGACAAAGATGCCCTGAGGCGCAAGATTGAAGATGACCCACATATTACAATCCGGGAGTTAGAAGAGTTACTAAACTGTGGAAAAAGTACCATTGGTGACCATTTGAAGGCAATGGGTATGGTCAAAAAGTTGGACAAATGGGTGCCTCACAATTTGACTGATCTGCAAAAAGCCAAGAGACGATGTGCTTCCGAAAAGCTTCTGCAACGCTGCAAAAACGAAGAATTCTTGGATCGAATTGTAACTATTGACGAGAAGTGGATCTCGTTTAACAATACTAGAAGATCTACAAGTTGGTGTAAGCGTGGAGAAGCTCCTAAGCACGTTTCGAAGCCAGAATTGCACGAAAAGAAGCTTATGGTGACTGTCTGGTGGTGTAGCTCTGGAGTGATCCAGTACGATTTCATGAAACCTGGCCAAAGTATTACGGCCGACACCTACTGTGCCCAGATTGACAAACTGCGACACAATCTTCCAACAATGTTTAGAAGGAGGGGTCCGATCATTCTGCTGGATAACGCACGGCCCCATGCTGCAAAGAAGACCGCGGCAAAATTCAGGGAACTGGGATACGAAGTCTTGGAGCACCCTCCTTATTCTCCAGACTTGGCTCCAACGGACTTTCACCTTTTTAAACACTTGTCTTCGTTTCTTAATGGAAGAATCTTCAAAACTCCAGACGATGCCAAGAATGCCTTCAAGAACTTCATCAACTCCAGAAACCCGGAATTCTACAATCGTGGAATAAAAAAGCTTGTAAATCGTTGGCAAGACTGTATTGATTCAGACGGTAATTACTTTGATTGATTGTAGTTGTTAATTATATTGTTATTATTGTTAGTTCAAAAGTGAATAAATATTGCAGAACTTTCCGGGCAACCTAATAGAATTGGTTTTTTACGTGGTATTTGTAATAAATCATTATTAGATATTATGACTCATGATATTAGGTACTGACATAAATAACCCGCCATACTTTATTGTAATTTCCCGCAAAAAATGGCGGGTTCTTTATGTCGGCACCTAATATTCAAACTAAATTAAATTTTTTTTCGTTGTTAGCAAAAAGCTCGAGTTTAGTAAGGATGAGGTGCCGACATAAATAATCCGCCGTTTTTTACAGAAAATTGCAGGAAAAGTATAGCGGGTTCTTTATGTCGGCACCTAATATATGTGTAAGTTTACTAAGTGTAAGTGCACTAAGCTTTAATTTGCTGAGTTGACGTCTAAAAGCCAGTACTTGCTGAGCATAAGCTTGTAAAACAAAAACTCGCTATATTTAACTCTGCAAAGCCTAAGCCTAGTAAAACTAAGTCTAACAAGCTTAACGCTACTTAGCCTAAGCTTCAGCCTACTAAAGTTAAGCTTGCTAAACCTAAGCCTGGGTTATTTTAATTTTAAGCGTTTTAAGCTTACACTTACTAACCCTAAGCCTGCTAAGCCTTAGACTGAGCCGTTAGGATTCTAAGAGCTTGTCTAATACAAAATCGGTCAATATTTTTACAGCGTTACTTAATATCGACGCTATTTATATAACAATATAGCCTTAGAGAAATTGCAAGAAATGATATTACGCAACTTTTTCTTATGTAATATTGTACTTTTATATAATAGTTGCCTCGGTGTAAAACGACCCAACAAATGCCTGCGAGTGCTGGGATTTGGCTCTGTTTTTCTGCGAGGCAGTCATTTTTTAACTAACTGCTCAATTGAGTACTTAGGTTATGTGTGAGTTTAAACTGCAGTTGTGGGTGTGCTAGGGCAAGGGTAGAGTAGGTTTTCATTTAGGTTGAGTTTATGGTAATGCTTAGGTAAATTATGGATTGGGTAGGGTAAAGTTTGATAGGGTAGTGTAGGGTAGGGTAGGAATTTCTACTTTAATTTTTTACGCTTTAGCGTTAATAGTTAAAATTTTAATATTTCAGTTTGACGTGCACCAACTTTATTGATTTATCTTTTATTTTTATATTTTTGTTTTATGTTTGAATGTAGACGTGCAGGTGGTGTGCCATATGGAACGTCTTGATTAATCTTTTCCTTTTTGAATTTTGAAGATCTGGCATTAACAATAAGACATATCAATAATTTTTTTAATTTTAATAATTTTTTTTCTGTAAAGAAAGTTCTTGCTATTTTTTGTTTTGTAAAGAAAGTTCGTGCGATTTATTGTTGTGTAAAGAAAGTTCTTGCTATTTTGTGTTTTGTAAAGAAATTTGTTGCTATTTTTTGTTTTGTAAAGAAAGTTATTGCCATTTATGGTGTTTGAAACGCTGCCATTACTTTTTTAGCCCCTTAAAACAAAAAAATTAATTTTAAGATGGGTAAGATGGGGCTTAGGTAAAGTAAGGCTTGGATAAGCTAGGGTAGAGCTTGAATAATGCTTGGCTAATGCTAAAGTAATATAAATTTTATCAAATTCTTAGTATGCTTATCATAGATTTTTATAAAATTCAGTCCTATTTTTTCAAGCCTCTGCTTTTCCTTTTTTTAGCCCCACTAATCCTACCACCACTTTCAAATGAACTTTTCTCCGATTTCTCATAATTTTTTTAGTTTGCCAATGTTTTCCTGACACAGAAACATCACTTATAATGCCTTAAGACCCGCAGTATGGTACTTAAGTGCTGGCTGGGGATTGATTTGCAAAAAGTTTTTCTTTCCATTTTCAATTTCTCTTCACGGCATCACGGATTCATGACTTTTCGTGTGGATTAGAGAGTAACGAAATTCTTATGGACTCTATGATTTTTTGGAGAAAACTATTTTTTGCAATAGTTCAAAGGAACAGTTAAAGTAAGATTAGAAGCAGGATTGTAGAAAGAGTAAAGTAGAGTAAAGAAAGTTTTAGTAAGGGTAGTGTGGGGTAGGGTAGGGTAGGGTAGGGTAGGGTAGGGTAGGGTAGGGTAGGGTAGGGTAGGGTAGGGTAGGGTAGGGTAGGGTAGGGTAGGGTAGGGTGGGGTAGGGTAGGGTAGGGTAGGGTAGGGTAGGGTAGGGTAGGGTAGGCTGAAGTCATGATAAAGTAAAGTAGAGTTTATTTTTATAAAAATTTTTAATATTTTAATATACATTTAAATAAAAGAAGAGTTTTGAAAAGTGAACAAAAAAGCGTAGGTCTATCAAATGGCGTTATTGCATGTAGTTGCCAAATTTGGCATAAAAATTGAAAACGTCTTGCAATTTCAATTCGTTTTTTATTGTTTTAAAAACGTCAGAGCAGGAAATGCTTTGTCTATAAAAAGTGGGTTACTGTAACATTTTTGGACTTTGTAGGTAGAGCCAAAGTAGTTTCAGGCTAGGAGAAGGCTGGGCAATGGCGTAGTTTGGGCTATAGTAAGGCAAGACTTGATTAGGACAGGACTAGGGTATGGTTCCGTTTGAACTATAGTAGGACTAGGGAAGAGCTAAAAAAGGGCAAACTATAGTACTGTTTATAGTATTTATACAGTACTACTGTTTAAAATTATGTTAATATAATATTTCAACTAGCAGACATATTATTATTAGTTTAAGGCTTCATTCTAGTTAAAAATCATTTTTAAATCCGTATTTTCAACAAAGTAAATATAAAATACAAAGTAAAAAAGTACGTATTTACTTATACGTTACATCATAAGAAGACATATGCCATTTGTCACATTGTTTTTTGCTTTCAATTGTATTATACTTAGAAATTTTAAAAAATTGGATTACACTAAGCTTGGCTAGTCTTTTTTATTTGCTTTGGCTTCCGGAACAGACTTTGTGAAAGGCTCGGTTGACCCTTGACGTCTAGCATAAAAGAAAAGAGCTAGGGCTAAGGCTCTGGGCTAGGGCTCTGAGCTAGGGCTTTGGGCTAGGGCTCTGGGCTAGGGCTCTGGGCTAGGGCTTTGAGCTAGAGCTCTGGATCAGAGCTTCGCGCTAGGGCTCTGGGCTAGGGCGCTGGGCTGGGGTTCTCGGGCTAGGGCTCTGGGCTAGAGCTCTGGGCTAGGGCTTTAGGGTAAGGCTCTGGGCTAGGGTTCTGGGCTAGGGCTTTGGGATTGGGCTCTCTGGGCTAGGAGTCTGGGATAAGGCTCTGGACTAAGGCTTTAGGCTAGGGCTAGCTTTTTCAACTTGTTTCTTGTGCCATTTCTATTAAAGCCTTCTATAAAAATACAACATTTGTACTGATGTTTGCAGGCCAGTTAAATTTAAACCAAATTTGTTGTTTAATGTTGTATGGCCAAGAAAGGGAAACACGTTTTGGCTCGCACTTGAATTACATTCCTAATTCGGCTAAAAATGACGAGTATTTGCATATAATGCAAATAAATGCCTAAATTTGCGAATATTTTATGCTGGAACTGTTTAGGCTTGTGAACATTTGCACTAGGTAAATTTAAGGCTGAAAAACGAATTTTAAGCTTATATATGAGTTTTAGGTTTAAAAATAAAGTTGGGGCTGAAGGAATGAATTTTGGCTCAGAAATTAATTTTAGGTTAAAAATAAATTATAAGCTTAAAAATTAATTTTAGGCTTAACATATGAATTTTAGGCTTAAAAATAAACTTCAGGCTCAAAAATCAATTTTAGGTTTAACATATGAATTTTAGGCTTAAAAATAAATTTTAGGCTTAAAAATAAATTTTAGGCTTAAAAGTAAATTTTAGGCTTAAAAATGAGATATAGGCTTAAAAATAAATTTTAGGCTTGAAAATAAATTTGAGGCTTAAAAAGTAGTTTTTAGGCTTAAAAACAAACCTTAGGCTTTAAAAACGACTTTTGGGTTTAAAAACTCAATTTTATTTAAATTTCTGGAATTTTTTAAGCATTTTGAACTTTGTTGATTATGCCACTTTTCAGAAAGTCTTAAGAAATGAACTTTAAGCTTTATGTTCATACTGAACTCTCTCCGTCTCTCGTCTTCTTCCATTAATGCCATTTTATTATCTAGAACCCCCTCCCTATACTAAAACATGCGTGACATTTGTACGACATTGATGACAATCTTGATGCTTAACAAATTATTTTGTTTTTGTTATGGCTTATAAATTTTTGACACATGATGTATGGCTGCATTACATAACGGATTAAAATGGCACATTATCCACTTAAACGGTGGAAGAACGTTATTGTCTTTGCACCAAATCGTGGAAGAATTATTGTTTGTTCATGGACTTAGCTTTGGAAACGTCATTGCAAAGTATGGTAGTAGAAAGGGTAAAGCGTAGAGTAAGGTGACGTAGAGTTGAAAAGAAGACGGTAAGATAGTATAAGGCAGGGTAGGGCAGTGTAGAGTAGGGTACGGTAAAGTAAGGTTGAAAAAGAGACAGTAAGATAGTGTAAGGCAAGATCTGGTAGTTTAGTGTAGGGTAGGGCAAAGTAGGGGAGGGTAGTTTTTGTCGCTTTAAATTTCAAAAAAAATTTTGTTTTTTAGTTTGTAAAGTAAGTTTTTGCAACTTTTAAAATCTGATTTTTTATATAACTTGTCACCCGCAGTTTGCGATGTTGTAATACGATGGGTGGCGGTAGGGTGAGGTAAAATTTTTGCATATTTTTTTGCAAATAGTACGTAAACCCTTACAATTCATAGAACACGTATTGTTTAAAAAAGGATTAAAGCACTGCACAAAAATTGGTTTAGATAGATACAGTAATTATGGCTCGTAGCATCCGGGTTTATTGTGTATGTGTACTAAGAACCTTGGTATATTTTCTAGCTTTTTAATCTGGTCGATGACACATTTTTCACATTACTGCCCTGCCTTATTCTAATCTGGACTTCCATAGATCGTTTAGACTTATTAATCAGAAGTAGGTGCAACTCTGTAGGTTAGGAGTCTTAACTTAGGACCTTAACCAGCCCAAAAGTACAAAGCAGTAAAACCATTTATTATACTGATATAACATTTTTGTTTCACAAATTGGTGAACACGACACTCCGAGGAACACTTATGTCTGTCATTTCTAATTACATTAAAAGTGACATATGGTCTTTAATGTTATTGAGTCTGGCGGGTTTAGCACCCTATAACTTGTTCGAAATGATTTATTTTAAAATGGAAATTGATTTTTATATAAATTTTGCGGTTTTTTTAAATTTTAACCCGATTTTAAAATTTTAATCCTACCTACTTTACCCTATTCTGCCTTACCCTACTCTACACCTCTAGTCTGGCACTTCCTCCTTAATCTAGCCAGCAATCCCATTTCTTATGCGTGTTTACTTTGATAATTGTGTTGTTTGTTGTTGATAGACAGAAGTAGCAAGAGGGGAGGAGGTGAAGGGGGTGGGTGAAGATTGTGATTATTTTTGTTTTTTGGACAAAACTTTTTAAGGTCTTAATGATAGATTTTATTTTATTCTTGTTCAAATTTTCATAAAACTTTGCGCGTTTTTGTAGATTTGTCTTTAGTATGCCTGGTTATGAAAACAATATATTTATTTACAACTGTTTTGTTTCTTTTTTGTCCAGTATCACTTTTGGCTTGCGAAATTTATTTTCGGCTTGAAAAAATGGTTTTTGGCTTAAAAATCAATTCTAGACTTAAAAGTGAATTTAACGCTTAAAAACGAACTTTAAATTTAAGTTTTAGGTTTCAAAATAAATTTTCAATTTAAAAATTAAATTTTAGGCTTACCAATTAAACTTAAAACTGAATTCTGGGCTTAAGATGAATTTTAGGCTTGAAAAGTTATTTTTAAGGTTAAAAAGAATGTTAGGCTTACAAATGTTTTTTAGGCTTTAAAATTAATTTTAAGCTTAAAAAATCGATTTCAAATTTGAAAAATGAATTTTAGATTTACAAAAATTTCAAACTTATAACAGAATTTTAGGCTTACAAATGAAATTTTAAGCTTAAAAATGATTTCTGAGCTAAAAAAAATTTTAGTTTCGAAAAGTTATTTTTAAGGTTAAAAAAGAAGTTTAGGCTTATAAATGGGTTTTAGGCATAAAAAATAGCTTTCGGATTTAAATTTAGACTTAAAAATAAAATTTCAAACTAAAATATGAATTTTGAGCTTAGTAGTAAATTTTTAGGCTTAAAAATAAACTTTATGCTTCTAAAAATAAAATTAAAGTTTTAGGCTTAAAAACTTGTTCTTTAGTCAAATGCACTTTCGAGGATTAAAAATTTCAACCGAACGCGAACATCTAAAACAAAATAAAATTTAAAATTACCGGTTGTCTCAAAAATGGTATGTTTGTTTTATTGTGCCTAAACATACACGATGGTTTTTTCCGTCTATGTCGTATCAGACGTAGACGTGCTAAACCACCCGGTTTTAGGTTTTATTGCAGTTTTCAAACGAAGCCGTCAGCCCGGAGCTCGTTTTCAATTTATTTATTAAATCTATGACTGTTCCCTTTTAGGCCACAATTTTATGTTGTCTTTGCCAACAAGTATTTTTTCTCGAGTTTAATTTACTTAAATATAGTAGCACGGACAGACGAAAATTGAGCGGTTTTTAAAAAGTGGGTTTGTACTTTTATGAAAAAGTATAAGGTACCAGGGGCGGGCGGGGACTTTTGGTCTGGGGACGGGGGTAGCTAAAGCTAAGGTCTGTTTAAGGTAGAACAAAGACAATGGGCTGGTCTAAGATTACGCTAGGGCTTGGCTAGGGTCTGGGCTACAATCAAAACTTTGGCTAGAGCTGGGGCTAGGGCAAAGCTAGGACATGGCAAGGGCAAGTTTAGGGCAAGGCTAGGACATGGCTAGGACAAGCTTACAATTGTTAGAGCAAGGCTAGGGCAAAAGCTAAAGTAGGGCTATCGCTCGGACTAAACCACGGCCAAGGCAAATACCAGGACAATGACCATGATCATGACTAAGTCTAAAACCAGAACCATGATTAGGGTCAGAACCAAGACTAAAATCCGGACCACGAATAAGAGAAGGACCAGTTCCTAGGTTAAAAAGGAGATTACGACCAGCACTAGCAGCAAGGCTAACATGCGGATCAAAGCCTGCTTGGGTTAGGGAAAAGGCTAAGGCTAGGACACTTGCTATGGCTATGGCTATGGCTAAAGCTATGGCTATGGCTATGGCTATGGCTATGGCTATGGCTATGGCTAAAGCTATGGCTATGGCTATGGCTATGGCTAAAGCTATGGCTATGGCTATGGCTATGGCTATGGCTATGGCTATGGCTATGGCTATGGCTATGGCTATTTATGTTTGAATGTTGTCATTGACCGATCTTTGAAGCTGCTTTTGTTTTTTCCCCATTTTCTGTCATTAACTGCAGTTACAAATTGTGAATACTTAAAAAGAGTCGCTTTTAAGTTTTACTTGTACTTTAACTGGTAAACTTCTGATGACATTTTAAAAATGTTTTGTCAACAATTTTTCTCACGTATTATCTTAATGTTAATTGTGTAAAGTCCGAAAAATAAATGACCAAAAATTTTTGAAATGAAAAAAAAATTAAACAAAAAATGTTTCTCCTGAACCAAACTTGGTCATTAGGCCTAAGGTCATAAAAAATGTGGACCCGCTGCGGGTATTAAGTGAACGGCCATAAAGTTGGAGAGTCATTTAGATAATTTTTTCCAAGGACTTTTTAATTGCTTCGGAACAATCGAATCTGAAAGTTAATTGGTTGGGGACGATTAAATATTTTTTTTGTGAAGGGAAGATCTAATATAAATATTAGGAGGGGTTACATTGAGATTATTTGACTTTGGTTTGAGGTGGGAAGAGCTTAGGCTTGGGTGGGATAAAGGGAATGCAAAGGGTAAGCTTACAATTTTTGGCAGAGCTAGTGCAAGGTTAGGCCAAGGATAACGCAAAGCTTTCGTAAGGATAGAGTAACTGTGGGCAAGGCTAGCTTAAGGTTAAGGAAATGCTAGAGAAATGAGCAAGGCTTTGGCGGAGCTAAAGCGAGTATTGGGCAAGGTTAGGGTAAGGCTAAGGCTAAGGCTAAGGCAAGGCAAGGCAAGGCAAGGCAAGGCAAGGCAAGGCAAGGCAAGGCAAGGCAAGGCAAGGCAAGGCAAGGCAATTAAAATGTAATTTTAAAACAATTAGAAACGTTTAACTGGTTGATTTTTAATAATAAACGATTACCAGATTAACTACACCATTTAATATGTGTGGGTAAAGACAATAGGAATTAAACACAATTTTTTGTAACTCAATTATTCTAGTATACTTTTAACATTTTTAATATATTTAACCAAATTCGAGGGGTTTTATGTTAACATAGGTCTTTTAGAGGTAGCACAAGGGCTATGGATTGAGTTAGGATAAAGGGTCTGACCAGGGCAAGGCTAGGAAAAAGTCTAGAGCAAGGCAAAGGCAAAGCTAACGGAAAGTTAGAGCAAGGCTGGGGCATGGCTAGGGCTTAGGTTAGAACTCGGGCTAGGACTCAGGCTAGGGTTCAGGCTAGGGCTCAGGCTAGGTTAAAGCTAGGTATCAAGCTAAAGCTTAGACTAATGCTCGGGCTAGGAACAGAGCAAGCACGGGGAAAAGAACTCGCATCATGACCAGAAGCAGTACCATGGCTAACACGAAAACCAGGATTAGGGCTAGGCTTAAGGCTAAAATTAAAGGTCTGGGCTAGGAATGGGACTATGGCTAGGGCTAGAGCTGGGGTTAGGACTACTGTTACGACTAGAAGTTAAGTTAAGGCTAGGGTTTAAGCTTAAGCTACCGGTCAGGAAATTAGCTAGAACTATGGACTACGACTAAGGCTAAGTTTAGAATCGGGCCAAAGCCAGGACCAAGACTAACTAGGCTAGGGCTAGATTCAGGGGTAGGAGGACCAAGACAAAGACTATGATTAGTACCAAGGCTAAGGGCCAGACCCGCGGCCTAAACCAGAGTTATGATTTAGAACTACGGCTGGGGTAGGACTAGGGTTATTTAAAAACCCTATTTTTTAAAAAACTCAAACCCTAAGGCTCAAAAAACCTCTCTCTTTAAAAAACAATGAAAAAACTCTAATTAAGGTTTGGAAATTTTTGAAAAAAAGGGTTTGAAAACATTTTTTGCGAGCCGTTCGGTTTGAGATCAGAAAGAGGAGAGCATGATGACATTATGTACTTCTAGATTAGAAGTTTTTCAAAGGGCTTGTTATTAAGACTTTTACTGGTTAGTACTTCAGTTTAAAAACTTGGACTTTCAGCTTTAATTACTCAAAATGCATTTTTCAACCAGTAAGCATGGGCGGGGTAAAAAAAATTTTTATAATTTTTGGTAGGGTATAAATTTTTAATTTTTAGTTGGGAGTGGTAAAAAATTTTATATTTTTTTTGGGTTGATAAAAAATTTATATTTTTTTGGGGGTGGTAAAATTTTTTTTTATTTTTAAAGGCGGGGTGGATAAAAATTTACATAATGCCACATTTTTTCCTTTTTCCAAAATTATTTTAAACTTCAAAATGAAAAAAAAATTAATGTAAAAACCTTTAATTTGATAGTAATTAGCGATTAGTGCATGCGTGGGTCCAACACTATAGTAAATATTATAAAATGTATCATACTTGACTTCTTTGAGTTATAAATTTTTAATTACTATAACCGTACATAGTAAAAGTTATTAGTAATTTGAGTATCTTTGAAGTTTTTTGAATTCTTATTGTGTGGTTCTAGTCTAGCGTTAGATGTATCCATAGTCTTAGCCTTAGTTTTAGCGCCTTGGGCTTAACGTTAGCCTGAGTCCTAGCCCTGCTTTGAAACCCAGCCTTATTCGAAGCTCCAGCTCTGGCTGTAGCCATAACTATAGCTTGATGTAGGCATAACCCTAGCCCAAGCTACACCAAAATTTTGCAAAACCAATTATCTTTCAAGTATAAGGTAATCAGTACATACCTAAATTTGACGTAAACTATCTCATATCTGCAGGAGAACCACGTATTTAAAATTGTGTTCATAATAAAGTAGCGAGATTAGAGGCTTTAGGTATGTTTGTCAATTTCGATTGTCCGATCCTATAATTACTTTATTCAGTTGTGTTTGGCGGCACATGTACGTATATTGTTGTAGCTATGGGTTGATAAACTTTCTGAAATGTTTTAGTAAAGTAAGGTGAAGTATAGTGAAGTAGAGTAGGGTCGTATAGGATAAGGTATGTCAGAGTACGGTCGAACATGACAAGACACGGTAGGGTAAGCCTTGAAAGAATGAGGGTTGACGGGTAGGGTAGAGTAGGGTAGGGTAGGGTAGGGTAGGGTAGGGTAGGGTAAAGTAGGGTAGGGTAGGGTAGGGTAGGGTAGGGTAGGCTAAATCTATTCATACCTCAAATGTTCTCTGATTTGAGCTACTCAACCACAGTATTCGACTAAATCCCTTCTGATTATATCACCCTTGTTTGTCTGGTTAGGAAGTACTTCAAGTTATATGGGTATTGTTTAATTGGGCGTCTGGAATCGTATTGTCGTTTTTAGTACGTACTTAGCGCTGGTTTTTGATTGTGCTGCTGTTATGTTGGTGTTATATCAGTGTATGTTAGATACTGATTCTTTTGTCTTTAATATTATAATGGAGTTGTAGGTGTACACGGAAGTTTCAGGTGGTCGTGGAAGGTAAAATTATTGATAAAAATTTAATCTTAATGTCATAAAGAGCTAGAGAAGGTCCGGTAACTTTAGTTTAGCAAATATAACGGGAAACTAAGCTTCTCAATAAGCCTACAAAAAAACAGATTAGGGTAAGCTAGTAAAGGACAAACCTGCTAAGCCTAAGCCTACTAGACCTAAGCTTATCAAGCAAAAGCCTACTGAATCCAAATCTACTAGGACTATCAAGCCTAAGTCTACTAATACCTAGCGTACTAAGCGTAATCCTACTAAGCCTAAGTTTACTAAGCCTAAGCCTACTAAGCGTAAGCCTACTAAGTCTAAGTCTACTAAGTGTGAGCATACTAAGCCTAATCCTACTAAGCCTAAGCCTATTAAGCTTAAGCCTACTAAGTTTAAACGTAATAAGCCTGCAAAGCCTAACTTTAATTTGTCGACATGTTTTGATTACCCAGAATTTACAATTAAGGAAGTTTACGAAACTTTCAGAAACAACATGTTCTCTGGTTCAGTAGCCTTATGAACATTTTTAAAAACATTATATTCCTATAACAACTTTTATCAAATCTAATGAATTAAACTTTAAATGGGTTAGTTTTGAGTATTAAAGTAGAACTCAAGTCGGTATTGAATCAATAATATCATAAACAAGTTAGTTTTGAATACATAATACAATAAATGAGTTGCTTCGACGTAGTACTTAATGATATTATAGTATTCAGACACGGTTCTGGTAAAAAGCAAATATCGAGTTCAATTAAAGTACTAATTACGTTATTATTGTTTGTTTTCATCGTTAAGAATGTTGTTTTTACGAAACGACCTTTCAAGCGTGTTTAAGACGTTGTGGAGAGGTATAATATGTACTTGTAACAGTCAACAGTAGGGTTTATTTACATATAATTAGCTGAAGATTGTCACATAATAGATAATATAACATTGAAGGGTAGGGCAGACTAAGGGATTATTGTAGGATAATAGAGTAGAATAAGGTGGTAAGGCATAAAGTAAGAGTATCAGAGCAGGGCATTGGAATAGGGTGATGCATAAGGTAAGGGTCTCAGGAAAGAGCAAGGAATAAAGGGTAGGACGTGAGCGCAAGACCTTTAACTGAAAGGGTAAGGCGGAGTATAAGTGGTTAAAGCCTCGGAGAAGCCAAGGCAACGCTGATTTAGCGCTCGCACAGAGCTAGGCTAGAGAGTATGATAGGGTAAGGCAGTTTAGAGTGAGGTAGAATAAGGTACGGTAGAGTAAGGTAGGGTAGTGTAGCGTACGCCAGAGTCGGTAGGGTAAGGTAGAGTAAGGTAAAGTAAAGTATGATAGTGTAGGGTAGACTAAAGTGGGACACACTTTTTTAATTAAAAAAAATATTTTTAAATTTAGTACAATTCATATTATTACTAGTTAAAACGTTCTCATTGCCCTGTTTTGATTTTTAGTGCACTTATAAGGGTGTAAAATTTAAAAACATGCCATTTTGCATTAATTTGTGTTTATGTAAAAATACACAAATTAGTGCTACTATAGTCCCGTACTTATGAGTGTGTTATTTTAAAGCCGGTGCTTGCATTTACTGTATTGTACTATTTATTTTTGATTTAAAAACTCAACTTAAAAAAGCCGTATTTTACCGCGTTGTCATTTTTTAAAGGTCGTTATTTAAAACTGTATTTATAACATACGTTTCAGCTCAAAATGGACTCAAGTGTAATACACCAATATCATGAACTGGCCAATATGTCACAAACTATTGCAGACGATCAACCTATATGTGGTGAAGTAAGCTTATCAATGAATTTTAAACTTAAAAACATCAAAAAATTTTTTAAAATTCCATTTTGAGAACAATTTTAAAATAAAATTTTTTTAAAATTTTAATTTTTTTGAATTTTTTGTTTTTCCCCAATTTTTTAATTATTTTAAAAAAAATTTCAGTACGAACAATACACATTGATCAGATTTGTTCTGCTAAGTTGCGCATCAATAGTGGCTATGGCTGGTATAGTATGTAACGCCTTCTTGGTACTATTCTTCACCACCAGAAAGTTGCCGAATACCCCACCCACCTTATATCCGGGAGTTTTGGCCATGTTAGATTGGTGCATGTGCGTCATGTATATTGCATTGTTTGGTACTGATGCTGCTGTGGTTTATTTGAATAGTAAAGTAAGATTTTGAACTTTGCTTTGACTTACCGCAGTTATAACTCTCCTATTGTACTCTTTTCTAGCCCACCTTACCTTACCCTACCCTACAATACCCTACCCTATCCTACCTTATCTACCTTTAACTTACATCTAGCCCTCTTCTGCTTAATATAATATATATTTGAAAACCGTATTTTACCTTTTCTAGACGTTATTCCTAATATACCACGCCTACGTTGTACCAGCATTTGTGGTCGCCCGGATTACTCAAATTGCCATTCCATACATGCTAATCTTTGCAACATTGGAGAGATATGTTTGGATTACTTCACCTTTGTAAGTATTAATCAAAATTTAAAACAAAAGTCTTACTACTACGAAGACTAATTCTAAGCCTACTAAGCCTAAGCCTATGCAAAGCCAAAAATAGTTAAAATTCTCAACTTTCCATACCTAAAATACCCTTTTCAGGGCAAACAACATCCTAAAAACAATGTTCAGTCGCCGTGGACGTCACGTTACAATGGTAGTAACAATGATCATCTGCATCCTACTCCGACTGCCACTAGGCTGGTCGATAATCGTCTACGAATTCCCCTCATGTCCTGACTTTTTCCGTACCAAAATGGCCAATGTAGCCGAATGGGCTAGCGAATCCTACGCTTATCATGTCTATGACTTCCACATCCTAGGCATCGCTCAAACATTTGTACCGTTCGTAGTACTCGTGGTACTGAATATAATGGTCGTGCGCAAGATGATTCGAGTACGATCACAGTCATGTGCCACTTCAGCTCGAATGTCATTGTCAGTGGAGGCGTCAACACCGTTCTATGCCTCGCCAACGCCTTCAGAAGGAGCGAAGGCTGAGCTGGCTACGAATGGAGGGTTTGCTTCCTTAATTGTGCCACAATATGCATATAGACAGAATAGTATTGGCAATGGCAATTATGATATGGGCTCGTTTAATCGACCAATGTCAAGAAGAACTGATCGAGCAGTTAGAGCTGCTATTTATACTATGCTGGGGATTGTTACGTCGTATCTTGTTAGTAATTCACTTCATTTGGTACTGACTATCTTGGAAAGGTATGTTTGGTTGCTTGAATAGAAAATAGTAAATTATTTTACATTATTGTAATTAACTTACCATACCGTAATACTATCTTCTACCCTGCCATATTATACCTCGCCTCATCCTACCCTACTCTGCTCTAATTTACTCTGTCTTACCCTACCCTACTCTATTTTACCCTGCCATAACCTATCTGCCTACCGTATCCTACCCTAGTCTACCCTCCTTACCCTACTCTACCCTACCCTACCCTGCCCTACCCTACCCTACCTTATCCTACTCTACCGTACCCTACCCTACCCTACTCTATCCTTCCCTAACCTAACTTATCCTACTCTATCCTACCCTACTCACCCTACTCTTCCCTACCCTACTATACCCAATATTACCATATCCGGCCCTATCATGCCAATTGTTTCACGTTTAACCCAACTTTTTTCAGATCCGGTTCCCCTCTCCTAATAGACGTTGAAGACCCAGCCCGTGCATCTTCGTTCCACACCTACTTTTCTGATATGGTATCATTCGTCTACATGTTTACCAGCGCCGTACGAATATTGATCTACGTTATTTGTAATCCAGCGATTCGAAAAGACATTGCCAAGCTTTTGCGCGACACTTTCGGCAAATTTCGTAAAGTTCAAAGCAAACAAAATGGTGATGGACCTACTATGCTCTAAAGCGCAATATCTGCTTTGAAGCGCAATATCGTATTTTAGAAATATTTTTTTTGCTACAGCTGTAGCTATACCATTTTTGTCTTTTGTATAACTATAATTGTACTATATTTATGTTCACTATGGCTCTAGTTCCACTATAATTTGACTTGTCTAATATAATATACATTGTCGCAATTTAAATTTCAAAAAAACTATTTATGGGTATTTTTAACCGGTCTTTTTTAGCTATATTAACATAGAAAACTTCACTTTTTCATAATTATTATAAATTCAATTAATTCTTGTGATTTGGTACTGTATTTTGCAACAATTTTTACTCAGGTTTAAATAAATTTACTGCTGTCATTTATTTTATTGTTTTTTTTTTAATCTTGTTGTTACCCAAAAATGTCCTAAAACAATATCAACACAAAAACCCGCGGTAAAACAACACAGTAAACCACGGCAAATAAAGCAAAATAAACATAATTGTTTGAATATCCATTTTGTTACCTAAACATCAATAAAAATAAAGAAATCACTTACCAATCAACATTCGATATTGTTTTAGCTTGAAATTAGAAGAAGTCGTCCGTTAGCGTGATTTATTGGCTAAAACACTTTGTTAAACCTCTTAAAACCTTTAGCAACGTCTTCCTTAAACATGAACATCAATTCTGTGTGATTTTAGATCCAAAAGAAGCCCAAATTCTTAATTTTTGCTAAACAATACCTAAACAATCCACTAAAACAATATCAAGCCTCTAAATCACGCACAATAAGAACCAAAACAGAATGAAGAATAAGAAATTTGGTTGAATTTCAATTTTGTTACCTAAATATCAAAAGAATATTATAAAGAAAACTTACCGATTCACGTTTGACCTTGTTTTAGCTAGAAACGAAAGAAGTCGTCTGTCAAAGTTCTTCGTGAAACCATTGAAAACGTTCATCAATGTCTTCCTTATCATTTACAGTCAACTTTACCTGCTCAAGGTACTGATATCAAACAGAAATCGCCGACAATATTACTTATGAAGAAAATTTCAGAAACATTTATTCGTGTCTGCTACAATTTGGTCCCAACACGAAAACTTTTGTTAAAAATTTAAAATAAAATGCAATAAATAAAAGTAAACAAAAAAACTTTTTCGGATTGACTAAAAATGTTAAAAATTTTTTTAAAGTTTAGATAAATGTTAGTTGTTTTGGATTTATCATAGTCTGTTAGTAACAAATTTATATTTATGACTCTACGACTTCTACGCTTTGTCCAAAAGTCGAGTGGAGTCGGATGGATTTATCAATGTCACTGGAATGGTTGTCAATCAAAGGGCAGGCCGAAAAAAGCAAAAACCGAGTAGGACATTCGCTTTTTTGTTGTTATTTGCGGTTTATTATGTAACTTCGTTTCGAAGTTTCCATATTTTTTGGGGGTGAGTATTTTAGATGGGGTGTAGTTTAGTTAATTGTAGGGAAAAAAATGGGAAATTTAACAATTTTTACTGTAGGGTAAGAATGGAAAAAAGAGGTGAAAGTGGAGGGAAGAGTTGTTGCTGGGTAGGGGTGAAGTAAAGGCAAAGAATGGGCAGTGGTGGGTTTTTTAATAGAGGCATGATTAGGCTAAGTAAGGATGGGTCTAAGACAGGGTAGGTAGGGTAGGGTAGGGTAGGGTAGGGTAGGGTAGGGTAGGGTAGGGTAGGGTAGGGTAGGGTAGGGTAGGGTAGGGTAGGGTAGGGTAGGGTAGGGTAGGGTGGGGGTAGGGTAGGGTAGGGTAGGGTAGGGTAGTGTAGGGTAGGGTAAGGTAGGGTAGGTAAGGGTAGGGTAGGGTAGGGTAGGGTAGGGTAGGGTAGGATAGGATAGGATAGGGTAGAATAGGGTAGGGTAAAGCAGTGTAGGCAAGGGCGGGTGGCTATTTTCCAAACTTCTACTGTATCAAAACTACAGCACTAGTTTCTTAATAAATAAAAAATGACAAAAAAGATGTCATTCTAATTGACCTTTTAGTCATGAAATGAACCTCCCTTTTGTTTTTTGACTATTTAAATATGTTTGACCTCACAGATCAAAAAAAGATAATAAGTAGAGCAGCTGTCACATTCGGATAAAGCCTTTTTTCGACTTTGGGCGTTAAAAACTAGCCATTTGGATTTATGGGTGTTAGTTTTAAAAAGTTTTTTTTTTCTGTAAAATATCATTTTTTAAATATTTTTTAAAAATTTTAAAAAATTTTTGCGAAATTTTTGTTTCAACTGCCCGTCTATACCTCCAAAAGCTTACAAGTGTATCTACTTATTAGAGTTGTTTGTCTACTTTTTAAAAACATATATAGCAAAAAGAAGGGGGTTCCGGTTGTTTGCAAACATTTCTGGATATATATACCGACATCTAGGTATTAGAGATCCTTTTTATGCTTTTGGTCATATTTATTTATGACATAAATTTTATGTTTAGGTATTTTGTAATACTTACAAGCACTGTCAAGCAATTATTCTTTGCTTTTAAAGGAGGTGGGGTGGGGGGGGGGTGCTTTGGCTAGAGCGAGAGGCTAACTAAGAACAGAGGTGGGACCAGGGTAGAGTGGCCTAAGAGCTAAAGTTAAGGCTAAAGCTAAGGCTAAAGCTAAGGCTAAAGCTAAGGCTAAAGCTAAGGCTAAGGCTAAAGCTAAGGCTAAAGCTAAGGCTAAAGCTAAGGCTAAAGCTAAGGCTAAAGCTAAGGCTAAAGCTAAGGCTAAAGCTAAGGCTAAAGCTAAGGCTAAAGCTAAGGCTAAAGCTAAGGCTAAAGCTAAGGCTAAGGCTAAACCCAAGGCTAAGGCTAAAGCTAAGGCTAATAAAGCTAAGCAGACGGCGAAGCCTAATGTGTCAGCCAAGAGCTAATCCTTAGACAAAAACTGAGCCTAAAACGGTAAAAGAGGGCCCAAAGCTAGGCTCAAGGATAAACCTAAATTTGAATTTAATTGTGAATATAAACCTAAGGTATTATAAAAACCTTGTTTATTTAATCAAGTATCCAAATAAAATCAATTTCAAAAATAAACCATTATATCACTGTTTCTTTCTTCAAACATCCACCGATTACTAATAGATAGATGCACTTGTATCGGTTGATTTGGATGTATGATCGTTCATTTGCCAAATCGGAAAGACCTCGATATCGCCAGTATCTGGTACCACAAACGAGTAGATTCCATAGTGTTCGAGGAGCTTGCTCAGACTGGAACAGGTTGCATTGGGCATGTCAAATGGGGTTTGAACAGACCACTGTAGACCTCCCAAGCCGTCTGGACCGTGAATGATTGGGAAGTGGTACATCTGAAGTTTTGAGTGTAAATTTAGCTAAGTATTAAAAGCTGGACTAGGATGAGAAGAGGCTAAAGCTGAAGTTATGGTTAGACAATGGGCTAGGGATTGGGTTAGAGCAAGGGCTAAGATTAGAGCTAGAGATAGGGCTAGAACAGCAGCCATAGCTAAAGATACAGCTAGGGCTTGGGCTAAAACTAAAATTACGATCAAAGCTATAGGCTAACGCTAAGCCTAAACTAAGAGTTAAAACTAAAGCTGAGACTAGGACTAAAGCTCAGGATCTAGTCAGAGCTTTGGCATGGCTAAGACTTGAGCTAAGATTAAGATCAAGATCATAGGCTAACGCTAAAGCTAAAACTAGACCGTAGGCCAAGGCTAGAGCTAAAGCTAAGGCTAAAGTTCAGGATACGGCTAGGGCTAAGGCAAACGCTACGGCTAGGACTAGAGCTACCGTTGAGTCTAGGGCTAAAGATTTGCCAAAGGGTATGTTAAGCTAGGCCAAGACAAGAATTAAAGCTAAGATTTAATTTTCCATATCTAAAATAACCCACTCTCTCATTACTGTCCTTATAAGCCAGATACATTGGCAGTTCGGCTGGAATGTCCCATCTAAAATTAGCTTTTCGATAGTAGACCTGGAACTGAGTACACTTCAAAATCTTTTTCATTTCATCTGGATGTTGAACACCAGCATAGAACTTGTCATACATCATCCGTTTACTTTCGACAATGTTTTGGCGTTGTAGTTTGGTCAATTTTGTAGCTTGCTTTGGCGGTTTGGCTGATTTGATGGCGGTTTCGGCTAATAGGTTGACTGATGCGTGGCGTGGTTTATGGAGCTTGCGCCTATGGGTTTTGCCTGGAAGCAATAGTACTGCATGTAAAAGGTAAACCTTCGAATTACACTACGATGGATGGTAAGGTAGAATAAGGCACTGTAGGTAAAGGCTGGATCGGATAAGGCATGTTAGGGTAAGAAACGGCACGTTTTGGCACGGCACGATCAGCTAAGGTAGAATAAGGCCAGGTAGAGTCAAATGGGGCTTAGTAGGGCAAGGTACGTTAAGGTAGGGCAGGACGGGTTAATGTGAGATAAGGTAGAGAAAGAGGACGTCACAGCACGGTGCGGAACACTAGGTAGGATAAGACATGGTACGGTTGGAAACAGCATAATACGGTAACGAGGGGTAGCTAACGGCATGGCACAGTAAGCCAAGAGGCAGTAAGGTAGAATGAATGGAGTTAGGCGGGCTATAGTATAGGGTTGGTAAGGTAGGGTAAGGTAGGGCAGGGTAGGGTAGGGTAAGGTAAAAAAAATGATAAAACTCACCTCGGCTAACCTTGACATTCTCATAGTGAGTCTTCTCATCCTCTCTCTGATGTGAACTGAAGCTAGGGCTCAAGAAAGACATAATAGTCTAATTGAATCAACGAATCGTAGAATTAAAAGAGTAACAACGAATAAGCTAAGAAAAATAAAATACTTTTGAATTTTACGGCTTGAACCGAAAAATTCAACCGCTTTTCACTAGTCTTGAAGATGAATGAAGGGGGCAAAAATTTTGGTAAAAATGACTTTTTTATTTTGAAATGTAAATTACAAAGTTTTAAAAAATTGTGTTTTGCAAAACTTTTTTGGCTTTGTAAAGAAAGTTCTTGCTATTTTTTGTTTTTTAAAGAAAGTTTTTGCAATTTTATGTTTTGTAAAGAAAGTTCTTGCCATTTTTTGTTTTGTAGTGAAAGTTGTTGTCATTTTATGTTTTGTAAAGAAAGTTTTTGCAACTTTTTGCTCGGTAAAGAAAGTTCTTGCTATTTTTCGGCTTGTAAACAAAGTTCTTGTTGTTTTTTGTTTTGTAAAGAAAGTTTTTGCAATTTTATGTTTTGTAAAGAAAGTTCTTACCATTCTTTGTTTTTTAAAGAAAGTTCTTGCCATTTTTTGTTTTGTAAAGAAAGTTTTTGCTATTTTTTAATTTGTAAAGAAAGTTTATGCTACTTTATGTTTTAAAAAGAAAGGCTTTAGTTATTGGTTTTACTATGTAAATATTAAAGTGCTATTAATAAAAAATGGCAATTAGTGGGGTTTTTTTTACTGAAAATATAAATTTATAAACGTTTTTGAGAAGGAAAAGTCAATTTGCTTTAACATTTACATATCTATTTGTACTTTTTTAAAAAATTTTTTTTTAAAATTTTTTTTGTGTTTTATGTACTGTAATATATTATTTCTGTTTATTTCTGTAATTCTCTATTCTTTTTCTATTTCAATGATTGAAAAATGCTTAAAAAAAATAATTACTTACGAACTCGCGAAGCTTAAGTCATTTTTTGAAGCGGGAAAAGTTGAGTGGAATTCGAAATGAAAAGTCTTTAGAGGCAATTTGCAGTAAGTAAGGAGGAATGAAAGGATGATACTTGGCCATGGGAACTGAGTATAATACTTCTTTTGGCAGCATGAGTTGGGTTATGACCATGTTTCTTAGTGAGGCATGACTAGTGGTGGGAAAAGATGAGCGAAAATAATGTTGAACGTGAGTTAGAACATAGGGTAAGGCATACGATTGGACAGGAGATAGGGCATGAGGTATGGAGCTATATATAATAGTACAAGGTAGCGTAGCAGAGATTGGGATAGTGCATAGAGTAGCATATAGGTAATACATTGAATTTGGCACGGGTTAAAGCAAAGAGTAGGGCATATAGGTAGTACATATATCCGTGCATAGGGTTGAGCGTAAGGAATGCATGCAGTTGACCGTGAAGCAACGCTTGTATTAGGGCAAAAAATAGGGTAGGGCAAACTACCCTGTCCTAGAAGAGTAATAAACTAGGTTAGACATGGGTGTAAGGCATATTGTAATGCATAAGGCAGAGCATAGAACAAGACACAAAACAATGCTGGTGGTAAACCAAAGGGCAAGGGATAAGATAGGGAATATCTTATCGTAAAAAAACCGTATGATAGTGCATAAGATAGGACACACGTATTGTATTTTGTACGGCATTAGATAAAGTTTTAAGTATGGCATCAGAAAGTGTAAGGTATGGTAATATCTTTAAATAGTAAAGGTTTCTTAAATAATATTTTTATAAATGCTATTTTTCTTACAGTATTTATATCATATAAGCGTATATCATATTACTCTAACAAATTATATCGACTTGAATATTATATACTATACTAACTTGACTGCCAAATCTATCCTTAATTGTTTATTTACTCTCGGTCTCACTGAAGTTATAGTCAATTTTTTGGCAATTGTCTTGGGTTTTCATTGATTGTAAATAATTAACTTTATTGACAGACCAGAGAATATCATTTATTATTCTTCACATGACTTTCTTTTATGAATTTCTACACGGCCTTCTTAATTATTCTTTATTTGAACGTTCTGGTTTGGGTACGGTCAATATTATATTGACTTTAGCCTTAGCTTAAGCTTAAGCTTTTGCTTGAAGCTTAGCTTTAGTCATAACATTAACCTTAGCCTTGTCTTAGCCATGCTGCTTTAGGCTTAGGCTTAGGCTTAGGATTAGGCTTAAGCTTAGACTTGTGCTTAGGCTTATCTTTAGCATTAGTCTTAACTTAAGTTTTATTTTAAGCCTTAATATGAGCCTATCTTTGTACTTGAGCCCAATCCTAGCTAGTGGTTACTTTACCCTTGAATGTGAGGTTTAGCTTGAGCATAAGCCTGAGCAAGAGAGCATCTTTGAGCTTGAGCCATAGCCTGACCTTGAAGTTGAACTTGAGTATAAGACTACTCAGTGCTTAACTTTAATCGTGAACTTGAGCCTGAGCCTTAACATTAACCTTAGCGTTAACTTTATCTTTTTTTTTGCTTAGCTTTACCTTAACTACACTTTGTTCAATTCCATATTTGTTTACTACTACCTGTTCGAACATGTATTACCCAAAGTAATACTCAATCAACATCATTCTAGTTCCACTTCCTTCTCTAAATTGTCTATGAATACCCAGTTCTTGCATTTACTACAACAAGCACAGTGTATTCATGGACAATTCAAGCTGTAGCAGAGTCAAAGAACATGGCATTTAGTATGCAAACGCGTGCTTGTTATTGTCTGTTCGGTTTTGCGCAATTTACTTAATTTCGTCTTACTGAGCCGTCGTTATTCTTTGTATTCGCGAAGACCGTCCTCTCCTCCCTAAGGGGTTTTCAGCTGTAAATATTTATCTTTGGACTGGTTTTTTGAAATTCTAGGTTGGGTAAGATAGAACATAAAAATGCAGGGTAGGGCAAAATAAGTTAAGTAAAGGCAGTGTATAGTATAATAGAAAAACTACGGTAAGACAGGATAAGGTAAGGTAAAGTAAAGTAGGGTGACATATTATAGAGTAGAGCATGTTAGGCTAGGTAAGGTAAAATAGGGTAAAGTTTGGTAGGGTAGAACAGGATAGGACAAAATAGGATAGAGCGGCGCAGGTAGGGGTAAGGGAAAACGGTGCAGGCCTAATGTTTAGACCTAGCCCGTTTTTATTTTTGATTTAGGTTGGCCCGGCCCAATTTGTTTTTCAACGGGTTGTGCTTTTTGAGCCGGGCTTAATTTTAAAGCCCGGCTCAACGTAAATCTGGCTCAAGGCAGGGTAGGGTAAGATAGGGTAGGGTAGGGTAGGGTAGGGTAAGATAGGGTAAGGTAGGGATTGAAGGATAGGGATTGAAGGGTAGGGTAGGGTAGAGTAGGGTAGGGTAGGGTAGGGTAGGGTAGGGTAGGGTAGGGTAGGGTAGGGTAGGGTAGGGTAGGGTAGGGTAGGGTAGGGTAGGGTAGGGTAGGGTAGGGTAGGGTAGGGTAGGGTAGTGTAGGGTAGGGTAGGGTAGGGTAGGGTAGGGTAGGGTAAGATAGGATAGGGTAGGGTAGGGTAGGGATTGAAGGATAGGGATTGAAGGGTAGGGTAGGATAGGGTAGGGTAGAGTAGGGTAGGGTAGGGTAGGGTAGGGTAGTTTTTTTATTTCAAATGATTGGATATAGCATTTTTTACATTTTTTCATTTTGAATTTTGCAGCCGTCACATTTTATTGACAAAATTTAAATTGCGTACGCATGAAGAATGTGACAAACAATCCCAGAATAAAACATAAATGGGGGATTAATAAAACGACAAACGTTTTTATCGGATTAAATTTGTTTATGGATTAAAATTCTTGGTCTTGAAGAATTTTTGCAAATTAAAATTTTTTTTTTAATTTTGAAATTTTTAATTTTTATTTGTTAGAGGTACACATAGCTATAGTATCATTAGAGTAGCACTAGGTACGTTATGACTTTATTTTATTATTATTAGTGTCATTTTTTGATAGTGCAAGTGCAAGCCTAAAAACAGCCAAATAAGACATTATATACATTATAAGTATGTGTTCCCAAAAATGGCCTTGGCTAATCCGCGAAATGGCTAAATAAAATATGGGTTCAAGAAAGGGCTGGGTTGGGAATGTGAACATGAATACGCTTTAATTAACCGAAATGTTAGAAAAATGGCAGAGTGCATTTCGAATAAGACGTTTTTTTGCAGTCGGGCGGAGGTTTTGGATAATTTTTGCGGGGTTTAGGTTTATGATAAAGTAAAGGATAAAGTAGGATAAGATTAACATTAGGTTAACTAAGATATGGAAAATACTAGAGTAGGGCTAAAAAGAGGTTAAGGCTAGAGCATGTCCAGATTAAGAGCAAGACTACAATAGGGTGATGATAATTGTAAGGCTTGAATGCAACAATGGTTACGAGAGGGAAAAGCGGGGTGTTTTTTATGTTAAACGGGACTATAAAAATGTTAATATAGCTAGGGTAAGTCTATAAATTAAGCTGGGGTGAATCAACAGACACTATATATCAAAGCTATAAATAGTGTTTAATTAAGGCTAAATAAAGGCTGATTGCGATATGAGTAATTGTTAGAAATATGAATAGGACTAAGATAGAACTAAAGTAAAGCTGTACCAGAGCTACGTTAAAGATAAGGCAAGGTTACATTGGGTTAGGACTACAACTGCCAGGATAGAACAAAGTCAAGGTAAGTGGCGCGCAAGGATAATATAAGGTGACTTAGGCAGTACTATAGATGTGCCTAACTTAGGGCAAGTTCAGGCCACATTACCCAACTTAAAGTAGGGTAATGTTGCTTAGAGCTACGAATTTCTATAACTATAGTAAAGGTAGATTAGGGCTGGGTTACAGTATGTCTTTAATTTTTTTAAATTTTTTATTTGTTCAATCTTTCTCTTTCACTCTTTCTACCTTTTTTCCATAAAACAATGTCTGTTTATTCCCACCTACACATTACTACAGCTAATTTATTACAATTAATAAAAAAGTTTACTTCTTATAGGTGTGAAAAAAATAGTAATTAAAAAGCTTTTTTTTAATTACAACGATATTGCTTCAACTATAACTTCCTGCTTTTTCTTAAATTTTATTTCCTACCTAATACAGTAAAACTTCTGTATAACAAACGCTTCTACACAAAATCCTCTTTTAAAGCAAACAAATTTAAAATTTTCAGATACTTTGTTATACAGGAGTCTTACTGCTATGTATAATAGAAACCATTTTACACTTTTTCAATCATATTAGGTGCCAACATAAAAAAACCCGCCATTTTTTACAGGAAATTACAGGCAAAGTATGGCGGGTTCTTTGTGTCGGCACCTAATAGTATCTTACCTAAAAAATTCTATACTCAAGGTGCGCCAAAAGTTCTGTTACAACACTTTACCGGTCGTTTTCTCTATGTTGCGGTTAAATTATTTAAAATTTTTTATTTTAGCTTATTCTCTGTGTCTCTGTAATTGTATAATCATAACAGTTAAGTCTTCATTGTCTACCGTCTGTTTGTATTTAGATGTCAAACATGAGGGCTGCCGTCATCAAATGTATATTACTACTAGGTCGTTCATTTAATTCTGCGCTCTATAACTCTAAAAATTTGTTAAAAAAAAGGTTCAGAATTAAGTAAACGATCTAATAATACATGTTATACTGCCTTTTAACCCCTTACCACCTAATTTACTCTCCAGTAGTGACCTATGAATCACGGTCGTTCCAGTTTTTTGTTTCGTAGTCTCTAAGTCGCCAGGTAAATACATTAATCTTAAAAATTGGGAGTTTTTTCTGAATTTTCATTACTAATAACTATTGGTTTTTGGTTTACTACAGTTCATTCAACAGTAGCTTTGTAATATTAAATTATATTATGTTAGAAAACAGCAGTTACACTCATTAATAAGCTTGTAATGCCAGGTATTATCACTTTTTAATGGGTTTGTAATATTAAGTATGATAGGGCTATTGGTCATTAATAAGGGGAACTCATTATTGTATTTGAAGTACATTGAAAGTTTAAGTACAGACTTACTGACATTATATTGGAAACAATTATGACAGAGTTTGTGCCATGGTTTTTGGTCATTTTTTGTTTTGTAAAGAAAGTTGTTGCCATTTCTTGTTTTTTAAGGAAAGTTCTTACCATTTTTTGTTTTGTAGAGAAAGTTATTGCCATCTTTAGTTTTGTTGTGAAGAAAGTTCTTGCTTTTTTGCTTGAAAAATTAAATTTTTAGTGTTTAATAAACAAGAAAAATTCATTTTTAACATTTGGCGAAATGCCACAAAATTATCGATTTTTGGACGAAGTGTCACAAAGCTTGTTGGCTGCCAAAAATTGTGTTTCTTTGGCTTTTTTTTTCTTATCTGTAAAACTGTTGTTAATTTTTTGTTATGGAAAGAAAGTTTTTGCCATTTTTTGTTATGGAAAGAAAATTCATGCCATTTTATAATTTGTAAATAATGCTTTCGTTATTTTTCGCTTAGTAAAGAAAGTTTTTGCGGTTTCAAGCAATTTTGTACTTTAAAACTTCTTTGCTTTTTCAGTACGTTAATACTGTTCCGCGTCGTGCAATTTTCAAAAATAAAAAAAAATTATTTTAAATTTTAGTTAAAAACCAACATCTCCAAAAATGTACAAGTATCTCCTACTTGTACTAGCATCACTGCTAGTACTATCCCAAGTCGAAGCCAGAAAGCCAAAGGATCAGATACGCCAATGTAAATGCTCAGAGTTAGATGAATGCCGAGAAAGGAGTATGGAGCCATTGTTGAAGTGTCAAGAAAAGTGTATTAAGGGCTTGAAGAACGATGATTGGGACAAAGAAGAGGGCCAAAAGTGCTTGATGAACAAAAAAGTCACTGAACATGACAAGTGCTTGAAGGAGGCAATGGTCAAAACGTAAGATAATGCTGTTTCTGTCAATTGTAACGAAAGTTCTTGCCAATTTATGTTTTGTAAAGAAAGTTCTTGCCATTTTAGGTTTTGTAAAAAAAGTTCTTGCCATTTCTTGGTTTGTAAAGAAAGTTTTTGCCATTTTAGTTCAGTTATTAATAAAAATGACATATCTAAAAAACGTTTGATCGTATAAAATGTACATTGCAATCTGCGCTTTTACTAAACGTTAAGAACGTAAAAAATCGGTAAAAACTTTCTTTACAAATACGAAAACCATAAATTTGAAAAGTTTTGAATGAGATTTTTGACATTTTGTTAAAAAGCCTATAAATTTTGTGGAGTTTCGTCAACGTTTTGAAATTAATACCACAAATATTTCTACAAAACAAAAATGGCAAGAACTTTCTTTAAAAACAAAAAAATGATAAGAATTTTCTTTACAAAAAAAATTGGTAAAAACTTTATTTCCAAAACTAAAAATGTAATTCCAGCTGCGACAATGAACCAGGAAAGTACCTGAACCTCAACGAAACTAACGAACACGCTCGAAAACATCACAAGCACAGAAGACATCGTAGTGTAGATGAACTGAACAATTCTACTGTAGTAACTGATGGTAGTGACAAAGAAGAGCCTACTAATACAGAAGCCAGTGAAAGCGAGGAGGATCACGGTAGACGGCATCACAAACAAAGGGAGCATCATAAAGCCGCTTTCCACGCTTTTATTCAACAAAACTTTGGCAGGAGTGGTAAGGACTGGCGTTTTTATAGTGGGCAGGATAGCGTAGGATGAGGTAAGGTGGGTAAAGCAGGGTAGGGTATGGTAAGATAAGGTAAGGTAGGACAGAATAGGGTATGGTAGGGTAAAGTTTAGTAGGGTGAAGTAGAGTGATGTAAGGTATTCGTATAATAACATGACCTATTTTTAGGTAAGAACTTTGCAAAATGCATGAACACATGCTCTCATCGCTTTCAAAAAGTGAATTGTGCACGTAAACTAAAGTAAGTTGACCAAAATACAAAAAAATATTTTTTACTTTAATATAAATTTTTTTTAAAAATATGGATTTTTGAATATTAATTAAAATTATTGAAAAAAGCGTTCTTTTAGATGTGGAACAAAAAAACTGCCCAAAGAAGAATGGAAAGAAGTAACCTCAACGTGTGATAAGAAGAAGGTTCCAAAACGATACGAAACTTGCGACTGTTTGGCCAAAGCTGGAGTCAAGTAAGCATAATGCATCTTTATTCTCTCTTATGCCCAGTGTCAAGCGGGGACTTTTGGTCTGGGGCGGGGTTCGAATCGGCACAGGTAATTTACTTGTGCCGATTTTTTGCAAAAAATTTTTTCGGAAAATGCACAGGGGGGGGTCCACGTTCATTCAACTTTTTTAACAATTTTTTGCGGGGGGGGGGTTCTCTTCGTTCACCCCTCCTCCCCCTCCCAGCGCCCGGCCTTGCTTATGCTTTAAACAAATCAGCTTTACGCTAGCTTTATTTTTATACATACTGAAGAGGTTCTATGCTTTAGCAGGATTCAGCATTTTTATTGAGCTGTAGGGTAGAGTAAAGTAGGCTTGGGCATTCTATCTTGTTTTACAGAACTGTGAAGAAGGGTAGAGTATCCTAGCTTTTCCTATTGAACTCTAAGGCAGGGTATTTTACTTTGCCATATTATGATTTAGTGTAAGGTATGCAAACTTGCTTTTTAGAGCTGTAAGGAAGCGTAGGGGATGCTGTATTAGCTTATTGAGCTGAAGAGTAAAGTAGAGTATTTTACCTTGCTTAATGATCCTTTAGGGCAGGGTGGAATATCGTAGTTGACCTCTTTGAATTTTAAGGTAATATAAACAAGCTTGTCTTATTAAACAATAGGGTAGGGTGGGCTATTCTAATTTGTTTTGTCGAGTTGTAGGATAGGAGAGAGTACTTTACCTTGTCTTATTGAACCTTTGCTTATTTTCTTGATTTCAGGAACCTGGACTGTACATTCGGAGGAAAACGTGAAAAAGACGAACAAAGAGCTGTTGAAGAATAAAGCGGACCAACTCTTGCTTCAAATTTTTTAAGAAACTATTTGGCAATCTCATAATACTCGTAATAACCTTAATTTTGTTCTTTTAAGTTTTTAGCTTATTTATAAATTTTTTCTTTGAAATTTTAAAAAAGTAATAAAGTTTGTAACATAATTTGCCGGAAGGTATTTTTGGATTACTTAAAGACTACTTAAGTAAGATTGGTAGGGTAGAGCAGAACATAACAGTACTTAAAAAACGAGTAAATTTTTTTTAAAATTTTTTGATTTTAAATTTAAATTAAATTAAAAATAATAGATCACAAAGATTAACCATACAATGTGAAACACAAAAAGAATAATTACAAACTTGTCATTCATGACTATTGTCCGTCAAACATAGTGATTACACAGTTTCAATGCAAACACACCCACAATAAAATTGTTTTCTCTGGGGATTATTGCTTTGGAAAAACAAGGCTTTTTCGCAAAGTTATGCTTATTCATATTGATTTTATAACTGGTTTTTTAGGCTTATTTTGTGAGCCGTGTAAGATTTATTGAGTACTGATTTTTTCCGTTTTCTGAAGCGAAGTAAAAATGTAGACAGAAGAATGGGGTAAAGTACGTTAGAAACCGGTAGAGGACATTAGGGTACAGTAGGGTATGATAGAGTACGGTATGGCAAATGTAGCCAAATATCTTTATTCAGCGTTTATATTTTAAGTTGTGTTAACCTACCAGTATATAATAATATATATTACAACTTTTAGGTAAAACTCTGCCAATTTCCCTCCTAATCATTTGCACCTTAAAAGCCTCTTTAAACCAAAAAAATCAAAAATTCTCCAAATAATCTCCACGCACCTTCATAAAACTCTTAATAATCATCATTTCACCGCTATATAAAGCGCTTATGCGTTTCAAAAACTTTAATTTTCAACCAAACTTGAAAATTCTTTTCTTCCAAATTTGAAGGAAATGACTCATGCAACACCTTTTTCTGTCTTATTATGCCTGATACTATTAGCGCACCAGATTGAATCCAAAACATACACCGTAACAGTGGCTGGCAAAGTGGAATGTTGTGAAAACAGTAATAGACCCTGTCCGATTTATAAAGACAGGGCCTTTGTAGAGCTGTGGGATCGATATAAAGGTAAAATACGATGATATTTGCAATATTTTCATTAGTTTATAATAATGCAGATACAGTAAAATAGTTTTACATAGAGTAATATAGAGTAACTTTAAGATAAAGGCTGGGATAAGGCTAAATTTGAGACAATTACTGTCAGCTCTACTTTAGTTAAGGCTAAAGTAGAGCTAACAGTAAGGTCAAGTTAAGTTTAGTGTGTAGTTGAAATATGGGTACGGTAGAGTTAAGTTAGGGCAAAGGCAATGCTTGATTAGAAGCTGAGATAGAAGCAAAGAAAAGAGCTAGTCTAGAGTAAGGGTAAAATAAGTTTAAAAAGGTAGGGAAAGGGCTATAGAGAAGGGTAGGTTAAGATAAAGTAAGGACAGAGCAAGGCTTTTAAATTTAATTTTTTTAAAATTTTTAGTTGGAAGTGACAAACTTTTAAAAAAGACGGTAAATGACCGTAACACTGGCAATATTTTGATCAGTGCAACTACAAGTACTATTCTCAACTTTGATCCATATGTTATTATCCGACATCAGTGTGGTTCTAAACCGGTGAGTTTAAGTTTCGCGAAATATTTCCATTTATCTTATCACAGGAGAAACAGCCGTATTTTACCTTTTTTTGTAAAAAGATAACAATGATATGTAACTCGTATAAAAATAATTTTTAGAAATGTTCTCGAAAGCTAACGATACCAATTCCAAATGGCCATGTCAAAACTGGCAGAACATTCTCAATTGAACATCTTGATTTGTACAAACCTCATATCGGTCGAAATGAAGATGTTTGTTAATTATGAAAATAAACATAAAAAGCCTCATAATAGTTCTACTATGGTGTTTTCTTCATTATCCTAACACAACTTTACCTTCATTTTGCCGAAGAACTCTTTATTAGTTATTTTAGCCTTTCTTTACCCCTTACTTTAGCCCGATCTATTAGGTGCCGACATAAAAAACCGCCATACTTTCTCCGTAATTTCTTGTAAAAAATGGCGGGTTCTTTATGTCGGCACCTAATAAAACTTTACATGAGCAGCTATTCTAGCTTTACCTAGGCCGTACTTCAGCCTCACTTATATCCCTTGTTGTCCATATTCTAGTCTACACATTAACCATATCTACCCCCTTATCCTAACCGATATTCTAGCTGCAACTCTAACTTTTATCCTAGCCTCTACTCTAAACCTTTCTAGCCGTACCCCAGCGATACCGTAAGCCTAATTCTAGCGTCTTCTTGTAGCCTTAATGTGGATTCACATTTACGTTTCTTTCGCTTTACCCTAGCTTAGCTTAGGCTTACGTTAGCCACACTTTAACCTTAATTTTGCCTTTAGCCAGACTCTAGCATTAATTTTGCTACGCTAGTTAACCTGACTCCAGCTTTACTATAGCCTTCTCTAACCCTTTCTCTCCTTTTCTTCTTTTTCCAAAACCTATTCTAGCACATACTTAAGCTTGACTTAAGTCTTTTATCTAATCGCATTCTAGCTCTGACTCTAGCCGTCTTGGCGCCATACTTTGCCTTTACTCCAACAAATGTTACATCCCTATCCTTGGGTTTCTATAGTTCTAACTAAGCCTATAATTAGTCTTACCCTAACCCTGCTTTTTCTCTACGTGAGTCTTACTCTAAACTTACGTTACCTAGCCATATCCTAGCCTTAAACTAGGTAGCATTACTCTAGCTTTACATCAGTCTCTTCTTCCTTTTTTTCTATTTTGCTTTCTTTAAACCTTATCTTAGCCTTTACATGAGTCCTTAATCAAGCCTATCATATTATTCTTAATTTACTGTTCCCACAATTTCAAAAAATTTAAATTATCAAAACATGACGATTGTTTATATAAATCAGTTGTAATAACTTGCCGCCACGCTTCTAAATTTGTCGTTTCGTAACGGATCCGGTTTAGCTTCGCCCTCCCGTTATCCCTCGCCAATCAACTCTTCTTCATTTTTTATTCAATTGAAAAGTTTGAAATTTATAAAAAATTGATACTCTTCTTCATTTTTCGGGAACATCTTCAGATAAGATCGGGTGGGAATCGTCAAGAAATCGGGAAAAACAGTGAAATTGTGCAAAAATTATTCAATATTAAGCGAGGATGAATCCGGTTTCGAGACAACATCAAGCAACAATGGCGGTGTTGGATCATCGGTGAGGGAGCCGGAGGGCTTGAACCGGATTTGATGGGAGGTGGAAAAGGTTGGCGAGTACTTAAGTAATGAGTTGATTGAAACATAGCTTTAGTTGGACGGAGATTTGAAGTGAATCTTGAAAGTAAGTATTGCACTTGATAATGTTTTGTACTGAACTTTGTATTGTTTTGAAAAAGTATTGAAAAATTTTTAAATTGTCGGGGAGATTCTAGTACGGATAGTTTTTTCCTCTTTTTAAGCTTTTAAAGTACCTTGCCTTGTCCCGGTTTGCCTCGCTCTATCTTGCCTTGTTTTGCTTTAGCGTTTGTACTAAAACCCTGTTTGAAAGACAAGTACTAATATTGGCGGCTTTTTAAAAAACCAGTGCTAAGACAGTACATTTAAGGTGTTTTTTCAAAAGGTTTGTTCTAAAACGCTACTAGAACTAGTACTGTATTACATACTACTATTATTTTTAGTACTGTGAGACAGAGTACTACTCTATTTAGTACAGTGAGACAAAATACTATAAGATTTAGTCACAGTATTTCAAAATTGCTTTTAGTACTGTCTGACTTTTTTAGCTCGGTACTACTAGTTCTCTTTATTTCTTGGTGCTATTACCCTTTTTTGAATTGATAGGCTTCTTTAGTACAGAAGGAAAAGAAACAAATAATTAGTATTGTGAGCACAATATCATTTTAATTTTAATGTTTTCATTAATGGTGCACTTTTAATTTTCTTTTTTTTTAAATTTATGTCATGGTTTAACTTAAATGTTTATAGCTTTTGCTAAGCCTATATTTTTAAGTTTGAGATAGTCTTAATCTTTTGGTTTATTAAGCTTATGTTTAAAAAGCTTATTGTTTATGTTTAAAAAAATGTTTTCAGTACTACTCCTTCTAAGACGGCACCAAATTCACATCTAATTCAATTTTCAAAATGTTCACCATGAAAACGCTGATGCGTCGAAGATCGACCAGTATTTTCAACAACAAAACGATACTTTTGGCAATTTTAGAGCTATTGTTGGTTGTGGATTTCTTAAGACGATGGACAAGTAGAAGCGATGATGGTGACACTGATTATGACCCTTATCAAACCACTTTTGGTAAGGAAAACTTTTATATAAATACTGAGTGAGTACGGTATAGAGAAGGAGTAGCACATTGGGGGCAGGGCCTGTAGGGCAGGTGGGATAGTAGGAGTATGGTCAATAAAATGGTTACTGCATTAAAAGTAAGATAGGGTCAGTAGGGTAGGCAGTGCAGTAAAAATATGGCAAGTAAGGTACAGTAGTAGTACCATTGTTAAGATTGGTAGTTCATTAAGAGTATGGTAAGGTGGTAGGGTATGATAAGGTAGGGTAGAGTAGGGTAGGGTAGGATAACAAATTCTTTGCAATTTAAAATCTTGTTATAGTAGGAGACGACTGCTCGATAAGGCGAACCGACAGTGTTCGACAGCGTTCCGGTCGATATTGTAATGCTCAATGTATACCTTGGAATGAGACCCTAGCGATGAATGAAGACGTGTTGCCAGAAGAGAGGCATTTCGAAGGGATTTGCCAAGGTTTAGATGCCAAAAACTGTGTTCAGCCGTTTAAAACCATCGAATCCGACTTTCAGTACTATTGGGTAGGGTATTATTGTTATACACTGTAACTTTTTTAGTTTTTTAAGAAACTTTTTTATACAAGGTAAGGTACTGTAGGATATGATACGGTAGGGTACAATAGGGTATGATAGGGTACGGTAGGGTATGGTGGGGCACGGTAGAGTACAGTAAAGTACAATGGGGTACAGTAGTGTACGGTATTTTTGGTTAAATAAAATGACACTTTCAGACCCTAAAACCTCAAAAAATAATGATGTGCACCATCCCCAAGACCAGCTCTCAGCTAATGACAGCTATTATGTGTTTGCTAAATGATCCTCTAGGATTCTTCTACGAAGGTCATCAAATGTTTGGAGATTATTATGGACCGTAAGTTGTGATAGCGGATCTGTCACGTAAGGTTTTTTGTTTAGGGTTTTGATAGATTTTTAGTAGTGTAAGTTTTCTAGTTTTTTCTGTTAATTTTATTGTACCGTAGCCTACTGTAGCTGCACTTACCGTTTGTTAGTAATTGCTAATTGAAAACCACTCAATTTAAATAAAGATACCGTAAAAATTGGTGTCATGTATGAGATATTTTTTTGGGAGGAAGAGGGGGGGGGGGAAAGGTAAACAAAACATTTTTTTTTAAATTTGAAAATGTGCTATTTTTTTTAAATGTGTTTTATTATTTTTTTCTACTTTACCCTGCTTTGTCCTACATTGAGTTACACTACTTTATCTGTTTTTACGCCTATATTGCTTAACTCTACTATGCTTACCCTATATTGATCTACCTTTTCCTACTTGCCTCTACAGCCAACCTTACCTTATGTTTTTTTATTCTATTTTACTTTATCCTCATCTTGCCTTACTTTATCTTGTTTTACCTTACCTTGCTTTACCATACCTTGCTTTACTATACCGTGTTATAGTGTATCTTATTTTTTTACCTTAATTTATCTCATTTTGATCTGCCTTATCTTGTTCTACCCTTTCTTGCTTCATCCTATCTTGCTCTACCTTATCTTGTCCTAACCTATCTTGTTTCACCATATCTTGTTTTGCTTTATTCTACCCTATTCTTGCCATAATTTGTTTTTTCTTCTTTTTCTTTCTATCTATTTTTTACCCAAATTTAAAAAAAAATTTTTTGCAATTTTTAACCGAATTATTTTTTAATTAACAATATTAATCTTACTAAAATTTTATTTTTTAGCGCTTGCTCCAAGCACCGAGTAAAAGACCTCAATCATGCCGTCCGTCTCCATGGTCCAGAAGTTGCTAACTGGACTAAAATTACCGTAGTCCGAGAGCCTGTGGACCGGTTTTTAAGTGGTTTTGTTTTTGCTTGTGTACGTGGCGTGGACTTTGAAACAAACTGCACGAGATACTGTCACGGGTGTGGTGCCAACTTGACATGTTTCGTTGAAAAAGAGTACGAAGAAATGATGCGCTTAAGTAATGGTCAACAAACTACGGTCGATTTCCTGTCACATCATCAATACCCACAAACGTGGCGTTGTGGCATGGATAAGTATTTGAAGGTAGGGTAGTGAGGAAAGAAGGGGGGTTGGGATGAAGTAGGGTTGGGAAAAAATTATGCTAAGTGGGGTAGAAATAAAAGAGGTTTTTAGAATAGAAGGTTAATGCTGGGGGTTGGGGAAAAAACGCTAGGGGAAGATATACTGTGGTTAAAGTAAGCCATGTATTACAAGACGAAGGCTATAGTAAAGCAAGACATATAAAGTGGGATTGGGATAGTGTTAAGTTAAAACTAAAGTAATTATATTACTAGTGCTGTAGGGTAGGGTAGGGTTTATGAAAAGTGCTTTATGCTTTGTGTTATGACATCTTTTAACTTATTTTTAACTGTAGTCTAATTAATTAAAAATGTTATAATTATATTAACTTAAAAAAACATTATGTTATGCTATTCTAGTTGAATATGCTAAAAAAATCTTCTTAACCTAACACATATAAGACTTATCACAGTCTTACTTTTCGTATGTTTCGGCCTACACAAGACACACGAAAAATTCTTACTATCCTATACCAACTGGCCTCGTCAGTTGTGGTTGGTATAGACAAGGGGGTTGGGTAAAAAACGCTAGGGGAAGATATACTGTGGTTAAAGTAAGCCATGTATTACAAGAGGAAGGCTATAGTAAAGCAAGACATATAAAGTGGGATTGGGATAGTGTTAAGTTAAAACTGAAGTAATTATATTACTAGTGCTGTGTGAGTACGCTCTGGACGAAGAGTAATAAAGTAAAGGTAAGGTTAACAACGTTGGTACTACAGTAGGAGTACGGTATAGAGAGTAAGAAGTACTGCAATAGTACTATAGATAGTAAGGGTAGGGTATGGTATGGTAAACTAGCACAGAGTAAGGAAAAGTAGGGTAAGACAGCGTAAGAATAGGATAAGGCAGAGTGGGGCAAGGTAGGGCGAGCAAGATACATAGTAAATTATGAGTACGGTATGGTGGGTGAGAAGTACGGCGAAACAGTACGATAGATGTTGATAGTAGGGTACGGTAGGATAGGGTAGGGTAGGGTAGGGTAGGGTAGGGTAGAGTAGAGTAGGGTAGAGTAGGGTAGGGTAGTGTAGGGTAGGGTAGGGTAGGGTAGGGTTTATGAAAAGTGCTTTATGCTTTGTGTTATGACATCTTTTAACTTATTTTTAACTGTAGTCTAAGGCTAATACGGTCGTAAACGGGTCATAAAAACCAGCCTTTTTACTACAAATCCTCGAGCAAAAGGCTTGGTTTTACAATCTAAAATAAGAGTGAAAGAACACTGTACATATGTGTATTATGACATGGCATTACTGAAGGTTTTCAATGAAAACTATTGTAAAATACGAAGCTTCGTCGCTTTTTATACAAAATTTAAAAATTTTTTTTTGTGTAGCGTAGGGCATGGTAAAATAATATTTTTTACATTAGTCAAATTTCATTAAAACCAGAGTAAAGTAGTATATATCTTAAGCCATTTACCTTGCAAATAGGCTTAAACTACTTTTCGATGTTAGTGTAATGACACATCGCATACTATTAACATATTACATCTTTTCATATTACGTACTACAGTATTAGGAATGGTAAAAAAGTGCAGTAAAAACAGAGAACAGGGACTTTTTAATTTTGCCCAAAGTTTTGTGTTGTGAATGAACATGCGATGATGCAGAGTGTAAACCGGTTTAAAACGTCTTGGGATACCGTACTGTCTCTTAGTATTGGCAAGAAGATATTACGGTATGTAATTTCTTTAAGTGTTAATACAGTAGGGATCCTACGCACTATAGACACTGCCGCGTTCTAGCACGTGAAGTATTATAGGTAGTACTGCAGGTTATGACCAAGTATGGCAATAGCTTAAGTGTTAAAAACAGTACGGAATTTTAGTATGCTAAGTATTATAGGTATTACAGTATTCTAGCACGTAAAGTACTATAGATAGTACAGCCAAATAGCACGTTAAATAGTACAATACACTCCTCCGGCCGTTTAGTACTAACAGTCGTACTGCAAGTCATTAACCAAATATGTAGGTAGCTTAAGTACTATGGTTAGTTATGTCTCCTATTACTTTAAGTACTATAAGCGGTACAGTAGTCTTGCGTTTTAAGTGTTGTAAGTATTACGGCAGGCTATTGACTAAAGTAACTATGCGAACAGCTTAACTACTATAGATAGAACAATGTATCGCCCGTCTACTATAAGTAGTACTACAGTGTATTACTGAGTATTTGGATAGCTTAAGAACTATAGGTAGTACAGTGTTTCAAAACGTTAGGTACTATGGGTAATACGGAAATGCAGTATGTTAAGTACCATAGGTAGTACTGCAGTACATTAACCAAGTATATGTGTGGCTTAAGTACTATAGATAGTAATAATAAGTATCACTTTAGAAAAGTATGTTGTACTGTATATTAACAGTCCAACCACTATACTGTAGTTTAATAAGTAGTATGTACTGTGTATTCTGTGTAAAGGCTATACAACATTTCCACGAAATACCTACAGTAATATGTTTTTAATTCGAAATAGATTTGTAAATGTGGCTTAGACAACAATACATATTAGCTGATTTAAATTATGTCATGCCTTGTGATATTGCCGTTTTTAGCAATGATTAAAAAACAATATTTTAATTACTGTAGATTAAAAATTTCTTTGTATGAGTTTAAAAAACAAAGATTTGATACGAGTTGCAAAATTTTAAAAAATTAAAAATTGTGAAATATTTTGAAAATGAATTACTGTAGAGGGTTCTTAAAGTAGAGATAACCTTAGATTTGGGTAGGTTATTGCGGGGTTGGTGCATGAGTAGCTAAACGTTTGCTATGATAGGGCTTAGGGCATGATTGGGTAAGGTTAAGGTAAAGCTAAGGGTAAAGCTTGTATAAGGCTCCGGTAGGGCTAGAGTAAAAACACGGTAGGGCTTGCTATCGTGGCGCTAAAACAAGGCTATGGTTGGGCTTGTATCAGGTTACTGTAGGGCTAAAGCAAAGCTATTTTAGAGCTTGTATCAGGTTACTGTATGGCTAAAGCAAAGCTATCGTAGGACTAGGAAAAGACTAGTGCAGAGCTTACGGTAGGGATTGAATAGTTCTATGATAAGATTAGGTTAATGCTGAGATAAAGCTACTATGAGATTATGGTAGAGGTAAGGCAGAACTATAAGTTAGGGCTTATGTAACGCTATGGTACGGTTAGGGTAAGACTAACGCAGAGCTAGACAAAGGCTAGGGTAAAGTTTAAGGTAGGGCTTGTATATTGCTATGAAAAACAAGGGTAAAAATAGGGTAGAGATTAGACAGAACTAATAGTAAGGCTTGTATAAAGCTATGGTATGGCTATGGTAAAGCTATGGAAGTGGTCAGAATAAATGGGAATGAGAATGAGCAAGACGAAGGTAGAGCTAGGGTAGAGCTATCGGTATCGATTGTATAAGGCTGCGGACAGGGCCGGGCGAGGACTTTTAATCTGGGAACGGAGATCGAAAATATCGGCACAAGTAGAGCTCTGTGGAAATTTTCTGCATATTTTTTTCAAAATTTCACTGGAGGGACTAAGTTTAACTTTTTTCAAAAAAACATTTTTAAGGAGAAGAGCTAGAAGTAGGGCTAGTAGTGAACACTAGAAAGGAAAAAGCTAGGGTAAATATAGAGGAAGGTTAAGGTAAGGCTAGTGTAAAAAATATTTTATCGAAATTTTTTAAATTAAAAAAAAAAATTAAAATTTTTTGCTTTTCTAATATTAAGAATAATTATAAAAATACCCATGTAAATTTCAGGACTACACAGTGCTGAAATACAGTTCTAAGCCAAAAATTTTTTTGCCTCGAGTCCTTGAATTCCTAACTTCGAAAAATGTGAACGAGTCCGCCATGGAGTATATTAAAAATGCGGCTTTGAAAGAACGAACTCACCATGCCACTTCAAATACAAATGCTAGAAAGTTCTTTGAACATCGATTAAGATCATCACCTTATCTAATGGAAAAGGTGGTCAGGATGTTTTACCACGATTTTAAAACATTTGGATATCCATTACCGCCTGGGTTTGAGTAAAATACCCTGAATTACACTACGGTGACCTACCGTTCCGTACCGTGCCCTATCGTACCCTAACCTACCCTACCCTACCCTACCCTACCCTACCCTACCCTACCCTACCCTGCCCTATCCTACCCTACCCTACCCTATCCTACCTTACCCTACCCTACCCTATCCTACCCTTCTCTTACCATAGCCCTTACTTCACCGGTACTCTAATAAACCCCACCTTTCTCTACTCTACTTTATCATAGCTTTTGCTATGACTTTAATTCAGCTTAACCTTCCTGTAGCCCTAACCTAGCATTGTTTTAACCCTACCATAGGTTAAAATAAGCTTCTTCTTTTCTGACTTAACTATAATATAAACCTTTATTTAAAAACATCTTTACAATGTTTAAGCTGTATCTAAAGTTCATTTTACTTTAATCGGTTCACTACTCTAGCCCTATGAAGTAAATTTTAAAAATCTTGTCCTTAACTTTTATATGTTTTTTTGAACTTTAGCAACTCTATGCTGGCTTTTAAAGATTTTGTTGCTTATTTTACGTTGTGGCTAAACCTATTTATCTTACCTGTGTCTAAAAAAGTTTTCTAAAATTTTTTTTTTTATTTTTCTTTTCTTCTTTTTTTCACGCCCTTTTCATAGCACTCCTACCCGTCTTAGACAGTGTTTTGCCCCGACTGGTCCGAAGCGTTTTTGACTGGTCGGGTCTAAACTTTTAATTTTTGGGTCCAGTCTGATTCGGTCCGTAAAAATGTTTTTTGGTATTGTCCGGACCGGTCCGGTAAAACACTAGTCTTACCCCTTCTCCCTAGCACCTGTCCTTTGTTACCCTTATATTTTCCTCTCTTCATAACCATCCTCTCTCCTTCCCCCCCCTTCAAAAACTAAAAATTTAAAACCCCCTCTCCCCCCCCTCCCCCCCCGACAACCTTTCTATCTATTTTTATTCATCCCCCCTCTCCAATTTAAACTCATAACCGGTAATTGCCAAAACTGTTTTGTTTTCGCTGGTGAAACTGTTGATCTCGTTGTTGAAATAATTTGTATTTGTAATCTTTAATGCCCCTGGCGTTGTTTTAAATGGCTTTTGCGAAAATTGTTTTCGTACAAAATAAATGAGATATAATGAAATTGGAGGGGTTTCGTTGAAATCTTCTTAATACAAACCAAAAGTTTAATAATATTATTGTTGGGAAAAGGTAAAGTACTGCACTATTTGGGTTGTTATGATTTTTAAGCTAGGTAAAGAAGTGTGGTTTGTTAAAATGGCAATACTTTTGTTTAACAAAAATGAACAAAATGTTAAAAACTTTTTTTACGAAACACAAAGTGGCATGAACTTTCGTTACAAAGCGGAAAATGGCATGAACTTGCTTTGCAGAACAAATAAAAACCAAATTCATCGTATAACATGGCTCCCGCAGGTTGCAGAACTATAAATGTTCTTTTTGAGTAAAAATGGAAAGAATTTTGTTTACAAAACATAAAATGGCAAGAACTTGCTTTGCAGAACAAATAAAGACAAAATTTATCGTATAACATGGCTCCCGCAGGTTGCAGAACTATAAATGTTCTTTTTAGTAAAAATGGCAAGAACTTTTTTTAAAAAGCAAGAAATGGCAAGAACTTTCTTTACAAAACGAAAAATGACAAGAACTTTCTTTTCAAAACAAATAATGTCATAAACTTTGTTTACAAAATTAAAAATGACGTTTTTTACTGCTATGTTCACAATAAACTAAAAAACTTTACTTTTTGATTTTTGATGACTTTGGTGGCTGCCAATCAATTTTGGTGTTTACTTTAGGTAATTATGACAATAAACAACACAGATTAAAGTTTAATATATTAGAAAACAACATAGTAAAGTTCTAGTGTAACATAATGTTGGTTATATAAAGGAAGGTTTTTCTTTGTTTCAGTCAGTTTTTGTATTTAAACACTTAAGCGCGGTAGGTTACTGTACTTTTTAAAGGTTTTTTACTGTTTTATTAATAATATAGTTAGTACTGTATAGTACTACAACTACTATTACTATCTCTACTAGTACTCGCTAGTACTACCACTTCTTCAACACGTACTCGTTAGTACTTTCACCCAGTAACCCAGTAGTACTTCAGCTAATACCAATACCACTACTACCACCACTACTCCCACTACCACTACCAATACTGCAACTCAACAGAAATGAAATCACTAATCATCATCTCAGCCCTCCTAGCCGTAGCCTTCTCGGCCGAATTCAAAGTCGGTGGCAAAGTCCGCTGCAAGCTCGATGGTGCCTCAGGCCGCACCACAGGCATAGCCCAACTATGGGAACATGATGTAGACCCAGATGATCACATGGGTGAAGTAGCTCTGAAGGACAACAAGTTCAGTGGACTACACTTCTCAGAAACCGAAGTCTTTGGTGAGGTAGAGCCATACGTCCAGGTTTTCCATGACTGTCATCCAGATATTAGGAAAGACAGTGGTCATCCAGCTAAAAGTGGCTGTCGTGCAGTCTCGAACTATCACTTCAGTCCACCTCAAGGCAGTGATGAGATTTGGGTGGAGTTTGATTTGGAAACAACTTTGGAATCTCAGCTGAAATGTGATGGAGCCAGCCGACTTCACCCCAATCCTAATACTACTGGTGAGCCAAGACATGATGTTGGAGTCGGCCATGCTGAGGAATAATAATTTTTTTCAAAATTTAAATATAACTTTTTTCATAGATATATAAACAATATCAAAAATCTTTTTATTGTCAGTGAGGCTAAAGATAGAAATGGTGTTTTAGGCTGCAATGTAATGTATAGTACTATAGCATAAGGTATTGAGTTTTGAGATGTCAGAAGTGAGGGAATAAGGGGAAGGAAAAGAAAAAAAAGAAAAAAGGGTCCGGGGGGGGGGAGGGGGAAGTAAAAAAAAGAAGGAGGAGGGGGAGGGTAGGGTGGTAAATTTTTTTTAAAAATTTTATTTATGAAAAAAAAATTAATATTGACCCTCTTTCTGCCTTCGCCAAGGTATATTGTCACAGTGGATAGAGTACGTATTCTTTTTATTACTATACCTTGCTTTACCTTTTCCTACGTTTCTACCCTGCTGTACCCCACCTTACCTAAGCTTACTCTTCCAACTTGTATTCTTCCTCCTCTTCCTCCTCCTTCTCTTATTGTTCTACCCTTTCTACATTTTCTTTGCTTTTCTCCATAATCTACCAACTCTAACAGACACTACTCTACCTTACCTACTCTACCTTACCCTACTTTACCAGACTCTATTCTAACTTATCCTACTCCACCTTACTCTACTCTACCTTTTCCTATCCTACTCTTACAATTTTTTATTTCTAGGTTTCAGTATCTGTTTTCTACTACCATATCTTCTAAAAGACCTTTGTATACTCTTAATATACATATATTATACATGTATTATACATTAATCTCAATTCGAATATATTTTTTGTTGTAACAAAAATAACCATCCAGGATCATATTTTTCATAAACCCATTCGATTGTTTGTTTGTTCTTTTTCATTTTCAATAAATTTCAACTGTTTTAACAGATGGTTCGCTTTTAAAAAATTTTAAACAATTTTTGACGACAAATTGCATAAATAAAATTAAACTACAACTTTGTACAATATAAACTAGAAAAATCAAGTAAGATATGTACAATTGAATTAGTCATTAAAAGTAGTAATGTAAAATTAAAAAAGCTTTAAATTATAAGCCTAAGTTTACTAAGCCTTTGTTTGATCAGTGTTTGTGAACATATTAAATCAAAACCTTTAAGCCTAGTAAACACATCATAATCTTCCTGAATTTCAGCTTGTCAAACAGCCTTAGAATTGTTAGGCTTATAATTTTTTTTGTTATAAGTTATATTTTACACTTTTATTTTGAGTTTATCATTATATCTACAGTAATAAATGCCAACTACTATTTATTTATTAAGTTTATTTGTGGTAATTTAAAAATCTTTTACTAAAATTAAAAAAAAAATTATTATGGTTATTCAATCGACAAAAATACAATAATAATTCAATGAATTGACAATATGCAATTATTAAGCAGTGTATGAACAATCAAATATATCAACAGTAAAAACAATACAGTGGAACTCCTATATAACAAAAACCGCGAAGAAAAAGGAACTTTTAAATTCTTGTCAAAGCTTTCGTTGCGAGACTCAAGCTGAACCACTTGAGCGTTGGTTTGGGCTTCAAATTTCGGACCCGCATATGCCGGCCCAAGTCTAGTAAGATCTTTTCAGGCCTATTATACAGAATGTTCCAAAGCATATATGTATGAATGTTAAAGTAAAAAATAGATAGAATTACAATAAAAATATGTTGCGATGTAGAGTCAGACCCGTATGAACAAGACTGGATGTAGCAGTTTACTTTTTTCATATCAATATGTGATTTGAGGGTAGGGGTGGGTAGAGTAAAATTTGAGGAAAGATTACGATAAAGGAGTATAAAAAAAGTGGCAAAAAAAAGAAGGGCAATTTGTATGTGTCGACAATGGTATGTACATATACATCGAAAACTGAATGAAAAACAAAAGTTTGAAAAATTTTAAAAATTTTTATACTTTAGCTGTCTTCAGAAGGTAAAAAAGTTGTACAATTTCAAATTTAAAGCTAATGATTAGAGAAACAGACCACATAATCTATATTATACTAGGTACTATAATGGCGTAGTGCTATAAAAAAAACCGTACTATAAAGTATATATAAGACGGTACAAGTTCAGAAGCTTTAATTTAAGTCTAGACTAACAAATTTTAGTCCAAACAATTATATTTTAAGCTTGAAACTTTGAAATACAAGCCTAAAACTACAAATTCTTGGGTGCCAACATAAAGAACCCGCCATACTTTGCCTGTAATTTCTTGTAAAAAATAGCGGGTTCTTTATGTCGGCACTTAATATATGCCTATATCTACAAAATATAAGCTTACACCTACAAAATAAAAGCCTAAACTTAAAAAACATAAGCCTAAGCCTAAAATAAGCTCAAAAAGTCGAAAATAGCCTAAACAGTCTGATTTCTGTGCTGTAAACACAACAATCTTTCAATGTCACGTAGTGATGGCACGTTGCCACAGTTCAATTGAATGTTATTCACATTTGACATCATACCAGCTTGTACTAGGTTATTGAAACTAGCCAATTTGTCATCATTTTGGCCAAAGATTGGGGTGTTCAAAGCTGTTGAAGCCATATTATTCAAGATATTGGTAGTTGAAGGGATGGTATTGGTCATAGCCGTTGATATAGTAGGGGTAGAGGGCATATTGTTGATGATAGTGGGGGTAGAGGCCATATTGTTCATGTTATTGATGGAAGAGGGTATATTGTTCATCAGAGTAGCAGTAGATGGCATATTGTTCATGGTATTGATGGGAGACGGTATGCTGTTCATGATAGTAGGAGATGACATATTGTTCATGATACTACTACCTGAAGCCATAAAGCCACTAGAGCTAGCACTTGGACTGGTGCTCAAAGTACTACCAGGGCTACCAGAAGCCATGCCATCTACAGTAACGCTTGTCATACTATCATTACTAGACGAAAAGCTCAATCTGTCAGTAGATGACATCTTGATATTGTTCATGTTGTTCAAGCTGTTCAACAACATGGCCAAATTCTCTTGAACTGTCATGTCATTTGACTTTAAGCCATCTACAGTACCTTGGGTTACTGTAGAGTTCAATGAGTTATCTACCGTACTCAAATTCAGACCATTTTCTACAGTATCCCGGTTGAAAACACGGTCCACTGTATCTCGGTTCAAGCTGTAGTTGCTCAGAAGCTTACTCAGTAATGCAGCAGAATCAGAAGAATTGGCTACGGTAGACACAGGAATGTAAACTGGGATGTACTGTACTAAAGGCTGAGCGTTTTCTTGACTGAATACGGTAGATGGTAGGGAGAAAGACTCGTCCATTGATATTGAGTTAGGCTGTGGAAGTAGAGTTGGTGGATTTTCTGGAGTTAGACTGTCTGAAATGTTTAGGTAAGAGATGTAAAGATGTATATAATGGTTATTATTAATGCCGTATCTTACCCTACCGTGCTCTATCGTACCTTAATGTACCCTATTATACCCTACTGTACCCTACCGTACCCTTCCGTACACTACCGTATCGTACCGTACCCTGACGTACCCTACTGTACCCTACCGTACCCTACCGTACCCTATCGTACCCTACCGTACCCTAACTTACCCTAACGTACCCTACCGTATTATGCCCTACCCTACCCGAACCCAAACCTACCAAATCTGAAGCTCTTAGGCGAAGCAGAAGCCGCGCTTCCAACACTAACAGGTGTGCTTCTGTCATCACTACTAACTCCAGCTTGCTCCTGCTTCAACTTCTTCATCAGTTCAGCTCTTCTCTTCTTCATATGCTGATCTAATCTTCTTCTAGTCTCGATCAGTTCACATTTCTCACAAGTACAACTTGTAAATGGACACTGCTTCTTGTGCTGCTTCTTCCACACCAATATGTTATGGTTTTTGCACTTTTGGCAAAAGTAGCACATGGACTTAGCATCGCCTAGAAGCTCTTCTGGATTCGTGGTTCGAAGTTCGTTTTCACATTGCTTAATTGGCATAACGTCGGCTTGTTCCGGCTCGTTGGTACGCTGAAAACGCTTGTCCTGGGCACGGCGAAGACGAATTTGCTGGCTCATTATGCGACGACGGGTGCGGACTAATTCACACTAAAAAGTTTGAAAATGAGTTTTTGAAGATTTTATTGATCTTTGGGCATTTTCGTGTCTTGTAAAGAAAGTTTTCGCAACTATTTGTTTTGTAAAAAAGTTCTTGCCATTTTTTCTTTTGTAAGGAAAATTCTTGCTATTTTTTATTTTGTAAAGAAAGTTCTAGCCATTTTTGCTTTGGAAAGAAAGTTCTTGCCGTTTTTTCTTTTGTAAAGAAAGTTTTTGCAATTTTTGATTTTAAACTAATATTTTTTTAAAAAATTATTGGTTCTAAGATCAAAAAATACAATTTTTAAGTTTTGACGGAATGTCACAAAATTTATTGATTTTTTGACAAAGTGTCACACATTTTATAAATTTTTGAAATCTTGCGAAGCTGTTGTTTTTTATCAACTTTTTAGTAATTTTCTGCCAATTTTGTTTTGCAAACAAAGTTCTTGTCATTCTTTGGTTTGTAAAGAAAGTTCTAGCACGTTTTCATGAAATAATATATCCCACACAGGATGTATAAACTATACTAACAAGAACACAAAGCACTATTAAAGAAACCACTTTGGCTGGTTAAATTGGCTTATTGACACATTAGTAACAATTTTTGACTTGATACATAGTTAAAAACAGGTAACCTCGGTTAATAGCGGAAGACACGGTAATTATAGTATATGCAAATTTGAAACGGAAGACATTATTTTGAACATTAGATCTTAATAGGGCATAAAAGTACAAAGTATTCTGGACGATTAATGAGGGTGTTGCAAAATCAACAATTTGCAGGAATTTTGTTTACAAAAGGGAGAATGGTAAGGATTTTCATTACAAAGAATTAAATGGCAAGCACTTTCTTTACAAAACAAAAAATGGCAAGAACTTTCTTTACAAAACAATAAATAGCAAGATCTTTCTTTACAATTATTATTTTTCTTAGTTCTTCGAAATCCAATACAATTGTGGCATTTCGTCAAAAACCTATAATTTTTGTGGCATTTCGTCAAAAAGCTATAATTTTTGTGGCATTTCGTCAAAAACTTCAAAATTTGTATTTCCGTTTTTAATTTTAATGTAGTTATTCTAACATGGCAAGAACTTTCTTTACAAGACAAAAAATAGCAAAAACCAATTTTTTATCTGTTCACAATTGCTACATATATGCTTTATGTTCATGTATGTTTTATACACCTTAATATGTGTTTCAGACTCTTTAATATGTATATCTTCCACACACTCTAATATATGTTTTATACACTTTAATGTTTCCCATGCCAATAGCTCGTACTCCCTTCCGTTACTAATGTCCAAACCAAAAATCGCTCAAATTACTCACAATAACAAGGTAACTACACCGTATACATCTACACATAATAGTAGGTGCTTTACTTTTCAACTTTCTATAGATTTTTGGACCCGGGCATTGAAATTTTTTAAATTTTTGAAATTTGCAACAAAATTTACTTCATCTTTGTGATGTTAAAGAAAATCGAAACATGTCTTAAAGAGCTATAAAAGGGGTAGGTAAGAGATAGTAAGGTAGATGAATACGAAAATTAGTCAAAATATTCCACTTTTTTTGAAATTTTTAAAAATTTGAAAAGAAAAAATGAGCTTATTGGAAAGTTTTTACGTTTTTAAAAGCAAAATGGACCAAGGCCAAGATTCGTAAAGGTTCAACTTGTTCTACATGTGACTAAACAACTAAAATGTCATGTGGAAATGGCTTCATTCGTAAGTTTTTGGCCGTTTTTTGATGTTTTTTATTCAAAATGAAGTAAATTTGTTGCAAATAAATAAGAAAAATAATTTTTCTGATCATAAAAATTGGTTTTTTTTAAATAACTTCAAAGTAATTGTCTAAAAACAATCAAAAATGGCATTAACACAGAATGCCAAAGTTTGGCGGAAAAATAGAAATTTAAATATTTTGTAAAAAAAGTTTAAATTTTGGTACAAAATAAAGTTATCCTAACATATTAAGTCAAACAATATCTTTTTTAGCACTAAAAGACCCTTAAAACACAATGCCAAGATTTGGCGCAAAATATGAAATTCAAATTTTTTCTTTATTTTTTAAATTTTATACAAAAATTAAATAAAAAATGAAGTTTTATAGTAAAATTCAAAATTTTCAGATCGAAAAAACTTACTTTAGTACAGTTGCAATCCTTAAACTGGCAAGTATGGCCTCTCGTCTCCAACATTACACCGTGTTGACGACAAATACCACAGTAACGTTTTACATCTTTGGGAACACGTTTTGATAGGGCGAAAAACCGCTGGCATTCCTCTTCAGCCATGATTTTTCTAAAAAAGTTAAAATTTTAAAATATTTAAAATACAAAATTAAGAAAAAATTTTTTGCACGACTAGGGTACAGTAAGATAGGGTAGGGTAGTGTAAAGTCAGGTAACGTAAAATAAGTCAGCGTAGGCTACCGTACGATAGAATACAGTAAGACACGGTAGACGACGGCATCATATGTTAAAGTACGATACAATATAGTAAAGCACGGCACGGCACGTTAAAAAAATGTTATTAATAATACCTACTACCATATACTATTTTCAACTAAAACGCCTCAAAAAAAGCAAAAAAAACTATATACAGCCTACCAGTTCCCTACTACAACATCCCACCGTCCAAAAACTTTTCAATCGACTTTTGTCGGCAAACTTCTTTTTTTATACCCTTAGGGCCTGAAGTCTTCAACATAACTTTGACCTTACGTTTTGAAACAGAATAATTGCGATATAATTCTGAATACAAATTGAATAGATCAAAGACTGTCTACCGGCATACTGTTAACCTTTTTCACAGGAATACGGGGAAAGGGGGGGGGGAGGGGAAGGGGGAGTTTGGAATGTGTAAAACGTGATTTTTTAGTTTAAAAAAAATTATGATTTACAGGCCCTACACTACCCTACCCAAATCTACCCTTCCCTACCCTACCCTTGCCCTTATCTCAGCCCTGCCTTAACCCTACTTTTGACATACCCTAGCCCCAATATAAACAAATTTACCACCCCGCACTCAATTTTACTACCAATTTATTACAATTCAACCCCATTAATCGTATAGACATTTACACATACCACCAGACACAAAAATAAATGCACGCATACAATACGGTAATTCAACCCGAACACGCAGTCTTACTATTTAACATTAAAAAAGGCATGTAACCCACAAGAGCATGATGTAAATTAATGTAAATTGTAAATATTTGGTTTAAAAAAAGTAACTTTTTAATGACACAATAGGTGTGTAAAGTAAAAACGTGCAAAAGAGTTACTATTGAAGTAAAAAGATTAACATTGTTCAAAGTGCCTTGCCTTGCCTTGCCTTCCCTCGCCTTGCCTTGCCTTGCCTTGCCTTGCCTTGCCTTGCCTTTTCCAGCCTTACTTACCTAGACAAAGGGAACGGGTCGGACCGGACAGGCCCGTCTTGGGCCTACCATCGGGCCAGACCTGTGCAAAATTTAGGTGAGGAAGGGCATGAAAGTCTCAAAAAAGCCCGCCCGGCCCACGAAGCTCGGACGGATTTTCACGTTAAAAAATGGGCCGGGCCGGTCCCGAAAAAAAAACTCAGGTCGGACCGGGCCTAAAATCCGACCTAACATTAAAGCCCGGCCCGTTCCCCATGTCTACCCATGCCTACATCTGCAACTGCCTTTTACCCTACTCTATCCTTTCCTTCATTCGTTACCCCTACAGCCATTAATAATTACAGTAATCCGACAAAACCCATCCAGAGCAAAAGTTTAACGGTCTCGCAAAGGTTTTAACACTCATATGAATTAAAAGTGATATCATCGTTATTGTGACCTTGTACGACGTTACTTTTTACACACACACCCAGCAACCTCTCGTTTTGCTGAAAATGGCTGTGTGATTTTTTGCTGTTTCGCGAGTGGCTGAGTCTCTAGAATAAGTATGTTCGTGGCTTGTGATCTCTAAACAGACACAAATCATCAAGGTATAGTCAAAAATGAATGAAAAAATAGATATGTACTATAAGGGGGTGATTAACACTTGGCAAATGAGAAGAATAGAGGCGATTGAAAAAAGGTAGAACAGAACAGATAGGGGTTGAAAAAGCTAAGAAAGAAGGCTTAAGAAAGGAGGCGGTAGGAAGAAGAAAGTAAAGACAAAGCTAGAGAAAGGGGAAGGGAAAAGGGGGGGGAGTAAGCAAAACGTAGATGTTGTAAGGGCATGGGCCCTATTCTGGCTCTGCCCTGGTTTTACTGTAGCCTATCACTAATCTTAACTACCGTAACTCTACTATAGCATTATCTTAACCGTGTTTAATCTTACCTTAGCTTGATTGTAGTTCCACCCTTGCACTACCTTAGCCTACTCTATCTTTTCTCTTACTCTAAACATACCCTAGCCGTATTCTATCAGCACTGCCCTTTGGCTAGTTTAGCACAATCTTGACTTTGTCCTTGGATATCTCAGCTTTAATCTAGTCCAGCCTAACCTAGCTAGAAACTTTCTTTAACCTTACATTAGCTTTATTTTTTCTCTACTTTAACCTTACAAGTATCCTAACTTTGCTACTAAAAAATGCATTACAATAAGTAACCCCCACGCCAAATGAGCTGTACGCTAACAACCTTTGCGATAGTCCAGCTTCAATTACATTACAACAAGGTGCTTGGAGCAGCCAATATGCGCGGAAGCGCATATCGAGGCCGCGTAGCGGCCGAGCCTGATGTCCGCTATTAGGGTGGAACTCCGAGGCCGCGTAGCGGCCGAAGGCAAGGTTTGGCGGTTGTAATCAGTCGGTGCTATAGCTAATGTACAACAGTCGAAGCGCACGAACAGCGCAATCTAGGGGACGGCGTAGCCGTCCGCTAGTCTACTTTAACCTTACAAGTATTCTAACTTTGCTACTAAAAAATGCATTACAATAAGTAACACAAAAAAAGATTACTAACCTCTCATTTTCAACTGCTATGCCAAAAATAACCAGAAATTTAAAACGATTTTTCGAAAAAAACCAAATTGAGGTTAAACTCAACCTCAATCCCTTGTTTAAAAAAATATTAAGCCTTCTACAACAGCTATTAACATACCAATACAGGTTGGTATGAATGACTTTTGGTGGAATTATTTATTGATGAAATTCGCAAAGTCAGAGATTACCTTGCCTTTGGTAGAATTTCTACTTTGTGCTTTGAATTCTGCACAAAAACACCTTTGAAAAGTTTAATGTGTTGAAATGAAAGCCGGTTTTTATTTTAACATTAAAAGGTATGGTAGGTGTGTGTAGGTTCACTAGAAATAGCGGTTGATGAAGTGAAGCAAGGGTAACATATACAAGAGCCTTACTCTGCTTTAGTTTACCGTATCTTAAAATACTCTGCTTAACTTTACTGTACTCTACAGTAATCTACCTTACCTTACCTTGCTCTACCTTACTCTACTTCAACCTACCTTACCTTACCTTACCCTACCTTACCCTACCTTACCCTACATTAACCTACCTTACTCTACCTTACCCTCCTTACCTTACCCTACCTCACCAAATCTTACTTCACCGTACCCTGCCGTACTGTACCTTATCATATTACATCCTACTTCACCCTACCTTACTTAATCTTCTCCTATCATACCCTGTCGTACATTACTGTATCTTCTACCTTACTGTGCCTTAGCCTAGCTTACTTTACTTATGTTTTACTTTACTTTATTTTATACTACCTTGCCTTGCAATTTTTCATCCACAGGTATCATAGTACCATCCAAACAAAAAAAAAGTTACAGTACCAAAGAAATAACGTAAAAATTCACTACACAATAAAGTGCGGGTACGGTCACTTGCCATTGACGTCAAATGACCATGAGATGTTGCTTTGTTTACTATGTTGTGTTTCAGAGACCACAATCACCAAGTACACCTAGTGTTCTTGAGAAATCGTAATTTGACAAACTTTAGGTTTCTATTCTGTTGTACAGAAAACGTCACTTCTGCAATTTTTCTTTGGTTTTTGTAACTGTCTAGGGTCTCTCTTTTAACTGTTGTGCCTATTATTTACTCTGACTTGTCTACCTTCTCTTTATCTCTAGCTCTTACATTGGTTTTTTTCCTATACCCACTCTCTCTCTATGCTTTACCTTGACTTCTCTACTCCTCCTTTCCCACGTCTTTTGCCTAAGTTTCGCTACTCTACTCAGCCTTCTTCTATCGCTTACACCACCTTCTCTACCCTCTCTTTCCCCTCTCTTCAATCACCACTCCCCCTTACCTTGCCCCTGTTTCAATTTTAATCGGTTTTATTACACGTAGGAATTAGCTGAACGTACGTTGTTAGTTTAGTTTAGTTTCATCACCATACTTGTTACAAAACGAATTAAACTATAATAATAATGTTTCACCACTTTTCAACCTCAATTACTGAGTGTTACAAAGGTGACAAAACAAAGGTTTTGAGTACAAAAAAGTGGCAATAACATTAATGTTGACGAGTGACATGAGCATATAACAAAAATAAACAAAAAATTAGAAATATTGTTAAAAGTACAATTTATATTGTAGGGTCGGAGTTACACTTATAATCATATGTTATGTTGTAGTACAATATAGCGTTCATAGTACATATGTTGCGTCATATCTTGTAAAAACATACTTACCGTACCTTACTTTACCCTACCCTACAATACCCCACCCTACCCTACCCTAACCTGCCTTACCCTACCCTACCCTACCCTACCCTACCCTACTCTACCCTGCCCTACCCTACCCTACCCTACCCTACCCTACCCTACCCTACCCTACCCTACCCTACCCTACCCTACCCTACCCTACCCTACCCTACCCTACCCTACCCTACCCTACCCTACCCTACCCTACCCTATCCTACCCTACCCTACCCTACCCTACCTTACCTTACCTTACCCTACTCTATTTAACTGTACCCTGCCGTACTGTAATGTACCCCACAGTACTCCACTATACCTTATTGTACTGATGTACCCACCTTACTCCACCGTACTTTTTCGTACTTTTTATTGCCTTATCTTATGCTGCGTTGCTGTTCCTCAATCTACCTTGTCTTTTACTTCAACAGGCCCTACAGTCCCTTACCCTAAGGTTATCTTGCAACACCAAACTCATACTCTTCCTTACCTCAAATAACTCATTACTAACCCTCTACTCTCCTCAACCTACCCTACTTTTACTCTATCCTGCTCAACCCTACCTCTACCCCCACATTACCCTTTCTAACTCCAAAAACATCAACAAACAGACTTGTGACACCGAATCTTAAAGTTGAAAAAAAGCTTTTCGTACG